TCATCCAAAAAGAAAAAAAAACAAACCAAAAAAAGAATCAATTCAATTTCAACACATTCGCGACATTCTGCCAGAGTCTTGATACTAGCTTTGGCAATTCAAAGACCCTCACCAAAGAGGGCCTTGATATGATACCCTTCCGATGGTGGATCGGTCATACCGATGAAACAGGCATTTACCGGCCAGGTGGCCGATACGGCGTTGTACATGTCTTTTGGGCGCAGGGTCGCAGACCGATACCTGCGCCTATTACTTTTTTTTAACTTATTATTCTTGCATAATTTGACCGGTGCGAAAAGGGCTTGGTGCGGCACTCTGGGATCTTTTGTCGGCGTTTGCATATCTTCACTTGAACCACGGTTTGGATAATCACTAGGGAGGATTGGGAAACGATCATGTACAATGAGCTACAATCTGCTTTTTTCTTCGACTTATTGCGTGTACCACCATCTATATCATCTTGTGGCATAATTCCAAACAAACACACAATATCTTGACAACTGCACCATGTGCCCTCCTTCACCGTAGATCTTCGCACTTCCAACTCTGTCTCGCTTGAACAGGCACCTGCATACGTGGTCCCAGCTTGCTGGTCTTTCCCGAGTGATCTTCGACTGTGTAATATCTCACCTCACACTGTGGTGGGGCATCCGAACATCGAATCCCGCCTAAACTTCTCCGCGTCTCCACCTTCTTCCACTTCCACTTCCACTTCCAATCCTCGATCATAACACTTCGCGTTCCAAGCTGCCCAGCTGCCCCTCGCCAACATTACCAGTCAGATCTAGATTCTTATTACTCGATAGCCCCCCCCCAGATGCGTGCAACCAGGGCCATTGAATCTTGTTTGGCTTCGTTCCACGGTTCCCCAGTTTGAATGTTACACATCACACCCGCGCCCCGACGCTTCGAGATACCTCCAGCATGTACCTGGATCATTCTATCCGATCTGTCTGGTGCTGTGGATCACCCTATTATGTCGATCCGACTAGATTGCCACGCCTCCAATCGGTCGCTCACATTTTCTCTTGCGTCGTTCGCCCTCCCCCATAGAGCACCAGCCGCGACACTCTCCACATTCCAAAATTAACGGGCTGACATCTCATTCGCGCTCCCCTGTTCCAGATTTTTGTTTTCTCAATCTAAACCCACCGATTAGACTTCACTTGATTTCATCACTAATTTTGATTTTGATCCTTCACTTTCGAGTCGGCCCCTCATCTGTTACGACATAGGGTGGGCCACGCACAACAGACTAATGCGAATCATGCAGCCCGGCTGTAGCAATGGGAATCTAGGGTTTTCCCCGTCTGTTTTTCACCTCAAAATTTTACTTCCAGTTTGATTTTTTTTTTTTCTCTCTCTCTCTTTACCGGGATCCTGCGCCACTAGATCTGATCTGACCTTCTGTGGCTAACAGCCTGTGGAGTGCACCCCAACGATCTTCACCAACAAAATAGGCGACTTGCATCGCCCGCCAAGATCTTGGGAACGACTCTCAGACAGCCTGGATTCAAGAGCCGCGCAATTCAGTCGAGTGCCACTGCCTGTACTTACCTCGATCATTGGGTCCGTACATTTGCTCGCTCATTCCCCGGATGAGATCCCTACACTGATTGCATCAGTACAAGCCATTCGCTGCCCTGGCTATCGCATTTCCCAACAAGCAAATGCCTCGATACATCTTATTTTAGCTCCAACTCACCGGTTCGTCATCGGTCGAACATGATCTACGGATTCTCGATGGCGCTTGCATATGCAGCGCCTCGAATGATCTCCGAATGAAACGGCAGGGTTAGGGCGTGCTACTCGCACCGCTACTCGTGTCGCTAAACTTGACTGGAAGTCTATGCTCGTAGCCATGTGTCCTTTCTGAAAGTGTTACTTTCTTTTCAATTACTTTCGCCATATTTTGCCGTATTCCAAATCTTGAACCCCCAATTTCCCTGGTTTCAAATTATGGTTCCCCACCCGGTACAACGGGAAATGCATGGCTTGAGACGTTGCTGTCGGGGTGGTTACACGATGGGATCGTACTTTATTAAAACACGCTCGGTAGGGGAAAAAAAATGGGGAACAAGGTACGGAGTACTCCGTACAGGGGCAGGACTTTTTCGCATCTCCGACCGGATGTATGAAAGTATAGCCTCAGGGGGAAGAGTTGAAGAAACTTGCTTTTTCACGATTCTGGAATCCTGTCGGGTGAAAGGGCCGGCGCTATTCGGCATTTGTTTTGTTTTGTTTTCTGTTTTTGCTTTTCCTTTTCTGCAAGACTGAGCTCATATCCGGGATCGCCTCATTTGTTATTGGATGTTGGGACATTACCCTTTTGGGAACATTCGAAAGAGGTATGATTCCAAATCAAAAAGGAATAGAACGAGCTTCACTCTGCAGTATGTACCATCGTTCTGGCTTCGTGGTGTGATCCTCTCCAACTATCCACGCAAGCACGGCTGGGAATCAGGGCTATGTGGGATGCGGGAAGGTCAATGGGGTAATGTAACTGGGGTCGAGTCTAGCATTCCAGTCAATATCCAACCAGTTGGAATTGCCGCGTGCTGAGCTGGCATGTCTGTGCCTCTAGTATGTCGGCTGGGCGGAACCTGGCGGTCCATATGCCAGTTGCCAATCTTGTCCACTTTGGTTTGACGATAACCGATTTTTAATCGTTAAGGTTATTTCTGAGAAGTAGCTTCCTGGAATAAGATGAATGCTGCTCGCTCGATGCAACCATGCAGCAATAGGCTGAGGTAGTAAATACCTGCGCGTGGTTCATGGCTGTGCTGCGGGCGACATGCATTGGAATGTGAGGCCGGGGTGAGATGGGCTGTTACTCGAGTCGGTCTGGATTTTCCTCATACTGGACCAGAGACGGTAATCGCATTTTCTATCACGCATGCAAAATCACAACTCAAAATTTCCTTTCCCCTCGGAAAACTTCCCACTCTGAATGGATTTTTGATTGTCATCCGGGGTGTGGTTCCTATCCCTCGCTTTAGTCAGAATGTGTCTTACATTGTATGTGGGTGTTTTGGATGCTGACTAAAACTCAACCTTGAGCTCAAATGGGATTTGTCTTGGAAAGATACTTTCATTTGGGCTATTCTGTATGCATCTCTGCGCGATTTTGTAAATCATTAAAATCGGGTGCCCATGCAGATTGCTGTCGGTGTAGTTCGGGAACATGGCTTCTATAGCGGTGAACATTGATGCTCGACCACCCCCGCCAAGGTCCGGTCTGACAGGCAATGCTGAATTAGCACATCGAGTAAGATGCAATCGTTTTTTTTTCTCAAAGATTCAATCTAGGCAAAACAACTCCATTGGATGTATCAATAATTTCTATGCGTCCTTCCAGGGGTTGTCTCCAAGAATCTCTGAGCTGATGCCTAGAACCATCTTAGGGTTTGATTTTCTACTGTCTACTGGACACTGTTCTTACACCAAGCCCACTGGAATCTGAAAAAGAAAATTGACGAACAGATCCTCAGAGAGGAAGAAAATATACAGATCAGATCTTCTTATTGGCCTTTCAGAAGCATAGGGGGTTATGATCGGTAGAGACTAGAATCAACTACTTGTCGCCTTAAACACTTTCTATACCATTATATAGCTAAGTTCCATCACAATAACGGTGCAGATAGATCCAGAGATCAGGATATAGTAGTGAAATTAGGGGTAGATAAAAAGCCTATGTTCTTTAGCTCACTTTGAGCTCTTGATAACCTGTAGCGTAAATTGACCTTGAGGGTTTTAGATGAAACCATCTTATATCTCTTTCTAATCCCGTATAGATCTAAGATATTTCTAGGTCCACCATTTGAGACATGTATGAGACTCTACTTAGATACAGTCACACTTTCCGGACTATACTTCAGCTGGCAGGATATAGGCCCTGTTGTTTCCACCAGAAATATCACACCCAAGGCAAGCAAGTGAACACGGCCCGATACGATCTTTTTGAAAAAATTTCAGATAAAATAATCTATTGATTTCTTATGCCTAGCGATGTTACAGTAGATTTTTAAAGTTTCAAAGTTGCTACTGGCTAGACATTGTAGTACCATTACGCTGATGTAGATATTGGCCTTGGAGTTGTCCAGGAACGACAGCAGCACGAGCAGAAAGTAAATAGACAATCAATAACCCAGCGACGAAAAAGCTTCTTCACTCACAAATTCTTACACTTCAAGCTATCCAGGCTGGTTACAGTTTGTGCCTAAGCTTCCACCCATGAAGTACTAAGCCATCGAACTTCGCTGATGATGGTCGAAGAGTTTTTAATCTGCCCCCCCAAGCTTCTTTCTGCTTAAATCCCAGCTTGCATGTCATTTAATTTACAATTTTGTCATCAAAGTGCCCATGGCGCAGTGCTAGTCCTGAATCAGATGGCCTGACAGATTGCTTATGTCATACGTCGCACCGTATTTATTTGCGCGATGGCCCGTGGGTCATCTTTCTCCCTAAATATTCTGTCACCCAAGATCCGGGGTAGATAGCCCCGCTTGGTCTGTTCAGCTGACTCGGAGCCTGAGATTCATGAGTTCTCTACTTTGGTAGGTATCGCAGAACAATAGATGAAATAGCACTAGTGTTTTCGAGTTCATAACCCCCCCCCCCCTACCTAGTACCACATTTGAAGCGACTGCGATCGCCCCTTACTATGATGACACGTTTCTATTGGAGTGACTTGTTTCATGGACACCAATAAAATATATCAAGCTCAACAGTCTGAGTAAGGATTTTTCAAATTTGAAGTATACCTAGGTACAGTACTAGTATTAGTTAAATTGCCTTGGTACCTAGGTAGGTAGTGGTTGCCCAGATGGATACTAACTAGTAAGTATCTAGGTACCTAGTAGTTACTACTAATCCTACTAGTATCGTCATAATACAAGTACTAAGAATTTGAGAAGGATAAGATAATGCGACCACAAGGATTATGAGGGTTGCTACTAGTAATGAGAAAAAAGCCACCTGTTCATTTATTCTCTGGATCGCTATTCCGGGCCAAGCTTCTGCAACTGCTGAGGCATAGCACATTGGTACTTGCGGAAAGCTCGTGTTCCCACATTCTCGTTAAACATCTCATCCAATTCCTCGAAAGACCGTCCCTTGGTTTCGGGAATTGTATAATAGACCCCGGCCAGCGCAGCAGCCCCCATAGCGGCGAAGATCCATCCAATCTTGCCGCCCAAGTCAGCTTCATCCGTATTGTATAGGTATGGGATAACCACATTCCATACTGTGGAGAAGAAGTAGTTGAAAGCGAAGCCGATAGCCATAGATTTGGCACGCAGACGCACGGAGGATACTTCACCAGCAATGGCCATTGCAGGACCGATTGCGGGTCCGTAAACCCACCATGAAAGCTGGAGGAAGATTCCAACAACCCTGATGAAAGATGTTAGATACAATTCCAAAAAAAAAGAGACTGAATGCTAACTTACCACAAGGCGTCACTTGATTTCGGGAAACAACCTGCGATACCCATCACCGTAAAGAAGGTTGTGGAGAGACAGAGGCCGAACATGATCAGCCGTCTGGAGCCAACCTTGGTCATCAGATAGGCAGTGAGAATGGAACTGGCAATACCAAAACCAATACCAATCTCAGTCATCATGCCAATCTTGGCAGAGGACATACCAGCCTGGACCAGGAAGTAGGGCCCGTTTGACATAAAGCTAGATCCAATGACTTGCTGCAAACCGTTGCAGAACAGAATGATGCGAGTGCGGCGCCAGTTTGTTCCGCGGAAACACTCAATGAAACTAGTCTCCTTAGAAGCAGCACTGCGCGCCTTTTCCTCCTCGTTAACCCGAATCATTTGCTCAAGAAGCTCGGTGATTTCTGATGATTTGTTGCCTAGTCGAGCGAGGGACTTGCGTGCTTTCTCAAGACGGTTCTTCATGACCAGGAAATAGGGAGACTCGGGGAGGAATGGGAGGAACAGAAGTATCACGCCTGGCCAGACCCATGCGGCGGCAAAGAGTACCTTCAGAGATTTAGCATCAATTGAAACGATAGATAGATTTTCACTCTTACCCGATAGGCATCCGAGGAGATCATTGACATTCGAGGCAATGCTACCGAAGCAGCAATCATATATCCGAGATTCTGCCTCCAGTTAGCGTCAATCATATTTCACAGCCATTAGAGAATTTTACCATGCAGAATGTGAAGAAAGACAATGCAATGCCACGCAGTGGAAGCGGTGTCACCTCCGAGATATAGGTTTGTCCAGTGGTCAAACATATACCCATCGACAGGCCGTTTACAATCTTGCCAGCAAGGAAGACACCAGGGGTATGTGATGTATACACAACGGCCACGCCAGCTGCAGACACAACCGCTGCCAGGAGAAATGAAGCACGGCGACCTAGAAGATCTTGCACCGGTCCGGCGATGGCTGCCCCGATCATCGTGGCCACCTGTGACATTGCGTTCCACAGAGATTGCCAGTATGCTGGAATCACGTATGCGCCGTTGGTAAGCTCTCCAAACTCCATACTAGACCTCAGTTAGTCTTGATTCGGTATTTATCCAAATAAAGGGGCGAACATACGCGAATCCCGGCATTGAAAGAGACAACGATAATACCAGATTATCGAAGCCATACATGAATGCCCCGAGATTGCCATAGAGACAAAAGAGGAAGACCCAGGGGTTCTGAGCTAGGCACTGCCATGCAGTCTGCTTCTGACATTCCTGCTCGTCTGGCAGGTTATCATGAGTCGTAACATTTTCCAAATGGGTGGATTTTAACTTCTGGTCGGTAGACTCCATTTCGTAAGTCTGTGAGAGATCTTGAAGGTGGACACCAGGGTATCTGAAGATCCCAAGAAAAGGGTGGAATGAACCAGGCATTTGAAGGCAAATACCTCGGGTTTTCCCCAATGTGGGGAAATTGACGTGGCCGGCATTTCCAAGTTGCTTGTTCCACTTTGACTCGGGGTTGGTTGACCCGACTACTCGGCAATTCCGAGGCTGCTGGAGACACCTTGCGCCTCAACTTCCCCAGAACTGGGATATTGCGGGTCTATTGGTACCAGATTGAAGGTTTGGGGTTTGCAAATTATGCGCTGTGATTCGATTTATTCCAAACAATACACCCAAAATACGTTTTTCGAATATCTATTTGTATCTCTACTTCTTAGCGAAAACAACTTGCCTGCCACTCTCAAAGCGCTGTACCGACACCGATTCGCCGATCAAAACTTCAGCCTCTAGATCGGCAGATACCTCTACCTCTAAGGCTTCTTTGTTCCATGCCACGCTGACATCCCCGGCGGGAGTGACAAATTTGCCACGAGCGGTCTCAAACAGTTCCATCCGAGGCGCGATACGAACTCTCTTGAATCCTGGCTGCGCTGGCGACACGCCAAATACTTGAGTGACAATCTCATGGACTGGGCTTGCACTCCAACCATGGCAATCACTTCGAGCATTGTTCGCGTGCTCAGCCCAGGTCGTCAGATTGTCTCCAATCATTTGTCGCCACGGTGCCATTAGAGACGGGAAGAGTTTGTTGTAAAGACCGACTTTCTCCACTGCACGGAAAAGATAGAATTGCATAGAATAAGAGCATTGGGCCAGTGTTGTATCTTCCAACGCGCGCAGCATGAGGTCTCGGGCGGCATCGCCAGTGACAGTCTCTGAGAGAATTGCGAAAACTTGGCTGTGTTGACTGTACTCCGGACTCGATGGGCCATCCGTATAAATTCCTTCTTCAAAGCAATTTTTATTCACAGCTTTACGGAGCCCATCAGCTCGAGCATTATATTCGACGGCGGTATCTCTCCTTCCGACGAAGTTGCAGATCTCGGCAGCTTGCATCAATGCGACGATATAGAGCAGACTGTTGAAAGTCGCCATCCCGGTGCTTGTATACGCTCGCGGCATGCACGATTCGAAGATTTTACCCGGTACAAACCACTCGGGTACCCAGTCAATGAAGGGCCAGGTATCTTCGTCAAAGCGACCGACAAGACCAAGATCGGTAATTCTTTCATCGAAGTGATTGAGAATTCCGTCCACGGTCGCAAGATATCGCCTTGCGACGGATATATCAGCAAAATATTGCATATGATCGTAAACCATCGCGACCCAATATAGTGAGAATTGAGGGATCTGTTTACTGCGAAAACCGGCCGGGAATTGTGCCTTGATCAACCCGTCTGGGCCTTGGCTTGCATGGAATTCTTGAAGGGTTTTCCGAGCAAGTTTATCATCCGATGAGATCTGGTAGGTGAAGAGCATCTGCAGCCGAGAATCCGAAGCAAATTGGTTTTGCTCGTAGAATGGACAATCCTCGTATGTCTCATGTCGACAGTTTTCCAAGGTCCGCAGGCTTATCTTCCAGATCTCGTCCAGCTCGGTATCGGCATGGACATCGGTTTTCACGTCCAGGGGATAGAAGGTTTCGCGGAAGGTGAAACTTTTCAAAGTCAAAGGCTCTTCAGCGGCTGTGATTTGGACTTGGATGTATCGGAATGCTCGGAACCAAAAAGGTTCAAATGTGTGCTCGGCTTGGCCATCAGCGACAGTATAGACATCCTTCATTCCATAAAGACGACCATCAGAATCCGCCCGGTTTGATTTGGTCCGAGGCATAGGGAAAGGGGCAGTTTCAACCCCAAGGTCTTTCTCGTAGCATTCGGAGTATAGCAACGTAACAGTAGATCCTTTCCCGCCACTACATTGGAGAGTAACGAATGCTGTCGTCAACGACTTGGTCTCAATATCAACCGTCAGAGTCTCTCCAGACGGGATTTCTACGACGCAGTCTTGTTTCAGAAAGCTCGTCCACTGGTCCTTTGCCACTGTTCCCTGGCATTTAACGGCTCCATCGAACCGAGCGTGCAGCTCAGGAAGTTCTGGAATCGGTCGGGGAGCGAGCTTCCAGGGACTTTGGATGGGAAGCATCTTGGCAGGTCGAAATTGTAGTATAGAATCCTCCCAGGCGGAGTCATCAAAATCGGGTGACTCCCAACCTGTCAGCTGTGACGATTCTGTCGCTCTTTCATTGTTTGAAAGAAAAGGAGGACCCAGGATATAATTCCACTCGGAGTGGGGAATAATCTGTCGCGTAGTTTCCTCCAGGCATTTCCATGTTGTATCTGTAGAAAGCGAAAGATCCTACTCAAGATATTTGTTAGCAGGATATCCTGATGCCTATCCAAAGCCAGGGTAATATCGTGACGTACCTCGATCTCGCAGTGGAGTAAAAATCCGGGCAATTCTGTGCTGAGGATTGACGAAGAGCCAGCTGTTATAGAAGAATATCTCAAGACCCGTGCGCTGAGAACATTCTCGCCCTTCACCAGATAGGGCAGAATGTCCACCGTTTCAAAGTGCCATCGCTCCATGTAGCTTTTGCATGGACCGAAGCTCACCCGCTGGCCATTGACGAAGAGCCGGTAGCGACTGTCTGCCGACACATGCACGGGCAACTCCTTGATATTAACTGTGCCCGGCCATTGGAATCTTTTGCGAAAGAGGAAGTACCGCCCTGGCTGGTTGTCTTCTTCGTGGTAGCCAGGTGTCCAGATCCATTGGGCCGATTGTGTCCAGTTGGGTGCCATGGTGAATGGTTATCGAGAAGGAAATTGCGGAGGAACTTTTTTGGAGATGAGGAGGGGTAATGTTAATCGTCTATCTCTTTCCCCCCCCCGCACCAGTGCCAGTGAGCGATGTTCAAAACTCGGGCCTTCCGGGGTAAAAATGTGGAGAGCCGCTGCCGACCTCCAGGGCTCGTGATGCTCGGATTTCCCGCTCGGTGGAATTTGCCCCGAGATATCAAGAGCCGAGAGAGGCGAACAAATTGTACGCGTGGCGATCGGCAAATTTAGTCTTAATCTTAGTCTAAGCTACATGGAATCCGTACATGATGAACAAGGAGAAGATTGGATATTAACTCAAATTGCATTTGGGACCGTTTCCGTTATTTCCAAACCCGCTGACCAAAAACCAACCAACCCCAAACATGAAAACTCCTGTACAAGATGGTATCAAATTTGAACCTACAACCCCCTCCAGAAAAGATAATGAGAAAAAAAAAAGAAACTGTGCCCCAGATAGTACAAACAGGAAAGGCAGTTCGGAAAAAATCATAGTAGGAAAAAGGGAAGGGGACAGGGATTAAAAAAAGAAAACCCAAGGCAAAATTTTGCGAAACGCCAGCCTCTTAAAAAGTCTCCGCGATGCCTGGTCCCTGTACATTCCCATTAAAAAAAAAGGAGTCAAAATAAAAAAAAGTAAGAAGACTTGAAGGAGCGAAACGGTGGTGCTGCAACAAGTAATCAATGCCATGCGAATCCCTGTCAGATATGTTTTTCGTAAGTCAAATCGAGTCAAATTTCCATTCATCAAGCTGAAAATCGAGCCAAAAATATTCATGTTGCCGTCAATGAGAATCAATTCCCCATTCCATTGTGCATCATGCTTTGCTGCATCTGCTGTTGCATGGCCGCCTGTGAGTTTCGCTGTTGCTGCGTAGCTTCTCGTTCGCGTCGCATAAGATCCTGAACCCATGACTTGGCGGTCTTTTCCAGCCCAGCTCCATATTGCTGGGCAATATGTGGTGGATATTGGGTAGGTGGACCATATTGTGACATGAACCGTTGGGACATCTCATGGCGTAGGTGCAGTAGCCGTTGTTGATACAGTCGATTGTATCGCTGGGCCATATTGGTGGCACCTTGCATGTTGGGTATTTGCCCTCCATTGGCCTGCGCAGCTGCCATCAACATTTGCTGTTGTTGCGGGGTCATTTGTGGGCTGCCTTGATGCTGGCCCTGTTGACCCTGAGACATCTGGCCTTGGGACATCTGACCCTGCATCTGCGGTGCTTGTTGTTGAATTTGACCTTGGGACATCTGCCCCTGTGACATTCCACCCTGCTGCTGATTCACCATCTGCATTTGAGCGAATTGGGCCCGCATGAGTTGTGCCTGGTATGCTTGTTGGTTCGGTATGTTCGACATGTTCTGCTGTTGTTGCGGAAGTTGCTGCTGCTGTTGGTGTTGGGCCTGCTGCTGCTGCTTCTGCTGGGCCTGTAACATCTGCTGCTGTGAATGTATGTTTTGCTGGGCGTGTGCGCTGGCCTGCATCTGGGCAAGCTGCTGTGGTGTGAATTGTCCATTCATCTGTCCCTGTTGAGCAGCGAGCATCTGCTGTTGTCGTTGTTGCAGCAGCATCTGTTGTTGTGGGGTGAGACCGATAGTACCGTTCATCTGCGGTGTATTCGCCATGGTAGCCTGGCTCATCATTGGAGTTTGTTGTGGCATTGTATGAGTAGGACTGCCGTGGTTCATCCGTTGGGTTGGTGTGACATTGCGCATAATTGGCGTGGCATGTGCCATTGCTGGCGTACCCTGGGTCATTTGAGGTGTACCGTGTCGACTTGCCCCCTGTTGGCTCCGAGAAGGCGCCATAGGGTGGCCCATGACATTGGGATGGCCGTGTTGCATGGAAGACTGGGGGGCGCGGTGGGCTTCCCGATTGCTGGGATGCGCTGATGCTCATAGGAACAGCCTGTGTTGCCATATTGTTACCAACTAGCGGTGACGATGTGTTATGAGGAGTTTGATTGCGTACAACGGGGGAGGACTGTTGTCCTTGACTCGCACCGTTGGCCATTGCGTGTCGGTTCTGAGCGGCAAGTTGAGCTTGTGCTTGTTGGGCTGCAATTTGCTGTCTTCGCGCTTCTTCCTTTGCATATTCCTCGTCCTGACGGTTCTTGAGAAGCCTTTGTCGTTCCTTCTCTTGCTCCTGCTGCTGCCTCTTGGCCAGCTCCTGCTTCAACTTCATCTCATGCTCGCGCTTAGCCTTCTCCTCATGTTGCATCCGGATTGTTTCCAGGGTCTTGAAGCGTGAGAATCGAGGCTCAAACGGTGCCACACCCGCCGCATCATCCACCACAGTAGCTTTCGAGCCACCACCAGCTCCCGATGCTGTTGGTTCTAGGCGCTCATCCATGATAAGCATGAATCTCTCTTCTTCGGCAGCAAGTGCTTCGTCAGCAGCGAGCTCGGCAACGGTTCTCTTGCGACGTTTGGGCGAGGGCGGTGGGTAGGAGTGAAGCGGGCTCTCCATAGCCTTGAGCAGGTCTTGTGCAGCTGCAAAGCTATCTACGGGCTCCAAATAAAGCGGAGGTGCCAGAGCCCGCACAATCAATGCCTCACACTCCGGAAGATCTTGTGGTTCAACAAGCGTCTTCTGCCGTTTCGCATCGTGGCCACGATCAGCCTGTGTGGTTGATGGTGACTGTGAAATGACGGACGAGGATTGGGTACGCGACAATTGGCTCTGAGCCATTGCTTTCGCGGCTTTCGGATCAGGGGTTGTCACGAGCAGAGTCAGCTCTGCTTGCAGCGTACGCGATGTGGGGTGCAAAACAGTGGTGAAAACCTTAGGCTTTGGCACAGTAGGTTTTTGTTCAACCTCATTGCTTTTACCCTGAGCTTCGGATGTCTCTCCATTTGTCTGGCTGTCGGACTTAGACGGCGTCTCCGGCGCCTTTGAGCTTTGTAGATCGGTGGTGAGTTGATTCTGTTTCGGGTAGGGGACAAAGGCAGATGGGGTAACATGCTCATTGTAGTTGTGGAGAGAGAAAGGGGTATTGTTTTCGTTGGGTTTTGATGTGGACGTCTTGTGAGCTTGTGCTGACATGGACTTATGATCAACCACTCGGACGATGAGGCAGCCTTGATCTACGATCAGCACGTCATTCCCTCAACCAATTGGTTAAAACATTGGATCCTACCTTCGTAAAAGCGCACGCCAGAACGTAAAAGCTCCTCGATTAAATCATGGGGAACAGTTCCGGCGCGGATGTGCTCGATAATGACTTTCATCTCCGAATTGTATGGGAAACTTCCGTCTTGCTGTTCGAATCGGAAATGTGTTGGATGAAGATGTACAATGAGAGATGGTGGTGATTTGGAGTATTTCTTAAGAATGTAGGACGTGGTTTTCACTGAGGCGCAAACAAAGGGTAAAGTTAGCATGTCCGGTTTGCGCAAAGGCATTGAGGTACAATCGCAAGATATTTCTCACCGAATGGTTCGGAATGGCTTTTCCCGACCCCATTCTGGTTGACATTGGTGCTTGTTCTTGTCACTGGTCGACCAAAACGCGAGGAAGGGTCGCCGGGTCTTTGCGACTGGTTCCGCGTTCGGTTGAGAGGGCCCTTTGCGACATTCGCCCCATTCGCCACGCCATTGGTAAGGTTGGGACTTGATGTAACGGAGCTGCTTCCTGGAAGATGTGTAGATGTTGCGGGTGGAGAGGATGATAGTTGTTGGGCCTTTACTCCGTTGACCCCGACCTGGGGGAAAGGCGGGGGCGGCCGCTTCATCTTCGGGGGATGTGAACCGGGCTTTGAGACCGCGGTGGCCATTTTGACGTGGCTAGCTGCGCTATCGGAATGATTCCAGAGGCTTAGTATGCTCTTTATTCGGAACCCGATTTGAGGATGCTGGATGAAAGTCGGGGACTGAGAAAGAATGGGATAGCCGATGCGCGAGACATGTGGGGATCGGTCGGTCGGCCCTGGTCACCAACGCAGCAAAGTCGAAGGGAGGAAATGTGTAGCCAGCAGTCCAAGACGCCTAGGAAAAGAGAGTGAGAGCGACCATCCAACGATGTCGCGAGGGAGTCGGGGTCCGAAGAAGCGCTGGAGGGGAGGTTCGGAGGTACCATTAGTCGTGCAACGGAGGTCTGAGTGACGCCAAGCCGAGACGTGACGGGCTCACGTGACTCTATGGTCAGCCGAAAGAGGACTAGTAGGTTGCTTCCCAAAAAGGCAATTCCTATACTACAACCGAGGCATCCAGTAAAAAGTATTGGCGTCAGAAGATAGTTGCTATTCAATTGACTGAGGATTCTTTCCCAATTGATACGATAGATGACCTGAGTATTATGCGGTGGTGGCTATCTCATAGATAGTTTATTCATTATAGGAGCTATGGAGTGGTCACTCGACAACAAAGCCGATAGGGCGGATTATAATCAAATCGCGCGTAGGGTAGCAAAAACAGGGGTCATGATAACAGGGGAATCGAAGGCGCAAAATCGTCAAGAAGGGGCAAAATATAGACATGCAAGTATGGGAGATATCAACATCAACGTCATTTGAAAGGCTTGGAGAACCACTAGTCCAAGCCGCTGACCCGGCGTCGCCAGTCATCACCAACACGAAGAACGTCAACGACATCAATGCGCTTGCCAATGCCAGTGGTGCCGTCCTTTTGCCACCAGCGCTCTCCCTTATCGGCAAGAGCGGACTCGTCATCACTGTCAATAAGACCGCCGCGGCCGCCCTCATCACCAACGACAACAACGACCTGTCGAACCCATCCGGAGATGTGCTGGACAGCCTCGCCCTCGCCTTCATTGCCAGTGAGAGACTCCTGGACATAAACGAGATCAGGCGCAAGGTGACGCACAAGGTGTACATAGCCAGTCGCCGTGCTGAAAGGCATGATCATGTTCTCCCTTTCAACAAGAGCCTGGGCCTGAGTGTACAGGGTCTTGAAGAAGGGGCTGTGACTCTCAAGGTCGTTATCCTGACGAGGCTCAAGGGCTTGCAGGTCCTTGCTTGGCAGTTCACCGGAGGAATTGGCCTCTTCCGTGGCAATGTTCGAATAGGACGACGCGAGAGATTGGGTGGCACGCGACGTGCTGCCTTGGCCGATCGCATGCTTCACTTCAGGGGCGTAGATCAGAACAAAGATTCGAGACGTGTCCAGGTCAACATGTTCTGGCAGATGGGATAAAATAGACTGGAAGTTGTCAGTAAAAGTACGATCATAGGCTTAGCAGGTACCATGGTTTAGGAGTGAATGTACTTACGGCGTGCTCCGAGGCAAACTCATCGGAATCGGCAGGGAGAGAGATGACACAACAATGGCAACCGTCTTCTTCTTTTTGTCGACGGGGTGCTGGCCAGAGACAGCTCCACGGTTTGGCAGCGCACCGCTCATAGTTGGGGTCTGTTGACCACTAATGGCACGAGATTGAGCCTCTTCGGACCATCGCGAGTGATCTTCAAAGTCGCCACGGTTTTCTTCGCGGATGGATGTGAGCGCATTTCCAACGAAAGCACCGGCAGCTGTCACGCCAGCCGCGACCTTTCGGCTTGCGCCGTCAAAGATCTGCTGGGGGCTGGGGGTTCGGCGCAACGCACCCTGCATGCGACCCATGAAGGTGGGATCGTATGGGGTATCTCCGGGTCCTCCGTCCACGCCTGCACTTCTTGCATAGCCCTCTGAGGCATAGGATGGTGGAGGGAAGTCGCCGCCGATGTGGCCTGGGGGTGGTTGTGGGTAGGGGCCTTGTCCTTGTCCGTCATGGGGGCGGCGGTCACCCTCCTCATCGTCGTCTTCGTCTCGTTCACTCCATATCCAAGCGGCAACGCTCAATGTTGCAACACCAACAGTGAGCGCGAGAGGAATCCAGTAGCCCATAGCAGTTCGGCGCCCCGTCGAGCTGAACCCAGCACCAGCACCACCGCGACGGCGGCGAGGATCCTGGGGAAAAGACATTGCGGGGGTGTTGATATTAGAGAGAGCGCATGCAGAGGTGATCAATCGCGGTCGCAGTCAATGTCGCCTGTCACATTTCACACCTCATGCAAAGAAGAAAGAAAGGCGGAGGTGGAGTGGGGAGAAGGAGAAAGGGAAAGGGCAAGCTGAACCCTCGACCTCGGGGCCCGGAAACATGTGGCTGGGGGGAAAGTGGTTGGTTACCGCGGGTGTTTACTTCTTGTTTACACTGTTTGTTTCCTCCCTGGTCATATCAACACGTGACCTTAAAAAAAGCGGCGGTTTGCGATTGGAGTCATCGGGGGTCCTTTGTTCATTTCCCAGACTGTTGAAGAAGATCCCGTTCAGCTATTCAGCTACGGTATCACTATTCAATTTCATTAGAGGAAGCTTCCTGAAAGCTTCTATTTCGACGGCCTTTCCCTCTGCGCATTAGCCAAGGGACTTTCGGAGACATATCACCTACCCCACCACCACCAGCTATCTCCTCGCGGGGCTCATACAATCTACCTCCAAACCAGTCTTGATCTCTTCAAGAGTCTCTGTTTTTACTTATACTAAAAATGCCTGTCCCCGCATTGGGCTTCCAGGCTCTTGTCCTGGTGCGCTATCCCCAGATTTTCCTGCTCAATTCGGTTGACTTTGAGGCTTTGCGGACTAACATCGAATAGTGTGGACCAGGTGTCTCGCTCACCCTCGCTTCAAAGCCAGAAGAACTACCAAAGGCTCTCATTAATGTCGCCAATCGACCTCTAGTATTCTACGTCTTGGATTGGTAAGATTCGTTCTCGATGCTTTGCTTTCAATCGCTAACTGACATTATCAGGCTGAAAAGATCCGGTGTCTCCGGTGCGCATTATTGATCGAGTCCTTGAGTCACTACTCGAATCTGGAACTGACGACCTCAATAGACATCACGTTGATTACACCTCCATCCGCCGCTCCTCCCCTTCAAGCCGCCCTCAAACAAAACCAATACCTAACCTCCCTTCCCTCGCCAACCCCAACAGTCCTCGCTCCCAAGGACCTAGAACTGGTCACTGGTACCGCCGAACTACTCCGTCTCCCCGAAGTTCAAAGCTGCATTAAAACCGACTTCCTCCTCCTTCCCTGCGATCTGATTTGTGAAATCCCCGGCGAAGCCCTGCTCGAATCATGGATGGTATCACAGAGCGCACTCGGTGGTTCTTCTACACGGGAGGGACGCCATGCTGATGGCCCCGTTTCCGGCCCTGGTGGCGAGCAAGGAGGTCGTCGTGGTGGGTTGGCTGTCTATTATCCAACACAGGGTAGAGAGGAGAGCGTTAAAGGCGAAGCCACTGATTTTGTGGCCGTCTCGCCGCTTGGCACGGACGATGCGCCCGCAGTCAATGGACCTCGAATCGAGCTTGATCAGCTCGTCATGTCTATGCCGATGGATACCGTGAAGGAGAAGATGGAAAATGATAAGGGCTTCCTGGTCCGTCACTCACTCGTGGAGAAGCATGCCCAAGTTAAGATGCTTTCGACGTATCGGGATGCTCACTTGTACGTCTTCCCATACTGGGTCAAGGATCTTGCGCGTCACCAAGAAAAGTTCCAGTCCGTCAGTGAGGATCTGATCGGCTACTGGGCCAAGGCTGAGTGGCAGCGAGGACTGGCGGAAAAGATTGGCATTAACAAGGTCCTGGCTTCCAAGGCCGATAATGCAGAGGAAAATGGAAGCAACGACGGCGAATCTCTGGAAGACGAGATTGATCTCCAGGCCATGAGCACCACCAAGAGTGGTTCAACTGTGACTCCCACTTTTGCTCAAGATGAGCTCCCATCGCCCACTTTCGCCTCGCGAGTCAACGCCCAGTCGAATAACGAATCCGAGGAAGAGACCAAGATTCCGCCCATTCTCGCCTATGTGCAAAAGGGCTCTGCGCCTTTTGTCCGCCGTGTTGACAGCTCCGCAATCCTGCTGTCTACCTCTCTCCGTCTTGCCAAGCTACCTTCCATCGACGAGGTTGGCCGCCACGCCGCCTCCCCTCTCGCACATAGCAAGAAGATCGCCTACCCGGAGGGTGTGCCTAAGCGCTGCACCGTCACGGAGTCCGACTGTCTGCTCGACATCAACGTAACGATTGAAGAGTTCGCCGTGGTTAAGGAGTGCTGTATTGGCGAAGGTGCCAAGATCTGCAAGGGCGCCCGCTTGTCCAAATGTGTGATCCTGCCTTATGCTGTTGTGGGCGAGAAGGCCGTTGTGACGGGTACGATTGTGGGCCGACACAGCAAGGTTGGCCGGGATAGTGTTCTCAAGGACTGCGAGGTTGATAATGGCTTCGTGGTTCCGGATGATACTGATGCCAAGGCTGAGAAGTTCATGCACTTTGGTGGTCTGGATGATGAGGAGGATGGCATGGATGTCTCTGGTGATTTTGATGATAATGGATCCGACCTGGGCTTCTAAGCGGCCCCGGGTGGGATACATTTGTGATGAAGCTTTTATTTTTGACTGTTTATTATACCGTCATGCGTGATGAGATAGACCAATGACCAAAATACATGGATGCAACCGGCTATCATCCGATTCTGATTGATTTAGTGATCACGAGTAGGTGTTCAAGTTGATTTTTACCGTCAAGGGTGCTATTGTCCTGGAAGTCCCAGGTGAACATACTCGAGTATCTACTAGTAGATAGTACTCGGACTACTTTCCTAGAACTATGGTCCACCCAGCCCTGAAGTTTGACCCTAATCCCCATTGCAGGGGCACAGATAGTCTCGATGGCAATTCAGCTCAGAGCCCGAGTACAGCATCGCCAGATCATGGGGTCTATCGGCGGGATTAGCAACAGGGCCATTGTTAATCGTATACGGTCCACTTGGAGCGACGAAGCGTGCGTTGGAGTGGCACAGAGCACTGCATATGTACTATATGTGCTTCCAAGCGCTGATCGAATATTCGACGCTCACGGGATGGAGCCAGTCAATATAGCATTTCCAAGGTTACCTTCCTACCTAGGGTAGGTAGTCGTGGCGTTCCGACCAGCCGTCCGTCCACCATCACCGCAGGGCGGTATGGGTGCCTTCTGCAACGACTATTCCTATATTCTAGTAGGGCAAAATTCCATTCTAAGACTGGTACACTTGAGTGACACGGAAACACGCGAGTTGATACTAGACTACTGTTGAAAAAAAAAAAACCTCCAGGTCTTGGAGATAAGATTCTTAATTGACGCAAATCCATTAGGAATACGAACCGAGAATAGAGTTCGCCATTACTGACTGTAAATTGCCATTCTCCCCGGTGGCATGTCGGTAAGATACAATCAATGCGGGACTGGACAAGTTAGTTATAGCACCATGGCATAAATACCTAGGTGTGCGGAGTACTAGTAGACCCATCAGCTGATCCAATTGATACTAGGAGTGAGTGGTACGAGATCTGACAGTCTGTCGTGCGACGACAGCCTTGAAAGATGGCCTAATCAGAAAACGCTGTAGTATACTCCGTTACCCCCCGCTTCGGTCGAGTCCCGGGAGCGAGCGATGATTGTCGTTGCTCGTCCGCTAACGGTGTCGATCGTTGGACCCGCTCCACTGGTGATTTGACAGCTATGTGGGATACGGACGAATTGCGCGTCTGTACTTGTTGCTCGGACTTTTGTCGATTTGATTTTGTGTTTTTGAGGCGCTGTTTGCTTGGTTTTTTTGTGGGGGTGTACTTTATTTTGGTTTTTTTTTTTCGGCTTTTCTTTCCTTGAGGGTGTGTGTCGTATGATAATCGGGTGACTCGGGTAGGTTACTCATACTAGTAATAGAAGGTTTCTTAGGACAATGAGGAGGGAAAGGGAGAAAATGTTGAATGGGTCAAGGCTGTGAGATGAAGACCTCGGTTCACTTCGTCAGGCTGCAGGATAGTGAAATGACAAAAGGTCCTTGGACTGGGGTATATGTGAAGAATAAAGTACCTCGGTACTCCTTAGACCAATTTCAATTGGAAGGAGATTCAAGCAGGGTCACAGTTCTGGGGGATTCATCAAGGATACGATATTCACGCATTCATGCGTGACTCGTGTAACAGTGTGCACGGCCTCACCATCAAACGGTGCGATCACAAAGTACACTGGCAGCCCAAGCCAAACCCACCCCCTCCACCTTTCCCCGGACCGGGATTTACAAGTGGGTAGATTAGTTTATTATATTGGCCTCGCTTGCCCAGCTGAGAATGAAAGCCGCCTGGCTGGTGCATTGTCGTAATTTCCTTCGCGGATCTCATCTCCACGAGATTGCACAGGTACTTTAGCGTCCAGGGCACCGGGCAAGTGGGCTCCGCATTGAGCAGCTTGCATTGTGAGGATGGCGCGATGCCCCAAGGGGCAATTAAAAGCGGATACACGGGTCGAGGAGGTGATTTGAGCAAAGCCCGAGAGACAGAGAGAGAGGAGAGAAGAGGGGATAGAAGGGAGGGAGGGAGGGAGGGATGGGAGGTGAAATAAAGTAAAAGATCGCTCATTTACAAGACATTCTAACGGGTTTGAACACGAGGTTGGCGCATTCCGCGACCTGTCGATCAACCCCCGTACCTACAGAATGTAAGCAAGGCTTGCAGAGGGAGACTGTCGTGGCGAGGAGGACTGTGTACTATGTACATATGTACCTAGATACGGAGTACTCTATCAAGCAAGGAACAAGAAGCAGATATTCCTAGGTAGTCAGTCCGAGTCAATTCTGCAAGTTGAACTGCATCTACGGGGCTGAAATGAGAAGATTGTAGATTCAAGTTGGATTGGATTGGATTGAATTGAATTGAATTGAATTGCGGACCCAAGACGAATTGAATGATTTGCGGGCTCCGACGCCCCTCCGCGACCCTCAATTCCATCTAAAGGAAGCGCTAAATCCTTCGAGGAAAAACAGAGATCGGATCCCACATTTCGGAGAGACCAAAGTGCTAATGCGGCCAGTGTGGCCGAACTGTGGATATGTGAGGTAAAATTGTGAACCAGTCAGGGAGCGAGGGGAGGGACCATAGAGACCATAGAGCCCCTCATGTTTCCGATTGCATTTCGTGACCGCGATACGAGTTTGGCCCCGAGAATGCTTTCTATGTGATGTTTGTGCCGATGCAAAAGGATGAGATGGGCGGGAAAATGTCGATCACGCGGGAAGTGTTGTTGGTGTGGTGGATCGCCGTGGTTTGCAGCAGTGGAGACTGAAAAGAGGGGGCGCGGAGATAATTTAGATGCGATAAGGAGGTACAAGAAGAAGAAAAGAGAAAAGAGACAGGCGAACACGAAAACGATGGGCCCCGCTTCGTGCAGGTTAATTTTTATAATGTACTGAGTACGGAGTAGACAACTAGAAGCCTTGCCCTGGCTATACCGTCGATGATTAGTCTGGCATAGTCTGCATCAATAGATCTGGATCATCTTGTTTGACAGCAAGACATTTGCAGATGAAACGTGCGCAACCAAAGCGCAAATCTGAAAGACGGAAAAGCGGATCAGCTGAAATGAAACCGTGTGGAGAGCATCAAGCTCGGGTCCGTCCCGACATGATAAGACGAGGCGTCGGTGGCACGAACTGCTCGGTCAGCCCATGGTTGACAATCCCGTCAGTTCTGCATGAGCTAAATCTTGAGGAGGAATGGTTTCTATACGAAGTACTCCGTACTTGGGATGAAGGTGGAAATCAGCTGTCCCCATTCCTTTTATCGATATTCCCATTGGATCCGATCGAAGCAAACGGAAACCTCGAGTCCCGCCAGGTTGCAAATTGCCTCGACCTCGCACAGCACCGGGCAGATGCCTTCAGCCTCATCCTCAATCTCCTGAGGGGTGTCATGCAGGCATACGGGAGGATTATGGAGTGCATTGCATGGAGATTTGGGATAGGGATAGCTGTGTAGAGCAAAGCAGTTTCACCCGACGGGTACCTGGGTTGCAGTGGCTGCGTTCCATGGAAAGGCGTACCGAACACTGGAAAATGGGAAATGAAGTGGGCGGGGATCTGCCATCAACATGAGTTAACCCTAGCTCAGATACTGCCTAGGTGGGATATCAGAGGGGATCACTATAGTACGGAGTACACAGTACTCCATACCCCTTCACCTCCAATAATGGTGGTAATCAATATGAAAAGATTGATGATCCTTTGGACAATCACCGGCTTATGTGGCAGTGGCCAACATTCCGCACGTGCGGTGCACGGAGCCGCTTGATGTTTCGCCGAACGCTTGTGGATTCGCGGTTGGCCGTGGAGAAAAACGCCGTCGAGGATAGCGTTGCACTTAGCGTTCGTGCATGCCGCCAATCGCGGGACGGAGAGTTGTAAATTGAAGGCGACTTGGTGTCTGGGTAATCAATCAGTATTACATCAATTACTAGTAATCTGCCAGTGTGTGTAGACCTCGGGAGTACTAGTGGATATAAACACTGCCATATGTGTAGTATGTATACCTGGTAGTGAAGCCGTTGTGGTAGTAGAAGAATCGAACTGGAATGTATCGGTACTCTGTATTCTATCCTCGTCAATGATTCAAGTTATGTACTCTGTACAGGAACTTGAACCAGACATGAGTGGGACTTGACAGAAGGCTATGCTCGGTGATTGGCATTAGCATTGGCATTAACAGACGAGTAACTAGTAGGCCGTGGGCCCAAGGTTGGTCTTAAGGGGGGAATGTGAACACATCCGAGAACACCACACCAGATGATGAGAATAGGAGAATATGAGGATGGAATTGGAGTCAATTCTGTGAGAGTAAAGTCTGTTGTTACTTATCATATTTTTCTCTATTTTCTCTATTTTTCTGTATCCCCAAAACTCTAACGTGGAGTAATCCATCCCCTAAATTACTGTACCTACACTGTTCACCTGTGCACTAAACCTCCCAGATTTAACTCAGCAACCACCACTTCTCCTCTCTTCCACTCTTCTTCCTCCTCCTCTTCCCACTCCCCCCCCCATCTTCCCCCAGTCCAGACGAACGGCTTCTTTCTGGCCCTTCCAAGGATCTGGTTTTATTCTTCGGGGCCTTCTTTTTTTCTTTTCCCTTTTTCTTTCTTTCTTGTACATCTCCGACACTTTCTCTCCCCTTTACCCCAGGGTCTCCGGTCTCCCTCTCTCTCCCCCCCTTCTCCACCACCACCAAATCTGACCACCTTTCGTTTCTTCCACTCGCCTGGTTTCGAGTCTACTGCATTTCATTCGCATTCAGCGTCTCTCTTTCTCTTCCCCTTCTCCTTTTTTTTTTAATTGTTGTACAACTATAGTTTATGTTCACGCTACTTGAACAGGTATGATCCTCATCCTCCCCCCCCCCCCTGGCTGACGCGTTGCTCATATGCACACCCCCAACATTCACGAAAATTTTAAAAATCACTACCTCTATCTTGTCTCCTTCTTTTCCCATCGATCATCGTCATCGTCTTTTTTCATGCCATCGATTTAATGCCGACATGACCGACTGACATTTCATCCGTCTTAGCAACCCACTCCATTTCGTCCTGGTCATTTTCCATCACCCCCATATCCTCCACGAGTTGCCTTATCGAGAGTCTGATCCGACCGGGACACTCGCGATTCTTCTGGACACTCGTTGATAACCGAGAACAATATGGCTGCGTTGGTTCAAACGATCCCCCAACAGAGTGGCACGGTTCCTGTGCTCCAAACGCGTCCTTCCTCCTCCTCGGGCACCTTTGTCGGCCCTTCATCACAAACATCGGCCTCTCGTTACCAGAATATGTCGTGGGGCTCCTTTAATGCGAGCAACACTGGCGGATATCGAGCCGGTAATCCCGTGGTGGCCCCCCTACGCCTACACCCCAAATCTGGCCCAGTCGTCCAACACCCAACCTCGCCAGTCCTGGTCCCCCCATCTTCGTCCGGAACACCGCACCTTCTCGGCCCCCGTCATCACCCAGGGTCAAGGGAATCCCTCGTATGCTGGTGTTGCCTCGCGAAACGTCAATCCTGCAGCTGGTTCTGTATCAACTTCCTCCAACTCTTCCTTTCACTCCCACATCTCCAAGGACGACAGTGCCATTCCCTCTAGGCAACCGAGGGCCGACCAGCCTCTTCGTCCCCTCTCCACCGCCAATCTTCCTACTCCCTCCGTCATGACCATCTCCTCCCCCGCTGGTTCGGCCAAGCCATCCCCAAACCGCTACCGTCGGCCCAATCAAACGGCTCGTTCACAATCACCGGTCTCGGCATCGTCCCAGGTGTCTCCCCCAACAGATGACCAGAAAAATGCTACAACAGGTCTTCGTGCCCCGCGGTACAATCCACATCATCGGGGGTTAAGTGCGGATGATACATCCCATGCGGATAAGCAACAACCAGATATGGCCAAGCGGTACCGCCGTCGGAGTTTAGGAAACATGGACCCCAGTACATACCCTGACCTGAACCTCCAACTGCCCGTTTCTTCGTCCCCGCCAAACCAGTCCCAGTCTGGTGCTTACGACTTTATCTCATTCGACTCGAACCAGCGGCCCCGCTCATCCCATTCTCACCGCACCAGCTCAGGGAGTCAGCATTCGGCGAACTCCTCGACCTCATCGGTATGTTACACCCAAGCAGCAAAGCTCGCACTAAATAAACCACGAGAGAAAAAAAATAAAACGAGAGCAAAAGAATTTAAAATCTGACCGGTGTTTACTACAGGTTCGCGAATCATCGCCCGAAACTAGTTCTGTCAATAGCAAGAATGGCAAGCCCGAAGAAAAACGAGTGGCCAAGCCTTCTCCATTATCCCAGCCCGCATCCACAAACCCCGATTCCCCAATCACCGAACACGAGACCGACAATAAAGAAAACATTGCTTCCTCGCCGCCATCCGATTCTCCAGCAGCTAAACGCCTGACGGAACTCAAAAATGAATCTTCAAAGAGGCCTGGGAAGTCACGTTTGCGACGTGCATTCTCGTTCGGCAGTGCATCTGAGCTCCTGAAGCAATCCAATGCTACGAAGCGGGAAGCCATTGCGGCCGAGAAGGCTCGCCAGGAGGCTCTACGGGAGGAACTCGGAGAGGAACAAGCAGCGATCGCAGCACAGCAAGAAGCCAGTGGCCTAGGCGAAAGTATCTATAGTACTCAAGGAGGTCTCTTCTCTCGGTCAACCGATGCTTTGTCTGTGTCATCCACTGCTTCGTCGGCATCCATGATGCTTCGTAAGATGGGCAAGGGCGTCAAGAAATCGGGCCGTTCTTTGGTCGGTCTCTTTCGTCCCAAGTCTGTCGCGGATGTCGAGGGTGCCATCAACCCAATCACTCCCGAAATTTCCGTCATCAATGTCGAAGCAGAGCGAGAGAGCGTCACGGTTAACGCAGACGTGGCTGACCTTCCTCGGGGTGGTACTGTCTTCCCCAAAGTCGGCGATGGCAACAACCTGGATGTTCGGCGATCCGCCTCGATTCGGGAGCGAGATCAAAGAATTGTGTCGGATCCTATCCCCCCAACTCGCAAGAGTATCATCGGTGGAGACTCGGAGCGGGCGGCCATTCTTGGCGGTATGAAGAGAGGCATTTTGAAGAAAACGCATTCCGATCTCGGTGTCTCGTCGCCTGCACACGCATTGAATGGCAACGATTCACCGCACTCTAGCGCCCCTACTACCCCCGATGAGTCCGGACGACCCCGTCAGACTGATCACGTCAAGATTGCGGGCGAGGACTACTTCCTGACCGAAGGAGGGCGATACAACTCTACTGACGCCAAGAGCGCCCCCATCACTCCCCAGTCGGTCTCTGGGAGAAATATCGCTTTCAGCCCTCGTATCCAGTTTCATGACACCTGGCCCAGTGGCGAGTATGACCGCCGAGGTGAAATCGCGACTTGCAACCGCCTCACTCCTCTGCTTGCCCAACAGATCCGGGAGGAAATTAACAATTTCAAAATGGTAAGTCATCCGCAGCACGATACGACAGAATCGGCAGTACCAAGACCGTGGCTAACAATGATCAATAGGAGATGGAGGTTCACGAAAACTCCAAGATTTACACGCACTTCATTTGAAACTGGTCGGGGTTCTCTTGCGTGACCAGCTATCCGCTGGTCAAGTCTTGCATCCTTGTCCATAGATCTGCATAAACTTCGGCGATTTGGTGGTGTTTGGTGATTCTTTTTGTGTGGGTGATCGACCATATCGATGGATTATTGGTCTCCCTTTAATGCCGACCCTCGTTCCGGTGTCTCTTTTCCTTTTCTTCGCGTGGTCGGGAATTATGCGCCCATCAAAATGGTGTGGCTTGTCTGCAAATATTGGTTGTCTTCATGCCGCAGCCTTCCGTTTTCTGCCTCGACCCTCGCCATTTGGCGTTGATCTAATGAATGTTGTCCCCCTCCACCCTTTACCATCTATCGGGCACGGCGGTTCTTCTTCATCTCAATATTTTTTGCCTCTTTCTGGCTCTTGCCTGCTCTTCCATCCTCGCCGTCTTCTGTCCTTTTCGCATGCATTTGAAATCATTGTCATCGAATATTGGGAGCGTGGGCAATTGGGCAATTTTCTCTTTGTTTTTTCTAGCACATCATTTTCTCTCCATGGTCATGTCTCCGGGCCCTCCGTTTTTCTTTTCTTCTCATTATCCAGCTCGTCTGAATGCAACCCGAGCCTTTGCATCTTCGCCCATCTAGCATCTCCTCTATTTGTATCCCCTTCGGCTTCTTACCCACCCTCACCTTTCATCAATCCCCTGATTCAATGCAGGCATGGTGAGGCGGTTCAGCCTTGCATCAACAAAATATTTGATCCATTCCTTTTCTTTTTGTCCGGTGTTCTGTCTTCGTTGTTTCCGAGATCGTTCTGATGGAGTTATTTACTGCCAAATAAATCACTTGACCCTGCCATGTCCGATTCTGCTCTATAGTATTTCGTATACTCGGTATGCTTTAGCATCATTTTAGTAATTAACCTCGGCGTACTCCGCATAATGTGCCGTCATGAACTTACTATGTACTAGTGATATGCAGTACCTGCATCTCCTGCATAAAATTTCCTTGTCATAAATACCCCTGAACTTGTGCGTGTGCAATTTCAGGGCACAAGACGAGGCCCTAGCGCTCGAAACAGATGCTCTGTGCGTCAGGGGTAGCCCTGGAGTGGAGTACTAGTATTTTCTTTGCCTTTTCCCTTTTTGTGGAATACTAGTGTTCTCGGTCATTGTATGCCTAGGTAGGCTAGGCCTATTGTTTCTTAATTCCTTCAATTGTGGTTGTTGAGCCAATATCAAATATGGACATACAGAGAATCCTTTCGGTGGTGACAAGTCAGTAGGCTCACCGTGACGTAGATTGTAGTACATACTGTACTGATTGAGCGGTTTGATGAGGATTACGATGGATGATGATGGATGATGGATGATGGAATGTGTAGATTATAGAGACAAAGGAGGGAGACCTAAAGAGGTCGACCTTGAGATGCCTGAGGCATATACCTTAACACAAGCCTCACAAATGCGATGGCATGGTTGATGGCTTGCGAGAGGTAATCCATCTAGGAAGCACATTTCTTGGTTGAATTTGACAGCTACTAGTAGGAGCTTGGCAGTGGATGATAGTCGCATGTGCAGAACTGGTGATGTGGATAATTCAAAGGATAAAAATCAGTAGTTTCGCGTTTGGCATCTGGTAGGCCTTGCTGGTGGACAGAGATCAGCATAATCCATAACATGTTTCTGCTATCAGTTACTTACCAATGATTATTTCTCCTTTGAACCTACTAAGACCACAGAATTTTGAGTTTTTTCAGACCCTTCGTAGGCTTGGGCTCCGGCTTGGGGTATTCCTGGCAGAGATAGAACTGCACAAATCCAGATATCGGAATAGTCTCCAAAGGACGAATGGTTGTCTTCTTCCAAAGTTTGTAGCCAAAATATAGCACCAAAATTATCGGAATGTTGATATAGGACGATATGAAAGTCTCAGTGCTCCAGTGGCCGGGTATAAATGCACTGTATCCACCAGTAAGTAGTAAAAGGACGAAAAATGTAAGTGAGGCCCAGGTGGAGTAGGGCTGGAAAGGGGCCGCCCAAGGGAGCTCCTCATATCGGTTGATTCCTTGTTTCTTGCATCCATAGTAAAACCGGAGGTATACAATGCAGATGATACCCCAGTCCACCAGTGTAGAGACAGCTACAACATCCTGTAGCCACCTAAAAACTCCACTGGAGGACTGCTCAAGCGACATGTATCCCAAACTCATAAAAATTCCAAAAAGAATAACAGACACATAAGGAACACCAAACCGGTTTAACCGCTGGAAAGCTTTAGGTCCATGTCCAAGAACCGATAAGCCAAAAAGAATTCGAGAGCCAAAAAGTATGTCCGAATTGCCAGCAGACCAAGCCGAAGAAATTATGACAGCGTTGATAATTGATGGCACGGCTGTGATACCAGCACGCTCAGCAGCAATAACAAACGGTGATTGAGAAGCTGTGGGATGAGTGGAGACCCCTTGAAGAAGATTGGGATCATTCGACGGAATGACCAAGCCAATTGTGAAGATTGACAGGACATAAAAAGCAAAGATTCTAATAAAAATGCGTTTAGTAGCCTTTGGAATTGATCGTCTTGGTGCTCTGAGCTCAGAAGCAGCAGCAGTGACATTCTGAATTCCCGAATAAGCATAGACTGCGTTGTAAAAGGATGACCAACAGCCCAGAAATTGACCCAGAGAGCCACCTATACCCAGATATTGAACAAATGGCCCTGGGTTTCTCCAGTATCTGAATCCAATAGATTCACCATTCGGCCCTCCACCACAGGAAATCACAATAGCCATGATGTTTATCCCAATTATCAGTGCTATCTTCAGCATGGAGAAGAAGAATTCAATTTCTCCATAGACTCTGATAAACACCAATGGGGTGATAAGCATTAGCAGTCCGAATGTAGTAATCCATATGGCGCTGTTGACTGTGATCCAGAATTCAACCAACACCGCCGCGGCAACAATTTCTGCAGGAACGGATACCAAATATGAGTATATTTGATTCCACCCATCAGCAAAAGACAGTGCAGGATCGAAGAAATATTCCGCATAGCGAACAACACCTCCACTTAGCGGCACTAGAGAACCCATCTCTCCCACAGCACTGACGACACTGGAAGCAGCGAGTCCGGTCACAGCATAACCAAGCAAGGCACCCAAAGGACCTGAGGTCGCAATTGCTTGACCCGAACTGAGGAACAAACCAGTTCCAATTGTTCCAGCTAATGCGATCATTTGGATATGGCGCTGGTGTAGACCTTGGTGGAACTGATGTACTTCTCTGAAGGCATTTCCAATGCTTTCATTGCCGTCGAAAGAGATACCATGACCAGCTTCTTCGCAAGCGTGGCTAGGGTTTGTTTGCCTGGGCATGATTGTGAAAAGTGCCACAAGCGGAAATGGGTATAGGCATGCAAATCATTGATCGAGACTGTCAAGAATGAGAAGCAAAAAATGAGCTTGGAGCTCCTAATAGAAAAGTTCCTAACGGAAAGCTTTAACTGAAGGCTGTGAATTGTAAAGCTGGAATAATTGTCTAGCTGTTATGAAAAAAAGTTCGAGGTTGTTTGGTCGATAGGCCAGAGTCAGCAGCCAATCAGCCATATTCTACATACTGGTGCGAGGTCGTGATGTCATCAAGTCAGGTCAAACCGTGGGATGGACGCGTAAACACGTAGCGTGGCGGTATAGATTGAATTCTCCGTGCTTCCGAACCGAATCACCCTTATTAAATTCTTGAACTGCTGAAAGAAATACTAGGGTATGATGAATGGGGCTGATAACTCGCAAGATAAAGCGCGGTTGACATAGTCTTCCTGTGCTAGGTCCCAAATTGTCTGACCTTTGTAATTCACCAAAGTGAGATCAGCGCCACCTTTGCGTAGCTCGATGATAGTATCATCACAAGTGAAGCCAATCTCATGATCTACTGCTTCATGCAAAGGGGTATTGCCACGGCTATTTCTAACAGTGAAATCAGCCCGGTTATCCAGTCTGAGTAAGTAGACCCCATTGGGAAAACCACTTCGGGCTGCCATGTGGAGAGGGGTATCGCCATTAATGTCTTTGTGATTGGGATTAGGACACGCCTCAAGTAGTCTCTCAAATACTTCTGAGCCCTCTTCCGGTCCGATAGCGCACGCCATATGAAGAGGGATTTGACCGAACGAGTCCTTCGACATAGGATCGGCCCCTTGCTCAAGCAAGAATTTGACTGCACCTACACACATCTGAAATGCTGCTTGATGTAGTATACTACGACCCTGATTATCCCGAGAATCTAATTTGGATCCATGTTGAAGGAACAATCTTATCACGCGCTCGCACTCGTGAGGTTCGCCACGGTCCTGGCAACACGTACACCAGGAACACGTACACCCTGAAAACTCCCATCTATGTCGATGGTAAAGAGTACATCTTTCGTCTGACGTATCAACGATACCCGATGGAAGAAGCGCATTCCGTCCAGAATTAGAGTGGCCATACTCCAATGCACGGAATATTGGATCAATGCTGCCTGAGCCCGCACTGTCGATACTGGCGCCCGCTTTGAAAAGGATATCCACGATTTCATGGCCGCCTAGCACCACGGCCCATTCAAGTGCAGTCTTACCATGACAATCCTTAGCATCCAGAGAAGCGCCATATTCGGTAAGCAGCTTCACCGAGCTGTACATCTTCGATAACACAGCCAGTTGAAGCGGCAACTCTCCGGTAGGATCCATCCGGTTTGGATTGGCTCCATATTTCAGCAGTTGGTCAAGCGTACCATAACCGCCATAATAAGCAGCAATACATAGTGGAGTGCTGCAGTTTCTTTCGCCGTTTTCTGCTCCATTGGGGGCGGATACTCTTCTCCTTTGACTTGTGATTTGTTCGAAGTCTTCGAGTGGTAGAGGAACTTGTGAATTACCCTCACGATCCAACCCATTGGAGTCCACTCCGTGTTCCAAGAGAGTCTTGACCTCATGTTTCATACCCGCATATGAGGCAAGCCATAGAGGCATGAGACCATACTCATCCTTCAAGTAAGGGTCGGCGCCATATTTCAATAACACTTGACTCAGTGTTTTCTTATGGAGTGGACCCCAATTTCCATCCGGCCCGTGTCTGCTGACAGGGTAGTCAAAGCAGCCCAGATCATGGATGGGTGTGTTCCCGTAGCCGTCAACGGCATTCGGATCGAGACCACACTGCAACAGTGCTTCCACGGCATTCAGCTTCCGATTGTTGGTTGCGATATGTAAAGCAGTAGATTTATTGGGGCCAAGTTGAAAGAAATCGATGCCATGGCGAGAAAGAAACTTGATTATCGGTCCACTGTCGCTCTCAATTGCCAGATAAAATGGATTATTCCCATCCTCAAACGGAGCGCCCAGGTCCGCTCCATTGCCGAGCAAAATCTCCATCACCTCAAGATGACTCCCTTTGATCGCTGCACCGAGCGCATTTTGGAAATGAAAATCTCTATCACCGTGAAATTTCTCTCCGTAATCAATAAAGAGCTTAACGACTTCGAGGTGTCCCTTGGATGCGCCAGTCCTGAGAAGACTCTCGGCGAAATAAGCGGTAGAAATGTGCCCTGCATCGATGAAATGCCTCAATGTTGCCACTCGTCCATGCTCGACGGCCCAAATTGGTTCAAAATAAGGGTCAGCTAGATGATAGAGGTGCCGGTTCAAGGCACGATAGCAACGGCGATCTGTTCGGGCGAGGGCATTGAAATCTGCCAGCGAGTCGAGATGATCCGCGATATCCACAAGGATCTCATTTGGCAAGTCGAGAGGCCACATTTTGAGCATCAAGCCAGGCTCTTACTGGTAGGAGATGAAGTCGGCGGCAAAGGCGAAATCAACCCGATGTATCATCGCTGCGCAGAGACTGCCCAGGTGCATGAATTTGGGGGCCGAAATGATGCCAAGGTAATTAGTGTCAGTACTAGTAAGATAGGATTTAGAGTCTGGGAACTATATTTCTTTAAAAGGAGAGATAATATGATGAACTAACTTGAAGTTCCAAGTTGTTGTAGCTACTGCTTACCTAGGTAGGTAATAGATTATCTGATACTAGGTTATGTGCCTAGGTTACTACTTATATAGAATAGTTGTGACGAGAGCTCTCTCTCTCCTTTTTTTTCTCTAGCTCCACGGGTTTAATATTTTTTACTAATAAAATACGTTAATTCGATCGTCCTGAGTTCTCATAGGAACTTGAAGTAATCGATGAACTCGGGTACGTATATTTAATTGAACTTCAGCAGCTAGCGATAATGGCGCGGTACTTGATCCTTTGTCACATACATATGGAATGCACTCAAGGTGTAACGAACTGAGGTTGTTACTGGTGCTGCTGCTGCCTGCGTGGACACCTTAGTCATCTGCTCAGGCGTCCACGCCATGTGTGTATCTAGTTCCTTCCTTTCGTCGCTTCTCTCTCTTCTTCCTTCTCCTCAATCCAATCAATCTCGTTCTCTGCTACTGCAACCTCGCATAAGCGCGTAACCGTAATTGAGCATCCTTATACAAGGGCGGCTATGAAACTGGGCCATTGAAGCGGTTGGGCAGCTGCAGGGCGGAGTGGACTGTCCCTCGCACCAACGAATTCTTTCCACTCAAACATCAAGCACATTCGCTTGCTGTATCATGGACCAATAATGTCGACAAAAACGGGGCTCGGCACGCCTCCGTTGCACAAAATGTCAAGCAATCAAGCCCCGAAGACAAAGGTCTTGGCTGTCACGCTTACCATTAATGTGCACCCCCACGCCATGGTCATGCTAAACCTGGCTTAGTGGCACTTCCCATTCTCGATCCGAGAAATCAGGGTCTTCTCCATGAATCACGACCCCCACGAGACAGAGAAGATCTTTTCCCTAGTGGGTGCAACCGAGAAAACTCGGCCATGACAAACTTACCATTGAAGCCGAGAGCGCGGTGTGCAACTGGTCAGCTCCCCGCAAGAACTCCCCAACACTCAGGGATTTGGGCCCCGTATTCCACTTTCCCCGGGCTTCCCCCGCGCCGGGGGCCCCGTTCCTGGGCCGGTACGTCTTTGTTATTGGCCGAGGATAGACCCGGCCGGGGTTCAATTAGCCAACTAACCCCAGTTGACCGACCTGACCGAGTTTTCCTTTCTTTCCCAGTGGGGTATATGTGTCGGAGAGTCTGCGTATGGAGGTGATAGTCGGACTAACACCGATGTCTTCGGTTGAATAGCTCGCAAAGCACCGAACTCGCATTTCTTGGGGTCTGGGCTGATTGACGCCACTGTTTTACCCATCTCCCACCCTAGACTAACCGACCGAATGTATCCCGGCCTGAAAAAGTTTCTTTCTCCCGATATGTACTACATAGCTCCCCAGGCTTAGTGTTTTGACTTCATTTTCCGAGGAGTTTTGTCTTTTCTCCGCCTTCTTACCCCTTGCTTGACTCGGTATTCTCTTATCTCTAAGAGGAGATAGTCAAGACAATCTATTCGCTCTTCTCTTCAATCCATCCAATCCTCTTACTTCCCACCATTTTGCCTAGTTAATCGAGCGAGAAGATGTCCCCTCGACCTTCAGGCGATCTTGAGATCGCAGACGCTGACAAGTCCTTCGCGGAAAATGTCGAAACCGTCGCCAATGCCAACAAGCCTAATCCCCGGAAAGAGGCACCAGCTTATGTCGCTGGTCTATCACCAGAGGACCGTGAAAAGGCCGAGCGGGCTCTCGTTCGCAAGATTGATCTCCGTCTACTCCCCATGCTGATTATCATGTACATTTTGAACTATCTCGACCGGAATAACATTGTAAGTGGAAGACGGGCGACGTTATTACTCTGATAACGACTGACTTTTTAAGGCTGCTGCCCGTTTGGCAGGACTCGAGTCAGATCTCGGACTCCATGGAAATCAATACGCGGTAAGAAGGATTGTAACCTTTTTTCGGATAATACCTATACTGACCTGGCCAAGACTTGCGTTAGTATTCTGTTTGTCGGATACCTTTTGATGCAGGGTCAGTATTCTCTAGTCAAGAATCACTCAATCTCTCAACTAATTTGAAATAGTCCCTTCCAACTTGCTGCTGAATAAGATCGGAAAGCCCGCCATCTACCTCCCTATGGCTATGATAGCATGGGGTATTATCTCGACGCTCACTGCTGCTGTTCAAAGCTACGCTGGCCTAGTAGTTGTCCGATTCTTCCTCGGTTTCGTTGAGGCTGCTTACTTCGTATGTCTAATCTCGATCATGGAAATATAATGACTAATTTTTTTTAGCCTGGTTGTCTCTACTTCCTCAGCGCCTGGTACACCCGAAAAGAGCTAGGTTTCCGCACCGCTGCTCTGTACTCTGGCTCTCTGCTATCGGGAGCCTTCTCAGGGTTAATCGCTGCTGGTATCACTAGCAACATGGATAATGTCAAGGGACTCCGTGCATGGTAAGAAGCTTTGATTTATCACATCTGTCGATGCCATCTGACGATTCTAGGCGTTGGTTGTTCATTATCGAGGGTGCTATCACTATTGTCGTCGCCTTTATTGCGATCTTCATCCTGCCCAACTTCCCTCGTACCACCCCTTGGCTCACAGAGGAAGAGAAGGATCTGGCCGCATGGCGTCTTGAAGAAGATATCGGCGAGGATGACTGGGTGAACAGCGAGGACCAGTCTTTCCTGTACGGTGCCAAGCTTGCATTTACCGATTCAAAGACTTGGGTTCTGGTACGTATATCCAAAATGGTAACTCAATTCGGAAATACTAATGGTGAATTCTATCTAGATGCTGATGATCCTCTGCATTGTCTCCTCTGCCTCCGTTACTAACTTCTTCCCGACTGTCGTTCAAACCTTGAACTTTGGAACTATCGAAACCCTTCTTTTGACCGCACCTCCCTACTGTCTCGCTGTCATTACCGCCTTCATTAACGCCTGGCACTCGGATCGTACTGGAGAGCGATACTTCCATGTTACACTGCCCTTATACGTTTCTGTCGCCGCGTTTATCATCGCCGCCGCAACCACGGATACTGCGCCTCGATACGTGTCGATGATGCTCATGGTGCCATCTTTCTATTCTGGATATGTCGTCGCCTTGGGCTGGATTTCGAACACTCTTCCTCGTCCTGCGTCTAAGCGTGCTGCTGCACTCGCGGCAATCAACTGCGTCAGCAATGCTAGCAGTATTTATGCTAGTTACATGTACCCCGACAGCGACAAGCCGCGATTTAGTAAGTGTCTATTCCATCGAGCATGCCGTTATTTCGAGAGTCTAACAATTATCCCTAGTCACCGCTATGTCAGTCAACTGTGCGACTGCGTTTGTTGCTATCATTTCGGCGACCGTTCTGCGCTTCATGCTGGTTCGTCTTAACAAGAAGTTGGACCGTGGAGAGCAGGTCGAAGGCGCTGTTCCAGGAACTGCGAGCGCTCGTGGTTTCCGTTTCCTCATCTAAGCATTTGAAGATGCCCCTATACAGATTAAGTTTTCGAAGCATTGCTCCGCCCATATCACTTACGCGCTAGAGTTAGAGCTAGAGCTAGAGCTAGAGCTAGAGCTAAATTGTTTAGACTAGAACCGGAATGTTTTCATAATGACTTTGAGAATCTTGTTCTTGAATTTCTAAATTCAAAGTAACGTAGAGTAGTTCCGCTATTTGACAACGTAGTGATAAAAGTAAGAGGAAATAATATACTATTGTGACCTAATCAGACAATCAGGCATACTGGTTCCTCGACTTTGTCCACTCGGGTCTCAAATCCTTGCTGCCAACATTCCTTGTATCCAACGAGCTATCGGCAACATAGTTTACCTTCCAATCAAGACCGACACTGGCACCCTCCTCGGTCTGGGCCCAGACAGCAACGGAAATCGTATTTGTGCCCTTGTAATTTAGGATTCCTGCTGGAACAGGGTACTCAATCTGGTTCCCGATGTAGGGGTAGTATCGGCCGTACTGATATCCGTTCACGAATAGCTGCACGCGATAGGCCTTGCTGGAGGTAGATGGGGTGGATAAAACGAAGGAGATGGAAATATCCTTGTTAGAGGGGAGGTCGAGTGGGACGGTCGTTCGGAAGAATTCGACTGTGGCACCTTCGACGCTTAAAATGGAGGTGGAGCTGCTCTTTTTAGCAGAAACCTTTTTCCAGTTTGAGTCGTCGAATCCAGGTAGATGCCATCCGACTCGCTCGGCGTATAATCCATCTTCGTTCCAGCTACCGCGGACAGGGTCGATATTCGACTCTCCACCTGCTGTACCGGCTATCCGCCAGTGCGAGAAGCCGGAGGAAGAGCCGATGAGACGAGATTCGAGAATACCACGAGGGTTCAAGGTACCGGTTGTCTGATCGTGGCCGGTGTCGTCTTGAACAATGAGAAGGACGTTGGGCTTGTCGGTGCTGAGGGTTGCTTTCGGGAAGGAAAGGGTGAGATTTGCTTGTTCGAGGCTGGCATCGCCGAGGAAGGAGTCTAGGAATTTGCCGTTCAACCATGCAGACCAACCGCTGTGAGGTTAAATTGTTAGTGATTCCTATTCTGGTTTTAATAGGAGAAAGGGTCTTACAAAGCATTTCCTCCTTGGACATTGATGAAGGCGCCAGTTGCAGTGCCGTTGAAGTATCCACGCCACAGACGGATACCGTTGTGGAACCCTGAGTAATCGTTATAAGTTCCTGGTCATATAATAGCGAAAATAAATCTCTTACCATATTCATCAGCGTATAGCACAGGGAGTGTCGTGGGAGTTCTGGGATTCAAAGTTGTCATATGATCCGCAGCTATAGAGGAGCCATCAGCAAAAGGAATTTGAAACAGGAGAGGGACATAAACATACCAACCCAAGCCGCTCCAGAGTCATCATACTGGGTGGATCTCTCTGGGAGACTGTCCTTTGATTTCCATGTTCCAAATTTCGGTAAGGTGACCGAGTTAGGTGCAGAAAGCTGACCCTTGAGACTTCCATACTCAGTACGTTGGGTTTTCACTGCCTTTCCGTTCCAGGTGATGGAAGTAACAGCCTTTGGCGCGAAGACTTCCAGTGTGGTAGCGTTGACAACATCACCGGTCACAGCAAGCTTCTTTCCAGAAATACTGGCACCGCGGACAAGGTAGGGACCTTCAATAAGGACTGTGCCAACTGTTAGAAATTTCAAAATTAAAAGAAAGGAGGGGGTGGACCATTTACCACTCTCTGTGTCTGGGACCAAAGGATCATTCGTCAGAGCTGGTGCCCAGAATTTATATGCTCCTGTTCGGTCAAGCAAAACAACACGGACACCGTTACCAAGCTCCACGATGGTCATTCCAGATGACTGCGTAAAGGCAACTGTGAGACCGCCGTTCTCTTTCCAAAACTTGACTCCCGAGCATCCATCACACTGCTTGACCGTACCCTTCTTCGCGCCCTTGATAGAGAATTCTCCAGACTCGCCGGTAGGGACCCAGAGAGCCAGGGTCGGGGTCTTATCGAGGATGGAGTAGGTCAAGACTTCTGCAGTCGAGTAAATAAGCTTGTTAGAACCAAAGTTGAAATCGGTGACAATGATCTTAGACTGATGGCCATTAAGCCTGAGCTTTCCACCATGTCTCGGGATAGTCAGAGCTCCGACAGAAGTGTTGACCTTTAGGTGAAATGCTTCATTTGTAGAGACCGAGGTGTTGAGATGGAATGTCGCATAGAAACCAGCATTTGTCTCCGGGTTCCGCAATTCATAAGCTCGAATAGCAGCATTGTCCGTATACTGAGTACCATTTCCAATCAGATCAGTCACAGTAAGATCCTTTGCGGAGCGGGTGAAAAGTGCTAGGACCTTTGTTTCGTAATATTTCGATCCGATCGATCGATCTTCCGAGATAGGCGCCGAGTAATCGTAACTAGTCGCCGTCACCGGCGCAGCGATAGATCCCCAGTTCGTTCCTCCGAACAACATGTACAAGCTCATTGCTGTGACTCGCTGTCCGATATTCCAGCGGTAGAACAAGTTGGCGAAGTCTGCGTCCGAGTTCTCAGCGCAGCCACCTTCTGGTCCGCCCCAAGGGTTGTAAGAACCGCCCTGGAACTCAGGCATGAAGCCTGGCATGGAGGGTTGTGATTCCTGGAAGTAATCGTAGTAGTCCATTACCGAGAACGCGATGTATTCGCCGTTCGTGGCGGTACATTGGCTAAGGTCGCAGGTCCAGCACTAGTATAACATGGATTAGTTAGTCTCAATTGTACTTGTATGAAATGAGATCAGTGTATGAGGTTAGAGTCCTTACCGACGGATAAGAATCAACACCAGCAACGTCGACATTGCCGCCTTCATTGGACCAATCGCTTCCCCAAGAATGCGAATTCATGTTCGGATCATTGGATGTGAGTGGAATGACAATTCCATTGGCCCGCGCATTAGCCTCCAGAAGCTCCATGTAGTGAATGGCAGTTTCGTTGGCAATCTTGTCCGTCGCACTGCCCTCCCATTGGGATCCATACTCATTTTCAATCTGATAGACGATGGAGTTCTCGCCATCAGTTACCTGGTATTTGCTGGTAATCTCGGACATCTTGGTGAAGTACGGGGTCCACGCCTTTGTGTATCGTGTGTCATTGTTGCGCAGAGTCCCGTATTCGCCGGTCGTGAGCCAAAGTGGGAAACCACCGGCATTGGCTTCGGCGTTGACATATGGACCCGGACGGACAATGATGTATAACCCCAGCTCTTTGGCAAGCTCGAAAAGAGGGACGAAGTTGTGAGCGCCGGTTTCGAAGTCAAGTGTGTGGTTGTTCGGCGCATGGTAGGCCCAGCTGGAATAAAATGCAAAAGCCGTGAAGCCTGCTGCTTTGATTTTCTCAAGAATGTCGCGCCACAGGTCTGGGACTGGGATGCGCCAGTAATGAAATTCTCCCGAGAAGACGAAGATGCGTTGGCTATTGACTTGGAAGCTGTAGTGGTCCCATTGGACTACTTTGTTCAGCCCATCATCCTTGAGCGGCCATTGGGTCGAGACCGATGATTCGCCGACAGCAGAAAGGCAGAGAAACAAAGTGATCCATAAACTATATAGCATGCGCGTAACACTCGCCATGTTGAAGTAACCCGGGCAGCGGCCGAGTACTAAAACTAGAATTGTCCAAGTCAGGCGACCTGAAGGGAATGCGGTCAATCCTGCATGCGAACCACTTTATACTAGTAACCCTGGCCATGGCTGCATTTCTCTAATTCCCGGTGGGGTGATGCTAGTCACCATGGTAAAGTAATTCCTGCAGAATTAATTAGCAAAAGCCTTAAGCGAAGCACCAATGTAATTAGTTAGTACTTTAGCTCTCCCCGCATCGTCGACCTACGGCGTTATTTTTTCCTCCACTCAGAAGCCCCCGCGGAAATGAGTGGGACCTGCTAGTTTGGAGATGGAGCATTCGCCGTTTGATCGGGAGAATTTGAAGAACCTTTGGAACTTGAGAGTCGGAAGAAGCGAGAGAGGAAGGATAGGTAATAATGGATAATGATGATTCGCTTTTTGAATTCCAATGATAATATACATCCAGTCGTATCGCTGATCTAAACGCAAAATAAAAATATATAAGAAAAAACCGTGTATCAACTATATGCAAGGAGTAAATCTCCGAGCAGAAACCCCGAGGAATTCCACTCGGGCCTCCAGATCGACCTCGGCCCAGTCGGGAAGAGGCTCTTCCTTGCCAGAATGGCTCTCTTTCCGGTGGTCGGCGTTCAGTCAACTGAACTGCATGGACCATGATTGGGCCAATGCCCGGGGCCGCGAAAGTAGTGGTTGTTTGCTCTAGGCAGATCGATATGCGGCAACAAAACTCTTATCGCTTAGGAACGAATGAGAATATAGCTCCAAACCCCTAGACTCCGACTTTTCTATGCGAGAAATTGGTTCTCACTGGGGCGGATACGGCCCCGGTGAAATAGTATAAGAAAGACCGGGCAAATCAAGCGCCACGATCCAAAACACCGAACGGGTTCTGCCCCTTTGTTTCGGAGATATTGGAGCTGGTCTGTTCCGTCTTAGCCTGCTTCTTGGCACCCTTCTTCGCGGGTACGGTGGAGAAGCCCTCATCAGATGTGGACTGGCTGGTTGTAGCGGGGGCAGCAGCCTTGACCTTGTTGGCGGCGGAGGCGCGAGTGCGGATGGGTGAGTCCTGGGCGACAGAGATCACCTCGGTGATCTTCTGGACCTGGGCCCTGACAACTTCGTCATCGGTGGTGACCTCGCTGTTCTCACCCTCAATGGCAGCGCGCTTGATCTCACGGCTGAGACTCTTGAGAGCGTCCATACCAGCCTTCTCGGCAGCCTCCATGTGGGTAGGTTGCTTGGAGGGCTTGCGGTTGAGGTAGGAGCGCACAAAGAAGCGGGCAAAGAGGTAGGTCAATGGCAGCAGGTAGGAAACGTTGAGCCAAATAGCAAATGCCTGGCCGGTAGTGTCCATACAGGTAACCATCTGCTGGGTGTATCCGGTCTGAGGAGCAGGAACGGCGCCACCGACATTCTCGGCAATACCCTCAGCACCAGCAGCGCGGAAAGCCAGCTTCTTCAGGTAAGGAAGGACACCAGCCTCGACGGCAGTAGCAGCGGCAGCGGGAGCAGCCTCAGACAAGTGGCTCAGAGCAGCACTGCCAGCCGGGTAGGGGATAGTGTAGTGAACGAAGAGGTAGGCAGCTGCCATGTTGGTGCCGAGCACAAACTGGGTGATCTGCATGGTGGTCAAGCTACGCTTGATGACACCTGGAACGCGGATGCGCAGGGCAGTGAAGGTATAGTAGGTGTACATCATGGCGTGAATAGCCGAGTTGACGAGGGCGAAGATCCAGATAGGCGCGGCCATGTAGCGGATACCGGCCCACATGCACATCATGGCGCCAGCGTGGTGATAGGTTTGCAGGGTGGAGCTCTTCTTGCCCTTGGCCAGAATGATAGCTGTATCGATAACCTCGTAGAACTTGGACAGGTAAAAGATCCAGCCAAGGTAGGCCAGACCTCCATTCCAGAGACGACCAACATCCGAGGGATCGGGTTGACCGCCGGTCAACTGATAGGCCGGGTTGGGAATAGACCATTGGTCGGTGATACGGCTATAGGTGGCGGCATTACCGTAGCCACGAGGACCATTGATCTTGCAGAGGGAATCGACGACGCCTGCGAGGCCATTGGGTTGGTCGCGATCCGCCCAGGAGTGACCGAAGGCTTGGAACATGCCGGCGAAAGTCCAGGCGGAGTAGACGGCTAGGAAGACATTGTGAAGGATGACGAAGAGCTTGAACAAGGGAGTATTGCTGAAGCCCCAAGCTTTATAGCCGCGACTCTTGTTGATGCGATTCATCACGACCACGGTGATGGCATAGACGGAAGCGATAGTGATGGGGACGCGCACGTCGAGAAGCTGGGTATAGAGATCATTGGGAATGTTGAAGGGTTGCTTCCAAGTGAACTCGGAGACATGAGGGGCGGGGATTGTCTCTGGCAGTTCGGTAGGAGGGAACTTGAGGAGGGAGGCCGGTGGGAGAGCGATGCGAACGGTGGCCTGGCCGAACTGAGTGGGCAAGTTGAGGTCGTACATGATGTGCGCCAGACCCGGAGTAGGAACGATGGCGGCGATGGGATAGTAGCAATAGGATGATATTAGGAATTTGAATTAAAGAATAGAGGTAGGGACTTGAATATAGAGGACAAAGTAGAGTGATAGTAAAAAAAAAAAGAGTGCTGGGGAGGGATCCACTCGCGATAAAAAGGTGAGGTTATCAAAAGTGGAGCCTGCGTTTGTTGGGATTTCCAAGTTGGAGCCGAGGTACATTTAGTATAGGCATTAGTATATTATAGTAGTATAGGGTATTGTACATATTGTATACAGTATTTTACACAGTACAGTATGGAGTAGGGTAGTAAATTATACTCTAGTATGCTCTAAACTATACTATACTATACTATACTATGCTGTATTGATTGTATACTGTTTGTGTCTCGTGACTCCGTTGTTTGTATGCTGACTCATCTGGGGTTGCACTGTAATTGCAAGCACTGCATGAACACACGAGCAAGGCGCGCATTGAAATCCTCGATTTTAGATGATCGACTCTTGTTGGGACCAATCACATTGATCTTCCACCATCACATCAGTCCCAACAGCTTCCAAGCATTCGTCATGGCCGATCGCATCACTTTTCTCACATGCGGCCGAGGCCATGCCGATAGCCAAGGTGTATGTCTTACATAGGGCAGACCAATTAGGAGAGCTAGTATTGTATTGAAGGATATCATCTACTACTATCTACTAGTCCAACTGTATTCTACTACTAGTAGTACTGTACAAACTCCACCCAATTCCTCAATCAACTCCAATTCCATTCACAACCTTGGAAGACCCTTGAAACTATATAGTCCACATTTCATGCATCTAAAAATGTGGAGATAATGTCCACTCCCCACTCAACTCCCGCTCAGCGGGGCTTCGTGTTGAGTGGTACTGGTGGCGGTGTCGATGCCGCTGACGAGACTGGCGAATCGCTGGCCGGTGCTCGCATATCCGCTCTCTTCGGCGGCGGGGGAGGGGGCGCCTTCTTGCGGGCCTGAGCTTCAACCGTAGCGCCGGTTCCTGCCGAGCCCGAGTAATTAGCATCTGGGGCTGGGGCAACAGGGGAGCTGGTCGCGGGAGAACTGGGACCGGGTGGCCGCGGCATCCGCTTGTTCGCCGCCGCGTTGAACTTGTGGTCATCGACCATCGTGTTGAAGCGAGAGGTCACTCCACCGAGTTTTTGCTTGCCCAAGTCGATCTTGTCTGCATGTCGTGCCCGGAATCCCTGGGCGGCTGGTAAAGCCTCCTCCGCATCCCGAGGAGGGAGATCAGAAGCAGCATGGGATGGAGAGGATGGTGCAGCAGACGGAGACCGGTAGTCGTCAACAAATTTTCTCGCCCCTGAAGCTGCCCCGCTGAGTTTCTGTTTGCCCATGTCAATCTTATCTTGATGCTTGTCCTTAAATGCTTGAGCTGATTGAAGTGTTCCCTGAGCGGGTGGTGAATCCTCCGCGTTACGAGGAGGAAGAACAGAGGCATAGGATGGAGAAGCTGATGTAGCTGATGGAGATCGGTGGTCGTCAACAAATTTTCTCGCCCCTGAAGCTGCCCCGCTGAGTTTCTGTTTGCCCATGTCGATCTTGTCTTGATGCTTGTCTTTAAATGCCTGAGCCGATTGTAGTGTGGAAGGTCGGGCCGGGGGAGGAGGGGGCGCAGCTCGCGAGGTTGGTCCGGTTTGCATGTTTGAGAAGCGGGATTGTAATTCATTGACAGGTGCATCGCCTGTCGTGGTGTGTCCCTGCAATTGACCGTTCTCCTCGCCAATCCCTAAAGCAGGGACTGACACGCCAGCGCTGGCGAGGCGTGATGTAGCTTCCTGGTTGATATATCCGTCGGATGGTGGAGGCGCCACTGGGCTGTAGGCAGGTGGCGGAGTATCGCCCTGCGATTGGGATGGAAGGTTCCGCGGCGGAACTCGAGGAGGGAGGGAAGGCTTGGGCTTCGATGTCGCAGCAGTGTTGGTGGATGAACCGGGGCTCGGCGAGTCAAGTCGTCGAACCGGTGGAGGGGGCAGATTTTCTGTTGACAGCCCCGTGGTGTTCACCCGATATGGGACCGGAGGAGGTTTGGGTTTCGCCGCTGCTTCCTCTTCCGCCGCGATAGCCTGTTCTTGGTGTGCATTCTGTTCGTTCACTTGGGTCTGAGTGAGCGGGGCCCCAATGCCACTCCGATCTGGAGTCGTCTGGTTGGGCAGAGCGGCAGCTCCGTGGTAGTTGATGTGCTTGGGAGGAGGAGCAAACGAGGCAGGGTCCTTTAATGAGGATAATGGACGGGAGACATGATCGGACCTGTCGGATTCATTGGTGTCCTTTCCTTTCCCCATCCATCCGGCCTGTCAAATCAAGTCGATGCAGGTTAGCGTCAGAGGCCAAGGCTGGTCTCGGCCCCCAAAATTGGGGATGGGAGAGGAACCCACCACTTGGTTGATGCCCTTGGATGCCCTTGAATCATTACGCCAGCTCTCCTTTTTGCCTCCTTTACCGTCGGAGTTCCAGCCCCCTTTGATAACATTGCTGAGGCCACTCATGACGACTTGTGTGACAATAGAATGTGTGTTCAGGGGGAGAAGTGCCAGTCTGAGGCAGTGACGACACAGCCCTCCCCCGCTTTCTCCACATCACGTGGTCCTGGTCTCCCAAAGAGGAAGAATGTTTATGCCTGAAGTTTTAGGCATGAAAATACTGTTGGTCAGCATCAATTGCTTTTAGTGGAGCTCACAAATGACTACAGCCTTAGAAATGTACAGTGTCAACTCATATCATCCGTCTTACGGTTTACTACTCAAATCTCTTAATACCGACGACTCTATACCAGATATCAACCATATTCTGCAGGTACTAACTAAGATAAGACCAGGATACAGTGAGACTAAGCCAACGGGCAAATTAGTCCCACATTTATTAGCCCTCATCCAATCAGACTCGATATTTCCTCAAATCGTTGAGGAGGTGCATACTTTAGCGTCGGCCCCGAGGTCTTGCGGCACCGCGGTTCCATTTTGAAACTGTAAAGATCCAATGGTGAGAATCTGAGCCCATACTAGTAAGACATGTGAAAAACTTTTTCTCAAATCTCAAAATGAAGACCATTTTCGGGGTTGTGATCTCGGCGGAACCGAGTTTCCCCGCATTTCGGCAGGTTTGCGGAGCAGGCTTTCGTTTGCAAGAGTCATATAAAGGAAAGCTGGAAAGCTCTGAGCTGACTAGGGCAAGGAAATAAACTATATTCGTTCGAATCTTCTCTGGTGTTCCTCATAGCAACCCCTGGTCATCCAACATCATGGGTCGTAATCCTCTCACGAATCCTCTGCACTATGCAACCCCACAGCTCCGAACAGGTCCACCTGTCACATATGCGACCGCTGGACGGAGTCTTGTGAATTACGATTATGGTATGTCACAGATAGTAATCAAAAAAGGAAAAAAAAACACATTTAACAGTGTCTAATCTGTCTTCCGATTGAACAGTGATTATCGGTGCTGGTGCGGCAGGCTGTGTCCTTGCCAGCAAACTTTCCGAAGACAAGAATGTGTCGGTGTTAGTCCTCGAAGCCGGTGGTGACAACACTAAGGTATTCGAAACTAAAGTACCCATCCTATTCTCAAAGCTCTTTCACTCAGAGCATGACTGGGATTACTACACGGTCGAGCAGCCGGAGCTCGCCAACCGGCAACTGTATTGGCCGCGGGGAAAGATTCTCGGAGGTTCAAGCTCGATGAACGCAATGATGTACCACCACTGCTCCAAGTCCGATTTCGATGAGTGGGCCTCGGTTCATGGCTGTGATGGATGGAGCTACGACAAACTGTCTCCCTACCTCCGAGACATGGAGCGATTTACCCCGAACCCTAACCGCCCGTCCATCGACTCCCAGCACCGTGGCATCTCCGGGAAATGGCAGACTGGTTATTCATGGCTATCGGAAATTGTCGAAAAGGGCTTTATACCCGGCTGTCTAGATGCTAAGATACCGGCCATTGCAGACGTCAATACCCACCAGGGCAGTCTAGGTGTAACCAGGTTCCAGACTTTCGTCGATCCCAAAGGACAACGTTCATCCCTAGCCACTGCTTTCTTGACACCAGAGGTGCTAGCCCGACCAAATTTATATGTCGCATGCAAGGCCCGGGTCACTCGTATCTTATTCGATACCATCACCAGCAAGGATCCAACAGCGATTGGCGTGGAGTTCCAAATTTCTCAGGGTGGTGAGCGCTTCCAGGTTCACGCGCGAAATGAAGTGATACTCTCCGGAGGAGCTGTTAACACGCCACAAACACTCCTACTCAGCGGTATTGGTCCAGTGGACGAACTGAAGGCTCATGGAATTCCTGTCGTTCAAGAGAACAATGCGGTCGGTCGCAACCTGAAAGATCATCTCTGCACGACACCTATAATTGCCAAGGCAAAGAGTGGGACTACCCTTGATTACCTCGCAAATGATATCAAGGCTATTCCAGCACTAGCGCGCTGGCTTCTTACGGGCGGTGGCCCATTATCAAGCAATGTTGGCGAGGCGGCGGCGTTTATCAAGTCGACGGACCATTACTTCTCCCAGACAAAGAACGCTCCCAAATCCTTTACCTCTGGAGATAATGCACCGGATATTGAGCTCATCGGGGCTCCGCTTGCGTTTATACATCATGGCGAGGAGAAACCCGTGGATGGAAGTGATGTTTTCTCAATCGTTCCGATTGGTCTTCGCCCGCAAAGCCACGGCACGGTTACCTTGAAGAGTAGAGATGCATTCGATGCACGTAAGTTAACTACATCACTTTCTTCAGTCGCTTAGGCATTGTATCAGGGCTAATCAATATGGTTTATCCCAGCGATCATCGACCCGAAGTATTTGAGCGACGAGGGTAGCAATGACCGAAACGTTCTCCTCGTCGGACTTCGTGTATGCCTCCAAATTATCCAGAGCCCAGCTTTCAAAAAGTACTTTGAACCAGTACCAGTAAATGACGATCCGACATCATACTGGTGGCCTTACTCAAGCAGCAATATCGATAATATCACCGATGAGCAACTCCTGCAGTTCATGGATGAAAAGGCCTTCACTCTGTACCACCCCGTCGGCTCTGCGCGTATGGGACCCTCGCCCACTTCAAGTGTTGTGGATCTCGAGGGCAAGGTTCATGGTGTCAATGGTCTTCGCATTATGGATGCCAGTGTCTTCCCGGAACAGATCAGCGGACATCCCACCGCGCCTATTGCAGCCATGGCTGCCAAACTCAGTACCATGATCAAGGACGGAAGTACCCCTCGCAAACCATTCGTTGCAAATCTGTGAGAAAGCAGCTAGACACGGAAATGGAATATTAATAAGGAGGCCCTTCAAGTTCTACATATTGATTTTCTGAAGACACGTCTTCTTTGGATGCAATCTCTTTTTTTAGTCTCTGGGGGCTTCCCTTTTGGCATTTCTGACGAACTTGGAATGAGGAATCAGGATGACTACAATCTGTATATAGCATCATATGACCACAAGCCACAACTCCGGATATAACAAGTATCTAGGTATCCAAAGTAATTGGAATGGAGCTTCCGAGTCGGCCAGCACCTACTACCTAGTAGGTAATTCGTCGCTACAGATTGTACGAACATGGTACCACCTGGGCAGGCTCGCGCGTTAAAATCCTCAAGCGCAATGAAAAGAATTTGTGTTATCAAGGTGATATTTAAAACCAGCGGAGTACAATGGAAAATACACACACTCGACCTTGAAGCTAAGCTGTAATTAAGCATTCCATTGCCCCGTCATGCTGAGAGACCAGCATGCCATCAGCACTCCACTGAGGAATCCCCTCCTCGTGTTTCAGGTGGGGATGGAGGGTCGGGCGAGGGCGCTATTTGTCTGACATTCCATTGATCTTCCAGAAACAGCCTGTTAGAATGGCGGACGAATGCTCATCAGTCTCCTCCTGCTGTCTGAGAAACAATGGGGAGCCTCACTTTTGCGTGGGGCTAAACGCAATGTAGTTAGTGTTGACGCCGATCCTGCATTCCGCCCCCAAAGATTCGTGGCTCATGGAGAATTAATTATAGAACGGCGTCAGCTTCCCAACTTGAACACGAGGGAAATGTTTCTTGCCTTTGACGGGCTATGATGAAGCTGCTCTTTGTCGTAAAATTTCGGTTGAGGTAGTAGCAGATAGTCCTGCGTGGATTTGAACATGCCATTCATCGTACGCTTGATACACATAATTAAATGCGGATCAGTACTTGGTGACGGAGGCAGCCTTGCCTTCGCGCCCATCTCCTAGTTCGAGCTCTTGTTAGCTTCTCGAGGCAGTGCTTAGCAGCAAACCCCACCTAAGAGCCACCTCACGGTCGTATTCCATGCCCTCGGGCTGTCTGTGAGCCCAGTCATATGAACTGCAGCATCTTCCCGTCCCGCATCTCAGTACTTACTTCCAAGGCTTTTTTTTTCAATTTCTTCCACTCACAATAAAAGCACATCCTGGAACATACAGTATACCCTGGCGAAAGTTTCAAGAGCGAACAAAGCGCATGCGATAACTCATGCTCATTCGAACAACAACGTCTGGGCCCCATCTCCCTTTGTGCCCCTCATCTTTATTCCTCGATCAACCTTTCTTAAAACCAATCCACCCCCAAATCCCGTGTATTTGTTCCTCTTGAACGACCATCATGGATGCTATGGAGAATATACTCCAGGTAGTCGAGCGAGGTGAGGCTACTCTAGCTGGCGTGGTTGGACTCGGGCGTAATCCTAATCCCATTCTAGAAATCGGGGTCTCACAGGAGGTTGGCCAATTTGAAGAACCTTCACAAACAAGCAAAGTAGTGGTACCGACAGAAGGTCCAGCAAATGGCGCAGAGTCGGAGGTACCTCAGGTGACCACAAATTGGGCTTCAGAATATTCAGAAACATCATCAAGTGAGCTTCCACAATACATACCACATACACCAACAAACAGCGACGACAACACTCGACTTGATGCAACACAACAGCTCACAAGCTCCTCAGAATCAGAATCAGGAATATCCGCACATCCAGAAACCTTGACTTCATCCACCATAACAACGTCCTTGACAACAAGCTCATCGACGGCGACAACAACAATAACAACATCGTCATCATCATCCTCATCATTGTCAACTTCTTCAGAAACAACTACTAGCACAACCCAGAGTGCCCCCACAGAATCACCAACCGATACCGCAGAGACGAGCGCGTCAAAAAGTTCAAGCTCCACCAACACAAAGCTAGCCATCGCCCTCCCAGTAACCATAGTCGGCCTCCTCATCATCGCAGTATTAACATTCTTCTTCCTAAGACGCCGCAGACGCCTCAACGCCAAATCAGAATACAACATCGCAACCGGTCAGACAAGAGGACTCTCGACAGCGGAGTTAATGGCTCTCCAGAAGGTCGGAAGCTCTGGCCCAGCGGTATCTAGCATGCACCATCTACCAGTCATCCAAGTACCTCAGTATCAAGAGCGTGCACCGGGTCCTGGCTCTGCGATGGCTCGAGCCGGGCTTGATGATTCACACACAGAACTTGGACTCCCTGTTGCTGTTCCGTTGGATCAGAGACGCAGTGCGCCAGAACAGGACCTGCCTCGATTCAGTGGGTCTGCGTCAAGGACTTCGACGCCGAGAATGCCGTTTGAGAGTCGGGGTGGTGCTGATACTGATGCTGATGATGATGATAATTTTTCGTTTGTCTCTGGTATGAATGAGAGACGGAATCGTGATCAGGATTTCGATGATATGTCGTCTGTTTCCTCGTTTGAGGATGATGAAAATGAGCACAATGGGAATGGTCACCATACTAATTCACGGTGAGGGTGTTTATACTATACTAATAGCATGACTCCCGGGGCCTCTTCATGATTTGTTTCGATTTGTGAATTTATATTGAGCACGGCGTTAAAACGACTTTTGGCATGGTTCTCATATTCTACTTGCCCATGTGATGTACGGGGTAACAGTAGACATTTAAGTTTGATATCCAATTTCACTCGCTTTGTATCAACTTGAAGAATTTGAAGAATGCCTAGCTGCGAATTCTGGAGGTATGGATAGCCCCAGGTGGATCGTAGCAGGTTTTTTCTATTGAGGATTTTCTTTCCAACGCAATCAAGTACTTTCTACGTACACCGTGGCAGCCCGTTGGACCTTCGTATTCCCTTCTCCCAGCGCCAGCTAATCTAGTTGCAGCAGGGTTACTTTTAGTATGCAATGGGACGGATCATCAATTTTCAATGATTCAATGTATTCTGATATGTACATTCAGGTAACTTTTGACGCTCAATATTGGGTTAATAAAAATAACCGTTGATGTGAAGAGCCTGAGTCACCACATCAGGTAGCCACATCGCCTTCCTGGCCCGCCCTCTCCTAGTTCCTAGTCATTCGCATGCATGCGCCACATTTCATGGTCCTGAGCTTCAGTCATCTCCGTCACTAACGGCCACCACCAAAGTCAGGCTTGTATTCCTGGATTTTGCCCTTGGTCAATTCACGAAGAGCCATGGTCGCATACTGGCTCGATCCTGAATTGGAACTTCAGCACAACAGCCAGCTTATCGCCCTGGAGCTCGGATGTCTTTTCTTCGACGGCGCCTCGCATCTTCTCCAGATCCGTTTGCACGAACTGCTCGTTGTCTTCGGAGTAGAGTCTCGCCTCGACAGAGTAGTCAGCGCCCATGCGGCTCAAGATCTTGCGGTAGCCTCCGCTGAGACTGGCGTCCTTCCACTTGCGGCGCATGTTGAAGGGGTCGAGATGACCACCCTTCTCGCTGCCCATGAATTCACGGTAAAAATCGGTCATCTTGTTGGCAGGGTAAATCACGTCGAAGCCAGGCTGAGGGAGCACGACGTCAAAGATGCTGTACTTTCCGCTTGCGGCCTCTTCGGCTGTCAAGGCGCGCGCCCGTGTGAACATGTCCTCGGCGGCGGCGGCACTATCATCGCCCTCGGGCCTAACAATAATCTCGCCATCCGCGTCAATGTTACCAGCAGGCTCAGGGGCGGACGCTTCCTTATCGCGGTGCTCCTGAACAATAACCAGATCACCTTCGACAACCTGATCACCGTAGAGACGCCAGCGCTGGCTGACTGCGTAGTTCCAAACCAGTGATTGGTATGCGTGAACGTACATCAAGCGCAGATTGCGTGGAATAGTCTGCAGCGCGCCAAGGTAGTCCTTCTTGCTTTTACCAAGGTGACGAATGATATTGGCCTCGGCGGAAAACTTCCTCGGGAGCTTAGCCAAAGCATCATTAATGCCTCCGGTGGTTTGGAAAAGGTTAATGGCCTCAGCGCGCGCCTTGTCATCCGAGCTAATAGGTGCTGTCGAGGACTCGCCCTCCTGAGCCGCAGCGAGAACGTGAGGGGGGGAAGTGCAAGATAGACTCGACAGCTCCCTGAAAATCGTCTTGCAGAATCTTGACACCAACTGTATCGGTGCGGGTTGTGAAGGAGCCGAAGCGCTGAAGACCATAGTAGTTGAAGTATCCTCGCTCGCGGAGGTTCTTCAGCGAAGTTCCGACCAGTTCAGTGGCCTTGGCAATCGTAGCCTGGGGGTCTTTCAGATCAACGCCCGGGATCTCGGATTCACGTAGGGTAATGACGAATTCGTTTCCGCCAAGGTCACCAAGCTCCAGGCCGTTCTTACAATACTCGAAGTCACCCAGGACAGCGTTGCGAAGAGTCTTGTTGATATTAGCCAGACGCTCCGCGTGTGCACGCAATACGCATGCACGCTGAGCGGTCGCACCACGTCGATCCTTGGTTCCGGCAAATTGGAAGCTCTTCGGGTTGGTCTTCATGGTGCGCGAAATGAACGAGATCACCTCCATCGTGTCCTTGTTTTCCTTGTAAAGAGTGAAATGCAGGTATTGGCCACCAAGCTCATCCCAGCTCATACGACCGCCGTCAGAGGCGCGACCACCACGAAGACGTGCGCCCGAGGGCTTACGCTTGAAGCGGTTGTTGGCCGCGGTGATATCGAGATTACCATCGCCGTCGGTGGAGGACTCGAGTTGCGCATTGAAGATGCGGCGGAGAGTCTGGTGGATCTTGGTACGCAGTTCTCGGTCGGAAACGGTAACAGTGACCTTGCCGAACTCGGAGGGTCTTCCTTTTGGTGATGACATGGCGCGCTTGTGGAGGTCGATAATTGAAATAGCATTGTCGGCGCCCAGGTATTCTGTCAGCAGCGCATTGTCCTCCTCGGATACACTGAACTCGGTCGGGGTTTCCTCTTGTGCAGACTCTTCGGGTTCCGGCACTGGTTCCTTTGGCTGCTCAGGCTGCTTCGTAGAATTGGGAGGGGTGGTGGTTCGCAGGTGCAAGACTTCGCCGGAAGGCAAGATCTCGTTGACCAGGAAGTCAGTGTATCTTGATAATAAAGCTTAGCAACAAGCTTCTGACTGTCAATCCATCTTTGATTCTCACCTCTTCTTCAGAATACCCGAAAATCCTTCATTGCTGGCCGTCACGAACTCGGTGATACCGACTCCGAGCTCCTTCAATGTCTGGGCATTCTCGACCGGGGGGGCACAGGTTTCCGGCAGCGCATCTGCTGCGCCATCAGTAGCAGCGACGGCTTCGGTCTTCTGGCGCTTGCGCGGCGATTCCACGAGTTCTTGATGCTCCATTGCGCGGGGTTGGAGATGTGAAGATCTGGAGCATCTGGAAGATCTGGAGAGCTCCGAAGTTTCACGCATTAGGGATAGCGCGGGGTTAGCCCTAGTTTCCTGATTGGGCGATATTCAACCACGTCTTGTCTAACATTGGACATTGGGTGACTACAGAATTACCAGGTGGCTAAATACCATCCTCGACATGTTTAATCCGTTTAGGAGACAGGCTGGAGCATCCTGGCAGCGGATTGGACTCACCTCAGAATTACCAGACCTCGGAGATGATGAGAACTACAGGATTGCGCCTCGATGCAAAGCCTTTACTATCCCCAAGGAGGGCGGCCCCTCGGAACAAGTTGAAGATATTGACATGCCGGGGGATATGAAAGAACAAGTTCTTGTTTTCAAATATAAAGGAAAGGTTCACGCCGTCGACCACGTAAGTAAAATCCCAGGTCCCCTGCAGCCAGAATTGCCCCAACTAAATCTGCATGTAGCAATGCCCTCACTCGTCATTTCCCCTCTCCCAGGGCAATCTTTTCGACATTGAAGATTTTGGGATCACCTTGTCTACCGGTATCATGTGTCCTAAGCATGACTGGTCTTTCGATCTCATCACAGGCAAGGCCGATCGAGGCAGCTACAAGCTGAAGGTGTGGGAGGTCCAACTGCGAGATATCGCGGACGTTGAAGATGACAAGGAGGTATGGGTGCGCCGAAAGCAGAGAATTGGTTAAATCGTCCTTTTTACTGGCTTTACGTTGGATCTGAGCATATCATCAGAGATTGCGTCCAATTGGAGAACTTGGTCTACGGTCTACGGCATGTTGAGCAGTGTTCCTCTCAGAATCATTCTCTCTGCAAATCTCCAAGGCCGTAGCGCCTTTCAGCCTCCGCACGAACCAGCAGGCTATCACCCAATCTCTGAGTGGATTAGAGGGGAAACCCTTTCCAATTCCAACGATCCATCTTTTCTTGCTCGTGGTTGGCGCTGGAGTCATCCAAGCCTAGCACCCGATGATCCTCCAAGCTCCCTGCTGGAACTGATTTGATGGGGCAAACCCGTGAATGCTCACATCCAAGACCCGGCTAGTGGGCGGAACGGGTTCTTCTCACGTCTTACAACTATTGTGAGCCCTATTATGCTCCGTCGGGCCAAATGGCAATAACTCAAATCGGATCCAAAGGACGGAGCCATTTGAAATGGCTCACGATGGCCCGGGCTTAAAGGACAGTGTTGACCAAAGTCCCATATAGCAGCATTTCCCCTCAAGTGGTCGTTATGCGGTTTTTCAGATGATCCATGCAAGTGTGCATATGGCTGCCCGCAGTCTCGTGATAGTTCCATTATGAATACATCGTATAAAATTATGTACATACACATCCAACCCGATTTACAGACGGTTTACATACTCCAAAGGGGTATCTCAGCATTAACCAAAGAGGTACTTCTTCCAACTCTGCTTCCAGGGCTTCCAAGTCCCACCAAAGCGGTGGTTAATGCAGGCATGAGTGCTAAAGAAGTTCTCGGCGCCACTGTGTCGTTGTCCATTACCCCACGCATTAATAGGTAACACACACAACCCGCCAAGAACCGCCCCTTTCTTGGCCTCAGATCCTTGAACACAGCGGGGTGCACTGAGCCCGGAGAACGGGGCCCACGTTACACGCTCCGTCAGGCCCCCTGTCTCCGGCGAAATCAACTCGCCCAATCCCGTGTCGGCAGTCACCGACTCGGAAACAAATGGGTGCGAGGCCGGGAGTGTGTCGGATAATACGTCCAAGATCGCATCCGTAAAGACTCCCGGGCCGGTGATTTCCAACGTGGTTAGTTCGTTATACCGTGGTCCAAGGAAGACATTACTTTCGTCCAGGTGGCGCTTCGAATGCGATAGAACGCGCACGATGATTTCTCGGAGTAGTGGGCTGAACTGGCGTGGTGCGAATATGGTATATTGAATGAAACCGTAGCTTCGAACCCAGTGCCAATCGTGCATCTTCTGGGGCGAGGCGAATGGCTCGTCGATTTCGATGCCCACGACGAGCGAGATATCCGGAACGTCTGTTTTGAATACCGATTTCTGCAGCGATGGGCACGATTTGATCGATCGGGCGGGGAAGACATCCGTATCGGCATAGTAGCCGCCGTAGTACCACAGGATCAGGTATCGCAGCAAGTCGGCTCGGAGGACATGATGGGGGTAGGCGTGGTACAAGGTCGATAGGCCGGGAATAGATGAGAGGGTGATGGTGACGAATTCTTCTGCCCATTCGGTCGTGACGAGCTGAGAAGGTTAAAGTTAGCACTCACAATACAGGGGCATGATTGAAAGAGATGAGAGAGCACGAAACCTACCTTATACTTCCAGTCGGAGTTCTTCTCTTCAAATTCGAGAGAATCCGAGCCCCGTTCCTCCGTACCAGGGTCCTTGCCGAGGATAATCTGCCATATAGTATCTGAGGGAGCGGCGGGACCATGTAAGGTCAATTGCTTTGCCTCGATATCGCGCAATGCCTGCGACAGCTGCTGTTCATAAGCGGTGTCTGGATTGTCGCGGAATGTGGAGCGGTAGAGGTAACGCGGTTTATCTGCCACGTGCGAATGCGCGTGGCCCTGGACGGCAGATTGCAGCCATGGAAGACTCTTGACGAGTATCAGAACGAGCAGGAGAGCAACCACAAGATAGTATTTACGCCGACTAGACGTAGCAGGTCGAAATCGCCTCATGGTGGACGAGCCATGATCAGAGTCAGAGAATGAGCAGCGTGAAAGTCAGGGTCAATGGGATTTGGAGTCAGCAATGGCGGACCACAGTGGACAACCACAGTGGACCCTTTCTTGGCGGTGTGGAGTCGCCCCCACTGCCTGAACAAGCAAATGCTAATGGAATTGGAGTAGGAGAAGTGATAAAGGAGGGTGAAGGAGTAGGAATAGGTGGAGATCATGAATTACTAGTACTACAGTAACTTGAACCTCGGCAGAAGAATTGCGAGAAGGCGGAATACTACTAGTAGTAGTAGTAGTACTAGTACCTTCAAGTTGGTATATTTGAAGTTGTTTATACTGTTTCAAGGTTACTATAGAGATCTAGTACTACATACCTGCCTACTAGTAGGTAGGTCCTAACTTGAATGATTCAACAGAAAGTAAACTACTAGTAATTCTTAGTTACCAAGTATGATCTGTTATTACTAGTACGTAGATAGTGATCACTTTTGGTACTATCCCTATTGACTCTATGCAGCCCTGGAGTATATCGGAAACAGGTTGAGACCAATTGCTGATATCAGATAGTAGAAGTACTACAATACACCAACTTCCAAGGTTGAACCCTTTAAGCTTATTCGCTTCTGCAGTCGTGAAAATTGGCAAATTCCCATCAGTGGCCAACTGTATATTGGAGCTACGAGTAGTAGTGGTAACACTTTAAGAGACAAGGTCGCCAGTGTGCATTGTATGCGTTTGATTCAATCGCTGCCTGAACTTCACAAACTAAGAACCTTCACCATCTTTATACATTCACACCATCTCAATCACCTCTTTGTTTGTCAAGAGTACCGTGAAGATTGACCTTTCTTTTTTTGCCTGCAGTGAGTTATTCGTCATCAAAACTATGACCTCTCAGCGCGGCCATGATCGTGGTCGTGGCCAAAGCCGCAGCTCATCTAGTCCAGCCATCCGAATGGCAGGGACAGGGTCAGGGACAGGATCAGGGACAGGGACAGGTACAACAAAATACAATGCCCTTTCACTCTTCCCATCACCTACACGCAGCCACCTGGGCGATCCCAATTCCGAACCCTCTTCTCATCTGAAAGCCACTGACCAATTCAATCAACACCAGCCCGATATCCATCTCACCACACAGCCAGACAGACATCCTTGAACGCCAGCAACCACAGCCTCTACAACAACCGCTCTTCAAGCAACAGAGTGACAACTCAACCCTCAGCCCACGCTCGACCAACCCCCGAACAATCCCGGGCAGACCAAGTTCGAAACTCCGCCCTGATCATAGCAACCTCCGAATCCCAAACCACCACCAACCCTGAGACCCTCGCCTGGGCGCACCTCGCCTCCGTATCATCCCCATCTCCATCCCATTACCACATTCAAAATCCCATGGACCCAGACGCAATGGACATCGACACGCCCCAGAACCACCAGCAAGCCACCCAGTCCCTGTATCAGGTAGCAAGCGCAGGCATCTCAGTCCCACGCGGCTACATCGGTAACGACCAAGTCTTCCGGCACACATTCCAGATCCAAATCCGTAGCCCGGTTCAGGGACACCTGTCAGACCTGGAGATTCTGCGAACGGCACGCGCGCGCATTCGCAGCAACCCCCAAGCTTCTGTCCCGCCTTCTTATGCTGCGCGGGCTGTGGGGCGGACTCTGGTGCTGAGGATTATTATTGATTCTCTTTCGATAAGTCGACATGATGCGCTTGTTCTTGTGGATTGGAGGTTGCATTTTATGATTGAGATGATTGAGGACCGGGAGGGGCAGGGTCTAGGGTGGTTTTGTGGTTTGCCGTGGGTGAGTGATCATTTTCAGGTGAGGTTGGTTGTTCTTTAGGGTCGAGGGAGCGAAGTGAAGTGATGTACCAGGATGAACGATGAGAAGGGGTTGATAAGGCCTGTTGAAAAAGATCTGTCCTTGGGAGGGCAAGGTTTTCGGTCCGTTCATGATAAGGTGTGAATGCAGGTAATTCATTTTCATCCGTGGATTTCCCGATTTGATTATTTCCAAAGACATAATTGATCGGCGATATTCGTGGAAAAGATGTTTTTGTACCATTTCGATTTTGATTTGTTGAGCCGGAGTTCCTTTCAGTTCTCAGTTTTAATACTGCTATCTACCTATTCCATATTAGAACTTCATGATCATATCAGACACCTGGGCATGACCCAATGCATAGGCCGGGGGTTAAAGTAACCCTACCAAATGAGATGCAATACAATGCAATATTCCCAGCTCCTAAATCCACTCCAAGGATTCAATAGATGCAATAGATGTGGCTGAAATAGATTCCACCGATTCCATAGACTCCACAGATAGGACAGATTCAGCCTGCAAAGACGAAGATATCGATATCACACTGAGAGCCACACTCCCTTCTCTATCCTCGCGCTGCTCTCCATCCTCACCATCTCCATCACCCTCCCATGACTTCTTGATAGCTTTGACAGTCGGCCACACCTTCTTACGGGCGTCGCTCCGCTCCATCCCGCCGTCGAGAAGAGAGTCATAAGGCGTGTGGGTATGTCTAATATGAGCTTCGACAGCCAGCGAGGCTTTGCGCTTGTCAGTCGTCATACCGGTGCGACCGACGCGACCAGAGCCCTTGAGGAAAGCATGATTGATCACAATATCCAACGTGGCCGCTGGCATGAGCGGGAACTCCGAGCGCAGGAGTTGGCGCCCGCGGGAAAGAACTTTCCTGTCGTTGGATTTGACGGCTTTCGCGCGGGATTCGGCGGTTTCTGCGGCTGTTTTCAGGACTTCTGAATGGATCGAGGATGGGACTCGGATTCCGAAGCTGCGTTTGCCGGCTTTGTCCTGGTTCTTTGTTAGAGTGGAGTTGGTGCTAGTGTCAGGGATGAAGGTGGGTTTACCCAGACTGTGTAGACCATTTGGTCTGATTCTTTAGTTTTGATGCGACAGTTTCTTGTGATGTACACATCGCCTTTTTGGACGAAGATATAGCCGTCTGGCATGGGGGATTTGTCCACGATGTTCTACGAGGTGTTAGAGAGATTGCTTTGGTCCGCTAAATCCAAGAATAGAACTAACCTTCTCAAGAGGATCATCTGATTCTAGAAAGATATGCTTTCCTCGCTTCTTCTTGGCTGAAGATTTTGGGCGTGGGCGATTCAATTTCGAGAGTGGCTGGTTGTCAGACCCCCCCGAGCAAGGAATGAAGAGGGGCTGCATTTGGCGCATTTGGCACATTTGATGGGATTGTCGAGTTCTTCGTACGAGCTCTCTTGCGACGATTCTTTTTCCCTCCGGATTCGCGTGGAGCAGTACGTTTGGGAGGCATGATGTGAGATGCTCCAGGGATGAAGAGAAGAGGGACGGCAAACAGATACTAGTAAGGCAAAGATGAAAGAAACAAAGACAAAGAGTGGAAAGGGCAGAGGGAGAATCTGCCCCTAACAAAGAATCATTCAAGTGCGACCGGCATTTCTCTAATGGAAGAAGCTGGAGGTGAAGCTGTCGGAGGTGAAGGTGAAGTTGAAAGTGAAGTGTCGAAGTCTTGGCGTGAGAGCCTCATCTAACAACACTGCACTGTAGTGTAGGATTACTGAGTACTCAATACTGTGATACGTCGAATAATAATATTTAATGGATTCCAAATTTGGTTATAGAAAATACATCATTATCTTCTCTATACTCTAAAAGCAAAGGTAAAAACAACTTGAATTGACTTTGCGCCACACCGTTTGTCATGATCGACAAACAACTTGGAGCTGAATGATTGACTTTGATACGGAGTACTCCGTACAAGGTTCTATGGGGAGGGGTTCCCGATCGCATTATGGAGTAAGATAGGGCAAAATGGGGAATTGGAGCTTAATTAGGATAGTCATAGTACTAGTACGGAGTAGTAGTAATGGTATCACAAGCAACCGGCAAGCGAGGCTGGCCTGAGAAACCGGTTTGCAGAGCAAGGGGGGATTCAGGGATGCAGGGGTACTAACTAATACTTGCAGTGCTCCTGTATTGTAGGTACCTTAAGCAAGTATACACTGGCTCTGCCAGTGTGTACTACTACCAGTGTATACCAGAATTAATATCATACACAGTACTTCCTGGTAGGTATGTACTGATATACTACTCATACTGATACTGCTATTTAATGAATGTCGTCATGGCAGAATCACCCGAGCTGTGCTCCGAAGAAAAGACCCAGACTAAGACTAAGACGACTAGGTTAGTAGGTTAGTACATAGTACGAACAGACTAGGCCAAGCCAATCTCATCTCCCTCGTTGGAGAGTGGGCGCCAATCGGGGCTCTTAGGAACGGGGCTCGTGGGTCCTGGCGCAGCTGAAAGAGTAAGATGAGCTGAGAGGAAGTGCTAGATGATGTGCAATGGAGTAATTGAGGCAATGTAAATGTAAAGTAAGAATGCCATCAACGTAGATGTAAAGTAGAAGTAATGTAATGTAAACTTGAAGTAGCTCAGTTCCTGCATGTTTTTATGCAGGAACCAGGCACAAACGCAGTGGATCGGATGACAAAAAGTCCCCACGGAAGAAAAGAAGGAAAAGAAGGAAAAGAAAGATCCGATCTGGACCAACTAAGGAAAAGAAAAACACTTACTCCGTACTTGACATACTCTTCACTCCCACTCATACCCATACTCACTCATACCTATACTCATACTCACCCACACTACCACTACTATCACCACTACTATCACCACCACCACCAACATCAACATCAACATCAGCATCAGCATCAGCATCACCAGCTCCTCCACACTATACATCACCACCAACACCCCTCACCAATGCTCCCTGCCGAGCATTCTTTCCTCAACTCTCCTTAAGGTTGTTGCTGGGCCCTGCTGACATGAGTTGGGATCCCCCTGTCCACAGGTATGTGCCAGCTACCCCTTCCTCCTGTGCGGGGAACTCCTGTCTACGTTGTCTTGCCTGGGCCTGTCCCTGTCCTGCTGCCTTGTATCCAGGTCTGCTCGATCTTTTGTTCTATCGTGCTGCCCTCTGTCTTTACTTCTCTGCCATGCTCGTTCCCACTGGGCCTCCACCATGATGCTAATGCACCCCGCCATGTTCAGCTTCAGCTATCCCTCCGGCGAGCCTCAAACTCCCACGAGAACGCCCACCACTCAACCCCTCGATTCCTTCACTCCTAAGCTCGAGTCCAGTTTCTTTGATCCTCGAGTCACCTGGGATACCGCCGACCCTTATGCCTCCAGCCCCGAGTTCCTCCGTTCGCCCCAGAAGCTTGGCCTTCACCAAGACCAATCCGATACCGTCAGACGAATCCGCCCTGGGAGACCTTTAGAGCCTATGAGTGAGGATGGTCCCCGGACCGTGGATTCGGCAAAGTCGGCCGCCTCGATGCAGACCCCTCCTCCTACCAGTGCCTCGAGAAGGAAAATTCCGGACTTTGAGCCTCTGACCGGTGCTGGCAGGGGAACTACACCACGGGTTGGGGGAGGGGGAGGAGCTGGAGGAGCTGGAGTAGGAGGAGCACATCTGGAAACCCCCAGCCGTTTGCTGGGAACTTCGCCTCGGATGTTCGGAAACCTCCAGGCCTCGCCAGACCTCTTCCAGCTGGCCTCAATGGATTCGACGGGCTCGCCTTTCTTCCCGCAACAACGACTCTTTTGGGATCAGCAAGATCAGGACCAGACCCATCTTCTTCAGAACCAGCATGCTACAGTCTCCAACGATATCCCTTTGCCCAGCACCGGCCTTAGTGCCCATGCCGAAAAGCCCTCCAACTACCCTTCTCTTAATAACACCCATTTCCCCCAATTGCCCGCTATCGATGGCTCCATGGATCTGCCTGACTTCCACGGAGCATTTGGCATCTCCTCCGCTCCTCCAACCGATGCTGCATTGTTCCCCGCGCCCTTCTCAACCTCCCCGCGAGTCCATGTTGCCAAGGCAGAAGATCCTGCCATGTTTCTCAGCTCGCCCGCTCGACGATTTGGTGGGCCTCAACTTACTCCGGAACGAAGACCTCTCAATGGTATCAGACAACCTTACTACCACCAAACACAAGAATACAAACGAGAGGAGCTCCGCCGTGCCCTCGGTCAACCCGGAGGACCCCCAAGACCATTCGGGAGTCTTTCGGAGGAGGACGAAGACGACGATTTCACTCCGCGGGGGAGACGGCCAGGACTGACTCGAAGCGCTACCCATACGGCTATTACGAGCTCTGCATCACGGCCTGTTAGTCAAGCTGGAGGCATGATGGCTTCGACGAACGGTATTCGCAAAAGCCCCTCCAAGGGCCGGGCGTCAGGTCGCTCCTCTCCCGTCAAGACTATGCGTCCTGCGCCTCTCAGTCGATCTAGTTCCGTTGCGACGGGCCTTCCCACTCGCTCACGTTCTATTGTGCTTAGCATTGGCTCAGATGGCCGTGCCACAGCAGAGATGAAGCCTACAGACCAGAACCAAACAAGTCTGACCGATCCCTTGACAGGTATGGACCTGGATGGGTCTGCCACCGAGAGCGAGGCAGACCCGGCAGAGTACTCGGAGTACCCAGTTCTTCCTCGATCGCAATCTTCCTTTCCTATTTTCGAAAACCGGCCGCCTTTGTCTCGCAGCGATTCCGGCTCTCGGCCTCCATCCAAGGGCTCATATACTTCTACGGTGGGCTCCTCGCACTCAGGGCGCATGTCTCCATGGGCTGGATCTTCTCGGGGAGGTACTAGTCGCTCAAATTACCGCGGATCCCCCGAGGCCGTGAAACGAACACCCAAACGGCACTCTTCATTGTTGCACTCCGATGCTTCATACACCAGAGGCAGCACTGCCTCGCAGGCGCTCCCCGGGGACGACTCGGACAGTGGCGATGCTCAACATGCACTACGCCAAGTGCTGAAAGAGCGTGGCCGAGCACCGAAGGCGAGACCTTCGACCGGCGGGTATAATGCTCGCATGCCACGATCTTCACATACATTCGCCAATCTCCGCTCCTCACCTCCTCGTCTCCATAGCGATTTCGATATCCACCCCCGTCAATCTAACCATTCTCCCACAACTATGACCGACCCCGATCTGGCCACGCCAAGCACCGACCGCCATAGCAACCCGAGCAACGGGACGCGCTGCGTTTGTCGCTCGATGGACAATGGCGGTCATCTGATGATTCAATGGTGAGTTCCCAGCCAATCCTAAAATAGCTTATTTCCCCACCCGAAACTAGAGTGTACTAACTTTCCCCAGTGAATCATGCACGCATTGGCTACATACCAAGTGTGTTGGACTCGAGCGCTCGAACCTGCCCTCGTTTTATGTCTGTCTCTTCTGTGACCAAACCCCATCCCGACAAAACCGTGTCCGATCAAGTTACGGTGGCGGCCCGCCATCACCTCTAGCACACAAATCCTTTCGATTCCGGTAGCCTTACCGTGGCTGCATTAACTTATATATTGGGGTCCTGACGACCCCCCTCTCTTTTGTTCCTCACGCCGGGTTCTTTGACTTAGTCGGGCCGCCTCCCGCGATCATTTTCCTAATTGTTTTCCCCCCTCATGATGATACCTATGTACTTCTTGTTTTGTTACTTTTCCTGTTTTTTACTTTTTACTTTTTTACTTTTTCATCTTCTTCTCTGAGACCCAATAGAATCCGTTCCTGATGCCTCAATCCTTGGAAAGCGGAAACGCACCCGATGAGTCCGCGGTTCGAGTCGGCTTATCGCCCTGACCGCCTTTTATTATCGTAAAATTAAGAAATCCAATTTCCCCCGCAAGTTGAAAGTTGGAGTCATCCCATTGTCACACATTCTCTCTTTCACGTCCTTCGTTTCTATACAGGCCATGTCTGCCTCCCTCCCCGGTTCGCGGGATCTGCCATCCTCACAATATGATCTGAAGAGCTACTGGGGCCGTGTCCGCCATGCCGTTGACCTGTCTGACCCTCGGTGAGTCTACACGGCGCACTCTGTGACTGGCATATGGAAGTGCTAGTAGTAGCAGTAACTAATTCAAATTATTCAGGACACTGTTGACCTCATCCACGGGTCTGGAAGAGGCCAAGGCCTTGATCTCTTCCTACAAGCAGAACAAAATCCCCACCATGACCCCGGATCTGTGGGCGGCCAAGAAAGTTGTTGACTCGACCCTGCACCCAGGTACGTATTGGTATACCGCGAGACACTAGCCCAGAGGACTTCATTATTGACAATGACTCTGTCAAAGATACCGGCGAGGCCGTCACTCTCCCTTTCCGCATGTCCGCCTACGTTCTGACCAACCTGGTCGTCACTGGTGGCATGCTTACCCCGGGTCTGCAGGTGAGTAAGACAAAGATCTCTCGAGATGCATATCCAAGCCAGAAATTGTGAGTATTCAAAAGGCTAACCTCCCACCCCAGACAACCGGAACCCTCCTCTGGCAAATCACCAACCAATCCCTCAACGTCGCAATCAACAACGCCAACGCCAACAAATCAACCCCCCTCTCCACCTCGCAAATCGCCAAATCCTACCTCATGGCCGTGTCAGCCTCGTGCTCCGTCGCCCTGGGTCTAAACGCCCTCGTCCCTCGCTTGAAGGGCATTGCCCCAAACACCCGCCTCATCTTGTCCCGCCTGGTGCCCTTCGCTGCCGTCGCCAGTGCATCGGCCTTGAACGTCTTCCTCATGCGCGGCGAGGAAATCCGCCAAGGAATCGACGTCTACCCCATCCTCTCAGCCGAGGAGCGCGCCAAGCGCGAAGCCCTGGGCGACGACGCCCCGCCCCTCGAGAGTCTGGGTAAGAGTAAGAAGGCTGCTACACTCGCCGTTGGCGAGACGGCTATTAGCCGTGTGTTGAACGCCACGCCTATCATGGTCGTTCCTCCTCTTATCCTGGTCAAGTTGGAGAAGACGGAGTGGTTGAAGGCGCGGCCGAGAATGGTTCTGCCTGTGAATCTGGGTCTTATCTTGACGACTTCGCTGTTTGCGTTGCCTTTGGCTTTGGCGGCTTTCCCGCAGCGTCAGGCTATTGCTGCTGCCAGTTTGGAGGAGGAGTTTTGGGAGAAGGGCGGTTCTTCTGGCATGGTTGAGTTTAATCGGGGTATGTAGGTGGATAGTATAGTTGTGGTGGGTGGGCAGATGGTAGAGCTTGGCCTGTGACAGAGAGATGGTTTCTTGCTTTTGGCGTTGATGTGGGTATTTTCTTCTGCTGTGCTTGCATTTACACTAGATCGTCTTGATTAGATTTATAACAAGTACATAGTTCCAAGGTTGTTTCATTTTGAAATACGTGCTCCAGGGCTTTCCGTTCAATTATATTCCAAGGTGTGCCAATGGTACTCGGATTAGGAGGGAGAAACCAGCAAAGCTGCCAGTGCCAGTGGATTGGAACTCTTACCTATCTAGGTACTCCCAAGTATTCTAGCGGTAGTTATTGGTTATAATACGTAGGTACTAGTATCATGGTCTCACGCTATAGAGGTAGCCCATCCTAAGAAGTCCACTTGTATAATTCAATGCGGGACTATTCTCGCTGAGAGAATACCCTCGATAAACTCAGCCAGATCCAACAACACCTCGTCTCCTCCCTCTCGCCCCATCAGCTCCAATCCAATCGGTACACCCCGGGGAGCATCAGGTGTAACCGGGCTGAACCCACCTATACATAACCAAGCCATTACATTAGCACCATATCCCTCTTATCCCAGGAAAGGGCGGCCAGTTACAAAACTTACCTGGAATACAAATGGCAGGTCTGCCCGTGAGAGCAGCAAGAATCCCATTCCTGGCAGGCTGAACCGTCGGTCCGATTTTGATGGGAAAATGGCGCTGGTGCGGGTATACAAGGGCGTCGAGGTCATGTTTTGTGAAGAGGTTTCGGACAGAAGTCTTTAATGATTCAATGAGGGCAAGTCGGGATTTGTATTCTGGGCTTGTGCGCGAATATGTTTCTTTGTCGCTGAGTGGGAGGGTGAATACATTCGTCACGGCCTTTCTATCGTACTCTCCGCTTGAAGCGATACTTTCGAGGGAGGGGTGCGGGGAGGAAACTCCTTCTGATTGAAGGAATTTGTTTAGACATTCTCTGAATTCGAAGGCCTGGGTGTCTCCGTTGTCGAGGAGGTGGGATACGCTCCAGTCATTATCATTGTGGCTGTTGGCTGGGATAGAGACGAGGGTGATGTTGATGTTCGATGGGTCTTGCGCTGAGCTGATCAGAGACAAAGCATTGCGAGTAACCTCTTGCACGATAGCATTTTCAGCGACGAGTTCAGCATCCAGCGTGCCACTGCTAGATGATGATGATGGCGTCTCCAGATGGAAGTATTCCTCCAAGACACCAATTCGAAACACTCCCTTCTCAATTCCACTCTTCCTTCTCTCAGTCACACTTCCTTTCGAATCCCCCTTCATAACATCAAACAAAACCTTCACATCACCCACACACCTCCCCATCGGACCCGCAACATCCTGCGTCTCAGAAACAGGCACAATCCCCTGCGTATCAACCCTCCCCAGTGACGGCCGAAACCCAACAATCGAGCACGCAGACGCAGGCGAACGTAACGAGTTGACCGTATCAGTGCCACAGCCCACCATGCCCAGATTCAACGCCAATGCAGCTCCCGTCCCGCCAGATGATCCGCCCGGTGTACGGGTGCTATCGTACGGGTTGAGTGTTTGCCCGCCGAGCGAGGATGTTGTTGTTCCGTGCAGTGCGAATTCATGGAGATTGGCCTTTCCTATAATGATAGCGCCGTTCTGCCGGAGAGTTCGTACGACATTGCTATCCCTGCTGGATAAGGTGGCTAGGGCTTTTGAGCCGCCGCTTGTGGGGAGGCCGTAGGTTGTATAGTTGTCTTTTAGGAGGATGGGGACGCCGTGGAGGGCAGGGAGGGAAGCAGCAGCAGCAGCCACAGCCGGGGTGGTATTCTCCGCATTCTGCTGGAGGAGACGGCCAGTCTCGGCGTCTTTCTCGGCGGCTTCGCTTAGGGCGTTCGAGTTGATTGTTATGAGGCTTTTTAGTGTTTTGTCGTGCTGCGTGATGCGGGATAGATATGCGCGGACGACGGCGGTGATGCTTGTTTGCCCCTCGCGTAGTGCGGCGTGGAATGTGGGGATTGTGAGTTCTGTTACATCGATTGTGCTTGCGTGTGAGCTCATCTTGCAAGGATTGGACTTGGTGGTACCAGCAGGGTGTGCATTGGGGTGTGGTAGATACCTAGGTATACTGGTAGCCCTTACTTCGGTACTTAGTGGAGTTGGAGGTGAATTGGAGTCGGAGTGGGAATTGTTGGAGTAGGTGGGCATACTTAGGTACCTTAGGCTAGTGAGAAGATGTTCGGGGAGTAGTCCGAGTCCGAGGTTATCAACTGACACTAGCTACTGCTAGTACTAGTAGTAGTTAGTTACTGCATGGCACACTCTGACGTAGCAGTAGCCTGCGTGGTGAATGAAACTTGAAGGAGTAAACATCTACTAGCACAAGTACATCTAAATTTGAACACCTAGAGGAACTTGAACTTGAACTTGAACGAAACGGAATCATTGATCATCATGATCACCACAACTGACGCTCTATTGTTATTGTTTACAAAAAGGGGGAACGCAAGAATCAATGATAATGGAGTCGGGCCAGGCCAATGCCTATATACATCTCCACTACTCCACTCCAGACGCCCAGATATCACCGTTCAACATGGTATAAGAATGTCGCCAGGGAAATTTCCAAAGCCCATGGCTACTCAGATAAAACGCAGATGCAAACAGCCAGTAACTTATAACCTGCGCCGGAAAGATAGGCAGAAACAATGAATAGATAAAACAAATAAGATACCGCGATCCCATCGCGCGAGATGCTTCGCCCAGCACCGGGAAGGGATAGAATCCCGTTGCTGAGGTCGAAGAGGAGAACGTTTGGAAGAACAAAGGGCACCATCGTAATCGTCATTTTCCCTAAAAGAACACCAACCGTCCCACCGTAAAATTCCCTCCAAGTGAATAATTAAACCTAAACCCCCAAAAAACGAACCGTCTATCCTGAAAAGGACCCGAGAGACGCCAAATGCTGGAAGAGCTGAGAGATGGATGCAAAGTGCCGGTGGCTAACCGGTCTGATTATCCACGGCCCTGGCGGTGCAAGCCCATGCCGATGCGGTATGCTTCGGTGCCGTCATCGATCAGACTCTCTTTGAACCACGGGTGCTTCAGCGCCTCCTTCGCCGTGAGACGGTTCTTAGGGTCGTAGATGAAGATGCGTTGTAGCAGGTCAAGGAATTGACGATTGAAGGGGGTATTGGTGGGGATGAATTCCTTTTGAATGGTCAGTGAAATACTTTGGTGATTTGGCTCGGGGATCACTTACGGTGAGGCCTTTCATCGCTTTGACATACTTCCTCGACGCACGAGTCGTCTCATTGTTCGGGTAGTCAAGTTTACTTCGGTTGAAATACCTGGGATCATTAGTATTTGAAGAAATGCCTCGCATGCTCTGGGATTTTGCTTACTTGGCTGCCGAGTTGTGGCTACCGGCTCGACCTTGGACCACCTGTCGAACGAGTCTCGAGTCGATCTTGGTCCCAATGACAGCCTCCATCATCGCCAAATGCTCGAGATTGTCGTGTGTCTGGAAAAGGGCATCGCCGGTGAAGAACTCCACCAGGATACACCCAATACTCCATATATCGCAAGGGAAGCTCCATCCCAGATTCAGGATGATCTCGGGGGCTCGGTAGTGGCGGGTGGAAACGACAGAGGAATGGTACTCGTCATCAAATGTCGCGGAACCAAAGTCAATCAGGCGAATCTCGCTGTCAAGAAGGACACGCCGTTGCCGGGCGTTCCTGGGGTTCGCGTGGGAGGAGGAGGGAATGGTACGGTTATAGGTAAAAGTCTGGTATGCGTTGCTGACGAGGAGGATATTTTCGGGCTTGAGGTCGGTATGGATGAGGTTGAGGTCGTGAAGGACTTCGGGGGGGTCAGCAGAAATCACCACGAATGTCTGGTCAGGATCAAACTCACAGGCCACACTAGTGAATAATTGGCGGGCAAATTGCTGGATCTGACTGCTGGGAAATGGGACGAAGCCATTGCCTTTGAGGAAGTCGAAAACGCTCTGGCCAAGCAGATCGGTGACAATGCAGATATGGTTGCGGAAATCAAAGCAGTCTCGGAGATGTATACATTTGTTGCGGTTGCTCTTATCGTTGGAGGCCAAGGTTGACAAGACGCGCAACTCGATCCGAGAGGCATCTCGGTATTTTTGGATTGAACGAATGATCTTCACGGCACAACGTGATTTCCGCTGCTTGTCGTAGGCTTCGACAACTTTACCAAAGGTGCCTTGGCCTAGGAGTTTGATGATTGAGTCTGGAAGAGTCAGCACTAGCAAGGGCAAGAACACATTGCGCGCCACTCACATCGATCGGTCAGTGGTACATCGGGAGTGACAATATAGTGACCGTCGTCATCGTCGTACTTTTCGTGTCGGGCGGCCGCAAACTGTAAGGGAGTTGGATGTGTTAGTTCAACTCACTCAATTTTTCTCCTCCGAAATCAGCTGGATGGGGGGTGAAAGGTGGGAACTTACGTCACGAATCACCGGGACCGGCACATCCTTCGACTTGATTATAGGCTTGGGTGGGGGAACATAACTGAGGTAGGCATCGCTGACCGTCTCGAGTTCTCGGCGCTTCTGTTCATCCCGGGTGGATTTCCGGGTGGTTCGCTTGCGCTTTTGACCGGCACTGGGATCTTGAGGGTGATACATCCCGGCGCTCCCGTTGGAGCTACCCTGCGAGCCCAATGAGGTAGGAGCCGTGGTATGCAAGGAGGTGGTTCGATCGGTGGAGAGGGAGTTGGAGGAGTTGTGTTGTTGCTGATGTTGTTGGTGCTGTTGGTGTTGTGGTTGTTGGTGGTTGTCGCCATACTGCTGGGGGTTAATGGAGTAGGACGGTCGGTCATAGTAGCCCATGTCGTAGGCGCTATCGATTCCGGTCCGTCGCCTTTTGCCTGCGGGTTCCGCAACCGAAGGTTGAGCAGCTGATGCTGAGGCACTATGGGGAGGAGGCGGCGGTGGTGCCGCGGTCGCCTTGGAGCCATCCGGACCGGGGCTATCATCGATCACAATGACCTCCTTGGGGAGACCATTCTTGTAGAACTCGCCCCAATCGGGTTTCTTGCGCCGGGAGCCCTGCGATGGGGCAGCACTGGAGGCACTCGGCATGGAAGCCATGGCTGAGGGCGTCAAGGTCGCGGGAGGGACTCGCGCGGGCTGAGCGTAAGGGAGGGTTGTGGTTGTGGTCGTGGGCGAAGGTACCGAGTAAGCGTAGGGGTTCGGCAGGCGAGCCCCTGCGGCGGTGGTGGTGGTAGAAGTCGGGTATGAGGTAGTCGCCTGATATGAGGAATGGGGATAACCGTAATGCTGGTGAGTAGGATGGGTTGCAGTGGCCGTGGAGGGCGTGGACATTTTGTGTACGGAGGAGTGCCGTCCGTCACACGAACGGTAGCGGGCGAAGGAGTCGCAGTCGAAGTTCGATTGATCCGGGGGGATTGCCGGAGAGACTCGGAGAGGATCAAGATTCAGATGCAAAGCACAGTGGTTCTCGAGGACCCAGAGGTATAGAGTTGGTGGAGGGAAAAGGGGAGAGGAGAAGGAGAAGCAGAGGAAGAGGCAGAGGCAGAGGCAGATCGGACGGGAGTCTCGTCTTGGGACGTGACAATGACGAGGCGGTCGGCAAGGATACGGATCAAGCGAGACGCATTTTCTCGATTCCGATCAGATCAAGAGAAAAGGGGATGGAAGAAAAAGATCATTGGGAAAGAAACAAGTGACATTGGGGAGGGTTGAGAGGGGGAAGAGGAAAAAGAGGAAGAGGCGAAGTGATGATGCTGATGGAGCGAAGAGCCGGAGGAATGTAGTGGAAAAGTGGAATAGTATACTAGTACACAGGGAATAACTAGTCTAGTCACTATACTAGTAAATAGTATATTATAATTATTCTGTTTATTCTGTTTACTCTTTATCTCCTCTCTTAATTTATCTAGTCTGTACTCCAGGCTGGGGCTGTAGAATGAGTGAGTAGTATAAGCAGCTATACTATCCAGTTGAGTTGAGCATTACTATACAGTACCTAGGTATACTCTACTATATACTATATTATGTACTACATTATATACTATTGCTCAATACTATAATCTAGATATATTCCTAGGCACCTACTAGATATCTAATTATTCCAAAGGTATACTCAGGGTTATACTGACTGTTAATGTGCACTTAGGCTAGCCCTCCAGGGCTGGCTTAACCGACCCCACTGCGAGAATAGAATAGCCCTGGAGTACAGTCATGTAAGTTATTAAGTACTAAGTGACAAGTCACAAGTGTTGAGTGAATATAATGTTGAATATAGATATAGACACGAATACTCCTATATACTCCTATTCCTACTAGTAATACTAGTACTCTAAACCACTGAATACTACTTCGATGCAAGTAAATGCGAGTGCTTCGGACCTGCGCGGCTGATCACCTGACTGGATGAGTCAGCGACACCATAATAGAGTACCTGAGTTACTACTATAGTTACTACGGAAGTAGGTATAGGTATACCTAGATAATTAAATCAGTGAATGATTGTTGAGTACTCCTTGAATAAGTTGAATCTTAGTGGAGCCAACCTTCAAGTTGGAAGGAAAACTCAGTGTCTCGAGAGTGCATCCATGATCCACCTGCAAGGGCTGCAATGACGTGGGTCACAGCACCAGTAGCACAACACCAAATTTCTATGCAGCTGCTGTTTCATTCACTGGCAGTTCGACTTCCGAGTTTTACTAGTAGACCCGGCTTGCCTTTCTCAGTGTCCCGTTCAAAGTGCCCAGGTGCCGCAACTCGGACTCGGAGTGCCAGTGCCAGCCCTGGAGAGGAGGAGGCGAGCTCGGAGATATATGTATATGCCTATTACTACTACTAGTACTAGACTCGGACTCGGATCATTATACCGCTGGCATTGTTTGTTCAACCATTATTTCAAGCCCTGGAGGTCGCTAATAAATTACCAGTGCTCACAATTGCAAATATAGTTTGAAAGGACTAGTATAAAGTTGAAAAACTACTATTATTCAAAAGTCGGATCGGTTGCCCCAGGTGAATAGGCATCGGATGGATCCACATACGAGTATTCCGGGGTTATCCCGGACATTGAGCCTACTACTACTGGTACACCATGTAGAACTTGAATACTAGTAGATCAAGGTCCTAAAATATACTACTCTGCATTAGACTTAAGCTAATTGCCCAATTCATCGATGCAATTTTACCGAGGCAAGACATGTTCAAGCATTTGGATCGACTCATGCACCTACTAAAGCACCATTTACAATCAAAAAGCCAAGCCAAGAACTTTAAGAATACCAAGTATCCATGGATGGATTCAGATGGATTTTCAAGCTTTCTAGATTAAACAAAGAATACAAGGCATGAAGTTTAACTCGAGGGTTCCCCCCTGTAGTGCATTGGAAGGACGGCAGACAAGCGAGTTCTGCTCTTCCATCTCATCTAGTGTCTCCCGCTGCTAAACCGAATTGGCAAGCTGTCTTGTCGCATTCATAGCATTTTCGGTGTCGTTGGATACTGGTTGTGATGGAGACTGCTGTTGCGAGGGGCTAGCGCTTGGTCGATCTGACATCCCCGGTTTCACCCTACATGGCTATGGAGGGTTGATTGCACTTCAAACCGGTCGCATGTATCCATCGAATACCAGGTTGACAACAATGTTCTCTCATCAAATATCAGTCTCCCTTGTTTATGCCATCCTCCCGCCTTCTCCGACTAGCGCTTGGACCGCCAACAATTTCGGCAACGAAACGAGGCGCCATTGGAATGGGGCTGCATACGGAGTTCAGCCACCGCGAGCCTGGAACAATTTGTTGGTTGTTCGCTTCCTCCTCCAAGCATAACATTGAAATACCTGTCATTTTTAGCCGTATGAGATCAGCCATGGCCACAGCCCCCGTTTCCTTGTTCAATGGCGCCGTATTGAAAATGAGCAACACCCAATAACAGCCGAAGGGCGATTGACAGACCCCGGAGAAAGCATCGAGGTGACCGTGGTATCAACTGACAGCCTTGGATTTTGAAAAACCCTTCCTCTTTCAACGTGGGAGGTGGAGGGAATAATATACTAGTCATGCAACCCACATCCACGTTGTTGGTACTATTGTCGGCGGGGAATCCATGCAAAACTGTCCTGTCATTGATACGATACGACGCAGATCAATCACGTCTAAAGTTAATATACCAATACTCTATCCAGTCTATGCGATGAGTGGATGCGGTGACAGCGCACAGGTCACGCCCTCCCACATCGCCTGCACCTGCGTGTGAATGCAATCGAGAATAAAAGACACCCACATCAACGGCAGACACGGAGACCCGTCGAAGTAAAACTAACTGACTAGCCTCCCCGCACTAAACAGCATGATTTGCCCAGGCCTCGGAGGAAGGGGATTCTACCGTTAGAGGCAAAGTGGCCCCACAGAGTGCGTTGTAGTTAGTTAGTGGTTGTGCTTTTGTCTTGGACGAGCCCCTCACCATTTTGCAACTTTTGTCCTCTGCATTGTTACAGCCTGTTTGACGACAAACTCTCAAAGAAAAGTTGTTCTGATGGTGTTGGAGGACCTATTGAGCCGCCAATATGTCGGAGAAAATCGCTGTGGTGAGTGAAATGCTTCTGTTGAGTTCATTTGGGATGGACGCTGAACCGATTGCGCCTAGGATCCCGATTATTATAGGGGACAGGATGAAATTATCCCGAGTGATTTCGAGTCGTGAGTTGACCTTTTCGCCCAAAAAAAAGAGGGGAAATATGAAAAGGGAGAAAAAAGATGTGAGATTTCGAATTTGGTCGGCTAAAGAGGCCTTGTATCTCTAGGGAGACCACGTCGCTCTCCTCGACAATTTATAGAGGAATCATGGAAAATGGTCGCCGGTACCAGAACCTGAAAGAAGGCGAATACTGGTAAGATCCAAATATCAAAAGACTCTGCGACCCTGATAACTTTTACTAAAATCCTTTGATAGGGGTCCTGCCGACGAGCAGCAGTTTGAAAGCTACGAAGCAGGGTGATTACCACCAAGAGACACACAGGCAGAACGAAGCTGACCATGATAGTCATTTAACTTATCTTGTGGTCGACTCGGAAACGCCAAACCCGCTTTTTCAGGCCCCGGTCACCAACCCCAAGGTATGTATCTGCTGAAATTAGTCGTGAGGGGAAGACTTGGGTTTCAGACACTGATCGGTCGACCATAAATAGCATATTTTGGACGTTGGAACTGGCCGAGGCTCTTGGGCTATGTAAGTTGCAAACACACGATTCGTGACTATCATATTTGCTAATTACTTCCCAATTGATTAGCGATGTCGCCGACATGTTCCCGAATGGTAGGGTTCTCAAACCCTAGCTTCACTCCAAAATATTTTCTCTAATTGTCACCAGCGACTGTCCGAGGAGTGGACCTATACCCGCCGCCAGAGACATGGCTCCCTCCTAACTGCATCATGGAGGTAGATGACGTACTCCAAGAGTGGACCTGGCGAGACCAGTTCGATCTTGTCCATCTCCGCCAAATGATGGGTTCATTCACCATTGAGGAATGGCACAAGTTTTATAAGCAATGCTATGAGTAAGTCACTTTTCCATATATATACCCTGTCTAGATAAATGATCTGCAAGAGCCTCATATTAACGGAACCCACGCAAACAGCAATATCAAGCCTGGTGGCTGGATTGAGCAAATGGAAGGTAACCCACGCGTCCGCTGTGACGACGGCAGCATACCTGATAACAACAGTTGCCTCTTGTTCGGCCTGGAGTGTTGTAGAGCAGCCGATAACTGGGGCCGCCCTGTCACATTGGCTGATAACATGAAGCAGGAATTGGAAAAGGCGGGTTTTGTTGACGTCCACGTGAAGGAGTACAAGTGGCCGATCGGCGCCTGGCCTAAAGACCCTATTCTCAAGGAAGCTGGTAGACTGCACTATCACCAATGGACCTCTGGTATGGAGGGATGGGCAATTTTCTTTCTGACGAAATATGGCGTTCCTGAGCCATGGTCGATCGAAGAAGTTCAGGTGTTGATGGCAAAGGTTCGCAAGGAGATTCATAATCCTCGCCACCACCTCTACCAGGTTGCGTAAGTGATGCCCAACATTCTGGAAATGTTTCTATATTAGCTGACACTTCCTAGGAGACGAGTTTGGGGCCGAAGACCGACGGTGGAAGAAGAGCAAGCTCGAGAGAAGACCAAGGCGACCGAGGCAAAGGATAAAGAAATCAAGAAAGAGCCAAAGGATAACTAAGAGTGTGTTTCAAGTTTTTGTGACCGATGTAAACTTCTTCTTTCGTTTCCATGGAATTACTTAGTTGGAAGGTCTATCCCTATGAGTTTCGGTTCCTAGCCCCCGAAGACGATTTTGTAAGTTTACTTCAGATAGTCATCTGAGTAGATTACCTTTGATTGACGGAGGGAGCTTTTATGCTAGCCTTTTGTTCTCTTTGAAAAAAAAGGAACTAGGAAAAATCACAGGTAGTCATCGGTAACTGAAGTTTCATTTAACGAAATTTAGATAATTAGGAATTGTTGCAAATATCAAGTTGTTCAAGCCCCATAGTCAAATGGAATAACACATAACATATGGCATGAAATCCCAATTGTGAAGAACGACTTGAAGGTCTTCTATCCTCGCAGGCTCATTTAAGCTCGCAGACCACCGTCAACCCGTACTATTTCGCCGGTCATATAGCTAGCATCATCACTAAGTAGGACGGCGACAATTCGTCCAATCTCCTCAGGCTGCGCGATTCTTTTCATAGGTACCTGTTTAAGAAACGTCTCCACTGGAAAACCTTCTGTAGCAGCCATAGGGGTATCAATTAAGCCACTAAAGTAGTAACCAAAATCAAATTAGCGGGCCATTTATAGTTGATCACAAGTCGATTACTTACGGTGCAATTCCGTTTACCCGAATACCTTTGGGCGCAGCTTCAAGTGCGGCTGTTCTCGTGATACCGATTACCTAGAAGATTATTTTAGAATTTGGATCTCAAAACTAGGGACTGACTTACAGCGTGCTTGCTGGGAGAATAGGCACCACATCCAGCAGCACCATCGAGGCCAGCCACACTGGTCATATTAACGATTGCGCCTCCATTCTTCATGGCTTTCAGCTGTGAGCGAAGACACTTGAAACTATTTAGTGACGATTCGTTAGCCTTAAATCGCCAGATGTGAGGTGATAAGATTAGACTCACACTCCGGCTGCATTGGTTTGTATCGTGAAATCCCAGTCTTCATCTGTTGTATCTTCTAGAAGAGTTCCCAATGGTAATTTTCGAACAGCACCTGCGATGTTTGCGGCGCCATCCAGCTTGCCGAAATCCTTGATTATACCGTCGGTCCACTGATTGACTTCTTCGGTTTTGCGAACGTCAACGGCATGGTAGGAAAGACGTTGGCCGGCAGATACTGGCTCAAGTTCTTGAGCGATCTTTTTGAGTGCTTCGAATTGCAAATCACATAATGCAAGTGATGCGCCTCGAGAGTACAAAACCTTTGCTGTGGCGGCTCCTATTCCTGAACCAGCTCCTGAAAAAAAGAAAGATGAACTTGTATTCTAATCATTTAAGGAACATCACCCAGTAAGAGAAGTCTTACCAGTAACTGCAAACACCTTGCCATCGAAAGTAGCCATGGTTATTCCGAAACTTTGAAAGTTGAGAAGCAAAGATGTTGTAACGATTGAAGAATCTCATCCAGTCGGTCACCCACTTTATAAGTCATCCCTGGATAGTAGCATCCAACCCCACAGATCGCCAGAACTTCCACGCATCGGTTCGTCATAGTAAGCTGACAATAAAGTTGATCGAACTATACTATGGATTGGTCGCCTCAGCCACATCGTCCCAGCCAGCCGGAATCGGGCACTTACCCGAATAGGGCAGTGAACCATTTATAACCAAAGAAACCTTGGAAAGATTATCTATTCAAGGTGATACACATGAAAGGAAGAACTGAATTTATAGTTACCTTCAACCCGTTCCTCGAAAAGGCATTGGATATTCACTTTTCAATTTCGGCATGGCACTCAATTACCCCCGATCTAGAAAATGACAGAAAATGACAGCCCCAGCCTCAATTTTATGTGATCATTTGAATATATGATGTTTAAAAAACGTTGGGCATGTTGTGGCGCATCGTGATGAGAGATCGAATTTTGACGAAGTCAATAGTTTTTGAAACTTTAATGACAGCTTGATTTCTCTACTGCGGACTGGAGCTTGGGGATAATTTGGGCAACAAACCTGGATGAACCTACGGCTTAGGCAACCATCGCAATCAAATGTTTTCTCTCATAGCCGAAGAACTTTCTTTGAACATCTCTTTGATACTTGTGAGCTCAAAGTAAATAACACCACCTGAATTACCTCATTGATGTCCTCTCATTCCGAAGATACCACTGCCGCACATTTGCCCCCACTGGCGGCTGAAGTCAGGAACTCTCGCCTATCAGGCCTTAGGGTGCCCGAGATACCTCTACCAGGTCCGCAAGGGGCGCTCATGGTCGTCCTACTGACATACAACGGGTCCCCATTCAAAGACCACTGGGCGTACTTTGTCGAATCTCGAGAAGACCCAAAAGTCGGAGTGATGATACAAGCGAACGGAGATGTGTTGAATGGGTTTTCAATCGATATTGAGCGCAATTATGACTTGCGATCTGCCGATAAACAGCCAACTGCGAGGATTCCCCTCCAATGGGTGGGCGAAGAGCATTTTGATGAAAAGGCAATGTTCGATAATGGTCAAAACACTGTTGATCAAATTCCTCACTGTCGCTTTGAGGAGAGTGTTTGCGAAGTAAAGGCTCCCGGTAAAAGCTTGAATGCTGTCATTGAAACGGTCAGTTGCACCAGACCTGTTCAGAGGTTCGCTTTCTAGTCCATTTCTTGTTTTGAGTCGAAGCTATAGTTCGTCCTCGTTTTGATCGGAGCCATTTTCTCTTCCTTTTGACTAGCTCTCAATTTATCCCAATGCATGACAAGCTGACATTCCTTCTAGTTGACTCCCGGCAAGAAGATAGTACAGCGCAACTGTCAAACATGGATCGTCGAATCTGCCGAGCAACTTCTAAAAAATAACATATTAAATGAGGAAGTTATTGCTTACCTGCACGCGGCTAAGCAATAGGTGCCATTTTTGTGGTAGGAGAAGTAGTTAGGAAGTAGTTGATGTCCAATTCCAGGAAAATGGAGGTTCAATATTATGTTCGGAGAACAGCAAACTCTGTCAATGAATATCGAAGCGCATGTCGAGTTGAATAGGGGTATTGATGTTGAATCAACCGAGTCGTATGTTTTCCAGTAATTAAACTCGCTGCTCTCGCTATAACGGATTCTTTTCTTCCGGCCCTGTGGCGTGGTTAAAGTGGAGACATGGGCGCATTGATCTGCCAAAGGTACATGGTAGGTATTCCCCGTCGTTGCGAGTTGATCATGATTGTGTCGATTGTAGACTGCTGTTCCGAGAACAATTGTCACTCGAAGAAATAATATTGAAATTTAGCATGCCAAATGATCCCAAGCTCGGCAAGTTTGGAAGGAAACCTGGATGGAAGGAGATATTTGCGTTCACGGGTGTAGGTATTTGCCGGTAGGGATTGTCCGCCGCAGTCCATGGACGTAGGTATTCTCCGGGTAGGGATTCGCCGGGTGGGTAATCGCCATGAGGCATCCATCCTTTTTTAAAATTATATAAAGGTAGGCCCTGCCCCATATATCTACGACTTATTAACCCTAGAAGAAGATCACCGCCAGCATGGATGTTTTCCTTGACGTTCTTGACACTTTCGTGTTTGATCGATTCTACGCATCAATCGCCCCCGATAATTTCGCAGGAGCGAATAACTCCACTTTATTTGCCCAAGATCCCAACTTGAATCGACATGTGCGGGTGTATTATCCTCTGGAGCCATCGCAATGGGCCGAGTCAAGCATTTGGAAGCGTGATGATCTTGCCAGACAGGCCTTTTCTTTATTCCTCATCGCATGGTAAATGACACTCCCTAAAACAAAACCGAGAATCAGATTGATGCTTATATCTTATGCAAAGGATCTTTGCCATGATTATGTACCTCGTCGGAAGTTTCGTTCTATACCACACAATATTCGACAAGCGACTACTGAACCACCCACGATACCTTCCGAACCAGATTAAACTTGAGATTACACAGGGTGTATCGTCAATTCCAGTCATATCAATTCTTACCGTGCCCTTTTTCCTTGCTGAAATCCGGGGGTGGTCCAAACTATACGATTTCTCCAGTGAGGCTCCGTTCTGGGGTTACACCTACCTCCAATATGCACTGTTCATCTTCTTCACGGATAGTGGTATCTACTGGATTCACCGGAGCGAGCACCACCCCAGTGTTTACCGCTGGCTTCACAAGCCGCATCATAAGTGGGCTGTTCCGACCCCCTTTGCCAGTTATGCCTTCCATCCGCTGGACGGTTGGGCGCAGAGTCTCCCATACCACATATTCCCGATGCTCTTTCCTCTTCAGAAGTGTGCATACTTGGGACTTTTTGCCTTTGTGACGATATGGACTGTGTTTATTCGTAAGTGTCCTAACAGTGAAGTCGAGTCATCGAGAAAAAACTCTAACCTTGATTAGACGACGCGGAGTATATGGCATCATCCGTGATTATAAATGGAGCCTCGTGTCACACGATGCATCATTTGTACTTCAACTACAACTACGGTCAATTCCTGACATTCTGGGACCGCATTGGAGGAACATATCGCACACCGAAGGCCGATGCCTTTATGGAAGCTAACGAAAGGTCCGATGCACTTGCGATGAAGAAGAAAGCTTAAGACGTTGTTATCTATGAATGAGCGAATATTTACCTAATTTTGTAATATTGGAAATAAGATTAATAATATAATTCTGTCTTTTATTCATTAGGCATTGCGATAGCATGATTGTATAAAGTCGTTCAATGTCCCTAGTTCGTCAGTAGCACTACTCTCGAGATACGCGAATCCTGTTTCTGGCTTATCAGAAACCTCTAGCGTAGCTTTCAACAACCACCATAGTTCCTCGGCATGCTTCGGGTAACCGAGATGAAGGATTTGCTCTTGTTCCACTGCTCCAACAACAGAGTCCCATATTCGTTTCCAGTTGCCAGCGGCCCGGCTAACGGCATCGAGTGGAAGGTATTTGAGAAGACCCACCCGCGCCTGGAATGCCAGGGAGTTGATAGCTGGAAGTCTGATTAGTTCTGTGGTTAAACCAAATGTGTTTTCGATGCAGTATTACCGTATATCAGGATCAACAGATGCTCGGATGAGAGTGAGAGACCCCATGGTATTGGATTTTCGCTGGTAGGCGTGTCAAGCAGTTGATTTACAACTTCTTTCAGGGGCGGAAGTTGGTTCTCAATAGGATCCGTCGTAACTATTCTGCTGAATGCAGATGAGCTCTCGGCCTCCCAAAGCTCAGCACTCCAAGGGAAATCACAGTTCATTTCGAATATCGATAACGACGGGTGGTTTTTGAAGCAGACAGTAAGAAAGCCGTCTGCGAGAAAAACCCAACATGCAATTCTGCGAATCTTTAGTAAATTCACAATTAAATGAGCTTCAAAGATAAAGGGGCCTACCGTATACAAGTTTCTTCTGCTACCAGTGTCCGCCATGTCTGTTCGTCACATGTCTTTGGGGGTGTTCGCCGTTTTAACTGGAACAAACCCAATGACCTGATGGTAGATACAAGGCACGGGTTGCGGACAATCCGAATGCGCCTCCTTGTCGGCATATCATCTCTTCCAAACTGTAGCATTTCGATGATAAGAGCGCTCTGTATTAGCTGCACGGTTGGGAGAAGAGCAGCAGAATTCTTGGGCGAGGGCGTCGCAGGTAAATTTGACACTTTTCGGAAAACGTATTCTTCAGCCACATCAAGAAGCCATGGCGACATTGATGCTCTGTCAAGTGGGGCTGTATATGCTGCTCCTGCCATGAAAATTGCAAGAAGTAGAGGGTTTGATACGTTTCCTGGGTCGAACGTAGGAAAATGAACGATTGGCAGGTGCCAGTGAAGAGAGTGAAAGAAGGCTGAAATGAAAGCGGATATATTGGATACTCCTAGGAGAGATGTGAGCTCCATAATGTCGAGCGTCTTCGGTTGACTGGTATCTGATGGTGTCATGGATTTTGATGTCTCAACCAACTCGGTCATAATTTCAGTAAGTTGATTGGAAAGCCTTGATGGGAAGAGAACTTCATGGGGATACTGGGTTAAAATCGACTCGTCCGTATTTGTAGTCATTTGAAACGGTAGATCAGGAGTTTGAAAATTGCCCAGGAGATTTGGTGTAGGATCAGTGGGCATGAGCGCCTCTTCCAGGCGCGAATAAAGAGTTTCAAGGTTCCTTCGCAAGGAATATTTCGCAGTTTCACCTATTGCAAGTCGATCTTTTTGAATCGTAGGATTTGCGAAATGACGAAGGAATGAGAATGGCCCACCACTTTCGGATGCGTTGGCTGAGGGGGGTTGCATTTGGCGAGGGTGAGACCGAATTGATCGTAGGCGCCTCCTGGGTCGTGAAAATGCACTCCCGCGCGAGAGAGATACATCGCATGCATGGAAAATTGTTATCACAGGCGGATTTCGTCGAAAAGCATAGATCGCACGACTGTCTTTTCCTGCCTGGCTTTGCAGCGACAGGCGGAGGTTGGTTATGCTTTTTGGCGCATACTTTGCTGTGCCTTCGAGTGACCTCTCTGTCAGTAGCCCAGATGAGGTTAGTTGGTTTTTTTTTTTTTTCCCCACATGGCTTGTTGAACACGTTTAAAGTTTTGAACGTACGGTTTTAAGAAGGATTTATTACAGAAGGGGCAGCTGGAAGCAAGCTGACGAGTATCTGGTATTGGTTAGCTAATCCTAGCGTAGGAAACAAAGAGGGTTCCTTGGAAATTACGGGTGGATTGATGGCGCAATAGATGGGGTTTCCGCTGATATGACTTTTCACATTGCGAGCATTGAAACATGATGTTGGAGTATACTCCGTACTGGAGTCGGGGTTCAAGTGAAGTTCGGAAATGTCGGAGTTGAAAAGGGCACCTTTGAAAGGGATGGCACTACGCCCAAAAGGGAAGGCCGGGACTGCACCACCCGAGGGGACTGATGATATTGGGATATTGGGATATTGGACATATAGAATTACTATATAATTAGTATTACATTGACAGTTTCAATATCTATTCACATCATAGAATATTTAAGCACAGACTGCATCGATAGTCCTAGTAACTCGCCTGACCCAATGCATTCTGAGCCTCCCGCATTTCATCATCCGAAGGCATATTAACAATCGCCAGATACATTACTTCCTGTACAAAATCAGAAACTTTTCTTAAGAGATATTAGATTCACACATGTTTGAAACTCACCTTTTTTAACAATTTTGAAAGTGGATTGGTCGACCCTCTGTCTTCTCTTCGGTCGGGTAGCGGACCCCGTGTTCCATAGTAGCCATCATTGGAGTTATATGCGTCTTGTCTCGGCATTTGATCTGGTAGTTGGCCTTGGTGTGAATAGTAGCCATTATTGGGGTTATAGAATGCATTCTGTCTCGGCATCCGATCGGCATTGGCAGCCTGAGGATTTCGGAAATCCTTGATAGCACTAATCGCTTCAAATAACCCGAATGGGCTTCCATGAGGGGCATGAGGAGCTGGCGCGTTGGAACATGGATTATCCCGCCCCTGGGAGTAGTGATCTTGCCCTCGTAGTTGACTTTGGCCTTCAAAGGTAGATTGTGGAGCTTGTCGGCGTGGCAAGTCTTCCATAGTGAAACGACCTCCACTCACGAAAGCGAGCAAATCTCCGCTGCTCGCTGGATGACTTGGGTCGGCATATCGGGAAGTGAAGACTGGCTTTGGGCCTTGATTCAGTTGACTGGTGGGGTTTTCAGCTGTCTAGAAATTTGTCAGTGTGCGTACATACCTAGGTAGGTACTAGTAACTAGTAACTATTGAAAGCTCTTGGTACTCACAAATTTAGCCTGGGCTCTCTTATCCAAATATCCACCGACGAATTCTTTCCTTCGCTTCATTTTAGATAGTTTCTTTCCCGCGTTTTGATCCGATGCGAGTCGATCAATCTCAGGGAAGATGAGTGGAGCCACTTCTGGAAAGATATTGCCGTATGCCTTTCCATTCGAAGACTTGAAGCGATGACGGAGTCGACCGAGCGTGTTCGAGCTTTGGGAACTGGCACTGCCGGCTGCGTTGGAAACGAGCGAATTCAAATCCACGGCCGTGGAGGGAGCATCAGGGAGTTCGGGATTCCATGTCATCACCAGACAGTACAGACCACGGGGTTGAAAGAACTCCCTGTTTACCTTATCAAAAAAAGAATTGGTCCTAGAAGCCCGCTAGTTAATCATCGAGACAAAAGGATAAACCTCATGCAGGGGAAACTCACTTTCGTCGGCCATCAGCAGCAATCGCAACATCAGTCGCAATCTGAATGGCAATTGAAACAGCAATGCCAGTGACAGTTGGCAGCCACATAGTTCCAATAGAAGCCAAGTTGATGGCATTTAGCCACTGGGCCGCTTGACAGGATTTCTCGGCGGTGTCTAGGAAATCGAGGAACATGTCTTGGTCAATACCGCAATCACCAAGAGTCGGTGCATATGCGCGAATAAAGCCTCGATCTCGATCTTTGGGTCGTCGTTGAGGGAGCACGACCGGTGCTGACAGCTGCCGACGTGGAGACTCGTCTTGTAGAGAGTATGGGGGTGGATGGTCGGAAATGAACCTTTGCGCCAGGTCACCTTGTTCGATTTCAAGTTCCTTTCGAGATTTCTTTTCCTTTTCCACATCAGGGTTGGAAGACATGTGTGTAAGTTCTACCTGAGCCTCATCAAGAGCCCACTGACTTTCTAAGTCGATTCCAGTGGGGTTGGGGGTTATTCGGTCTGATGTTGACAATGACAACTCATACACTGGAGGGCCACCACTCTCGATTGGCATTTCATTTCTGAGAACCTCTTCGTTCGATGAAAGTGAAGAGCGCTGTTGTTTTTTTAATTTATGGGCCGACTTTGCTTCGGAGACGAGTCCGATTCCTGCTGCAAGGCCTTGCAAGGCCTTACGACCAATACTTGTACTAGTTGATGTCGACATGAGGAAGATAAGTAAAATAAGGAAGATGAAAACTGTAACTTGAAAGAAGGAGAGATTAGGCCTTATATAATATTCCTGGTAGATTCCAGGGTTAGAATGACTCTATTTTCATAGTACGTAGAGACTGCCCTACGCGGTATCCTGAGAGTATTAAAGTAGTATGTATGATTCAGATTAGGACACACTTTTAGCTTTGAGCAATCTTCTTTCACTGCCTAGACATACGAATATGATTGGAGCAAGGGAACAAGCTCAGCCCTGACTGGTTAGGTCCTGCACCGCGCCACCATCATCATAAACTATCACGAATCCGGTAATCACTGCGAGAAAATCATTGCCATTTCCGGCGACTGATGGGAATACTCTATTTTTGTTTTTCATTGAGGGACTGCAGAGTTAATCTGTATAGGATACAACTTGAACCATTACTGAGCAGTTAGCACCGCATGGAAAGTACCTTGGTATGTAAGAAGATGTACCTTTCCTAGATAGATACTAGTAGTACGGCAAATCACATCATTTCATGGTCAATTCTATCATTCATAATTGATGCTCAATCAACCAAAAAAGAGAAAAGGAAAAAAAAATGTCAGGAACCCGCGTGCAAGCCTTTCAACGCCATGAACCGAATTCGCGCAGCCAATGCAAAAAGAAAAAAAAAGAAACTCCTGCAGTTCGAGGAGGACCCCCCCACCCCGGAAGATGACCCAAGAGTACAGATTAGACAAGAATAGGATGGAAAATAAAGTAAGATTACAAGGGGAATGGCGATGTCAGGGTGCGCGGTCCTCCTTTGGGTCCTTTGAGTAGCCCTTTTGCACATGTTTAGTGCCTCGCCCATCTGCCTCCAGCATGAAGAGAATATCGCGGACTTGGATCCCAGCTCCCTTCTCCTGGTCCTCCCTCCAAGTGCCCAGGCGACGCTTAGATGGACCAGACGCCGCTTCTCCCGATTTGCTGGTCGATGATTTCTCCGGCCCAGGAGTCGGTGTGGGTGGTGCAGGACGGGATGGAGAGGAGAAACCGCTCGACGAACCACCGGGCTTCAGCCATGAATAGGACTTTTTAGCGCCGAACATCCGACCCGAAAGCATGCTGTTAGTAGCTAGACGAGCCGTCTCGACGGACTGTTGATGTTGCTGAGCTTCACTGGCCTTGTTGTCCATCATCTTTCTGGCTTCTTTCTTTGTCATTGACTTCTTGTCAAAGCTGGGTGCGCGTTCAGCGATCGGTGTGGAAGGCGCCGATCCAGTGAAATCAGCCGGAGTGGATTGGATACCAGCGCCTTCTCCTAGAATCGCATTCGTGCTTCGCTTTGTGCGCTTTGCAGCTCGTCGGTTTTCGGAAGACGTTTCCTTTCCAACAAGGCCCCGGTATCTGTCTGCGGTTGGTTTAGTGGTAGGGGTTTCACTGTCTGTACGAGGGCCTGGAGAAATCAAAGAAGGTCAGTATTGTGGTGGGTTCACTTTTGAGGGCCCGAGAAACAATACATACGCTTGGAAGGCGTGACGGCGTTGCCATTAACAGGGTTGAGTGGCTGAGCGACATCTTGCCATTCTGCGGGGACAACACCGTGTGAGTGTGCTCGGCGACTGCGAGCAAGAGTGGAGGAGTAGTCGATGACCCCGCGCAAACGCTCCTCGCAGGAGAGAGACATGAGGTTCAGTATGTCAACCAAAGGAGCACCCTCCTGGTTCAGAATTGTCTGGCCCGTGCGAACTACTGATGACCCGTCGGGCCCAGTCACTTCGATAGGCTGCGGCCGACCGGGAACCGGGTGAAAGAGACCCTCAGAGGGAATGCGCACACCCAGCTCAAAGCCGCGCTTCTGAATCCGTTGCTCCAGCAGTTTTGCGAAAAGAAATGGTTCCTGCAAATGATATTGCGAGCGCCTTGCCGCTTCACTGTCTTCACGTGAGGGCTCCTTGATCGTGGATGGAGTTTGCGATGTGGGCTCCGTGGAGAATGATCCTTGCGTAGCTCCGGGTTTGCCGTGGGACAGATCGTTGAAACTGCTCGACGCGGAGAGTGTTCCAGTTGTGGTAGCTTGGGAAGTGAAAGATGTGTTGATTGGAGGCGGGTGTTGCATCTGGGGGCCTCGCGAGGGCGTCTGCGCCTGCGCTTGTCGCCCCGGGAAGCTGTTTGTGAGAAAAGCTTCTTCCTCCCTGACATCAATACCCGATGAAGCTAGGACGTCTGTGAGCTCGGAAGCATCCACCGGGCGTGATGGCGGAACTGAAGGAGGGCCCATCGTGCCTGGAGCTCCCGGAGGCGGAGCAGCTTGTTGCGCAATTGGCGTTCCAGGCATGCTGTTTGGTGCCATACCGTTCATGGGCGGTTGATTCTGTGGAGGTAGTTGCATCGTGTTGAAGCTCGGAGAAGCATATGGGGACTGTGAGGGAGGATGTGGAGATAAACCAGGTTTTTTCATCGGTGGAGGAATCCCCCCCATTAACTGGAGAGGCTGAGTGAGGTGACGGCGAGGCAACGGGAGGGGAGAAAGGCTGGTTGTTGAACTGCGGCGGCGGCTGCTGTTGCTGCTGGGGGTGGCGGGTCTGCGCCATGGTGAATGGAATAGTGGATGATCAAGTGAGAGAAAGAGATGCCGATTATTGCCCAGTCCCAGAGTGACGGCACGTCCACGCGTGGTCGTTGAGATGAGCGATTTGCTCGCACCACCAAACGTCACCAAATGTGACCATCTCAGAATCGCGGTTAAAACATAGAGTACACGACGCCAGATTAGGGGAAAGGGAGGCGACAGCGAAGTTGGTGGAGGATGAGGTGATGATTTAGAGGAGAGGAGGGGGGTTGAGCTTGCTGGAGTTTGCTGGACTCCGCGGATCGCGCTTTTCCACGTGACATTTAGCTTAGGTCATGCCGCGCGCGCCTGTCGAACTTCAACTTTGGGAAGCTTCTCTTTTTCTTTCTCTGCTTATGGTGCTTTCTTGCAGTTTATAGAATTTCCTTCAAGTCCTAATATTTACGCGACTCTAGCAAGGCCTGTCGCGAGACTTGCCCACCCAATTATCGATCCGATCGCGAAACACACCTTTTGATCAGCCCTGGGGTTGAACCGACCTACGAGTAACCAACGCTGCCATGGCGGCAAAGCGCAAAGCTTCGGCGATGGGTACGGCTGTCGATGATGAGCCGGTTGACCCTTCTGACGAACTGGCGTTTTACTGCTTGGGTGGAGGTAATGAGGTCGGGCGATCATGTCATATCATTCAGTACAAGGGGAAGACGGTCATGGTAAGTTTTCTGGTTCCGATATTGCGAAGATAGAGCCAACAGACTGACTCTCGATGCTTTTCTAGCTTGATGCAGGTATGCACCCGGCCAAAGAAGGGTTTTCGTCCTTACCCTTCTTTGATGAATTCGATTTGAGTACCGTCGATATCCTTCTGATTAGCCAGTACGTGACTCTCCGCTCAATGGCCCTCCCACCACCCATTGCTTTTGCCTAGCGATCATAGTCGATTCATGAGACTTGGAACTTTATGGTCCCACTCGCTACTCTTCCATGTGTGCTTTCTTCGATCTAACGTTTAAGCCCTCTTCAAAACTTCATCCTGCGAGGAAGCTCGGCGGTGCGCTAACATGCCATTCATCTAGTTTTCACGTCGACCATTCCTCTGCTCTCCCATATGTCCTCAGCAAGACAAATTTTAAAGGCCGAGTTTTTATGACACACGCAACGAAAGCCATCTACAAATGGCTGATCCAAGACAACGTCCGGGTCAGCAACACCTCTTCCTCTTCGGATCAACGAACCACCCTGTATACCGAGCGCGACCATCTCTCGACCCTTCCTTTAATCGAAACGATTGACTTCAATACCACACACACTATCAACAGTATCCGCATCACACCATTCCCGGCGGGTCACGTTTTGGGCGCAGCGATGTTCTTGGTATCAATTGCTGGCCTGAACGTCCTCTTTACTGGCGATTACTCTCGCGAAGAGGATCGTCATTTGATCCCCGCCGAAGTTCCAAAGGGCATTAAAATCGATGTCCTCATTACAGAATCCACTTTCGGAATTTCCTCCAACCCTCCACGACTGGAGCGTGAAGCCGCCCTTATGAAGTCAATAACAGGTGTTCTCAATCGCGGAGGTCGCGTATTGATGCCCGTTTTCGCCTTGGGACGTGCCCAGGAACTGCTTTTGATTTTGGATGAATACTGGGAGACTCATCCCGAGCTGCAAAAAGTGCCTATCTACTACATCGGCAACATGGCTCGACGATGCATGGTTGTATACCAAACCTACATCGGTGCGATGAACGATAATATTAAGCGTCTTTTCCGTCAACGCATGGCCGAGGCCGAAGCGAGTGGGGACAAGAGCGCGACTGCAGGACCATGGGATTTCCGCTTTGTCCGCAGTCTGCGTAGTCTCGAACGATTTGATGACGTCGGAGGCTGTGTGATGATTGCCTCTCCTGGTATGCTGCAAACCGGAACCAGCCGTGAACTACTGGAAAGATGGGCACCAAGCGAACGCAACGGAGTTGTCATGACGGGTTACAGTGTGGAGGGTACAATGGCCAAACAATTACTCAACGAGCCAGATCAAATTCCTGCCGTCATGTCGAAGGTCTCCACTGTTCAGGGCCGAGGAAGGGTCCCGGGAGGTAACGACGAAGACCAGAAGGTCATGATTCCTCGACGCTGCACGATTGACGAGGTCAGTTTTGCAGCCCATGTCGATGGTGTTGAGAACCGGAACTTCATCGAGGAGGTCGCGGCACCAGTTGTGGTAAGTCTTTTCGAGTTGGTTGATGAGGTGTAAACTTATGTGCTGATATGTTCTATAGATTCTCGTTCATGGCGAAAAGCACCAGATGATGCGATTAAAATCCAAGCTTTTGAGTCTTAACGCAGACAAAACAGTCAAGGTCAAGGTTTACACGCCAGCCAATTGCGACGAGGTTCGCATTCCTTTCAGAAAGGATAAGGTTGCCAAGGTTGTTGGCAAGCTTGCACAGGTTCCTCCCCCAGCCGGAGAGGATGACAGTCAACTCATGGCTGGAGTGCTGGTTCAGAACGGATTTGACCTATCGCTTATGGCCCCTGACGACCTCCGAGAATATGCCGGTCTAACAACAACGACAATAACCTGCAAACAACACCTTACCCTTAGCTCCGCCAGCATGGATTTGATCCGATGGGCCCTTGAAGGTACCTTCGGGGCTATTGAAGAGGTGGGCATAACTTCAAGGAGCGATTCTGAGACAAAAGAAGAAAACAACGGTGAGCTCGACGAGCAAAAGCCAAAGACAGAACACGCAGACGATGGGATTTCCGCAGAGGAATCGCAAACCTTCTTGATCATGGGCTGCGTCGTTCTCCGGTATCATTCACACACTCGGGAGATTGAGTTGGAATGGGAGGGAAATATGATGAATGATGGAGTTGCCGATGCTGTGATGGCTGTTCTTCTGACAGTTGAGAGCAGTCCTGCTTCGGTGAAACGTAAGAACCCAGCACCCCAACACTATTAATAATCCACCCTTATTACGTCTGCTAACAATCATCACAGAGTCGGCGAAGCATAACCATCACCATCACCACCACCACGAAGCGGACGTCCCTTCCCTGCCAAATCCACACTCTGACGTTAGTGTTGATGAACGACTGGACCGTCTCTTGATGATGCTAGAGGCGCAGTTTGGCTCTGAAATTTCTCCCATCGAAAAGCCACGAGTCCCTGTTGAGCTTGCGGTTGGTAAAACTGACGGGACTGATACTATAAAGGAGGAGGATATCAACGAAGAGCGCGTTGCGGATATTGAATCGGCTGAGTTAGATCGTTTACATGCCATGGGAATCCCCATTCCGGGACTCGAGATCAAGGTCGACAAGCATATTGCGCGCGTCTGGCTTGAAACCTTGGAGGTCGAATGTGCCAATCCGGTGCTCCGCGACCGTGTGCGCATCGTAGTTGAACGTGCAGTCGAAACCGTGGCTGGTCTATGGGCAACCAGTTCTATGCCTCGCGAGGCCGTGGTGCCTGATGGACCGGGCAAGGGCCAGATGGAGATGGTCACCGCTATGAAGAAGGCACAAGCCATCGAGGCTTAGGGTTGATTCATACTCTATGTTTTTTGTACGATAGATAATGGGAAACACATGTCACGGAAATACAATCCAAATTCTTCATGAGCTACTATATCCCCATGGTGGGGTAGGCAAACAAGATTAACTCATGCTCAATGGTTATGTGAGGATTTTAGTGTCATGTCCACCTCTCATCGTCTTCGTCTTTCTGTATGCGAGGCTCGTGGGTCTCTTCAAAGGTTCAAGTTTCTTTTCGGCGTTCATCTACTCACAAATTGCCTGTCATTTGGTTGATTTTAGGATAGCCCCAAATTACAAGTCTAAATCTTTAAGCACAACTGATACCACTTTCCCAAAGACATCCACAATGATGTCAATTTCCTCCTTGGAGACATTGTAAGGAGGTGCAAGTATGACATGATCACCCCTAATGCCATCAATAGTACCTGAGCAGCCGTAGAGAGAAATGGAATATCCTGGTTCCAGACCCTTTTCTTGTATATGAAACGAGAGTCGAGTGCTAGGGTCGAATGGTTCTTTTGAAGTCTTATCTTTGACAAATTCAATCTGTGAAGCGTACTGATTAGCAGGATTGCCCAGCGAAGCCTCAATGGACTGAGAGAACTCACTCCCCAGAATAGTCCCTTGCCTCGGATGTCACCAACATACGGGTGGCCTTCAAATCGCTGGCGGAGTTCGTGCTCAAGGTAAGCACCCATGGATCGAACATTGTCTAGAAGAGACTCCTGTTGAATAGTCTTTTGTGTAGCCAATGCTGCAGCACACGAAATAGGGTGGCCCTGGTATGTTTGTCCATGACGGAACACACCCGTTCCCTTATCCATAGTCTGCACGATGGAGTCACTGATGAGAATTCCAGAAACGGGCGCATACCCGCCCCCGAGACCTTTACCGATAGTTTGAATATCAGGGACGACATCCTCTTGTTCCCAGGCATGCAGGGTTCCACATCGACCCATGCCGCACATAATTTCATCGAGAATGAACAGGGCCCCATGCTTTTCGCAAACGGCCTTCATGGCAGGGAAATATCCTGGTACTGCAGGGACACAACCCAGAGCCTAAGCAGAGATAGATACTGGTTAGCGGGATTTCAAAGTTAAACTCACTACTTCGTGATCAGCTTACAGCTCCAACGACTGGTTCTGCGACAAAGGCACAAACAGTTTCAGACCCCACACGCTTGAATTCGGCATCTAATTCTACGGCAAGACGGGAGACATAATCGGCATCCGATTCACCGTCTTTCTTCCCACGGTATGCGTAGCATGGCGAAACATGGGATGTGTTCTGCGCCAAGATTGGCTCAAATGGTTCTCTTCGCAGGACGTGTCCACCCAGGCCTAGAGCACCGAGGGTCGTACCATGATACGAGGGGAGTCGAGCGATAAATTTTGTACGCTTAGGCTGAGGAGTAGGAAGCTCTAGGAAGTACTGCCGTGCAAGCTTCATGGCGGCTTCGACTGCCTCAGATCCTATCCTCGAAAGTTAGAATTGACATTTCAAGACTTCTAGGAGGTATAGTGAGTAGGGACGGTGACATGCCAGAGCTGACGACAAACAGTTTGGACATCTTTCCCCCAGTTGAATCTGTCAAGAACCGTGCTAATTCCTCTGTTACGGGAGTGCCGAAAAAGGCGGAATGGCAATATGACAACTGATCGATCTGATCTTTGATTGCTTGTTTGACACCTTCATGACCATGGCCCAAGCATGAAACAGCCGCACCACCGGTTGAGTCAAGGAATTTAGTCCCGTCTTCGAGGAAGATATAGCTTCCCTTTCCGCCAATGGCCTGTTTAGGAAGGAAGTGGGTGTCTCTATGCAGAACAGCACTAGACATGCCGGGATGCGCTTCTTTGGATTGATTAGTTTGTGAAATAGCAAGGTTTTAATTGATGATGTTTCATACCGTAGATGGTCATATTGCGGGTCGGAAAGCTGTTGAAACTTGAGGAGTTGTTATAGTGATTAGAATAGTAGAAGGTTTGAATCCACCTGGAAATTACACGCTCTTATGTAACCATGGACTTACGAAGACCCGAGGCAATCCATTGCGGGGCAGGTGGATTCGGGATGCCGAGCCTGGGGAAGCCGACCCGAACATTGGTCAGAGTTCAGGCAATTTTCCACTTTTTCATCATTATCAGCGCATACTGGTTGGAGGACCAGATACGGAGGTCATTGCGGTGGGGATTTTCTCCCTGCGCATGCCTAATTGAGTTGATAGAACGTATCAAGGACACCGTGCGTTTCGGCAATGCTACGATGTCTCAGATCCACCCAATTGACTGTATTGGCTACACCCGTGGACAACTCGTATTTGTGTAATCAACAACCGAATTCTAGTAATTGGTTTAGCAAATGATGGATTTTGATCTTGATAAAATGTGTGAACTTGAAGTCACTCGCACATAGCTAGGTGTAGTACTATTGCCACGCCCTGCAAACAGAAGGCGGTCAAGCCCGCTTTATGCCGCATCTGCCGCCCATTTCTTCCCTTTCACTCACATTTATGTATCTTTCATTTTTATGGAAAGGAAATATTTAAAGGAAGTATGGTTGTTTTCTCGAAAAACGAATAGATGGATGTTGGCCCATCGGAATCAAGTGGTGCAGCGGTGACACACCGGATTGGTCAGGCATGGTACGCGATATCCCAACCTCCGTAAGGAATGCAATAGCAAGTCAAGAATTAACAGCTTGAAATTTAGTGATCGTTGCAGAAAGTGAGATCACGACATTCTGGGGGCTTAGACTCATGAAACAAGCTAACTTTCTCTTGAATTACTAAGGAAGAAGTTGAAATGTGACGGCACTTTTCCCATCGTATGATTTCCCTTCTTGTTCTCTGAACTTCAAGCTCGCTCATTAACTCAAGACGGCAGTGTCAAAGGTGTGAAACCGGAGGTCATATATGCGAGGTCTCCACTACTCTCCGAAGGAAAACTAAAGTACGAGGGTAAGTTTGGTATAATCGAATCTCACATTCTCCAACTAAACTCTTCAACAGATTCACTTCGGATGAACAGCGCCTAGAGCAACTTCAGACAGATCTGGCGAAATGTCAGCAGTTACTTCAATCCGAAAAAGAGCGGAATTCTCTCTTACAAGAGGATATATCCCGCCGGGAGCGGACTAGGGTCCCGGAAGATGTCGAACCAATCGCTCCCAGGCCAGCTGAACCAACCGTAACCCACGATGCCGAACGGCGTTCGGCTGACGATCCGGCCTACGTGATCAAGCACATGGGTCGACTTGTTCACGACGAAAATGGAGTCGGTCGATTTGCAGGCTCCACTACCGGTGTTCATTTTGTTCTCAGTGTGGAGAAAGAATGTCAAAAGACATTAAATCTTCCTTGCGGATTCCCAGAGAGTTGTTATCGGCTCTTTTTGATTCCACCATCTCCGACGATACCCAAAGTCGTCGCAGAAAACTCATCAGAATATCAAAATTGGATATCTGAATGTCTCCATTATCCATTGGCCTATTACCATGAGCAAACTGACCTATTCATGAAGAACTGGCAAGACTTTTGTCCTGTTCTCATTCGGTCTGAAGTTTTGGCAGATATTGATCATATGATAGGACTACTCGCCGATCTCGGCTGTTCTCAGAAACCTAATCCAGCCACAGCACTGACGGTCTTGATGATTCATTCTATCAACGACTTGCAAAACAACCAAATGGAACCGGAGTATCCCTTGAGTCCCGTTCGGCAACGGCATCTATTCCTGGCTAGTGGTCTGATCGACGAAGTAGCCGCAAAAGGGGACATGAGAAGCTTACAAGCCTTGGTGCTCTTCGGCTTTTACAGTCAGTTGAGCGGTGACTGCCTTGCGATGATAAGGATTAATGGATTGATGGTTAGCATTTCCCAGTCACTGGGTCTCCATCGCCATGCTAGACGCTTCAAAATGAAAACCGGCGAAATTGAGCTTCGGAAGCGAGTTTGGTGGTATGTCTACGTTTTCGACAGGTATGTGATCATCCAGAACATCTCGGTAGCTAAGAGTTGAATCTAACTCTGATAGCATGACATCTCTACTCCACGGGCTCCCGGCCTTGATAAACGACGTGGATGTGGATAACGACTTGCCTTCGGACTGCTATCTTCTTGGGTTGGATTCTGCAGATATCTCCCACCCTCTGCCCGGGGAAACTACTGCAGTCTTTGTCTTCATTCAATATGTGCGCATTGGCAAAATATTCTCACGGATTCGTGAAATGCTTTATACGACTACCAGACGTCGGAATGGTGCGGCCAAGATCAAGGAGTTGGATCTCGACTTGCAGATGTGGAGTCAAAGTCTCAAAGCACATGGCATCCAATTTGAAATTGGCACTTTAAATGAAGCTGCTGGGAAAGGAATCGAAAGAACGAAGTTATGGCTTCAATTGCTAGCAAATATCGCGATGGTCTTTATACACCGACCAGGGCTATCCTTTGACGATAGCACGCCGGAGTTTGCAAATTGTCTTCAAGCATGCGTGGCATCTAGTAGCGCTGGCTTGGCCTTTACTCGAAAATACGCATGTTCCACGATGGCTACAGAACTTGAGCATGATGGGCCCCGGAGTAGTCTTCCAGTCGGCTTTGATGCATGTTCATTACCAATGCCAATCATCCACAGTCAATATCGAAGCAGGCCCGTCCTTGGAAACTAGCCTCAATTTCGTTTTGAAGGGAAGATCCATACTTGAGAAAGATAGCAGTCTCAATACCCGGGTGCCTAATTCTCAACAACCTATCTATCACGAGTCCATCTCTGAGGTCATTGGGGTCTTGGACCTGTTACACTCCCTGCTGGTCCAGAAAAGGCAGCTCCAGGCGGACACAGGGTCCTTGTCGAGCCATGCCATTTTGGGCGACCCTCCTGTATTCTTTGACGAACTGAATTGGGGAACGGAAGCCTTGGATGTTTTGAATTACGTTACTGCGACTGACTGGGACTACGACATTCCAGGGCCATTCATGGGATACCCAGAGCTTGAGGCACCGGAAGTGATGATGGAAAATAGTACACATCTAGATATTTAATTATACTGACTCTGAAATATCAGCAAAATGAAGATACTCAACTTTGGATATCCGATCGACTGAACATGCCAAAGTCTATCAAGGCCAAGAAGAAAGAAAATAACTAATTCAAATACGAGTGGAAAAGCAAATGTGTCCCATACAGGTAATAATACATTGTAAACTTACGGGCGGTGAAAATCGCTGTTAAGTATGGCAAAAAATCAAAAGACTCAAGGAATTTCGAAAAAATCCCGGAGGTTCGCTGGCAGAATGTAATTTATTAGAAATTAGTTTGTTCTTACATCACCATACGTGATGTTACAATACCGCATATTGGTCAGTGCCAAACAGTTATTTTCTCCTTTCCCTCAAGTCCATTGTATAAGTAAAAGAATGTTGGCTCTAGTCTGAAGGAAAAAAAGAAGGAAAAGAAAAACAATATTCCAAATCGCGAGATACACATACTAGTAAAGCGAGGGTGAAATAGGAAATTGTAGGGCCGGGGATGCTAGGTTCAGGCGACATTGTAGAATAGCGAAATCAGATCACCAAATCGCTATTTAATTAATCATGACTGGCTGAATTAAGTGATAGTTAGAGTAGAATCTCCACAGACAAATCACTCTCCATGATACCTTCTCCTTACTACGTTTTTGAGCTTCACGGACCCTGCAACAGATGATCGACCAGCCCCACAATATCATCGGGATAGACACTTATTCCGAGCAATCCAACCCACCCCAGCGGAGCAGTCGTTAGTTCCGCATGAGGGGCCCCGGACAAAATGAAAGCAGGAATGGTTTATTTAAAGCTGGATCTTTCCAGTTAGCTTTTCAAGTTTATTCATTTGAATCATTTCCCCGCATTTTTCAAGTTCCTGAGGCCCTCTCGCCATGTCCGTCTCCGCCCTCGACTCGCGTGTGTTCCGTAATCTGTTCGGAACACAGGAAATACGTGACATCTTCACAGATGATGCATACGTGAAATGTTTGATTGAGGTCGAGGCAGCTCTCGCACGCGCTCAATCAAAGACCGGAGTCATTCCGTCGGAAGCGGGAGACTCGATCACAAACACATTTTCCAACCTTCAACTTGAGTACGTTGACCAATGTGATCTGAAAGTGTATACAAGAGTCTAACTTTTCGAAACAAAGCTATGATCGTCTTGCACGAGAAACAGATGTCGTTGGATACCCTGTTCTTCCTCTTGTCTGCCAGCTTGTGGAAGGCACACCCAATGAAACCTCCAAGTATATCCATTGGGGAGCAACAACACAGGACATTATGGATGATGCATCCATGTTGCAGATTAAACGTGGGCTGGTTATCGTGCAAAGAGAATTGGAATCTTTAAGAGGCATCTTGACAAGACTAGCGACAACCCATCGTGATACGTATGTCCCCTTTATCTTCGGGTGTGAATTTCTTATACTAACATCTGTTCAGCCCAATGGCGGGTCGCACACATCTCCAACATGCCTTGCCTTGTACATTCGGTTACAAGTGTGCCGTTTACCTCTCGAGTGTCCTTCGCCATATTGAGAGACTTGAAGAGATGAAGCAAAGATGCTTACTGGTGCAATTCGGAGGAGCAGCTGGAACTTTGGCCTCGCTGGGTTCCGACGACACTGGCCTCCGAGTTCGCGAACAACTCGCTATCGAATTGGGACTGCAAAATCCAGCAATCACATGGCATGTCGCAAGAGACAACGTGGCCGAGATCACCAATTTCCTAGCCCTTGTTGGTGGAACTTTGGGAAAGATTGCGTTGGATCTTATGATTATGTCCTCGAACGAATTTGACGAAGTGTCCGAGCCATTTGTCCCTCACCGCGGTGCTTCATCAACCATGCCGCAGAAGCGGAACCCCATTTCTTCTGAGGTTATTCTCGCTGCATCTAAAATGCTGCGTGCCAATGCTTCGTTAGGGTTGGATGCGATGGTCACCGACTTTGAGCGGGCCTCTGGACCATGGCATCTTGAATGGGTGGCGGTTCCAGATGCGTTTGTTACAGTAGTGGGCGCACTCCATCAGACCAACTTTGCTCTGGATGGATTGGTTGTGAAGGTGGACTCTATGGAGCGTAACCTCCACTCAACGAAGGGGTTGATTGTGGGTGAGGCGGTCATGATGGCTCTTGCGCCTCATATTGGACGTCAAAAGGCGCATGACGAGGTTTATGAAGCGTGTAAAAGTGCAATTGAGAACAATCGATCTCTGCTGGAGGTTTTGACAGAATCCACCGTTATGACAAGTGTTTTCACCTCGGATCAATTGGCGGGATTATGCGATCCTACTCAATATATGGGGGCAAGTCAGTTGATGGTCGATGAGATGGTGAAGCGGTCTAATTTGACACCACGGGGGGGATCTCCATTAGATGAGTAAATAGAAATAGAATTGTGATGAATGTACTATTATTTCAAGTTATCAAGCATCTGTTTACCTGTGGTAAAGTTATGTAAATCTATACTATAACCAACTATACTAGTTTACTAGTATACTGTAGTGTCCCGCCAACTGGTCACTACCGCACGCAAAGGCCACCCTCAACTCTCCCGCACCTCCCGCACTTTCTTCCTCCCACTTCACCACTTCACCTCCACCAACACCATGTCACACGCTCGAGTCGAAGAGCTGTCCGATTCCGATCCTGAGGAGATTGCCCCCTCCGATGATGATTTTGCCGACAATGTTATCATTGAGCCCGTTGCCCCGCGTCAGGCCAACCCTCCCAAGGCCACGCCTGCGCCCGCATCTGCTCCTCTGCAGTCTATGATGGACCAGATGAACCAGATGAACCAGAACCAAGTACCCGAACCTACGCGCGAAATTCCTAAACACTTCCAATGTCTCTACCCCATCTACTTCGACAAGACCCGATCCCGCGCCGATGGCCGCAAGGTTGGCTCTGAGCTGGCCGTCGAGAATCCCCTGGCTCGCGACATTGTCGATGCCGTGCAGATGTTGGGATTGCAGGCTGGCTTGGAACCGGAGAAGCTTCACCCCAAGGATTGGGCTAACCCTGGTCGTGTGCGCGTGCTGCTGAAGAATGAAGACGGCAAATTGATGAACTCTAAAATTAAGAACAGTATGTGGCTCGAAGAGAAGCTACGGAGCTTTGATTTGGATTGGACCCTCACAACTGATCACTTGCCTTTCTAGAACACCACCTCTACATCCTTGTCGCCCAATACCTCCAAGCTCACCCGACCGACGAGAAATCCCCATACCGACTTCGAATTCGCGGCCTCCCCATGCCGGAGAAGCTTCCCGAGGCGCCTCCAGCCCCGCGCGGTTGGAAGATCGGCAAGATTCTTCCCATCCACTCACCCGCCTACAGTGGTGGAGGTGTCAGCGACAACCCGTTCAAGGAAGCCATGGCGGAGATGCAGAACATGCAAGGGATGCCTGGCATGCCCCAGATGCCCCAGATCCCTGGAATGCCTGGGATGGGTATGCCTGACATGCCCGGTATGGGTGGAGAGGGCTCCGGAGCAGGCACTGAAAAGAAGAAGAAGGACAAGAAGAAGGGTAAGGCTTGAAAGAGCTGGCTTTGACCCCCTTTGTCTTCTCTTCTATACTTTCTACTTGCATTGCACGGCGATGGGCGTTCCTTTTGCTTTTGAGACCTAGAACGGGGATATACAGTCGATATCTGTTGTATGGTCGCAGCTCTGTTGTGTTGGCGAGGCTGCTAGTGCCCCCATCTCTTAATGGTGGACTTGAATATATGTACGACCCCAGAAAATGTCATTCTACCAGTGTAGTTGATGCGTGTCAGGGAAATAGACCCATGATTTGAAATATCCAATTTACTTCCTTGTCCGTCAAAGGCGTCTCAGATTCACCTGGGCAGTGGTCATTGAAGTGCAGCCCAAAGATTGGAAACTGAGTGTATACTCCAGGGCTCTTTGTACTACTGCTGCCCTAGGTATCCAGTCGGAAAGATGCAGCTCACCTGGGCAGACATGTTCACATTTTACCATAATGAAGTTGAATAGAATTCAATCCACCTGGATTGATCTATATGCCCGGGAACTCTTTTACCCGAAATGCGACTATCTACTGCTTTCACACTCCCTATATCCAACTAGCATATCACAGCAGACTTCGGTCATCTCCTTTTCATATTCCTGGGGCCCTACCTGGAGTACCACCATTGCGATACTGCCAGAGGCGACTGAAGTCTTTAACGTGCCACACTTGAGAACCATTCGACAGCAGACTCCCTGCCTGCGGATTGGCAATCTCGATGTTTGGCATTGGCAGCAGAGTCATTTCTCGGCTTTCATCTCGCCCGTTTAACAGCCTATCCGATTCGCTCCATTTCATGTCAACCTCCATATCCATGAATGCATTCGACTCGAGGACTCTGTGATCCGGTCCGAGGGTGAACATAGTATCAAGATAGTGTTGATTCATCATGTGGCCCGACCCAGGGCGAATAAATAGCCGACCTATATATCGATTCGGGACATTGGTGAAATCAAGTACTCCAAGGTGAGAGACTGGGTCTTGTGAGTTTGCATAGTGTTCGATGTGCCCGATTGACCGGACGATAGGCTGACAGGTGGAGGATTGGCGGGGGTTGTTGAAGTGGTTTGCAGCATTGCCGAATGTGTATACCTCTAGTTTATGGAGTAGGTCTTGCGGTAATTCGTCCAGCAGCCAATCTATTACCAAACCCCCTTCTATTCCACCCTGACTGTGGAGGATAATGACGACTTTGTCGCAGTTTGGGTTCAGTAACTCTCTTTTCAGTAAGTGATAGGCACTTCGTATGTCGCCCGTGGCGTAGGAAAAGCAACGCTGGATCAAACACTCGATCAAATCGAAAACTAAGCCGGCGCTGAGGATTTGAGATTCATCGTTAGCCGGAATATGAAGTCGTTGGCAATGTTAGATAACATACGTGCAGTTATGAATGCCTGTGATCTTGCGGCCGAAGGTATAGGCTAGTTGATCGATATTGTTCTGGAGCCAGTGTTTACTAGTGTTCAAATTGTTAGACTGAGGTCAGGTCGATGAATTTGCGACCTTTGACTTGCCTGTTCGCAACGCCATTAATAAAGAACCAACACTCTCTTCCATGGCTTTGTTGGGTGGTTCCCGGAACATTGGAAACCAAGATTCTCTCAAATCCGTTCAAGGCGAGCATGCATACCGCATAATTTAGCCCCACAGCGATAGCAATATAGACGAATATCCAGAATGCAGGTATTTGGAAGATGATCATTAATGGAATTGAGACCAGGAAAGCAATTTGGGCGATGGTCAGCAAAATCTGTAACAAGAAGGAGACCAAACTTCCAAATGAAAGGTATAATTCATCCAAAGGAGTGGTGTGTCCAAGCCTAAGAGGCAGTAGAATTCCAGGCAAGGCCCACGAATACCGTAGAACGAGCAAGATATCGCGAAAGAATAGCAGTAATGGAGACGCGGTGTACGGCAGCGGGGTGGAACTGGGGTCCCGCCTGAAAAGGCGAATCAGAGACATCGCGGAGTTGACCCTTGCCAGCAGATGGTTGTGTAACGACGGCCCTGAAAATGGGTTTTCTGCAACTATTCGTAGAGGTGATAATGCGATCGGATTGAATGTTGTCGCTAAAAGTTTCAAATGTGCAGGGAAAGTACATCACCTGCGATTGTCATGTGATAAATTGCTGTTGGGATTCACGCGACCTCTGAATGTGACCAAACGGTCAGATATTCAAGCTTTTGCGAAGAAATACATCAAGTATACGACTTAGAAACCACATATTAATTCCAGAGAGTACGAGCTAGCTTAAATATGAGATCAAAATAGACTCCGTCAGCACTGTTCACCATAAGTCGAAATGACCTCGGCTACTAAGACCAATTAGTAACTAGTACTACTCTGTAAATAGTTTCAAATTCATGATACCTCGTGATTTTAAAACTATCCAAACCCGTATCCAGGCTCGTTGGGTACGGGGAACTAATCCTTCTTTTCCATATATGGCAAACAAGCCTCATAAACATCCTTGAAACCACAATACTGTGCGATCCGATGAAACACATCCTCATGCACCGTCTTCGCAGACTGGAGCGACCCCGCAATAAAGAAATCGGTGTAGCTTGGCTTAGCTCCAAGGATAAATGGCCCGTCAGCCTTGTTCGTCTTCATCAGCTCGCTGATCTCATGTATGCTCTCGCCCAACGACTGCCAGGTTTGTTCCTCCTTCTCCGAATCAAGGAGGACCTCGAGTTGGTGGCCAAGTGTGGCTTCACGCGTGCGCCGGTAGAATTCCTGCGCGCGCGGGGAGAGGATATTTATCTCACGCGGCAAGATGGATACGTAGAAGGCTTTTCCTACTACAGATCGTGATTTAGCTTCGATTTCTTGACCCAGAGCTGATGTAAGTGGAACTGGTCTATCCGGGTAGGTCTTTTCGATAAATTGCGAGATAGGAGTGGAGTCCATGATCATGGTATTAGTTGGTAGGTGCTGGATCGCAGGGACTGTGTATTTCGTTCCTGATTCGACTACTATACCACTAGAGACAAAAGTCAGATGTGTTTCTTTTTTTTTCTCTGGGGTGGAATGATTAGGAAATAGGAGTTCGATGTTGTTTGAGGTCATGAATGATAGATATTATTGACTCACAGCCCTTTCAGGGTCGGCTCGATGTCGGGGAACTCGAGGAAAATCGTCCGATAAGAGATGCGTTTGTAGTTGAGCATTAGGCGGATACGCCAAACAACTGGTGAGAAGCAAACACTCTTGGTAGATGCTAAGTCATAGAGAATAATCTCAGGCTCGTTCGGAGTGGTCATGATGGGCTAGCAGAGCGCTTAGTAGACTAAGCCTCGAGCAGATGCGTTAACCTTTGAATCGCACGTTGTCAAATATTGATAGGTGTTAGTACCTAGTGGGAAAACTTGCTTTCGGTAGGTTGGAAGTGTTCTGGGAGATCTGCTTTAATGTTGATTTGGAGTCGAAATTCGGGAATGAAAGTTAGTTGGCGGTTACGTAAAGTTGAGTTGCTATTTTAAGAATACGAATACCTCGGTAGCTGCTATCTGCTCCTAGCAGATACCAGTCATGAAGAACATATGGCTAGTACTATTCAATCGTGAAGAATTTATTAATCTGTCTTATTTTGTCTTTCCAAACCATCTTGGTCTATCTTCCTTGAAGACGTGCAGCTAAATCATAATTTCTATATTTCTACCCATATTTGACAAAGCCCAGACCAGTGTTTCCAAGAGAATGCCAATACAGATCTAGATGTGAATATTCGGAAATACTGAAAGCCCTCCAGACAAATGCTGAAAGCGTCCTTGGCAGCCTGGTAGAATTGGTAGAGCGAGTAATAAAGGTACACCATAATAATCAATTCTAGTCGGATGACACCCAGTATTATGATAACTGTATCTAGAAGGATAATTATCAGATCATATGGGACTAGTAATATCCGTGATAAATCAGTAATATCTTTGTAAAGCTCTGACGAATCGATCACAAGGTCGGCGATAGACTCTATGATCGGATTGAATAGGGGCTGTGCCATCCTCATCATCGCTGGATTCATGACATAGTCCGCAAGAAAGTCTAGCAAAGCTGTCAGTATTGTGCTAAAGGCCATTAAAAGGGAGCTTGTGAGGAGTCCAAGGCATATTATGCTAAGGGGAGGGTACGCTGCGGATGTGAAGAGCTGCGTATCCGACTTCATGACTGCGGGTGGAATTTGGCGTGGCCAAAGACGAAGATCTCCTTGGTTTTGAACGAGGATGGAGGTATAGTGAGATAATTAGTGGTAAGTGTGCCTTAAATTCGAGGGCCAAGAAGTTCATTGTGTGGCAGAACAAAGGGAAAATACTGGCCGAGAACCAGTGATTATTTTCATTTTAAATTGTGGAATAGACAATATGGCACCGGATCTCTGTTCATTGAAGAACAAAGGCTTTCTCGAATCAATCATTGATGTGAAACATAGCCAACAATGACTTGAAACCAACGCTTCAAAGATATCACGCGTGCCTTATTGTGGCATATCATTTTGGATCAGAAATAGTCGTGAATACAATGAAATGTGAATACCTTTGAGAATCCAAGTATAGATCTCAAAGCAGAGTTTTACATATCAGTATAAAAGCTCGGCTTCTCCCATTTCTGGCAATGCACAAATTCCTAAAATAAAATCGAGAAGAGTACCCAAGGCAAAATCAAGTATTTCACCCGAATATTGTCAAAGAATTCCCACGAGGATTCACTGGACTTCAGTTGATATGGTTGAAAATGAGGGCGACACTGATATTCGCCGCATCAAACGATTCACCATGCCCTCCAGCCTCCGCCGTACAGATAAAGCCAAAGCACACCCGGGGTCAGTCAACATGCTGGACCGGGGCGAACTCAAGATGCTAACGCAGATCCTACACCTAGACAACACAGACCTGAAGAAGATAGTGTCTAGATCTCAAATCGAGAGACTGATCCAGAATCTACCGAAGCGCCTCCGTCGACCTAGGCCTCTATCGCTTAGTTTCAAACAATCTCCTAGCCCACTTTGCGATTTGCATGCGCCTCTCAATGTGGAGTTGATCTCTAATATATTCATATTCGTGCAAATAGAGGTTACGCAGCATTTTATTCTGTTTGAGAGATTCCCTGAGCTCTGTCATCCCGTCGAAGAAGAGATCCTGATCCGTCTGCGGGCGTTGCGAGGCATGTGGATTAAACCTGGCCAGGAACCGAAGATCTTCATCCCCAATGGATGGAGCTACCAGATTAATGGCTGCAGAGCTTGCATGTTGGCGCGTGTTGCGTCAGATATGGAAGCTGTGCGCAATTTGCGAATAGTGATTCTAAGCCGGACGCGGACGCGGCGAAAGCACAGGGCCCGCACGCTCATGGCTTTTGTTGATGAGTGTATCAATCAGTTCACCAGTGAGCAGACCGAGGAGATGTATGCGAAGTCAAGTGAACTGGCATATGGAATGAAGGCTGCTCGTAAATCTTGCACGAGAGCCGAATTCCAAAGACGAGGGTATGGGAACCGTCGTGATTCTAAGACCAAGGATCACGGGGGGGTCTAATGAGAAGGAAGACTTGGACCAGAGTGACCAGGAGATTTTGTTCCCTAGAATGGCTTCTTTGTTGGAGATTTCTGAGGACGGGGTTGGCCCGACGCCATCTGCCAACCGGCATTCTCGCCAAAGCCATGCTTCGTCAACCGAAAATGCGGAAATTGGACTCGATGCAGTTGATAAGCTTATGGAAATGTACAGGAGTATTGGAGAGAAAAAGCCTTTCTCCCGTGACTCACTCGTACCATCAGCGATGGTTGCACCGCTCGATCTTGGAGCAAAGAATGACAAGACTACCAACGAGCTTGCTGAAATGAGCGATAACTACGATCGGTTGAGCTTGATGCCTAACAAGCCGCCGCATCCTGTTCCTGGGCCAGGTAGTACTAGTAACAGATCTAGCAGGGTTGTACCTGTTAAATTCCAATATTCCCCCTCGGATTATTCTAGGACAGACTATCACGTGGATTCTAACAGTGACTGGATGGATGATGAGTGTACGGATTGGGACGGGAATGACGAGGATTCAAGTTCAATCGAGGTTCAGGGGAAGTCGGGGACAGGGACCACTTGGGATTTGATGGTTGACCATCATAATGTGGTTTGATTTGATTTGATCGGAGTTGTTTAGAGGGTGTTACACAGTATTGTTTATTAGAGTGCCTGCGGGGACACATGTGCAATACAATTAAATTGAATTGGATGACTGGAGTCAATCTGTAGAACAATAGACATTATGAACAATGAGTCGCCGGGAGGTCATAGAGAAAACCATGTACAAAAAAGACTGTGGCACATTCTCGTGGTATTAATACAGGTAGGGTCCAAGACCCCATATACATGAAAGCGAAAGCCAAACCCACAGCCTCGAAAGAAAAGATGACCAGCAGCTCCGAGAAACGCCAAATGAGACAATGCAATGGACCAGATGGCCCCTATTTCAAATTCATCACGGCTTTAGTTGTGCAAGACGCTGCCGGGGACGCCATGGCTGGGGCCCTTGAGACTGTCGACAGTCTTGCGACGCAAGCGAGTGCGTGCGGCCGGCCCCTCAGAAGAGACCACCACGGGCTGGGGCTCGATAGCGGGCGTCGTCACTTCATTGGCGGCAGCTTCGGTTGCTTGTGCGGTCTCCATGTCCACCTGCTTCTGTGCGTTGTCCCGGGCCCGCTCGTAGCGAAGCTTCACCTCACCCTTCCATTGGGTGTTCAGTAGCCGGTCCCAGAAGATGAAGAAGGGCTGAGAGAAATTGGATTTGATACCCCAGCTTTGGTGATGAATATCGTGGTAGGCGGCGTTGTTGGAGGTAAAATGCTGTAGGGGATCCCAGGGGAAAGCGTAGCCGCAGTGATCGTCAACGGTCTTGATGGTCGAGCAAGTGAAAAACCACATCGCTTGGCGGTTGGTCATGCCAGTGAGCAGGAAGGCAATTCCCGTACCGGCGGTATCTAGGAGGAAGCCCTCCACGGGGTGGTTGTATAAGGCGCCGAAGGCATAAGGGACGTACAGACGGTGATGACGGGAATGGAAGGTTACTAAAGACCAAGTTAGTGGGAATCTCTCTCTCTCTCACACACTAGGTGAGAATGATGAAGAGGGCGAGGTACTCACCATAGAGCCAGCGGTTGAGATGCATAGCGCGGTGGAGGAAGTATTGCCAGGTATCGACGATGGAGATAGCGATGAGGAACTGCAGAGCCGGGACGAAGTACCAGTAGACAAATGAGGCCAGAGCCAATTCCCAACCAGCAAAGGCGGGGGCAGTGACTTCGGCTCCATTATCCAGGATCATTGACTGCACCATGCCAGGATAAGAACCACCGGCCAAGGCACCAGCCAAGATGGAGTGACCGTTCTGGGAAACCGACTTGGCCAGGCCGGGGGCGTCGAGGCCGAGGATGGTCAAGATGGTCGGGATTGCTCGCTGAGCGATGCGCACGCGTTGAGCCCAGGTCGCCACATTGTAATCGTCCAAGCCGGTCATCTCGGGGGGGATCAAAATACGCGACTGACCAACCCGCGATGGTCTGAATAATTTGTTGTAGGATAACATCGCGGACAACCTCCCAGCGGCTGACTCGGTTCCTCTTCAATAGCTCGGCCGGGGTGTGTAGACGGTATTGTTCGAAGTAGTTATTGACATCGAGATAGTGATAGATACCAGACAGGGCCCAGTAGGCGATGATCGGTAGAAAGAGGGCGACAGCGTTATCGGGAATGGGCGGAAACACCGGTTGTCGCTCTGTGAGGGTGTAACTGGGGAGTGGAGGGAGGTCAAACGCGACCGAAGCGTTGGCAGCCATATTGAAGACAAAATAATGCGAATGGAAGCCTGGAGAAGGCGAAATCGTAGGTTGTTGTTGAGGGGGGGTTTGAGATTGGGGGGGTTTGGAAGGTGGATGGGTTGCGATAGGCAAATAATCCCAGGAGATCCGATCAAGTTAGACCAGAGAGACTAGGCAATATGCGAAAGGATTGAAACGGGACAGAAAAGTCCCCAGTAGACCAAATCTAGGTAAGTAAAAAGAGGCAAAGTAAAGTTGGGATGTTGAAGGAGTGACAATAAGAATACCCCAAGCAAAAAGAAAAAGGAAAAGGGAAAAAAAGAATGAAATGATCCCCCCAAAGCGACAAAAGGAGGCGACAAAGTGGCGCCAGTTCGGATGCGGTGAGAATACACTGGGATTACCGGTAATTTTGCGCTGTTTTCGGTGTTCGTGCGGGAGTGGGAACTTACAAATAATAACTTACGGTATCAGTTTGTATGCGGAGGATCACGGCCGGATTGACATCCGAACTATACGAAAGCGCAAGATATGAATTATGGGAAATTTATGAACTGTGGACTAGAATGAGTGGTGAATGACATTTAGTTACATTGTTTACATGAATATTGAATAATTGACTGATCATCAGGAGATTATGTGCTATGTGCATGTGTACATACTTGGATTTAACTTACATGACGTGACATGATGATCAACCCACCTGGGCACTGGTCAGTTACGAGTGGCTAGATATTACAGTAGGTCTGAGCATCATACTAGTATGTGTGGAAATTGAACATAATACTAATATCATTCAAAGGTAGACTACCGAATCTATCACGGACAATCCCCAATGTCAAATCGCAGGTGCATCATCATTTTCATAGACACGTGTGCTATCACCGTAACACGCTCAATCCGCCTAACACCCTGTCCCCACGTCCCGAGAACAAATCGCGCGGCAGTCCTGCCAAGCTCCGTCCCAAGAATAATCTTGAACTGATCCGAGTCAATCCCATACGTCATTGATGGCCGAACCTGGGGCATCCTTCTAATGAGATGATCATCCACAATCCGGCAAGTTTCCTTGTTGACAACGTCACAGAAGAAGATATACATTAAGCCGTCAATCGGATACGAGGCCTCATAGATAGCCTTGGTCATGTCGGTACTGCGGGGATCACCAGAGTCACGATTTCTGCAAATAGCGTCAATGAAGATGACTCCTGGTCCAACGAAACCACGCCATTCCGACCGGGTTACCTGGTTATCAATCCATACTTTTCGATACTGAGACTGGGAATGAGAAATCCCGGTCTCGATAGGCAGGCCCAGTCCCTGGATAATCTTCGCATGTTCGGGCTGCAAGCACCAAGACGTATACGAAGATGTCCAAGTTGGACTTACTAAGGAATCTAACATGAGTGTAATGCGAGGAATAGTGCACCCTGGGGCACCAAAATCATTCATATATCTGTGGAACCGCTCTCCAAACTCTTGGACCTGGGCCATGGTGTACTTGTTGTTCTTCGAGTCGATAGACATGATGCTGATATAGTTAGATGATAGATGGAATAGTCTAAACTGTATAATGCGACTGGTTAGCAGTATTTGTACCGGTATTTTTTAGTTGTGCAAACAGGTGGTCTTTGAATTTGTTCGGGTAAATAATTGTTTCCAAGATTCCAAGGTTTGCAAAGTTGAATGGACTGCTGTGGCATGAAGATGGAATGTAGAGGCATACTCGTCTGATTTATATGGGTGAGATGGCCCGATTCACCTCGAGGCTCAACATCAAGAACTTCAAGTTGAAGTCAGATAAAGACCTCAAGCTTAAAGCCTTGGAACAATGGAATAGTTAAACAATGGAGAGATCTCAAGAACAAGAACACTTTGGAGCGGATGAAACAAGGAGCCATTTGGACCTTTCATGGTGTTCGAAGAATGGCATTGTTGGATGAGGCTGTGGACTCGGAGCCATGATATATGGATTTTCGAACGATGATTGAATGTTAACAAAATGAATTCAGTAGAGTAGTCTCAAGGCGAATGCCAAATAACATAGTAATCTATAATAGTAATCTAGTTTGGTGGTTGGCTTCCCTTCTTTCGCATGAGCTTTGGCTTGGTCTCCACATGCTCCGGGTCTGCCCGCCGGTGTTAGATGAATACCCTAGGGTACCCTTCAAATTGGCTGTCGGGGTCAATAAAGTGTCTATATTTCCAATTGAGTAGTAGAAGAATCTGATAGATCTAGCAAAGTATTTTATTGTTGTAAACAAAGAATCGGTAGCAAGTTGTGATAACTAGCTATTTGAAGATCAACGTGATAGGAGGAGATGTGGGCCGAGATTGCCAGTGCCACTGCGGGGCGAACTGGGAGAGGTCAGATGGAATGGATTACACCTCGAATGACCGAGATTTCCACGCAATTGGGAATCAAGAATTCTCTCGGTTGTCAAGGAGAGTATTTCTAGAGTATGCTCATCATATTCATGTTAACATGTGAATATGTTTCTGTTGATCATGATGTTCGTAAGTAAATTGAATGATAGCCTGGCAGGTCCCGTGATTCGGTGCAAACAGGACAAACTCCCCCACCGCGCGCCACTTTGTATGAAGTTTTTTTTTACCCCCTCCTTTTTTCCCTTTTGTTTTCTTCCTCATCTTGCTTTTGTCAAATATACCCCTTCAACCGCCACCATGATTATCTTCACTGTATGTGAATCCTCGGAGATTTCCCCATGATCTTCTCCTCCCACGCCTATTCCTACCGCAATTTGAGAACCAAACGCTGACTTTCCTTCACAGGACGTTCTTTCCGGAGATGAGCTCTGCTCCTCCACCTTCGAGATTGCCCCCGCCAAGGACTGCCCTATCCTTCTCGAGACCGACTGCCGCAAGTACCTCAAGCGCAAGAACGAGGACTTCGCTCTCGAGGGTGCCAACCCCTCCGCCGAGGATGCCGAGGAGGAGGGTGGTGAGGGCGAGTCCACCATGGTCCACGACATTGAGGACCAGTTCCGCCTTGTCTGGCTCAAGGAGGACGAGGGTCTCAAGCCCTCCAAGAAGGACTTCACCTCTCACCTGAAGTCCTACGTCAAGAAGCTCCTCAAGAAGCTCGAGGAGAACAACGCCCCCGCCGAGGAGATCGCTCTCTTCAAGGCCAACGCCGCTGGCGCTCTTAAGAAGATCTCTGGCAACTACGACAACTACGATGTCATGATGGGCGAGTCCATGGACGGTGATGCCATGTATGTCTCTAATCTTGCCCCTCCCCCCCTACCATTGTTTCTCTTGCTGATAATTTCCTCCCAGGCACGTCCTGATTGACTTCCGTGATGACGGTGTCACCCCCCCTATGCTACCCTCTGGAAGCACGGTCTCAAGGAGACCAAGGTCTAAGCCAAGCAATTAGCCTTGTCTAGTCCTGTCTTACTTTAGCGGGCGGATTTGCAAAATACAAAAGCACTTGACATGAAGAATGAAGAGTACATGAAGAAACGCGAGCTCTTTCTCCATCATATATGCCTAGATCGGATGCGGACGCGGGGATGAGCTGCTTATCATCCCCTCTCCTCGCGCCGGGCCTTTTGTCTGTTCTGGCTTTCACCGTCCCATCTTCGTATCCTAATTGACCGATCCCTCTGATCGTCGAGTTACGCCTCATGAATCGATAAACTGTTACGTCTCCCTCTTAATGAGTTGCTGTTCATATCATTGTAGCTATTGTCGTAGTCGTGGAGTAAATCCATTATAACCAACATTCGATGTCTAGTATTTGAACATATTCTATTAGATAAATTATTCTCATGGGGTATCAATAATATCAACAATATCCAGTCCAATCGCTAGACAAATTACCCCGATTGACACCTTTGTCGGTCCACGGGGGTGTGGTATTTGCGTCCGCGGTCTGCGGTACCACTGGTAATCCATTGAAACCAATTGGCCCGCCGGGGTTCGTGTTAGCGGACGGGATTCCAATATTTGCAAAGTCTAGTCCGGCGACCGGATCCAGTTCCATCAGCTCATCGGAGACAGGGAGGTGTTGTCCAAAGACAGCGTCCCATTGGTCCCAGTCGAAATTGAGATTCGGGTCCACCATTGAGGGCGGGGTCGACATGTTCATTGGTGCAGGGTTCGGAGATAGGGGGTCCATGTAGAGCATCCTCGGGGACATTTCAGTGCTTGGAAAAGGCGGTTGTTGGTGTTGTTGGGGCTGTGGTACGGGGATTGTGGGTTGTGCAGTGGGGGGATAGATTGGACGATGGCGAGCGCAGAGTAGATGCAATCTCCGGGGATGTTGCTGCAATGGGGGATGTTATGCTTGCTGCAGGTGTACTGTACTGTGGGGCTGTGGCTGAAGCAGCGTACTGATTCGTGGAGGATGGCTGAAGAGAGTATCGAAGGAGACTGGGCCTGCGAGCAGCCGAGGATGCCACAGGATTTGGGAGGATATGGGTGCGGGTCATATTGTAGAATGTTCGATTGAAATCCATCAGTTGGCGATCTGGCGGAGGTGGTGGCTTTTGACTTGCACCAGAGGCAGCTGGGGATGATGGATTTGAGTATAGTGGCCCTCGCATGGCATTGAGCTCTGGGGCTGGCGATGTGATGCCTGCCTGGATTTGATCTTGTTCAGTCCAGAGCATCTGGGGATTGAGGCCAGCCTTCTGCCACGCCTTTTGACGGAGACGGCGAATCATATCCCATGCCTCGCGGCCACCATCTTTTAGCGGTCTTTGCGTAGAAACACCATCCTCGCCACCTACCACTCCTCCATCTGGCCCAGAGAGGGCCAGGATGCGATCGATAAAGGCCCGTGATCTAAATGCCTCGGGGCTATATGGACGTTCGTAAAGGTCGATGAGCATGATCCTAGTCGATGTTAGATGAATTTAATAACATCAATTTGCAAATAACTTACATCGTCGCGTGCATCGGTTGGTGATTACTTTGAATGGTTAGCTAACCCTTTCATCTGAACGGTTTGCTACAAAACTTACCCTGGCCAACTCCACTGAAATGGTTGGAAATCCGGATCTGTGGCGAGCTGAATGAACTTCTCCATAAAGCCGTGGCAATGACGAAGAGCACTGAATTTGTCAGACAGAGCACTTGAAATCATTCTCTGGAGTACGCACCTTTGCCGTGCTGCAGGCCATATGCGGCTGCGGGCATTCTTTAGAAAGGGCTGGTAGGCGACACAGAAAGCCTAGAAAAAACAGTAAGGTTCTAGATCGGTTGAATACTCGCACAAATGACGAACGAACCTTGTCAATATAGAGTGAAAGAATGATACGCGCCCATTTATGGAAAGACACAAGAACAGCAGAATGGTACTGTTCAGGGCATCCATTCGGCCCCTCGCCTGGAAGTTCGCTTTCACCTGAGTGAGATTCCACAGGAGACTTGGACATGGAAAGTGCGCGCCCGGTTGAGACGGATGTACGGTCTGTGATATGACTTTCGGGTATCCTGCCGACAATGGAATTCAGCTTGAGCTGAAGATCCATAAGGATTGTTTTTAATTCCTCCATATCTTGGCGAGTGACAGGCTTTGTGCCAAGTTGGATTCGCAAGATTCGACGAATGGACCCTGTCAGCTCTCATTAATATCATCTCTGAGTTCACTGCCAGCGGGAGGTATGAGAAACTTACAAGCCATGATATATTTGCCCCTCGCGGTGAGATAGAATACGTTCACCATTGATGGCCCACCACAGACAGTCGGGTCATCGGGATTGTCTGGTATTCTCTGCTTGGATGTGACCAACTGCTCATAACTCTCCGCAGCTGGAACTCCCAGCATAGTATCTTTTAGTTCGCTTGTCTGTCGCACATCCCAATAATTTTCATCGCTAACAAGTGGAGGCAGTCCACTGGACATTGCCACCACACCGTCCATGTGCATTATGTGCCACCATAGCCTCCGTCTATACTCTGCTTCGCAAGGCTCGATCCCAAAGTTAGCAGGGTCTCGGTGAAGCCCCATCGTCTGCGCAACACGCATCGCCAGACTGACGAAAAGACTGCTTGTCAGTGGCTCTTCCTCTTTAGATAGGATCGTCTGGACAATCAGATAGGCAGAAAGCCCCTGAAGAGATGGGCTGCGAGGGAAAGATATCTTCGTCAACCACCTCGTCACCGCCTCGCTGTACATTATAGACAGTGCATCTCGTGATGACGTGTTAAACTCAGCCTTGATCGTTCGAATGGAGACCGTGACGGAGCCACCATACCAAATTGCGTAAAGAAGAGGAATGAACGACGGGATCGGACATGCCTCCCCCGAGTAGCTGCTATAATCGTACCATTTCCAAAAGGTGTTGTACAGCTTGAGCACCGTCGGCGGGTGGATGACAGGACTGATGGCATGCACCCCAGACATGAAGCCTTTGTACAGAATGTGGCTTTGCCGTCTGGTTGGAATGTGCTCCAGCATTTCTGGTTCAACAGCTCTGTCGCTCATCGATGGGGATTCACCAGAAGGGAAAATGATAGACTGTTGAAATGAGCCGACGCGGGAGCCAGGTGTAGTCGGAGGTGGAGAGCTGGCGAGAGAGCCTCGCCATTGTCTCCTATTCCCAGCACTGGGGTCGTTGAAGTCGTCGTTTGGGAGTTTCTAATGAATTCATGTCGTGTGATCGATTTTGGTCTCTCAACAGTTGATTGAGGTCATTAATCTAGACGGATCAGCGGTGCTCCGCTCGCAGTCAATAGTTGGCATCTGTTTGACGTACCTCATGAGATATATACGCCCAATAAGTCGTCCCAACGTATCTGGTCGATATCGTTAGTGGCTGAAGGAATAATAATTTATCGGTGCTGCTTCACACTCACCTGGACCTTCCCCCATCATCCAGGCTTAGATGGCCTAAATTGAGGCTCCCAACTGGGTCCACAAGGTCTGTAGCCTGGCCTGATGGTATAGGGAATTCATCACCGCTCGACTCGGCCGCCATACGACGCGGGCTAGAGGGGCGAGAAGGTATTGGCCTTCCATTCCGAGCACTGTTTTGACGCACTTCCTCCAGGAATGATTGATCTGCCCCGAGGGTTGCCTGTCTCTCAGCGTCTTCCAATGGCTGTCCAGTACCGCCGATCTTCTCAATCATTGACATCAATTTATCTAGGCGATTTTCAATTGCGCGCGGGTCTGATTTATTCCCCTCTGACGACCCAGCCTGTCGCAAATGGCCGTATATAGATTGGAGTTCGTCGACATCTTCTTCCCATGTTCGCGGGGTCGCTCGGCGGCGCTTCACGCCATGGCCCGATCGGCCTGATGACTCGGGTACATTCGCATTCGCATTGGTATCGTCCCGCTTCTCGGATGAAACATCATACACGCACTCGGCTCCGGTCTTGATACAGTTCCCGCATATTGGGTGGACCTGACATTTCGTTAGCTTAAAGAATAGCTGGAGAAACGATTGGTGTATACCTTGTCACACTTGACCTTGCGGCGGCGACAAGTGTGGCAACTGTAGCTGGCGCGGTTGCGAGTGATCTGACGACCCCCGGCCAGCGGCGCCCGCGACGAGGCGGAGGAGAGATCCTGGGGATTTTGCTGACTGGGGTCCATCCCAAGAAAGGCTCAGCAAGGCATAAGGACAGAAGGGGACAGAAGGAGAGATTATGATTATGTTCGCGATTGCGATTGCGGAATTGCGGAGGGAGGGCGGAGGTTCACTGCGGGGGATGATGCATCATCCAATCAGAATCTCCAGATTTCGCCGGGGCGGTCAGGCTCAACTTATGGCCAACAGTATACTCTGTAGTATACTAGTAACTACGGATTAAATCTAATGGAAAGAAATTTATGGCATTTTAGAATGAAATCAGACCAATATTGCTTGTCTAAAACTTCTTCACTTCGAATATCAAAGTAATCAGAAATGCGTCCCACATTCTCATCGATTCTATCCTCCTGACTTCCAGTATACCTTATTCCGATATAATCATCATCCAATGTTTGAAATATTTCACGTTCAAAACTTACCAAATATCATGATTCGAATCACAGCCTTGAAGTTTCAGTATTCGAGGCCCAATAACGAATCTATCGAACTATTCTGCACCCTTTAAGTTCAAGCTCGGCGGTTAAATAGAATTGACCATAAATCAGAAACTGTAAATCGTATACCTAAATGATGGATTATGCGCAACAGAATTCATATTTGGAATATTTGAATCAACTCTCGAGTTCTAGAACAATCTAGTCTAGAAATTAGCCTGGATTATACTACATAGGTAACTGCGTAGGACCGTCACCTCTTTGCATTAGTCGTAGAATCTATAGATATCCAACAACTCATCAATATCCCAACTGGAATTCGGCATCGTACCTACAGACCTGTCCAGATCCACAATATGATCCATTTATTTCAAAATTTTCTTGGCTAAATACCTGAATTCCTTCTCTTTCAACCCCTATCCACGCGCCTAAAAGTCTCCGCCGCCAAGCCCGGCCAAGAGGCAACGCTTTACCTTTGGTCTCTTGGATCACTGCCCAGGATGGCTGCCTGGCACTGGTTTCAGGTGATTTTTACTATCTTGGCGAGCTGTGCCTCCTACCATATCTTAGCTCATTGGCCCTTCGCTGGCCCCGACACACGTCGGAATACGCGGTTCTGTGTGATGTACCGATCCGCTGTTCCTTGGTGCCGCCCTGGGCATCGCTCCGCCATCGCCAAGCGGCAGATTGGTTCTTGGGGTTTTGCATTCCACTCAAATTTCGCTCTCTTGGTCTTCTGGGCGAATAAATGAGTTGATGGGCAGGGTTTATTACTCTTTTCTCTCCCCACCGAGCGATATCATGTCTTTGTCCATTTCTCGACACTCGTTCATACCTCTTTGACAATATAGTCCTACTGTTTCTCGAGCTGCTATTCTGAGCCTCCGGTGCTATTTTCCTTTTCTTTCAATTTTTCTTTCCCATCTTCAGCTGTTGTCTGTTATATTTCTTTCCCTCTATTATTCCTTCATTGTAAAAGCCTCACGCCCGCAAATGGTCTCCCAATGGCGTATTCCTAGGCCTTGCCTTTGGCTCACGGGGCTTTGCTATATCAATACACATGTTTTAGTAGCAGGCATAGAGTTGGATATTGGCAGCGATGGTGCGTATATTGTATTTCCTTCTACCTCTCACCTGTTACACCTGCTAAAATTCTATCATAGAGTCGATCAAATCAGCCGCTAGCACGATAGCCCATGATCTCGTCACCTTCTACTCCGGTAACAATTCTGGTGATGTACCAGGAAATCTGCCAGATCCATACTATTGGTGGGAGGCGGGCGCATTCTTTGGCTCACTCGTGAATTACTGGGCATTAACTGGAGATACTACCTACAACGACATCACCGTCCAGGCGATTGAGCATCAAGCCGGGGAAAATGGCGATTTCATGCCAAAGAATCAGACCTATACGGAGGGCAATGATGATCAATGCTTTTGGGCACTTACTGCGATGGCGGCCGCGGAACGAAACTTTACCAATCCCTCTCCTGACACTCCAGGCTACCTCGCCATGGTTCAGGCTGTTTTCAACGAACAAACCCACCGGTGGGATATGACCGCCTGTGAAGGTGGCCTACGTTGGCAGATATACACTTGGAATAATGGATATGGCTATAAAAACACGATTTCAAATGGCTGCTTTTTTGACATTGCTGCTCGATTGGCTCGGTATACGGGGAATGCGACCTATGCCGAATGGGCCACCAAAACATGGGATTGGTCCAGAGCCGTGGGATTGATCAGGAACGACTGGCAAGTCTACGATGGTACTACACATGAGACAAACTGTACATCATATGATCGAACAAGGTGGTCCTACACGGCTGGTATTCACCTGCATGGAGCTGCTGTAATGTATAACTATGTGAGATTACCCTCAAAGCCCGCACCTAGATAGTGATGCTTGATATCGCTGACATCTCTATCACCATAGACCTCTGAGCTCTTATCGAAATCATTGGAGTCCACCAATTCATCCCAGTCCTCCAACTCTTCCGCTGTTTGGAAATTACGATTGGATGGTCTCTTGGATGCTGCCGATCACTTCTTCTCTAAGAATGAGTCCAGCAAGAATGTCATGTACGAACCCCCCCTGTGAATTGATTGGCAGGTGCAACGTCGATCAGCTCTCCTTCAAGGCTTATATGTCTCGTTGGATGGCGGATGTCACCCAACTAGCTCCCCATACCTACGACATGATCATGAACAAACTCCGAGTCACAGCGAAGGCCGCCGTCGCCCAATGCCAAGGTGGAGACTCTGGAACATACTGTGGCTTCCGCTGGGCCAGTGGTAGTTATGATGGAACAACAGGCGTAGGTCAGCAAATGGGTACACTAGACGTCTTGCAAAGTCTTCTCGTCGCTGAAATTGACGGACCGGTAACCTCCACCACTGGAGGATCAAGTGAAGGCAATAGTGGTGCCGGGACCGAGTCGGATGATACAAAGGAAGAGATTCAGTGGGACCACATCACGAATGGGGATAGGGCCGGGGCAGCAATTCTTACCGCAGCTGTGATAGGATTGATTGGCATGGCGATTTATACCATGTTGTCTTGATTTGTGCCTGTTTTATAAGAAAAAAACATCTTCGAAAATCCTTTAGAAGCCTTCGAAGCGACAACTTGGGCTAAAACGAATACAAAGATACTAAAATCCCGAAGGTAGATGGGAAATTTGATGCTTTGATACCTACTTGAGTAGGTACTATTACTAGTACTAGTACAATGCTTATTTCTGTCTGAGGTATACGCGCAGAGTTACGACACTTAAATGATCAACAACCTTGGAACATTGGAGGGCATGATTCAGAAGATACTAGAATTTTAAGTAAATCTATATAATATTGAACCTGGTCAATTAGGAGAGGTTGACTCCGAGTCTTTAAAGTCCAACCACGCTCTGTAATCAAGCGTGGGGAATTTGTTGCTCATCAAGTGGCCACTTTGAGATGACTGTTGCATCGCCGGTCAATGTAAGGGAAACTACTGCCGATCGCTCATTGTTAAGAGCCAACTCGTACTTCCCAGGATAAACAACACGGTTTCCCTGAGAATCAGTGCGGGCAAGGTTGTCAAGTGAAACCGGAATAGTCATCTGCTGGGAAGCATGCGGCTTCAGTCCCCCCCAGACGATCAAAGCCGACGAGCCACTTGTTTGGATAGGGCTTGGGACCCGCAGTTGTGTTTGTGAAAAGCATGGCTGTATAGTCTGAGAGGACACCTCCAGTGTTGGTAATGCCAACAGTATAGTTGAAGAAAGGAACCTGCTCGACAGTGTTGTAGCTTTGGTGAGTCCTAGAAAGTAGATCCAGAATGTCAAAAGAGCGCCCATTACTAGATTTCTTGGACTTGGGCAAAGAGGCCTTGAAAGTTGAGTAGAAAAGTCCATGGCCGAAATCATAGACCGGAGTGCCTGTATACCACATGTAGGTCTGACCAGGGTTCTTGCCGCCTGGGCGCAGAGCCATGTCCGTAGCAGGGAACTCTGTCGCATATTTGGCAGGGTATTGAGTGGTTGTCAGACGGCCAGCAGGAGCACGCCTTCCAGTGATGATATCCACGAGAGCTTGTCCGCCAGACTGGCCGGGGTAGCCACCCCAGATTAGAGCATTGACATTCTTGTTTGACTTGAGGGAAGAGGAATCGACTTGTCCACCACCCATTTGCAGAACGACTAGAGGCTTGCCAAGCTTGCTCAGCTCCTTCACTAGTTGGAGTTGGTTGCCGGGCCAGGTAATATTTGCTCTGTCCATTCCCTCTGCCTCGATAGTATTATCAATTCCACCAGCAAAGATAATCAAATCAGACTTTTTGGCTGCAGAAATTGCAGCTTGAAATCCTTCGGTGGTCTCTGAGGAGATATTTGTGCCGAATGCATAGTTGACATCTAGGTCCGAGGCCTTTAGCGCGCTCAGAGGACTAGTCAAATAAGGCGCAGTTGAGTAATAGTTTCCTTGCATCTGCTCAGTGGCATTTGCCCATGGTCCAACCAGTGCAACGCTGCTGGTGTTCTTCGCAAGAGGCAAGGTACCATCGTTTTTAAGAAGAACAATTCCTTCGACGGCTGCCTCGTAAGATATGTTGCGGGCGTCGGTCGACACGACATCGGACCATTCAAGGTCGCGGAATGGACTATCGCCGCCATCAAAATAGCCTAGGCGAACCAAGTTCGAGTAGAGTCTGATGACACCACGTTCGATCTCACTGCGGGAGATTCCTCCATCGATAAGGGATTCGTTGAGATAGTATTGATAGGAAGTTCCGCAGTCGATATCAGTTCCGGCTCTCATCGAGTCAGCAGCCGCACCAGAGACATTCGCGGCATATTCGTGAGGGTTGAAGACATTGTAGACAGAATCACAGTCCGAGGAAACGTAGCCGTCCTCCACAAATCCCCAAGTATCGCGAAGAAGGGTCTGAAGGAAGAATGAATTCGCAGAGCTGGGTACGCCATTGACGGCGTTGTAGGACGACATAACACTGTGAACCTTGGCATCTCGTACAGCAGATAGGAATTGGGGAGTGAAGTACTCCGCCAGGTCTTGTTGGGTGATATTCATGTCATTTCCCAATCGGGAATGACCATCCCAGTTCTCAATGTCATAGCCAGCGTAGTGTTTTGCCGTAGCGACCAGCTTGAGATGGTCAGGATCCACACCTCCCTGAATACCAGTGATATACTCATAGGCATAGGCAGAGCATAGGCAGTAGGCATCCTCGCCAGGTGTCTCCTGTCCACGGCCCCATACGGGATGGCGGAAGGAATTGATGTTTGGTGCATAGACATCCAGTCCATACCTACCGACATTATTAAATGCTCGGCCTTGTGTAGAAATGATATCTCCGATGTGATTGATCATCGTCCGATTGAGACCGGCCATCGTAAGGATCGGCGAAGGGAAGGAAGTTGCCCAGCTGAAGTCGCCCGAATCGGTGAAATTACCCCGGTCAAGCCCATGAAGGGCTTCACTCCATACTTGGTAGGCGGGTAAACCGAGTCGTGGAATTGCCGGAATATTGTTGCCCGTACTGTTCACCAGTTCCTCGAATGTAAACAAGGAGATGAGGGCCACGGCTCGATCGTGGGCATTGGCCGATTTGTCACAGACGATTGAATTGCCGAGGGGACCTTTGTCACAGTCGGGGAAGCTTAGGTCAATTGTTCCGATTGTTTGCGCATCAAGGTCGGGCTGGGCCTCGGTGGAGTAGTCCTTGTAGGTAGTGTTGGCCTGGCCCAAAATGGCTGGTACCAAAGCCGCCAGTACGGCGAGCAATCCAGCAGCGGGCATTGCGAAGATGGGATCTGAGAGAGATACTGGGCTATGAATCCCATTTGAAAACGCGAAATTGCAGTTTCCTTTATACCCCCTCACTTTGCTGCACATCGGCTGCTCCAAACCCCGTGGGCATCCCCGGGAAAAAACAGCTTCTCCACATTGCCCGACCAAGTAAGTCCCGCAGCCGATCCCGAAGCTTTGCCGGCAAGCTCGCCGGGGCCTACACTTGTGTGTGATTTAGCCTGAAGTCTTTTAACTTCGATCGATGTGGGGGTAGTAGTATGATCTGGAAGTTGAGTCAGGAGAGGGTGGGGGATGAGAATGGGAAGTACGGTGGAGCTGCAGGGCAACAACATCAGTCCTTGCGTAACACATCAATGAAATTCGGCGCAGAATTGAGGGATCTAACCTCTGAATGGAATGACTTTTGGTTTAATATTATTTTCAAATGGTCGAAGTCGTAAATACCTCTTTAATAGAGAATACAGATATACTCATTCCGAGAACGTCCGTTAAACGTGATGATGTGGAAAGATTGGAAATGAAATACATTCTATCTTGTTTCAGTTTGCTGCAAGCACGCATCCATTACTATCAGCTAGCTTGTATTTTTCAAGCACGTAATCAACATCCTTGTCGCCACGACCCGAGAGATTGACAAGGATCCTTTCGGATGGCGGGAGCTGCGCCGCTAACTGGATCGCAAACGCTAATGCATGTGCACTTTCCAGCGCCGGAATTATACCTTCGAATTTAGCCATTCGGTAGAATGTATTGACGACTTCCTCGTCTGAAATTCTTGCAACTGATAACCGACCAGCTTCATGCAGCATTGCAATCTCAGGGCCAACGCCAGGGTATGCGAGTCCCGATGCTATAGATGAGACACTTGCAGGCGTACCGTCATCTTTCTGAAGCGTGATGGATTGAGCACCGTGCAACGTGCCCGGTTTTCCATAAGACAGTGTCGCCGCATGTTGACCCAGCTTATCAGACGTGCCCAGAGGCTCAACTGCATGTAAAGTGACACAGGGTTCATCTATAAATCCTGTGTATATACCCATTGCGTTGGAACCACCAGCAACGCAGGCAACGACATGCTCAGGTAAACTTCCGTCTGCCATGGAAAGAAATTGCTCGCGCGCTTCTCGGCCAACAACACCCTGGAAGTCCCGAACAATCATAGGAAAGGGGTGTGGGCCAATGGCTGACCCAATAGCATAAAGCGCGTGTTTGTGTTGCTCGACATACGCGTTAAATGCCGAATCACTAGCATCTTTGAGGGCGGACTGGCCAGTCGATACAGACACCACGCGCGCACCGAGTAGCTGCATCCTGCCAACATTCGAGCTCTGCTTCTTGATATCAACTTCTCCCATGTGAACTTCGCATTCGAGACCAAAGTAGGCGGCTGCAGTTGCCAGAGCGACGCCATGCTGGCCGGCCCCCGTTTCAGCAATCAGTTTCTTTTTGCCCATCCGTTTAGCAAGTAGGGCAAAACCAACACAGTGGTTGATTTTGTGTGCACCGGTGTGATTCAAATCCTCTCTTTTGACGAAGATTTGGGCTCCTCCGACTTGGTTTGAGATATTTTCAAGGTGATGTATTGGCGTCGGGCGCCCCTGAAGTCCGACCCGCACCTTATCCAGAGTAGTCTGAAATTCTGGCGATTGATGAAGCTCCTTATGGCTGTTGGCCAACTCGAGCAGTGCGGATCGAAGTTGTGGGGGATAGTGATTACCGCCAAAGCGACCATAATAGCCCTCAGCGTCGGGATTGCTCTGGAAGTGAGAATTGATGCTCTCCGACATGTTGGCTTACCCTCGAGAATGGCAGAATGGGTAGAATCGGATGATGGATGAGGTGATTAGAACTTGCAAATCTGACTTGCCAGTGTAGCTAAAAGCAGATACTAGTAGTAATGAAGGCCAAGGTAGTAGAAGAAGTAGAGAGGACAGATAGTCCCAACAAGTCTGGTCAGCAGTAACTTCCAGTGCCCGACCTACGAGGGGGAGTAAGATGTTTTATATTTTAAATGTACGGAACCTTCAAGTTGGAAGGATCGAATCCTTCAGAGTATCTGGGGATGTCCCATTGGTGGTTGTTGCAACTTGTACAAAGTAATTCGTGTTCGAAGTTGAGAGGCAACTAACACTCGATGATCCACAGTGCACTTTCCGACCCGCCAACCCTCCTCCCGACCCGCTCAGCGTCTTATCTTTCGTGAGTCAAATGTCAGTCAAAGGGCGTCCAATCTCAATAAATCCCAAGGCTTGCTTGGTCTGCATTATTATAGTTCGAGGATTTTGGGCGGCTAGATGTCTCGAATTAAACATTTTAGGACTAGTACTAGTAACTTCAATTTGAATGTCCGACTGTACCCATCATGGTCTTACAACTTAAAGTATATGCACGAGAGAACCTTCAAGTTGGGATATTTCGATATCGAAACTTGAATTCTACCTTTGGAATTTGTCAGCGGATCTTGATTTTTTTTTGATCGCCTTGGATTCTTACCAATATACCACTAGTATAACTTAAGAAGCTCCATTCAGGCTGAACTGGGTGCTTCGGGTCCTGCGTCACTGCCCAGGAGGTGATTAGTAGTATTTGTGTCTCGGACCCCCTCATGCACACTATTACGGTACTAGGCTAGCTTTCGGAGTGCTCGGATAGTCTGGTGCAGGTGCTCCACCCCGACAGAGGCTCGTCCCGACAATTTCCCTTAACGAAGTAGTTATACATTTCTTGCATGATAAACCAGGGCCTAGCTATTTTAATTTTATCCTGTTTACCTTGGATAACAGCTACTAATACTCTTGGGGTCTAGGCTCTTTTTGCCAGAATTCAATACTACTCCAAGGTCGATCAGATGTACCAGTAGTACTGCTCAGTGCACCCCTCAAGTTTACCGTTCATTTCCAACGAACTTGCGGTTTATTCGGCCGAGATTGTTCAGGCAGTGTTATATTTGAAAATCAATTAAGCCCTTCCTTCCACCCCTGTTTAATATGAGATCTTGAATACCCAAGCCATCCGATCAGCTGCAACAACCTCCTTGCTTGGGAATAAGGCCACAGATCCATTGCTAGACTTTCTTGTTGGCACCACTTCACCATGCATTTTCCCACCCAATACAGTCACCTTGTCACCATTAACCCATGGAATGGGGCTATTCAAGATCAATGTGCTGTTCGGTTTGGAGAGTGCATGGATATAGAAAGCATCCCTCGAGATGGTGAACCTGACATTATCGCCCTCTTCTGGAGTGACAAACCAGTATGTTGTGTTGAAGATAGCCTCGGCATGATCCTTGATCCAAACACCAGCCTCGCGCAGGTTCCTTTGTTCGACGTCGATAATTGTTCCATTCGCGGTTGGGCCCACGTCTAGAAGAAAATTACCGTTCTTGCTCACAATGTCAATCAGGCCTGTCACAATGCTGCTGGCGTTCATATAGCTAGCCAGGGGGGTTGCGCGATTGTAGCCGTAACTATATGGGTCCATCCCCAGGCTGCTCTCCCACTTTCGAACTTGGACCCCATCGTACCGGGCATATTCGGGGGTGTCAAAGTCTCCTGGTAGACCACATCGTGCATTCATCACAACTTGCCGATTTTCCTCTGCTGCCTTGTTGAACCACTGTGATGCGAAATCCACAGTACGATTAGGACCACCGATATCACACCACATGATTTCGGTGCCCATCTCGGCCAGAGTATTCATTTCGGGAAGTATCTTATCCTCGATATAGTCGTTAAGTGGCACATACCCGGTGTACGGAAGTGTTTCGTTGGTGAAAGGATTGGTTGCATTTCCTAAAAGTGGTCAGGAAAAAGTTCGCATATCTTCGGTCGATCAGAAGGCGAGGATTAATACCTCCGGGCCAAGAAGAGAACCCATATTTTTTGTAGTCTGGATGAAACCATTCAGGTAGTGAGTAGTATACCGCACGATGCAAGTGTGGCTGGTACTTCTTGGAAGCATCAAACAGTTCCTATCGAGATGTCAGATTAAGACCATGCCTTGTTCGCTTATTATGCATCACACCTGTACCAAGTTCCGGTGCGGCGTCATGGCCACGGATGTTCGCTTGGTGATATTTTCTGGGAGATCAAAAAGAGCATATCCTTCATGGTGTTTGCTGACTTGAACAAAGTAATTGGCACCGGCATCGGCAAAAAGATCAACCCATTCCTTAGGATCCCACGCGTCCGCCGTGAAATTCTGAATGAAATCATCGTATACAAGTTCTGTCCCATAGGTCTTCTTTTGATAGTCATAGACATCAGTCTTATCACTAGGACCCTGACCAAGCCACCACCAATACCTAAAACTTGTTAGTAGTCGTTTCTCCTAGTGAAGGTTTGCCATCTGCTCACCACTCAGCGTAGTTCTCCTTCGATCCTGAATTGCCCCAGCCAGGCACTGAATAAACTCCCCAGTGGATAAAGATCCCGTATTTAGCATTATTATACCAGGTCGGGGCTTCATGGCTGTAGATTGACTCATAGGTAGCTTCGTACAGGCCGATTCCGTAGGATCCTTTGAAAGTATACTTCTGGCTTCTGACTCCTTCGCCTTCAATGACCACAGTGGCCGGACCTGAGCTTCCTGATTTCACCCCATCGCGATTGATAACCCCAATCTCTACTATGGCCTGATCGCCGGGCCCTAGGCGATTGATTACTCCGTGGGTCACTGTCTTCAGACCTGGCGACTCTATCCGGACTCGAACAGTGTTATTCCGTAGGATGAATGAAGACCCGATATTATTTACCAGGACTTCAATGATTTGAACCTTTTCCGTGCCCTCCATCCACTTTTGTGTAGAGCGAGCATACTGAGTCTGAAGCCTCGGTGCTCTTGAAATATCCTTTGAGGCAGGCAGAAGTGACAAAGAAAAAACGTGCAGTTTTGTATCCACTTCAGCGCCTCCAGGCTCGGTCGAAGACCCAGAGGAGGACTCGGGGAACGTCAGCGAAACAAGCTCTTTTGAAGAATCCAACCAATTAATGGTTTGGAAGATATTGGTTCGGTTGAAATTTGAGCTGTTTTGCGTGAGATAAGAGGAGAAGATCAGGTCTCCTCCAGCGGGATATGGCCAGCTCCACCATGCGGGGACAAGTAACGGGCCAGTTGTATTGCTACCATCAGCATACTTGGCTGTGACCGACCCAGCTGCCATTCCAGACTCTGATGCAGCAAGCATCTGATAACTGAAATATTTGGCACGGGGGACCTTGATCTCTTGTCCCTTCACTAGGACATTGTCGTAGCCAGATGCATTGTACGGAGAGAATCGATAATTAACTCCTCCATAGGCGAATCTCTCTGGTGGAATCTCTTTGGCCGGGTATGAGTCTGAAGGAGGGTAAGCATTAGAATGACGAGTCAATAATCACGGATTAGCAAAAGAACTCCCATACTTCCTTGGCCATCGAAGCTCGAATCGTTAGGACTCAACCCAAATGCACGGTTATTGAAGAATGGGCGTAGATCCAAGGCGATAGAAGTGTTGGGCCCGGATAGAGCTTCGAAGTCATTTTGTGGCTTGAATATTACTCCTTGACAAGTAGTCACACTGGCCAGAAGAACACTTGCGATACACCCGGCATTCAACATGATGGCATACTAGCTTCTGGATAGTGGGAGTGACAGAACTCGGTTCTCTGCCGATGATATATGGACTATATTTTGCTATTCCTCAGGAGTAACGGTGCCATTTCCCCGCATTCCTGCCAACCCCCCTACGTACTATACGTAGTTTACTCTCTTTTTATCGGGTAATAACTATCGGAAAATTACAAAGTATGTCTGGTCGGGTGAAACCGATGAGATCGGCGTGCGGAGGTGGCGGCGTTTTCGCCGAAGCTATCCCGGCACCATGCCATATCTCACCATGATCATCGCGGGAAATGTTAGAGCATTTGAGTGCCTGAAATTCTCTCATATGACTTCCATTAGCCAGGGCATTTCGGCTAAAGTCAGCATTGGAGGCTACTAAATACTCTGTGCGAAACCTTCAATTCCACCTGTTCAATGAAGACCTTCCACTGGTCCTCGCCAAGAATCCCACCCTGCTCGTTCATTTTCTCAGTACAATTTTACTCTGCTCTCCATGCAAGGCAACTAGGTCCTGAGAAAATTACGTCGAGTTGTTCGAGAGGACGATTTGCGGTTTCTGTTAAGTTGTTAACAATATATCGTCGGTGGGCTTTCAAGTTCATCCGAGATGATGCAACTAACCAACAGAAAAAAGGTAGATCGGCGCGAGCAGAGCGAGGTTAATTAACGCGAATAGAATAAAAACCCAGAATCCAATTGCTTCAATCAGGTATGGAATTATCAAGTTGAAAGTTCCTCCAGCAATGGAGAAAAGAAAACGTAGCCAGAGCAGCACCTTTACTTTGGCTTGCGAGAGGGAAAACTTCGGTGGGATATACCCAGCTTTGATAGAAGTTAGTTCAAGAGCCTTGCAAACTCAATCCAGGACCAAGTACTCACCAAGTCGTCAGCCAGGTACTGCCGTAAATAAAAATATAGATATAGAGAATAGCCGCGACTCCCGAACCATACTTGTTGGCTAGGATCGGGTCAGTCTCCGAACGTGATATTTTCTCGTGAGAAAGAGCACGAGAAAACAGGGTTGACAGACACTCATATTTTGGATCCAACCATCGCTAAGGTGAACTGAACAGCGACAAAGGCGCCTCGTGAATGGGGGTCTGCCAACTCTGACGTCCACACAGGTACCATTGTATTCAAATGACCACATCCGACTCGCGCGAAAGCAAACCAAGTGATATTGGTAGCCGAAGCCAACAAGGCCGCCCCGAGGATTCCCCAATGACATCCCAACAGGATTGTTTTCAGTCGTCCAATCGAGTCAGCGACGTATCCGATAAGTAATGCACCGATGGCAAATCCTCCAAACCAAAGACTAACGAGCCCGCTAATGGCGGCAGCGTCTCTGTCGCTACAACGGGCAACCCCCATCCGCTGCATGTAATCTGCATTGTTGTTTACTTGGCTCATTACTGCGGTGTCATAGCCGAAGAATAGAATTGCGCATCCGGCGAAGAGAAAGATTGCATATGTCATCGATTTGCCCTGTAATTTCATACATCTCGACGGTGAGAATCTTCCGGGGATATAGCGAGTAAACTCGGGTTCAGCTGAATAATGAATGAGCAGGCTGCAGATACCTTCAAGTTAGAGACCTGGGTCTGTTATATCAACTCACGGCGAAAGATAGATTGCTCATGGTTTGCCCGATCGGTGTTATTCACGCTTTGTTTCTCCATTGTGTTATGCCAAGGAGCCAAGAAAAGAGGCTTGTGAGCTTAATAGAATGGTATTCAAAGGAGGACACCCTCCTCTTCACCTTCGCCTCAAAATTTTGAGCTCCGATCGGACTTGCTCCGATGTATCTCAATGCTCCCGGATCCTGATTTTCCCCAGGGTTCCACAGGTTCCACTTCTCCGCTCTCACTCGGTCGATAGAACACTGAGGGATGAGGTAATTCTAGCCAGAAAGGAATGGGATGAACGGAAAGGAAATTGAAATTGAAATAAAACACATCCTTGTGCAACAGAGCGCTTGTCCAGTGAATGGTATGATTCGACCATGGAGAGATGTTGGCCGACCTTCCTCGGGCCTGGAAGACTGCAAGATGTGAACTTGAACAGATCGGTAATCAGGTACAAGAAACAAACAGATATCGAAAGTCTGCGCTCGAAGTAGAATATTCATAAGATGGATGGTATTTCGAGACGATGATTGATATGATACACTAAAATACAATCGCTATGCATGTAAAAATTCATTTGAATTCAGAATGATGTTTCGAGTTCCTCTCTCTTCAAGGCTTGGACTTGGACGGACGCGCCCTGCTGACCTTGACTTCCTGCTCCAGCTTCTCAAGGGCCTTGGGATACTTCTCTTGGAGTGACTTGAGGTCATTTGTCTTCACCTGAACGCGGTCGATGGGCGAGTTACGCGTGATGGGACCATCCATGCTGGCTGCGATTTCGTTTGCGAACCACCTTCCTTCGCGGTGAGCCACCAGGGACCATGCAGAGCCTTCCTTTCCAGCACGGGCGGTACGGCCGACACGATGGACGTAGGTTGTGATACTGCTGGGAACATCGTAGTTGATAACATGAGACAGCGATTGCAGATCCAAACCACGAGAAGCACGGTCAGTAGCCACGATGACAGAGATTTTGCCCTTGCGGTAAGCTGCCAAGGTCTTGCGTGAAGCGGACGATTTATCGGATTTGATGATGGTTCCCACGCGGCTGGCAAGCTGCGGGTGGAGCAGGGAAATGAGGCGGGAAAGTCGCGACGCAGATTCAGAAGATTTGGTGAAGATGAGTACAGTAGTGGCCCGGGGCCCGAGCTTGGATACAATTTCGGGCTTGGACTCGGACTCGGACTCGGACTCAGAATCAGAAGAGTCAGAAGATGAAGTGTCGCTTGAAGCGTCGGAGTCTGACTCGGAATCCGAGCCTGAGGATGATGTATCATCATCATCTGAAGATTCATCTGAGGTGGTTTCGTCATCACTGGAGGTATCATCCGAGCTGGTGCTATCGGAGTCAGAGGCCTTGGAAGCGAGACTAGACTTCTTATCAACTTCAACGCCAATATGCGATAATAGCAGACGCAGAAGATAGAGTGGCTTGAGAGCTTCATCGCCCACGGCAACCATACGTTCTCGCAGAGTCGACGGCAGTGTGAAGTGGGCATCGGAGTTCCTAGCGGAAGGATCCTCGGGGTCCATGGCATTCTCAGCGCCAATGATTACCATCTTGGGGTCATCAAGGCGTAGAGAGTTGAGCTTGGTAATGTCGCGGGTCATGGTAGCGCTAAGAACAACCTTTCTCGGGGGTTTTGTCTCAATCGGCAGACCAAGCTCAGACAAGAGTTTGCCGCCAGGGCCGAAGGTTTCGGGTGCATGTCGCGCATCCAATGAACCTATGACCACATCCACCCACTCTTGGAAGCTTTCGTTCAGCAGACGATCGGCTTCATCGATCACTAGCCATTCAAGATACTTGAGGGTGAATCCCTTGGTGTAGCGAAGATGATCCACCAAGCGACCAGGGGTACAAATGAGAATGTCGACATTGGGCTCGTATCTCTGAATGTATCCCGGAAGGGAACCTGTCGAATCAACAGCCTCAGTAACACAGTCTTCAAGGCTAAAGTCCATCCAGTCATTGTCTTGCAAGCCTGGCGCCTGCCTTTGAGCAACAGTTGCCGGGTTGTAGACCTGGTCTGTCCTCATGATAAGCTTTTGCTCTTCTTTAATGGCCACATTTCCGACAGCACTGCCGATGTGAAGGCGCGATCCGGAGGCGCAGAGTTCACAAGCCTCGCGAGCCTGTTTGACTAGCTCTCGGGTAGGGACGACAATCAAACCTCGAAGTCTCGACGCGGGCCTCGGGTTCAAAGATGTCACGAGCGGAAGCACGTAGGAAAGAGTTTTTCCAGATCCTGTTGCGGCTGAGATACACAAATCCCCAGGATGATGGTTGTCGCCGTCCAATAGGAGAGGGATGACGGTGGATTGAACTGCGAAGGCCTCTTTGTAATTGTTCTGGTCGAGGATGCGAAGAAGATCTGGCTTAATTCCGAGGTCTGCGAACTTGGCTCGTTCATCGGTTGATGTTCGAAGGGGGTTCGCCAACCAAGGAGGGAGAGAAGAGTAGGTAGGAGCCTGTTCGAGCTCCGGCGGATTCTCGGGCTGTGGCAGTGGCTCCAGACCCTTTGCGATGACTGGCTCAACAGCATGCTCTTCCACTTCTTCAACTTCGGGCTTCGACTTCTTTGCCTTTTTGCTGGACACGGTTTTCGTGCGTTCAAACTTGGAAAGGATTCCCGCGTGTTTGTTCTTGGACGGCTTGCGCTCTGCCTCGTCATTACTAGATTCTTCCGACTCTTGGTCTTCCTTGGGCGTTGACTTTTTCGTAGTTGCAGATTCATCATCAGCCCGATCGTCCTTTCGAGAGCTCTTGCGTTTGCTATCCTTCAATTTCTTGCTTGATTTGGGGACATCATCGTCGGAGTCTGCTGGGGTCTCCTTGGTATGCTTCGATGAGGCGATTTTCTCTTTCCGGGGCGAGTTCTCATGATCATCACCCTGAAGAGAATCCTTGAGTAGCTTTCGCTTCTGCTTCTCACTGCCTTCAGTTGACAGACTCTCACGCTTCTTCTCTTTCTTGTGCTTCTTGGTCGGGTAGAGGTGGAGGTGGAAGTAGTGGGGTCATCGCGTTTTCGTTTATGGGAGGAATTGTCGGGCGACATCTTGTTGGCAGTCACCTTGGATCCGGCCATTTTTCTATCACAGGCGCATCTAAAGAGAGAAAGCTGCGCGGTGGGGAAAGTTTTTGGAACTCGGTTTTTTGTGCCAGTTCTATTTCACCGCTCATCCACTCATATTAGTTCACCGCCCTCCTGCTATCGCGCCGCAGCGGGCGAGGCAGGCGCGATTCGGGGAACATTTGGAGGTTGGGAAGGAGCAACCATCAACATCCTCCAAAGGTAGTCACGATGGAGGGTCAAGTCACCTGCTCAGTCATCTGTTCAAAGATCTCCCATCAATCTCTCTGACGTTGTCCTTCTTTCCATTTACCATCACTCTCCACCCCTCCAACAGGAGAACCACCGCAACCATGCCATACAACATTGCGTAAGTGATCTAGTCTGTCGATAATTCCCAGTTGCCTGCCACTAATGAATGCCGCATTAGCATGGTCAGTGACTTCTTCTTCCCCCAGTCTGGTACGTATATATTCCCGAGAGAGGATCTACTATCAATGAAAACGTCTCCAATTGCTCATGGTCAATTGCTAACTTCGACTTACCAGGGGGAATCGAAAGTCACATCTACCAGCTATCTTCGGTGAGCGCACCACTTTTACCTCATGCAATTCCTACTCGTCCAGCTCCATGAATCCTGACCGAAGCACAAACACTTTCAGAAACTCATCGACCGTGGACACAAAGTGATCATCATTACCCATGCGTACAAAGGCCGAACCGGTGTCCGCTACCTCACCAATGGACTAAAGATATATCACGTCCCATTCTTCGTTATTTACCGAGAAACAACTTTCCCCACGGTCTTTTCCTTCTTCCCTATATTTCGCAACATCGTCATTCGTGAGCAGATTGATATTGTACACGGCCATGCAAGTCTTAGTAGCTTCTGCGGTGAAGCTATTCTCCACGCACGAACAATGGGCTTACGGACTGTCTTCACCGATCATTCTCTCTTTGGCTTTGCAGATGCGGCTTCTATCCTGACGAATAAATTGCTCAAGTTTACATTGAGTGATGTGGATCATGCTATCTGCGTCAGTCATACTTGGTGGGTTATATTCCTCCCCAAGTTCTGCTATTCCCGCAACTAACAACCACCTAGCAAAGAAAACACCGTCCTCCGTGCCTCATTAGACCCGCTGATGGTCTCCGTAATTCCCAACGCTGTCGTTGCAGAGAACTTCTGTCCACTCTCATATTACCCTCGTACTCACGATCAAATACCTATCTCACCCGCCGACCCTCGACCATCGCCGACCCCCATTGGTCCCAATGACACAATCACAATCGTTGTGATCTCCCGCTTATTCTATAACAAAGGAACCGATCTTCTCATCGCCGCTATCCCACGGATCCTCGCCTCCAATCCAAATACTCGCTTCATCATTGCTGGATCTGGTCCAAAAGCAATCGACCTAGAGCAGATGCTAGAACGCAACGTCCTTCAAGACAAGGTCGAGATGCTCGGGTCTGTTCGCCATGAAGAGGTACGAGATGTTATGGTTCGAGGGCACATCTACCTGCACCCCAGTTTAACCGAAGCATTTGGCACCGTCATTGTCGAGGCTGCCAGTTGTGGGTTGTACGTGGTTTGCACACGAGTCGGCGGTATTCCTGAAGTTCTTCCTCAGCACATGACTACCTTCGCCAAACCCGAGGAGGATGATCTAGTCGTTGCAACCAGTAAAGCAATTGCTGCGCTCCGCTCCAACAAAGTTCGTACCGACCGATTCCACGATCAAGTAAAGATGATGTACTCATGGCGGGATGTGGCTGAACGGACTGAACGTGTCTACCAAGGTATCATTGGCGACATTAGTCCGTCAGAATTCTACGGCTCCTATCCGGACCAAGGTTGGGACGTTAGCGGCGATCGGGTTCGCAGTTTCGCCCTCATTGATCGCTTGAAGCGGTACTACGGATGTGGTGTGTGGGCTGGAAAGCTCTTCTGCCTTTGCGTTGTCATCGATTTCTTGATTTTCGTCTTCCTAGAGATGTGGTTCCCCCGGGCGAATATCGACATTGCACGCAGTTGGCCTAAGAAGCAGCCGCTGGACAAATTACGAACACATTCGATTCGAAATTCGAAATAATTGGTTACGAGGGGAGGCATAATATTATCTTCACCTCCAACTATCTTACGACAGACAACAACTTGTTCATAATACCCTCAACACAATACTACATAATATCAAGAAGCCAACCATCTGTGAAATACCTGAAATTCGTTTGTTTCGTCGCATGCTAAATAATATCTGATATCCAAATCGGTCGGCTTTAAAATCACTAGGATATCCGACCCCAAAGGACATCATTTAATATACATTGTTACCAGCTTGGCTGCGCTTGGTCTTTGGCTCATACTTCCACTCTTTATCCAGGGTCTCGGCGGTCTCGCCTTGGACATCCTGAACTGAACGATCAGCCTTATCACTACGCGAGCCAGCCAAAGCACCTTCCTCTTTCTCGAGGCCTCGCTGGCTCGGAAATGCTCGCTCAACACCCTTGTCCTCACGGGAAACACCGACACCTTCTAGACCGGCCGATTGCTTCTTGCGACCATGCTGTCCGTCGTGTCGGAGTTCGACACCAGTCTGGCCCTGAAGGGGCTTTCCGAGGCCAGTGTTCACATCAGCAGATGTGGCGCCTTGCAGAGTGTCTGCGGCAGAGGTGTATGTTGACTCTTTGCCGTGACTGCGCAAGACATCTGGATTGTTGGCCTGGCTGCCTATGTCGTTGGCATTGGGAGTGTAGGAGCTACCAGCGGGCGCACTGCCTGGTGGGAATGCTTGCATATGGTATTCAGGACGCTGATCAGCCTCGTTGACCTTGACGCCGGGCTTGTGCTAGATGAAATGTTAGGTGCGATGCCTTCTTAGATTGTATGCGAGATCCGTCTTACACCCTTGGTAGTTAAAGGTCCCTGGGGTGCGATAGAGGGCTTAAAACTGCCCTGCTTAGCGTTGGCGACAGAGTCGATGTTGTTCAAGGTACTCATCGCGAAGGTCGTGATATAGTCGTAAATTGAAGAAGATAGAGATTGAAGTAATTAAAGCTTTAGTTCCTCTGCTATTTTATACCCAACGAATGTCATCCATTCCAATACCTCATCACCTCACTTTTCCATGCTTGATACTTGATCATCATGATATCTTGTTCACAACATGACGTCAAGTTGACGAGAACCACTCTGGCATGCCAAGTGGACACCAGCATTGATGGCCTTTTATTTTTTGATATCGATATTTCATGTCAATTCGCGGGTTCAATCAATCCCTGGAATTATAGTCCTGTGGGTTGATGTCGATCAGGGTCATCGAAGACCAGTGACATCAAAAAGTGGAGATGTCAAATATTTCGACGAACGCAGGTTGAATGCCAACAAGTTTATCGAACTTGCCAAATTCTTGATTTCAAATTCGAGATAGTGCGCAATTTAGATGTAATGGATTATGTATCGCTCTCTGTCCCCGCTCCCTGTCCCCGCTCCTTATTTCTCCGGGTTGTCGGTGGTGGGTCTTCATCCTCGACTGTCTCAGATCTATGGAGTTTAATACAGCGTACTAGTAGATTAAGTAGATTACTGCGAACATGCATTCCATGCCCAAGTTCATGATACTTAGACGCTTGCTGCCGTCTCAATGTGGCACGTGAAAAAGCAGAAATGGATCTCAATCACCTCGAGGACTGCCAGTTGTCAACAATTAGTGGCTCACGAGGATATTCAAACAATCACCTGTCCTCGTATTCAGTGAGATCAAAGGCTTGGGCTTCATCGTTTATTGATATCAGGGCACCCAGATCACCGAGGATTAAGTGTCAGGATGCTTTGCGCTACAGATATGCCATCAAGTACTCAGCCATAGCTGTAGAGATGACGTAAAACCCATCCAGATTCATTGGTATGTACAGTAGAAAACCCCATTCACAAACGCCATTATGCAAATATGTTCAATCCAATTCGCAGCTGAGGGTGCTGATCCCATAATCGTATTATCGCATCACTGGCGGCCGACTCTCCTTATTCCACTTCACACGGCTTTGAATCCACTCGACAGCAGCCTGTACTCCCGATCCCATCAACGCGCTGACCGGCAGCACGCGACTGTCTCGAACGCCACCACCCGTTTCGCCTTCGAAAACTTTCCGTACAAATCCCTCCTTGATCCGCACTACCTCGACGCAGTCTTCGCGATCTTGTTTGTTGGCCAGCACTAGGATCGGAACACCCGCCACATCGGCGCTCTGCAAAACAGACTCGAGGACTTGGCGGCATTCATCCAGACGACCGAAAGAGCTGCCCGCTGCGTTGATGCCGACGTTTTGTTCGGAGAAAGATTCGCTGGGGTCGGGGATGGAGCTTGGTCGACGGCCTGGGGCGGAGGGGAGACGGGTGATATCTGGGTCTTGGCCGACGTCGGCGCTGTCGACGACGAAGACGATGGCGTGGCAGCTGGTGTAGTAGCTTTGCCAGAGGCCACGCATGGAGATCTGGCCGCCAATGTCCCAGATCTTGAGGTTCATATCGGATAATGGGATGGTTGAGACATTCTGGCCGACGGTTGGGACGGTCTTGCCTGGGTTGGGTGCGGGGACACCCTCTGGCCGGGGCTGGTAGAGGGCTTTTATTTGGGTCAGGAGAGTTGTTTTGCCGGCATTGTCTAGTCCGAGGAGGAGGACGGAGTACTCTGTAAAGATGAAGTCGCAACGTAGTCAGTATACCTCGTTAGGTACTAGGTTGAGGGCATCCGGGGAGCTTGCGCTAATGTCCAGCGGGAGCAGATGGGTTGCGGTTCAAGTCGTACCTTCTTTGCTGGTCGCGTAGGTATACAGCGACTTAGCCAGGTGATACATAGTCGCGCAGAAGCTCACGACCGGCGCGATCGAGTCTGGACGTGATGGAGGACAGTTGGATGCGGCATGCGCGCACCGAAAGAGGAAAGTAGGGCTTAGGGCTGGGATTTGCTGCCTTGGTGCCTGAATTGAATTATACAGTAGTAAGTAGTATCCAGCTACGGATTAGTTACAGCATGGAGTATTCCAGAGCGTAAGAGTATTCACCTACATACTAGTACTATTAGGCATTATCAGCAGCTATAAGTACAGTACTAAGAAGTAATTGAAATCTCTTATTTTGAATGGTGCTCTAACGCTAGTACTTGTAGGTGTAGCCTATACTGGAAGGGCTGGCCCCGGGGATATGGCTCTTTATGTGCATGCCGGAACATGATAAACAACAAATGTGCCTAATGGACCTAATAGTTCAATTTAACTTGATATAACCTATAAGATACACAATAGTACATACTACTAGTATATTTAATATAGTATACTAATACTATGAACTATACTTACTAGTAACGGGACTAAGTGGTCTAAGGTCTTGCGTGATCTCCGTCTCGGATGGCAAGAGCGACCTGGAATATGCGCGACTGCCCGGGACTGCACCCCAACTGACTACTGACTACCTTAGGTAGGTACGTACAGCACTGACGCTCCAACTTAACTTCAACTTCAACTTCCCTCCTTCATCTCTTCAATCCCTCTCACTCCTAGATCTTCATCCTGACGTGTGGATGATGACCTTTCTTCGTCCCTCGGGACGGCATTCCCCCTCCTCCATATGGGGAACCACTGGAAAATTCCACCCCACCTGCTTTTGTCAGCTTGATTATTGGTCTCCGCTCTATGCGGAACTCGCCTCTCCGACCCGGGGAGAGAGGGATTCCTTTCTCTCTTCTATGGCCCTGGCCTTCTATTTCTCCTTTTACAGTGTGACCGTGACAGGCCTGCGTGTCTGTGATCCTTCGTCTTTGTCGCATCGCCCAACTATGCCCGCGCCAGTTGATCCGTATCCGCTCGAGGCTCGGTCGCCCTCCATGCAAACCGACACGGTCATCGTCGGTATGTTCTCGACTATAGCCTTCAAGAGGCCTCGAGACACCTGTGCTCTCTAATACTAACTCAACTACTAGGCAATGGGCCGTCGGCCATGATCCTGTCCTACATTCTCCACGGTCATATTCCTTTTTACTCCTCCACTCCGCCGCATCCCGACCCGCTTTTGGACGCCAAGTTGAAACATGCGACCAATCTTCTGAACGTCGATGTGGAAACATTGACGGCTCACTTTGCGGCCTCCCGCCTTTCATATTCCACCCAAGCCCTGCCGGTCAATGTGCTGCTAGACACCCTTGTGCGTCCCAGTTTGGACATCGACGAGGCAGGCACCACCTCAAATATCGAGTGGCGCTACACACCCGAAAAGGTCATCCCGCATCTCGTATTTGGGAAACCTACCACTCCAGGAGGGCAATGGACCGAGGACCCTCATGGTGCAAGCTGGGACATCCAAACTCTCAGTTATGCAGCCATGTTATCCTTGCCTGGTTACTCTTTCGGGGATCACCACAAGAAAGTGACCGGCAAGGACCTCCCACCCTTCACCAGGCCGACAAGGCGTGAGATTGCCGACTATTTCCGTGCCTACCCTGCTGCGGCTCGCATCGACGGTGCTTTCCGCTGCGGCGAGGAAATGAGGGGCATATCCCGTACCGCAAAAGGGTTCTATATACAGTCCCACGACATCCATTGCAAGCGGCTGGTATTGGCAAGTGGGATTTTCTCCGAGCTACTTCCGCCTACATCTTTACTACACCCCTTGCTGCAAACAAACCAAACCCCGGATGTACCATACCTTGTGGTCGGTTCAGGCTTCTCTGCTGCAGATGCCATCATTTCCGCTGCCCCTAATCAGAAAATTTTACATGTCTTCAAGTGGTCCCCGGATGAGCGCCCATCTCCTCTTCGGGGCTGTCACCAACAGGCATATCCGGAGTATGCTGGGGTTTACCGATTGATGAAGAAATCCACTCTGAATTCCCAACGACCAAGACTACGTCGCGGCACTCCTACCGCTTTTTTGGAAAGTCGAGACTGGGACAACGTATATGAAGGACTTTCCAATGTTGAAATTGTCTCCGTTGATGTTGAAGGTGGCCTGGCCCAGGTTTGTTTCCGTCGTGAGGACGGATCCACATTTTCTCGGTCCGTTCGCGGTCTTGTTTATGCCGCTGGTCGGCGAGGTTCACTGGCCTTTTTGGACTCGGAGCTTCGGTCCGAGGTCCTGGGATATCGAAACCCCGACGACTCAACCGTTTCGGCTCAGACACTTCGTGCCAAAGCCATGGAAGATATGGAGGTTGCTCCACATGTATACATTATTGGAAGCTTGACTGGGGACTCCCTGGTCCGCTTCGCATACGGTGGCTGTGTCTACACAGCAGGTCATCTCATTGGCGAACGAGAGGGCGAGCGAGAGTCGCGCAGTATATCTAGTAGCGCTGAGTCAACCAGGCCACACTCCTCATCACTACCAGTAATGAATGGCATCGACGGCCATCAGGTCTACCCTGCCGATGGCTCGAATCTGACGCGTGAAGATACCGCGATCAGTAAGGTGTCTACTGTCCAAACGGCAGCAAATGCACAGAGCTGGTGGAAGACAGTTGTACAGATGTTGAAGCATTTCACGCAATGACGTATTATTCATTTGCCTTGTTTTATCAAGCATTCAAGTTCTGTGATTTAAATATATACCTTTTGACATGTTTGATATGTATGATTGTTCAAGTCAACTTCAAATAGCCCTGGAGTAGCACTACTAGTAACTACTAGTTCTAGTAAGCCCCCGTCGACCACACTTTCTGCTACAACGACCACCTAGATCACAAAGACTCGGAGCAGGAACTTGAAGTGGGCAACTAAGCTTCTCTCACCTGGGCATCTTCAGTACTATGCGCTATACAACTTGATGGCTTTCTGTCACGTACAGTCTTATATTCCAGGCTCCTGAAGAAGCTTCGACACTGTGACAACACGATACCCTCGGCGCCGGAGTTCAGGAAGTACAACCTGCAACATCGGCACAGTCCACTCCCTTCGATCATGACAAACAATGATACTACCGGGCCTGACCATACTCAAGATATGCCTCGCGTTCAATGCAGCAAAGGGTACTTGGGGGTCATGGGGGTAAACGTCGCCCAGAACGAGTCGATATCCCATATTCGAGACAAGCGCTCGCATACGCGAGGAGAAAAATCCCGACCCAGGACGGAAGAACCAGTTCTCTGGACCTTCTGCACCAGTTGATCGGTATGCATCTCGGATAAGCTCGTGTACGTTCTGCATTTGATCTGCAAGGACTGCATTGCTTAACCCCCGCGATGGCTCATCATGCATAGCATGGTTGGCTAATTCATTGCCAGAGGAAACTAGCTGTCCGAGCACGGATGTATTTCCAGAGACTTGTGATCCAATCACGAAGAATGTGGCGGTTGCATTGTTGGCGTTCAGGATGTTGAGAATTGCGGTTGTGTGTGAGGATGGCGCGTCGTCGATTGTGAACGCGACGACGTTTTCTGCCGTGGGGTGGTGGAATAGAACATCTGGCCAGCGGCGTTGAAAATAGCGAATGAGGGATTGAGGCGGTTTGTAGATGAGATACAAGGGGAATACGAGGCAAAATGTGGATATCACTGCGCGTAACATGGTAAAGTATGAAGAGAGAGGGAAAGGGGGGTGTTAGAGTAGACCCGCTTTATACGATGGTTGGGTTGACAACTATGCAACTACAACTAGAATTTGAAACTGAGGCCCTTTGATCCGCTACCGAGTTAGTACTACTTGATATTGTGACCATTAGGTTCTTTTTCTTAGGCGTACATAATCATTATTGAGACCTCAAAGTAACAATCTTGATAGTAATTGCTTGGGAATACCCTACTTACTAGTAGATTGGGTCCCATTTCGTAGCGCTTTTGCTATTAAACACCAAACAACGACGCGGAATATTTTGCATACGAGCCCAGATGTAAGCAGAGCAACAAGCTGTAGCAAAACATAGAGCTCTCGAAGCACTTATATCAGTCGTCCAACATCAATCAGAAAAGGAAATGGAAGGAAGATGACATTTACGCCACGGCAATATCAAGTATCCAGATCCCTACCAGACGATGGCAGTTATCGCTATAAAAGTATCGGCCGGAATTTTTGCTCCACCACCAGCCACTGGGGAGGTCATCGAAGATTGTCGGGGTGTTAGGTGGAACGTTGGCGTGGGTCTCCATTTGTGCTGGCTTTCGCACGATCCTAGTGGCAGCGGTAGATATTGAGCGGTTACGACGGCGACTGCCGTTAGGATGGCTGCCAGGCACAGCCGGAAATTTGTCACTGCTGCCCACCAGTATTTAGTGCTCATCCAGCGGGCGGAATATGGCCAGAATAGCATGACTGTCCAGACTAGAGCAACGCTGGACTATGTACAAGGAAGGGTGGGAAGGGTGTTAGCAGTGGATCATGGTCACACGGGGTGGGAATGATAATGTAGGGTGCTAGCAACAGCAATGGGTGCGACGGCACTTGTTCGGACATATGGATTCTAAGGAGGACGAAGAACCTCGGGATTGCTCTTTACGTCGTTGAGATACTCATTGGTAAAAGCAATTAAAACCACTAGGATGATGATAAACACCACCGGGAATAGATACAATTCTACTCCGTAGTCCTAGCAGAGTGACAAAAATCCAGTTGCGAGGCTTCAGTCGGGGGTCCGCTTTGTGAGGCTGCGTCATTTTTGAAACAATCAAATCGTAGAAGAATAGAAATATCGAACGATTTGGTCTCTTTTTCTGTAAGGGGGTTTCTGAGTTGCCAAGGAGTACGCAATATTGATCATCTAGTATGTTCCTTATGCTGGATACGATCGCCCCTAAATACGAGGCTGGTGAATCAGATGGAATTACTCCGTACGGGGTATTCCGTCCCTAAATACGAGCTTGTCAGTGGTGGGTCAGATGAGAATTACGAAGTACTCCGTTAGTTGACCTTGGCCTTTGTCTCATGCCGAATCTTCTACGACATTGGGACCAGACGACCATTTAATACCCCCCACACTTTAGACAGCACTAACCGCAACGAAAATCAGATAGATGCAGACTTCCTCTACCTGCCATCTTGCGGTGTTGAAGGTTGAGGAGTATCCTCGATATCCCCACTCCCCAATATTCTCTTTTCCCGACTGCCAGAGCCCCATTCTAATTGATCTAAGCCTGATACAGGAGAAGCTCGGCCTCTTCAAGTAGAGTCTAGCTGAGTGATTGGCTATATGGGTTGGGTTATTTTTAGTTCCAACGATCTATTCCCTCCCCACCATGATGGAATAGTGGTAAACGCTAGCTATGATGCAACCTGGCCCACACTTTGGGATAGGCATTGGAGTGAAGAGCAAGCCAGCCTCACTGAATCTACATCTCTTAGGTCTGGGCGGGGCAATGGACTCAGGCTGAGGAAGTGGAAAAATCGAAGCGGATGTTCGTGGCACGAGCCCTGAGTCCCTCGCTACGCTGCGGCCCACCACAGCTGTGAATATTCACGTTAAATTTCGTACAACTTCATCTTTTTTTTTCACATCCCAGCTGAAAGAATTTATGTTTACCACCTTTCAGGGGACAGATTTCGAGATCTTGTCAGATCAATAATAGGTATGCTGATTACTTTGGATTCAAAGCTATTATTCTTATCTCGTTCTTACACGTTATTATGACTTCCAGGATAACTTGCACGGTTCCTTCAGCGAAAGCTCAAAATGAGTGACTTCGATCTTTCCAAGAAGATTAATCAGGCCATTCAGGATCGGCGTGAGACTTGGGACTTCATTCGCAGTTTTGTCTCCCACTGGGTGACTCCACTAAAAGAGGCCGATGGGTATAGCGAGGCAGATCTATTAGCTGCAGAGGAGCGGCTAGGTATTTCACTGCCCGCGGCATTAAAGGAGGCATATAATCTCTTCGGTCGCCGTTCGGATCTCACTCGAAATCAGGAATACTTACTGGAGCCCACAGCTCTTTACCTTGATCATGGGGCGTTGATATTTCGCCACGAGAACCAGGGAGCCGCCTTTTGGGGAATTCTGGTGGCAGATCTCCAGTATCCTGATCCCCCCCGTGTATAAATGTTGGGTTATAGTGAATAATGTTGTCGAGAACTGGGAAACCTGGCTGGGGCGATTCTCTCTTTCATGTATTGACCTTATCCTGTGGGAATCGCTGCACGACTCAAGCAGGGCGACTGAATTTTGCGAAATCGACGAGGAGGAGCTCGAATTGGTCGACCAACTATATCAAGAGGTCCCATATCCCAGGCAACTTGCCCCATGGCATATCCGATTGTTCACGGGTACCGACCTGCTGCTTTACTACACGGACGCTGGTCTCTTTGTTCGAGCCCGTACGTTGGAAGCAATCCATTCCGTTCGCCAAAACCTCCCTGTAGATTGGCTGAATGAATAATGTGAATCTTCAAGTTATGATTCAGCCAGTCTTCTTGATATAAAACCCAGATAACTCTTACGGGAATTTTGGGGATCACCTTATCCGAGTCCTTTCATCTGGCAAAAGAACCTTGGAATTTGTTGTTCTCGCACTTCCCCTACGCTCCCACTACTACTAGTAGTACCTAGATACCTCACATTAGAGGGCTTACCAGGGAATACACTTGCTAAACTAGAGGACTTTGGATCCTATGCGTAGCAATATCTTCTAGTAAAGTTGAACAAAATGGAAGGTATTTTCTTATTCTATTGGTTTCTTCACAGCATAAATGGTGATTGCTAGTAAGTCTGCAGCGTCTAGTTCAAGCCAAGCTCGGGTTTGCGTGCAACTCGGACATATCTGGCAAATTATGTTAGATTAAGTAACAAATGGGCCAAAATAAGTGCATGAACAACAGAACTTACAGTGTAGTATGGAAGCCTCGCTGTTCAGACTCTTCCAGGATTTCACGTCTAGCATTCTGTTCCAGGGTGTCCCACTCTTCCGGCGACATTCGACTGGCAAGATCCGTTCGCATGCGCTTGGTCATTCCGTGGACAATGTCAGAGATATCGTTACGATAATTTGCAGCGACCCAGTCGCGATCAGCTTCCGGATCTCGACTATCCGGATACAGGTTCATCTTTATAGTATCACTTTCGATCACCTCGAATCCAGCCTTGGTCATTTGCTCAGGCAAGTTTCGAGAAAGATCCCATGCAATGTCGTGTTTCGCGAGATATTCCTTGGATAGTTCGAACCAGTGAATCGCCGCTGAGTTAGCCGCGGTGCTTCCATCATCTGCTGTTAGATGCATCAATCCATCAAAAACTTCTAGTTGACCGCCGGGGCTCAGATTGTCAAAAGTCCGCCGGAGCAAGGCAGACCAATCTTTCACGGCGATCATGATCATTCTCATGTAGATATAATCAGACTGAGAAGAGAACTCCCATTCTTTCTCGATATCCGCTGTAATGAATGAACAATTTTGAGGTCGTTTATTCTCGTCGGTTTCGTCTGCCAATGCTAGATTCAGGTCGACTCCCAGAACTGTTGAATCTGAATGCTTAGCGGCGAACTGACGAGTCCAAATTCCTGTTCCGCATCCAAGATCGAGCACTTGGCGTGGAGATTGAGAGAACGAAGCACGGTGGAGTCCGCGAGTTCGAATGGTAAAGACGGCATGTTGATAGTCTGTAGCGATGTGGTATTTTGAGTCAGACAAGCATTCCACGAGGAGCTTTATTGCATACCCAAGCGACTTGTCTCTACGGTTGACTAGTGAGTTTGCATTAGAAAATCCTTTCAAGCTTTCTGATAGGTGGTGCTTACCTTATTCGACAGAGGATATGCTCTGGGGGTCTCATCGGTTCTGTACAAGGAGACATCAGACTAATTTCATGGTTATCCCAAGCCTCGATACTAACTGCGACTTCAAGTTCGAGTGCAAAGATGTTGACATCTTGACGGGCGGGGAATTTATGACTGGTGGAGCTCGGAAGACGGAAAACCGTGAGGGGGTTTGACCTTCTTATAATGCGCTGTCTTTTTGACCCCACTATCATTTGACCTCTTCCATTAAGACAATATACTGGTATTGGTTAGTCTCTCAATTCTTGCAGCACTTAAGCCAACCAGGAGATTCGCTATAGGGCCATCGAGGGAAGTATAGAGTCAAGGTAGTAATAAGCATGCTGGAATTGAAAATGCTACTACTCTACCCATACCAACATGTCGGTTGAGTTGAAAAGGACTACTTGAATTAGAGATATCGATCGACTGGTTAGAGTGGAATGACGTCCAGCCCTATATGCACGATCCCCTCTGTTCATCACTTAATCCCAACTAGCATCCTGTCGGCGATATGCACGCCACCCCACTGACATACACCCCGGCAACTTATGATTTGCCTTGATGCGAAAAGGCTAGTGACTCGGGCTATTTTCTTATCCCGAGTCAACCAGAGGCTCTTCTTTGACATCGTGGAAGAGGCTGCGACGACTCTGGCATGAACTTGGAGGCCCGATGAATGATAATGTCGTCTGGTGCAAACCTTGGGAAGCAAGCCTTGGTGGATCTTCCAAGTACTATCTCAAGTTGCTATTCGTAAATTGAATGATTTTCGATATTCGGATTGATGGTCTTGTTAAATTTCAAGGAAATGCCGTTTCGCACATTATATACAAAGACCCCTTTGGAGTCAAATGCCAAGGGTATATTTAATTGAATCATGCATGGGAGGCTTCTATTCTAGCCCATGACCTGGAGCTGATCCTCAGGAGGCCAGCGCACTTGAGCAAAGCTTAGTAAACGCTTGATGCTCTGCAGATACTTCCGAGTGGCCTCGTCGCTAAGAATATGCGCTTGTTGATCGCTTTGGTGGAGTTTCTCTCGGGCGGACCGCTCGTGAATACCAACCATGGTCACACCAATGGGCCAGGCACTGTAGTCAAGTTAGCACAACTTTTCTTTCCTTGGAAATGGAAGGGGGGGAGGGTAAGAACATACGCTTTACCAATGCTCACACGCAGGTATGCATCATTAGCATCCACATATTTGCGTTGCTGCGCCTTGTGCACAATCTCCACGATTGGCTCAAGTAGTCCATCTTCAAGATCAGATTTTTCCAGGCGACGGAACAGCGGTTTCATATTCTCGCGTGACTGAAGCATGGCATTGTACGCCTGCTTTCCCTGGAAACTTTGGCGCACACTTATGTCGCGCTTTGCGAGGGCCAACTCCCACTCCGAAAGGACCATATTGAAGTAAGAACCAAGTTGACGCAGCAAGAATAGTCGCTCGTCTTGTTCTTTCGGGATCTTGGCCGGAATAATCATTTTTGAGCCTGGTACCGGCTGTAATATCGTGGGGATGGGGCCATCGGTGATTTTCTGCTTGGTGGCAGCCCTCTGGACGAGACGGCGATAGCGACGGAGTCGAGCCTGGTGGTTCTCGCCGAATAATCGGGCAGGTTCACCAATCTCCCGGAGCTTTGCGATAAGCTCATCCTCTTCAATATCCTCTGCCTCCGTATTGTCCGGTGTCTGCTCAGCGTCACTCTTAGATGGCAAATCAGGCAAGCCGAGCTTTCGTCGTCGTTCGCGCTCAGCGGCCTCCTCTTCCTCCTCACGTCGTTTCCTTGACTCTTCGGCAAACTTGCGCTTCTTCTCCTCGCGTTCGCGCTTGCGATCGGCCTCGTCCTCTTCCAGCTTGCGTTTGTTGGCCTGACGCTCTTGACGCTCTCGCTCTGCTCGCTCCTGTTCCTCGTTGTAGGCTGCTACTCGAGCTGCTTCGACTTCACCTCGGCGCATATATTTCTTCGGTGGTTCGGGGGTATTGCCCTTATCTTTGCCAGCGCCAGATGACTTCGAGTCACCCTTAGCCTTGGAGATCTCTTTGGACATGAGAGCCGCGAAGTCCATGGTGGCGGGTATATGAGAGGATCCAGATATCAACGTAGTCCTCCTCGCTCCAATTTCCGGTTGAAGTATTGTGCAGTTGCGGTGGTGTAGTTGTATATGTTCGTTGTGCAGGCGAGGAATGAAGTCGAAGTTGAAGTCGACGTTGAAGGAGGAAAGAAAGTTCGGGCAGCTCCGCATTGGGGGAGTCTCTCCAACTTCAACTTTCTCCTCCGACCACTTCAGTTCTTCTCCCCCCAACACTGATTCCTGAACACAGAACCCTGAACATTCAATCATCTCATTTCTAAGATTTCTTGCTTTCTCATATCAATCTTCGCCCGTTTTCGACCCTCAATTCATCCCTAGCGCCACACGCGACACATTGCGCGCTGAATCCATCATGCCTGGTCCCTCACGAGATGCCCCCAAGGCAATCAACCGACAAAGCACCACTCCATTTCATCTGAAGCTCTTCTATCGAGCAAACAATTATCACCATCTCTCCGATTACAACGCGCCCGTACCACACCGACGCGGCGGCCCTGTCAGTGGACCAAACGCCATTCGCGCATCCTCACCTCCCCCAGCTGCTACACCACTCCCTGCGCATCTGGAGATCTACACCTGGCAATCATGTACACTTCGGGAGTTATCACAGCTTCTCACTTCCGCTTTGCCTTCATTACTTCCAGACCCACCTGTTGGTACTCGGCTTTGCTATCGACTGGTCTTCCCCGATGCACGCGGTGCAGCAATGATGGGTCCCGACGCACGCGGAAAATATACGAGTCGCGACCTGGGAACTGTGATTGTGGGACCGAGGGATAGTCCGTACCGGGGTGATGAGGATGCAGATGATCGGGCGGAAGCTAGGCCTCGTGCTGGTCCACCGCGATTCACGGGCTCTGAGACCGATAAGACTTTGCAGGATGCGAGGTTTTTGATTGGTGATTATGTGGAGTGTGCTATTCTGCCTCCTCTAGACGATGGTTCAGTTGCGCCCCCGCTCCGGGGTGGTTCTGGTCCACTGCCGGCCGGTGGTGGTAGTGGCGGAGGTGGTGGTATGCGTGCCTTCCGGGATAATGGATTCCCAAGACCTGGTCGCGGTGGACGAGGTGGTGATCGAGGAGGTCCACCTGCTTTTCCAGCAGGAGATTGGAAGCGTGGAGAGAGGCTGCCAGAAGGGGGTAGAGGAGATCGTGGCGAGCGAGGCGGCCGAGGAGGTCGTCGTGGATGGGCCCCTTATTAAAGAGCAGGAACAACATAATGGCGTTCGATCTGATTAATGAGAATTGGGAAACAGGTGGAGGATGAACGATGTACGATAATCTCCGTAAAAATATTACAGAGCTACTGCCTACTGGTGTTCTTCATTTATGTACCTTCACTATACTCAGGTCGTGGCTGGTAAGATTCTCCGAACAGTATCTACGACGGCACAACACAGAGTAACTGGTTGGCAGCAGACTTGCGTTGCAATGGCATCCATAATTCTCGTTCGGGGATCAGGACCCTCCGATATCCGGCCTTGGTGGGAGCGCAATTGCGGGTTTTTGACTCGGTAGTCAAGCTTGTAGTGACCGCAAAAGAAACCCTCCTCAATGTACTCCAATTGAGAAGACAAGAATACCACTACCGTTAGGACAAGCACCGTAACAACCCCTCCCCCAACAATGTGACGGTCCCTTGACTGGGAGCTTGATGCCGCAAATAAAGATCCGGAGTGTGCCAAGACGTGGAGCCAGAGAGTGAGACAGAAGAAAAATCAATGCGGTATATGCTCATAGTAAGGTACATAGCCCTTGAAAAGCGGGCGCCAGCCGAATAAAAAAAGAAAGCAGTTTTGGCTCTCCACGCAGTGGCGGGGAAGATCTCCGTGATCGCATGTCGCTCTCACCACTTCGCTCCTCCTAGCCAATTCAAATCATCATTCAGAAATAATCTACCACTCGACCATGGTGTCTCCCTTGCGCTTGCCACGGAGTTCGAACAGGCCCTGCGGATTGTCAGCGGAGTTCCCCGCAGATTGGTGTCTTCCCTCGCCCCAAGTGGGGAGGTGCGTTCTACCTACCTCGGTCTTGTAGGCGACGAGAGTCAGAGTAGCGGGAATGGCGATGGCATAGATGATGGAGGTCCAGGCGTGACGCGGGGTCCACTTGAAGTACTTGTAGCGGTTGGCGTTGAGCTCTGAGTGGTGTGTTAGTAACTGCTTTATGAGGTGTGGTGGCCGGCCGTGCTGGCTCTTCAAGATGACCGCTCGAGCGCAATCGAATGCTCAAGCAAGTTCATATCGGCATGACAGATGCGTCGTCATGTTTGCACGGGAATCTTAGGTTCTCGGAGGGTCGGGTTGGATTCAAGACGGGGAAGGGTATGTACCGTAGTATTTCTGGAGCGCCGGGTCAAGGACCAGAGCTGATCAATGGGTTAGCCGGGGAGTACAACATAGACGGAGTCAATCAAACTTACACTTGCTGGGGCCGGCCATGATTGCAGGTGGTAATGAATTGATTGACAGTCGTCTTCGTCGCTGCTTCAAAGTGACGCTTGCCGTCGAAGTGCGCGGTCACGTGGGATGTGTCAGCAGTCACGTGTTTATACATTTCAATTTCAATACTAATTGTTGATCTAGAATACTTTTGTTTTCCTTTTGACTGGGTTGAATTATGCAACAATATCTGCAGTAACCAATTAATCTAAGTCTGCTACTGGAAAGTCCAAGATTGCCCCCATCTCCTTCAAGTGCTTCTTACTAAGAAAATGGGGAAATGCAGGCCGCTCCACAGTTTGTTTGCATTTCACCAATAAGCAACTCGGTAAAATAAGCCTCCATGAGGGGTGCAGAATGCAGACTATACATTTTCGATCATTTCAACTTGGGTCATATTTGATCAAATCAGGCTGGCGATGCCTAGGGTATACATTCATAAATAGTACAAGACAGCATTTCTTCCTTTCCCGAAGTTTACATCGAAGCCGAGAAGGAACCCTCAACCTCCTCAATCTTAGCCACGGCCTTCTTGTAGCCGTCCACCTCCTCCAATCGCTTGGCGTAGGCTCCCAGAAGAGGATACTTCTCCTTGGCCTTCTTTTCCTGCAACACACGGCCACTGGCGGCGATCACTGGGAAACTGATCAAAATATCCGCTGCTGTCAGCTCCTTGCCACACAGGAATGGGCCACCCTCGGGTGCGGTCTTGAGTTGATCTTCCAAGAAAGTCAGGTTGCCATCGATGTTGCGGGTCAAGAAGGCGGCCTCGACTTGCGATGCGACAATGCTGGTGATGGGGCGGACAAAGAAAGGAGGCGATTTGCGGATGGCTGGAAAAAAGAAAGGAAAAAAAAAACCGTTAGCGCCTAGATCAGCGTCATGAAATGCGCACAGAGACTACTTACTGTCATTCACGAGGGTCATCACCAGGAATGGCATCAGACTACCCTCTACATAGTGCATGAAGTAGCGATAGCGCATCCACTCCTCCGTCTCGCCACCGACCTTGCCCTCTTGGCCTTCGGTATAGCGAGTGGGCACCAGGGATGGTCGCGCTTGACCAAAGTGGTCGACGAGATACTCGACAATCGCGCCAGATTCGGCCAGCACAAGAGGCTTGGAGGCACCGGGAGCCTCGACAGTGATGACGGGTGACTTGCCAAGCTGGTGCACCTCCTTCAGCTCAGCAGGCGCAAGTTTGTCGGCGCGGCGCTTGAAAGTCTTCAGCTCATATTTCAATTTGAGCTCTTCCAGCAACCAAAGGATACGGTGGCTGCGAGATTGCTCAAGCCTGGGGGGTGTGAAAGTTAGCGGGTGGCTGAAAAATGAGAAATGGCGGGCGCAGCGCATTACCAATAAAGGGTGATCTTGCAGCCCTGATTGTAGTCAGTCATTGTGATGGGTATATGGAATAGAAAAGTGTGAAATGGTTGATGTTTTTTAGAGTAAGAAGGATTGAAAGAATTGTAGAAGAGGTGGATATGAAGAGTTATAAGAACCGCAATGATGCAATGGCCCGAGGCTCGATTGATAAGGTGAAAGCGCCGAGCTTTGGATCTGCAGTTCATGTGAGACCCATTTTCCCCTCCAAAAGCCAAACTTGGTTGGATGCACTACTGGTTGGTCCCACGGTCTGGATCGCCCTGCTTGCTAAGATCCTCTCGTTCTCGTTTATGTCCTTTTTTCTGAAGGTTTCTCCCCCGGCGATCTTTTGCTCTCCCGAGGTTCTCCCTTTAACCACACCACCCCGCGGCCCAACATGACTTGTCAGTAGAACAAATCTATAAAATGCAGATATTTTGCTAGTCGGTTTCTCCTTGCTTCTTTCTCATTCGTATACAAACCTACAGTATCTTGTTTGACCTGGAGGTGAGCTAGTTTCCTATTTCGGCATGCTGTGCGAAGGGGCGGGGAACACGAACTGACAAGCCCGAGTCATTGAACAAATACGAAAGAGTTACCTGTATATAATCAAATACAAATTCGAAAGATCCTTGGCCCGAATTTTTTTCTTCAGTTTTTAAGTTGCCTGCAGGCCGATCGATCGATCTTTATTTTATTTTATTTTATTTTTTATATTTTTTTCAAGAAAAATAAAATAAAATAAGCACCGCGCTATCATTCCAATGTTGGAAATATCAAAAGGAGATTCAGCCAACTTGAACCATACACATAATAGAAATCTTCAAAGTTGTGCTGTCATCTATATTACGCCTGACTATAGCTGTAAACCGCTCTCGTGATAAGATCTCGCGGTGCCGCCACTCTCTCAGGAAGAAGAAAGCTTGGAGAGCAAGAACTGGCTAGCATCGCCAGTGTTCGCGACGTATGTGAAATGGGCGGGGCCGACAATCAGCGTACCATCGCAGACCATATCTCCCATAGCACAGTAAATCTTGGTCTTTTCCTTAGGGAAGTTGGCAATCTGGCCATGCTCCTGGGCATTGCGGGTGTATCCGAACAGCACAACACCCTTGATCTTCTCTTTGACGTTGTCGGGGAGCTTGGAGATTGAGTCATCCATAACGGCAGTTCCTTGACTATGCCCGTCCAATCATTAGCATATTTGTATAAAGAAGGACCTGGACGAGAATGTCCCGTAGTATCACCCACCTATATCCACCAGCAACAATTTGCGTGTCGGGGCACTTGCTGACTGCCTGCTTGAACAGACCCTCAGCTTCCGCAATCGCAGCAGGGGAGGTATTGCCAGGAAGGGCGTTGGAGATGAGGTCGGCTGTATAGGCCGGTCCAACACCCTGGCAGGCAACTTGCCCAGCCTTGGCCATTTTCAGATCGTTACAGACAGCAGGTCCGGTAGAGATTCCCTTTGCTATGGTTAGCCTCCGGTATTGTTCACATAAAAGCATCATCTACACACCAATAGGCCAGGCTCGGTGGAAGCACGAGCAAAGATGAAGGTAATGGGCTTGCAAGATCCATCCCGAAGTTCGTTACCACTCGAGACTAAAAGTATGATCAGCAAGATCCGATGGGCTTAGGTTGACTAGGCTCTTGGGAGTCTTTGATCGGCCTACATTGGCGTTCTTGGAGGTCCATGGGGCTTGCGGCGGCCGCCCCAACAAGGGCCAGAGTAAAAAGACGAAGGTTCATATCGATGTTTTTCAAAAGATTTGCTTGTTGAAACTAAAGCGAGCGTTCCAAGGTTTTTTCTGCTCCTCAAAACATAATATGATGGGGAGTAACAAGTCTTTTATATCCTAGCGTCATTTATACAGGCCAATGGGGTATTCCTCGGTCGAACTGATGAGGATCATAAAGTAATACTGGTCTTGATTATTCGATTTTACACCTAGTAATACAAAACGGTCTGCCGGGTTTGTTAGACAAAACGGGTTCAGGGACGCCGTTTCACATTGTCTGAGTTATGGTTCGTTTCGGATATCACTTGTGTACTGTGGGCCACAGGGTCCAAAGATTCCACTTTGGGGTCAACGCCTAGGCTTGGTATGCGCTAAATCAAGGGTCAAAATCATATTAAATTAACTATCTACTTTGGCGGGTTCGACTAGCCATGTGGCCCCGAATTTAGGGCCGGGTGGTCCACTAAAATAGTTCAACCCAAAATTGGTCTATACGGTACCTTTACAAGGACCCTGAGCTGAACAAAACGGCCGATGGGTTAGTCTATTTGCAACTCTGCGCCTATCTATCTATATACCTGAATTATGGATTGATTTACACTTACCCGCGTTCTACCACTAGAAATGGTAGAATCCCTGGCGTGGTCCATCCAGAGTCAACTAAAGTCACATGAAGTTTCTCATTACCTTAAGATCGTAGTTTCGGTCACTTAATCTAAATCAACTTCTTTAAAGTTGGAATTTGCCCCAATGTAGATCTTCGTACAGTATCAGTTTGTGCGAAAAAAAAAACTGAATATGAGCATGCACTTCGTAATGAAACAGGTCATAAATTCGGCATGAAAATAAGGCTTCCTATACATTGACATTTGAGCTATCATATCTATGGATTTGAAATCCTTGGCTCATCATCTGAAACTAATCAACCTCAGATTAATGTATATACAGGGTCTTCTTATAGATGCAGGTCCCACTTTGGTAAAATGTGACTCCAGCATCACCGGTCGGGTGACTTAATGGGTAGTCACTGCAAGAAACAAACTTGTATCCGAGTATTTCCAAGGATTGATGGCAAACTACCTCTCAGTTTTAAACTCAGATGATTTTTGAGCTCTAGGAAATTGATTTACAGTTTTAGGGGGATAATTCTGATCACACACTAGAAGGGGCCAACAGACAATGACCAACAACAATACTCAAAAGGTCCCTATACGCTTGTTTGAATGACTCTCTAAAAGCATTGGTACAGTTCAATATTTTTCAGCTAATATCCGACTGTGGCTTATTGACTTCGTCCTCTTGGTTTCTTCAATTGATTGTCTCATCCATATATATCTCCTCCGCTCTCTGGCCTCAAGAAACTTTTCCAAGAAGCACTTTGATTGTATTCGAAATTTCCATTCTCATGTTGATCTTTTCTGGAACACCCATAGTCACCTGGGCAACTACTTTCTATTTCCCGCCATTGAGATGTGGTGTCCAAAAGAACCCAAAAGGGAAGAATATTTTCTTCTTAAGGCTCACTGGGCCCGGCGCCTCGGCTAATACTCCAAGGACGTCCCAGAGCATCAAACCCTTGGGGGTTCTAGATAACCACCAAACACTCAGATCATACAATGTCTCTAGAACAAGAAAATCAGAGATGAGAACGACTTTTGTCTCGCCCACAGTCACACCTGCATGTGTCAACCTCTCCACTCGCATCTGCTCGCACCCCGCGGATCCGGGGGATGATCAACTTCGATAGCCGAGGTATTTGGTCCGCTCAACACCTCGCCTAAGCAAGGGAGATAACATCAATTACATGGCGCTACCCATTAATAAAGCAAAAGTCTGGGCAGGCAATTTTCTCGCCATCTTCAACTCAATCAGATTAAATTTAACACGATGCCGACCGCTTCTATCGACCTTCCGGCGTCATATGAAGCCCTCGAGCTGACGCATATCAAGCTCTCGCACTATCCGCTCGGTGCTCCTGCTGTCACACCAGTCGTCCTGATCACATTGAATCGACCTGAGAAGAACAATGCGTTCACACCGCAGATGGCGGATAGCTTGACCCAGGTATTCAACCTACTCCATATCGATCGTCGGGTCAAGGCCGTCGTGCTCACTGGGGCTGGGAGGATGTTCTGCGCTGGATCCGATCTCGAAATTGGATTTGGCGACGGAGGGGGAAGAGCTGCTGATTTCCGCGATATGTATGCAAGATAGCACTCCCCGGTCTCGCTTTTAGAGAGAGCTGACCAGATTCACCAGTGGAGGACGAGTTGCGCTGGCAATGCATCGATGCCACAAACCCACCATCGTCGCACTTCAAGGATCCGCCGTTGGTGTCGGTATGACTATGACGCTACCAGCAGCAGTCCGGTTAGTTTAACCTTTCTATCTCACAATTGGACCTCCTTCTCATCTCATGCTATCCAGTATCTGTCATGAAAAGAGCAAATATGGGTTCGTCTTCACCCGGCGTGGCCTGACGATTGAATCCTGCGCATCTTACTTTTTGCCTCGCTTGGTTGGATTCTCCAAGGCGATGCATTTGATCACTACTGGTGGTGTTTACCCTCCCCAGAACAAGTATTTTGGCGATCTCTTCTCCGAGGTTCTCCCCGATGCAGCCCAGGTACTGCCACGGGCGTTGGAATTGGCGCAGGATGTGGCGGAGAATGTGAGTCCGCTGGCATCTTCGATGAGTCGAGCCTTGATGTGGGAAGGACCATGTTCTCCCGAAGAGGCACATCTCCTGGAATCGCGAGTTTTTCATCATATGGTTGGGCAAGGCGACTATAAAGAGGGGGTGGGCTCGTTCTTGGAAAAGCGCAAGGCGCGGTTTGAGACGGACCCACGAGAGGATTGTCCGACTGATTTTCCATGGTGGCCAGAGACAAAGATCTCCCTTGAACCGAGTGCCTCGAAGGGAACAAGCTCTAAATTATAAACTCCAGCGAGATTATAGTGTCCAGAGTAGTTGGTCTATCAAGTAGCGTGGGGGTTCAAGTTGGCCACAAACCTTGGAAGGATGAGGTGGGCAAATGCTACCAGTAGTGCAGATGGAAAGCGGAGCCTAAAATCAGGGAAATTGGTGAACGAAGGAAAATTGTAGCACTAGGTATATTATTAATTTATTTCTAAGAAGTCTCTATCCTGACATCGTTGGCCTAGGGCTAGGGGGGGGCGCATGGATTACCCAATTGGGGTTGATTCTTTCTTCCTTTTTAATATAATCTTCAGGTTAGTGGTTCAATTACTAGTTTTTTTTCAAGTTATTTTCCCGAGGTTCCTTCAGAAGGGTTGAACTAGAATTTGAACTTTGAATAGGACCAGTTAGTAATAGTAGCCTGATGAGTTTGGTATAGGGGCCTACTACCTACCTAGGTACGTAAATATATACTACTATCATTGAATCTATCAAGTACCAGCAACTTCAAGTTCAAGTCCAGGCCCTCCAGGACTGGAGTTAAGAGAAAAATCAAATCAATTAATTCAATACCGTCTCGTTCTAGTTCGTATATACAAAAGATCCAAGATCAACCCAATCCCTCCATGATTACCCCGAGTAGTAACTACTAGTACTGTCTACCTACTGTTGTTGGCCCTCCCGACCGCGTCCACTCGGAAACCCAACTTCTCCAACCCACCGACATCTAGTACTCCTCGCCCATCAAACACCCACTTCGGCTCTTCCATATTGTAAGCGATACGAGGCCACTCGATCGCTTCACTCTGGGGCGCCAAAATCATGTGGCAGTCCCGACAGTCGCCGGCACATTTGGCCTGTGGCGCCAGTTGATATGAGACGCCCGCATGTGTCCAACTACGAGCCCCGGTATGAGCAGTACCAGTGACATCGCAGCCACCGACCGAATCCAAGTCTGATCGCATAGAAGACCTCTTCGACAGACGGAACTGGTCACAATCAGTCACCACCAGCACGGCGTGTGCATGCGAACAAGCCAGATATGGATCCGCGTGGATCTTGACAATCGACATGTCACCGTGTGGTACCTGCGCGATGGCAGGCTCCAATTCGCGAAGAATGTCCTCCTCGCGACAATACGGGTCAAAGATGGTGATCTCTGCTGGGCGCTCCTCCAGAAGCATACGGATCACGTCGACTGCTAGCGACTCGCGCGTATCGCCTGTGTTCTTCTTGAAGGCAAATCCTAGAATCGCCAACTTGCGTCCGACGAGATTCCCGTCAAATCGATCAATCACCCTCCGTGCGAATCGCTGTCTCTGTCGCTCATTGATCACAGTGATCTGTCGCCAATAGTGCGCCTCCTCGCTCAGACCCAGCGACTCACAGATCCAGCAGATACTTGCGATATCTTTTCGAAAGCATGAGCCGCCCCAGCCTAATCCGGCTTTGAGGAACTGCGGTCCAATTCGTACATCGCGACCGATCGCGTCGGAGATCTCGTTGACATTCGCCCCGGTCTTTTCGCAGATAGCACTGATCGCATTGATGCTACTGATGCGCTGTGCAAGCATGGCGTTAGCGACGAGCTTGGCTAGCTCAGATGACCATGCGTTGGTCTCGAGGATACGGTCGCGAGGCACCCAAGCGGCATAAAGATTGGTGAGGGTCTGGGCTGCTTGGCGACCAGAGGGAGTAGGGGCTGAACCGATCAGGATACGATCTGGTGTAGTCAGGTTCTTGACGGCAGAACCTTCTGCGAGGAACTCTGGATTGGATAGCACCTCGAATGGCACACCCGGCCGCAGAGTCGAAAGCTGGATGAGGGTTAGATGGATTACTCGGCACGAGGCGTTTTATAACTACCATTTTCCGAACACGCTCCGCAGTACCTCCTGGTACGGTACTCTTCTCCACGATAATAGCGCCTGGCTTCGCGTGTGTTGCGACCTCGCGCATCGCTCCATCAAAGACTGTCATGTTGGTGGCACACCCGGCCCCGATACCGAACGTCTTGGTCGGGGTATTGACAGCCATTAAGATAATGTCTGCCCGGGCGATCGATTTGGCCGACTCGCAAGTGAAGAACAAGTTCTGACGACGTTTCGTGGGCACCGACGAGAGCGAGAGAATGGTTTCTTCGGTCATCTCAGCACCATCGCGCACAATGCGCACGACGGTGTCTAGCCCTGGTTCATGGACGGGCAGATGAGGCGATTCCCATCTTTGAATTCTCGAGGGATCCTTGTCCAGCACTTCTACCGTGATTGTTGGGTGATGGAGGGCGAGCACTGCAGCCGTGGGACCTCCTATTTGCCATTAGTCTTGTTTGCCTCGCCTCAAGGTGGTTTCTGTTCTTCAACGAAGGGGGATTACGATGTCTTACCCACATACCCCGCGCCCACCACGCATATATTCCGTATTGACTCGGTTCTCCGGGAGTCAGAGAGCAGGACATGAGCCAGTTTGGTGTCGTCTCCCTTGGCTGGTCGAAAAAGAGGACTTGCGCCAGGGGTGGTTAGATTGGTTAAATAGGAGGTGGTTGAACTAGGGCTGCTTGAAGTTGTCTCGGAGACAAGACCCGTCGCGATATCCATGATGGATGTCATGCTTGAAGAGAATCACCTGGAAAGAGGTGAGATTCTTCCAAAGGCGCAAAGTGGAAGTATAGTTGGTATGGAATGACTATGACTATGGCAAATGGCAACTTAACTATACTCCCCAGCACACCACGACATGACCAAAATTGAACTTCTGATCAACCAGTCCCCCTCCAAAATCTCTAAGCTTTGCTCTTCCATACCTCCTGATCAAATCAGGTTGAATCCAGTCAATTTGCGCCTTTGCCCACGCGTTGCGCGGTGCATTACGACTGGCCGCCAAGCAACCCTCCTCAGCGGCCGCTCAAGGCACGTGCGGGCGATCGCCCTAACTGCAAGCTTTGATGAGGGGAGACTCTTCCACTGCACAAGCACTCTGCACGGTAATTTACTGCACCGTGACTCCCCTTGGAATGCTCTACATGGTATACCACTGGGGCCAATGGTATAGTGGGGACCTAGGGATCCATGGTGAAAAGGTTATATCTTTCTCCTCTTCCTTTCCTCCCCGCCACCATGCCCATACCTATGCCCATGCCCATGCATCTTGATCATGGATTCCGACTCCCGCGCCAACTTTCCAAGTCTTCTCCAGGGCAAGAAGATCCTCCTAGCTACAGAGTCCTGGGGTCCCGTCAATGGGGTCAGTCGCACTACTCGCAGTCTCGTCGAGTATCTCCGAGATAATGGCGTCGACCTCATCCTCGTCGCGCCCGATTTCAAAGGCGATACCACCAAACAATCTACTCAAGTCTCTGGTGAGCGCCGACTACCCGGTTGCGCCTTGCCTTACAACCCCGACTTGACTGTTGTATATCCATTCCATCTGCGCGAGGTCTACCGACAAGCCTTTGAACCAGATCTGATCTACCTTGCTAGTCCCGCTTCCCTGGGCTTCCAAATGCTGCTGCAGATCCGCCAATTGCGCTCTCCACCTCCAGTCCTGCTCAACTTCCAGACCGACCTCTCTGCATATTCGGAGATCATGCTGCCTGCCCCTCTCGATCGCTTCGGTGTCTGGCTACTGGCTGTTGTGCAGGGGTTTCTGTTCCGTACAAGCGCCGTGCGCACAATCTTCTACCCATGCTCTGCTATCCGGGGCTACCTCGAAGGAGCTGGGGCTCCAGCCGAACGAATGGTCAAGTTAGGTCGCGGAGTCGATACGACCCTCTTCAGACCAGACCAGCGTGATGATGCCTTCCGCCAAGAAATTGCACCAAACGGTGAAGTTATTCTTCTCTGCGTCTGTCGCATCGCCCCGGAGAAAGGCTTCGAGTTCCTCGCGCAGGTCGCGATGCGCCTTTCCTCGGAAAAGGTTCCCTTCAAGCTGCTCATCGTGGGTGGGAATCGCAATCCCGTGGTTGAGAGTCGAGTCCAGCGTCTCTTCGACCCTGTTCGTAGCCATGTGGAATTTACCGGATTTCTTACTGGCGCTGCACTCGCCCGCGCCTACGCCTCGGCGGATCTCTTCCTGCACTGCTCTGTTACCGAGACGTTTGGTCTGGTCGTCTTGGAGGCGATGGCTAGCGGGATTCCTGTTATCGCGCGCGATCAGGGCGGTCCCTCGGATATCATACTTCATGGGAAGACGGGGTATCTTGTTCCGCCGAACGACCTTGAGCAATTCACCTCGTTAACCCGTCAGGTGGCTCATGATACTGAGCTTCGGGGGGGCTCTTTCTGTGGCGGCGCGCCAGTTCGCCGATGATACGACTTGGGAGAAGATCAACCGTCGTGCAGCATGGCAGATGGCTGATGCATTGGTCCAGACTGACCAGGAATCACACGGTTCGAGACCCCCGCGGCCGACAATACTTGCTTCTGCTATGGAGAGGTTCCGGCTGATGTTTGCGGTGGCGATTGTCTATGGGATGTGGTTGATTGCGGTGGTGCCGCTGATTGTCCATGGCAATCGCTTGCTCCCTCGGGCTTGGCTAGCTATTCGACGACAGTTGGTCCCCAGGATTTGATTTCATGATGCTTAATGATGCGTTAATGTGAATACCCAATACCCAATACCCAGTACATTGAGAATAGGATGAACCCACAGTATCTTGATTTGTCAGTTATCATTATATTGTTATTATACTAGACCACTCTCACGGTTACGATTAACTATAATGAATTATCACAAACCCAGAATTGAAGAACAATTACTCCGGAACCTTTGATGCTCTTCCACAGCGCTGGAGGTCCACCTACAAGCGCACGGGAGCCGTATCCTCCTTCACCAAAACATGACCATGCACAACGAGCGAATTGGCACATTCCCGCACATTCACAAAATCATCGAGATTCGATAGGGTCACGCCCGCAATCTCCGTCAAGGCCTCTTTGGTAAAGAACCCCTGATGCCCACAGACCAAAACATTATGGAATGTCATCAATCTCATCAAAACATCATCATGAATAATCTCACCCGAGTGATCATTATAAAACAACTCACTCTCGGCCTCATACACATCCAACGCCAGCCCGCCGAGCCTCTTCGTCTTCAACGCATCAATCACGGCACTACTGTCGATTAATCCGCCACGGGATGTATTCACCAGGGTGGCCCCGGGTCGAATCTTCGCTAGGGTATCGGCATTAATCAAATGGCGCGTCCCGTCATTCAAGGGGCAGTGAAGACTGATGACCTCGCTCTCGCCGAGCAAGGTATCTAGATCAACGAGTGTGCCATACGGACGGAATTCCGCCGCGGAAGCAAAAGGGTCGTGCGCGAGAATGCGGCAGCCGAAGCCCTGGAAGATCCGCGCGGTGGCCAGCCCGATGCGGCCGATGCCGATCAATCCGACGGTCTTGCCGTGCAGAGTGGAGCCGAGGAGGCCCTCGATGTTGAAGTTGCCTTCGCGGACGCGATTGTAGGCGCGGTGGGTGGCGCGGTTGAGGGTTTGGACGAGGGTGACGGCGAATTCGGCAACGGCTTCGGGGGAGTAGGCTGGGACGTTGGCGACGAAGAGGTTGAGGGATTCGGCGGTTGGGAGGTCGACGTGGTTATAGCCTGCACAACGAAGGAGCAGTGCTTGGACGCCTTGGGCGTGGAGGGCGTGCAGGACGGGGGCGTCGAGAGTGTCGTTTACGAAGACGCAAACCGCCGTACAGCCTGAGGCGAGTGCGACAGTTTCCTGGGTGAGGGCAAAGGAGTGGTAGTCGATGTGGAGGTGGGGATATTTCGGGCGGGTTGCCTCGAGGTAGGTCCGATCGTATGATTTGGCGCTGAAGACGGCGAGTTTCATGGTGTAATGTAGCTAGCAGTGTAGTTATTTTCTAGTATCCAGTAGCTAACTGGTTGGAGAGTATGGACTCGGAGTATGCTTTGCTACTAGCCAGAGAGTTTAGATCTAGATGGTCGGAGTATGTATGTTCAAAGTTTATGGGACGTCAAAGAAAAAGTCATGACGCCATGGTTATGGTAGCGTAGATTGAAGATGGAGTACAAAATATGGAGTAAAGGTACATCTTTAATGTACATGTACATGTACATCACCATGTGTCAACCCCAGATCTCAGGGCTGGCATTGGATGCAAACGGAGATCGCCAGAGATGCGGTGTACGGAGTACCGATGGAGTATGGAGGAGTACGGAGTACTCCGTATTCCATCTGCACTCCGTTTTATCCTCCGTCCTCTACTCTGAGCCAAGTGAAACAACTAATATAGAGGATACATACCTAAGGTATGTACTTCGTACTCCGTACTGTCTCTCGGAGTCCCTATTTTCGAGTGAGCACTCTCATACTCCCCTCTACTCCATACCCCAACCTCGTTGCTCGGACACACTCCAACTCGGTCAACGCCCGAAATTGAATGCTTCTGGATGATTTCCGCATCCTGCCATGACCCGCTCCCCCCCTCCGCTCCTCCGCGATTCGCCTCCTCCTCGCTGTTGTCTGCAGCAGTTTGCAAACCTCGGCAAATGATTGGATGTAGTTCCGCGGAGTCGGTCTGTGCATTCCCGAACCGGTGGATGAACCAAGAATGAAATGAGGATTCCACCAATCAGAACCTTCTGATAAGACAATAACGCCACTTTGATGTGGTTGGTCAGTGTACCACGCTAGTGAACTCTAACAGCAGCGAGTAAAGTAGACCACCCTGGGACCGAGGAGACCTTTACTCTCCTCCGTACTGGCTTGACTCATCTCTCAAAATAATATTAGTACAAGTACTCTGTGCAGTTAATATCTGATATATCTGGAGCTATTAACAAGTACGGAGTACATCGATGATGACTTTATACTACAGTATACAGTATACAGTACACCACCCGTTCCAGCACTGCATCCGATGGGGCGGGATAAGTGGGCCTCGACTCGAGGATTCGGGTCAGACATACATTCACATTATGGATATGGAGTTTCAACATTGGGTAGTACTCTACGACATACATACATTGTGCTTTTATACTACTATTATCGAATACGGAGGATAGGTATACACAGTAGTAACACTATAGTATACCTATACAGTATACTGTACACATGCCAATGCCAGACCGCCAGTTGGTGTCGGTGTGTCCAAAGTACTCCGAACTCCCTCGTGCCTTCCCTCTCATTCACCCGCCCCTTCCTCTTCCCACCTTCCTCTTCTTCTACTTCTACTTCTCTCCGCCCTTTCTTTCTCTTCTTCTCTTCTTTTCCCTTCTACACCTCCTCTCTCACAGTGTACCCTAAAGTATTTTTCTTCTTCTTCTACTACCACTTTACTACTCGATCTATCTACTCAACATCTCCTCCCACTATCCATCTCCATCTCCCCGTTTCACCCGATCGGCATCTCCAACGGATCCGCAACGTCCCGTCTCCACTTCGTTCGGCCATTCACCGCGCGTGCGTTTGCCTTCGCTTTGCCCCTCGACATCACCACTTATGGCTCTCCTTTCCTTAAGTGCTCGTGTGCCCGGCATCCTTTAATTCACTTCAACCAAATACCAACAACACCACTACACACTCACCACACTCCCCCTACCACCACCTCCTCTCTCTCCTCCTCAATCTCTCCTCTCCTCTCTATCCTCTACTCCATTTCTACCTCTCCCACTTCACAATGGCCACTTCCGTCGTCACTGCCGCTCCCGGTGCCAACCAAATCTCCGTCTATGGCCACCCGTCTCCCACCAACTCGACTACCACAACTCCCTCAAATAACTCGCCCACTTCCCCACGGTTGAATACAGCCTCCCTCCACCAACTGCCCCTCCAGTCGCGCCAGCTGCGTCCTCCCAAGGGCCCTCTCTACGTCCCCGCGGCCCTTCGCCCGACGGAGCGCCCGCAAAAGTCCTCCCCCATTACTCCGCCCCGGAGTGTGCATGGATCACTGGACAGCCTGAACGAGGACACCGAGCCGATTAGCCGACGCTCCACGATGGAGAGCAGGTCAAGCGGTATCAGCAAGTCGGCTGAGAACGAGTGGATGAAGAACGAGTCCCTCGGAGAAGTGACCGGCCACCCCACGAGGGACCACTGGAAGGTGAGCTAAACTCGATCACGGATCAGAAACCCGAATTTTCCTGCATGGCCCTCCCTCTCCTTATATAATTTCCCGATGGCTGGTTCAGAGATGGCGTATGCGCTGCGGAGAATGTCGTGTGCGCGCTCGTCATGGATGGCGTGCTCATGAAATAGCTCCCCTACCTCCATCACAACCATTCTTCACACAACTCTTCTAAAGAGCTCCCATGCTGACAACCACAGGCCGACTCTGCTTCCTCCAGCTGTGATTCTCCCACCTGCCGCTCCTCTTTCGGCCTCTTTCTGCGCCGCCACCACTGCCGTCATTGCGGCCATGTCTTCTGCTCCTCCCACACACCACATATGGTCCCCCTCGACCAACATGCTCGCTTCCACCCGGAGGGCTCTGCATCCCGGGCCTGCGACCTATGCTGGAGTGCCTACTCGCGCTGGGAGGAGACCCGCACCAACCGCCTAAGCAAGATTCAGAACTCGATCGATGCGAAGAACATCGAGGGCGAGACTGAGCACACCGAAGACCTGGCTGTCGCCGAGGAGATCAACGGCACTGCTGCCCTCCGGGCGAATCTTGGTCAAACGGCCGAGGTCGCTGCCAGTGTCCCCCGGGACTGGAACTGGAGCACTTTCTGATTGCATTTACTGCTCAGCTTGTTTCTCTTCTGCGATCAGCTGGCTGGTGGCAGTATCATTTCACTTCGAATACCTCGAACCTTTTTTCTACCTTTTTTTTTTCATCTTCTCCTTCGGGCTCGAACAGACAGACGGGACTGTCTGTCATGTCGACCCTTGTTTTATGCGACATGGAAAGGAGTTTTGGCCCTGGCATCATTTTTTTTTCGTCTTGTTTGCCTCGGTTGCTCGGGATTTGATTCGGATTGGCTGCTATGACTCCTCACCCCCATTAGAGAGGACTGTCGCATCTGGCATTGCCTTGTTTTTAGCTTGCTTTCTGCTTGTATGTGTGTTTGTGTTTACGAATGTGTTTGTGTTTGATCAGGATACCCCGTCATGTTTTCGAGTGGCGACCTCGTTTTGTCTTTGTTACTGGCTCCTGATCCTGACCCTGATCCGCCGGAAACCGGCTCATCGCTTGATACTAGTCCAGTTAATCTATGATTTTCGCTTATTTCTATTTCCATCTCGAGTAACTGTAGATCGATCAGTTTACAAGCTGCTATCTATGCAAGAGTAATCCGCTTAAACATGCCAACATGTTCAATCCCCTCCTCGTCCCATCTACCCAAGGATTCATTTGTCACAAAGCCTAGTCCCTGATACATCCGCTCCACATCGACCTGCGCATGAACAAGCACCAACCCTTTCCATGACTCTAAACCGTCTTTCAAATGCACCCCCTCCTGCCCCGCCACATTGCGCATTGCCGTATCAATCTCATGCGCATGCGCAGTCGCCCATTCCAGTGCCGTATCAACAAGTCGTCGGCCGAGGCCGAGTCCACGGTATTCTGGGAGTACCGCGACCCGAGTCAACTTGACGCACGGTTCATGATTCCAATCCCATTCTGGAAGCTGTGGGCTTGTTTCCGGGTGTGTGAGGTGTTCGTGGGGTGGCAGGGGTGGGGGGACGAGACGGATTACTGCGATGGGGTTGTCACTGTCGCTGATGACCCAGTGCCAGCTCCGTGAATCATCGGAGTCGATCTCAGCAGTTGCGGAGCAGTTTTGTTCGTCGACGAAGACGCGCATGCGGACTTTCATTGCGGCATTGAAGGTTTGTGGGTTTTCGTTTGTGGTTGCTGTTGGGAGGGCGAGGGGGGTGTTTGGGCCTGGTGGTGGCTGCATTGATGTTGTGAGAGTTGGGTTGGAGGCCATTCTGGCGGGCAGTCGTTCAAGTTGGAGAGGTGAGGGAGATGTAGAGTTCAAACAGTACTAGTATACTACTCCGTACTGGTAGTCGTGCGAAAGTACCCAACTGTTATCAGTACCCCATACGCTCAGGGAGTTCCGAGGTCTGTGCTGGGTGGATCCTTGGTTGATGCACTGACGAAGTTGGGGATACCTTAAAGTTAAGGTACTCCAGGGTTCAGCTTGAAGTTCTATTCATGGGACTAGAGTACCCTAGGTAGTCTCCTGAGTCAACTTGAACATATTTATACTTCAAGTTCCAATGACTCCAAACGTACTCGTTTAAGTTGCTCGATGCTTCTTAACGAGTTACTCCTAATTGGCAGTCCTCACTACCTAGGTACGCAACTTGCTATTTGATAGTCACAGGATAGAGGTCTGAGTTTTGCACATTATGTGCTCCAATTTCTCATTCCGCTAGAGATGGTAGAAATTGAAGTTGAAGTTATGGTTCTTGGTGTATACTTAGTCACATGACCCCGCATACATGCCTCATCCTGAAGTTCAGTAACTTGAAGAATCGTACCACGGCACTATTCCTAGTAGGCATCCGTCGATTATACCTAGAGTATGTATCACCAATCACATCATATCTATAGTATAATAATCTACTACCTAGCCAAGATAGTAGTACTAGTACTAGTAGGATATATTCAAGTCTCATGTTTACCACAGTGCAAACAAAGCAAACACTTTTATCTCCGATCCAAAAAATTAATTCCACTTCAACTTCACTTCACTTCAATTCAAATAGACCTGAGATCACCGTGAAGCTCAAACCCAGACCTGGATTTTCTCTCCACGGACTTACTTAAATGTCCCTCTACTTCGATGCGGAGGCCATCCTGACCGCACCGGCCTCTGGTGGCTCCTTCAAATCTCGCATCTACAGCGCCCGCAACCTCCGCGCCAAACCAGCCCAGATCTATGCCCTCGTCAGTGAAGCCGCCAAATGGGACACCATCCTGGCCGAGGTGATTGAAAATGCCGACATTTTGAGTCTGGAGCGAAAGGTGAGTTTTACATCTTCATTGGCATTGGAATTAGCATTAGTATTAGCATTAGCATTTTCACCTCCACAAGTCCGCTGACAATCAATCATCCAGCTCAACCCTCTTCTCGCCGTCCTCCTAGTCCATGACCACCTCCTCGCCAAAAAGGGCATCGCTGCCCCAGCCACACATCCTCTCCGCCAAGCGGTCGAACGCCATAAAGTCCGATTGAAGGCCGAGTTCACCAAATCGCGTGTACGCCGCGCATGCGGCACCGTCGAACAGCTCAAGACGAAGATTCTGCGCCAGAAGCGTGAAGCTGACGGAACATCTCATTTCGTATACCCACGCTGGGTGCGCGTTAATAATATTCGGAGTACCCTGGACGAGCAACTCCGGACGACCTTTGCCGATTACCGCGAAGTGCATTCGTTGGTGGAATTGGCCCCTCCGGAGGAAGGTCAGCCTAAGCAGAAGCTGTTATATCGCGATCCGCATATCCCGGACCTCGTGGCTGTTCCGTACGGAGCGGATTTTACTTCTTCGCCGGCATACAAGAATGGGGAGATTATTTTGCAAGACAAGGCTTCTTGCTTTCCTGCGTATCTGTTGCTGGGTGATCGGGGTGCAGATGACCCTTGGTCTGGGGATTTGGTGGATGGTTGTGCTGCCCCTGGTAATAAAACTACGCATATGGCATCGTTGGTCGCGAAGCAGAAACAAAAAGGCCGGAAACAAATCTTTTCTATGGATGCGTCAAGAGTGCGCTCAAAAACGTTACATAAGATGGTTTCTCTGGCCGGGGCAGATTCTATGGTGACAATCCTCCAAGGGCAAGACTTCCTGGCCTTGGATCCTCAGGAGGAACGTTTTCAAGATGTGTCGGGCCTTTTGCTAGATCCCAGTTGCTCTGGCAGTGGAATTATCGGCCGAGATGATGTTCCAGATTTCACCCTTCCCAAGGCCAAGGTCACTCCGGGAAAATCACAGGGGAAGAAGCGCAAACGCCAAACTGACGACGAGGAGGATGCAGGCGAGAAATCCAAGGTTACGGTCGAAACCCCAGCTGTGTCGCCCTCGGATGAGAATGACACGCCTGACGGGGTCATGGACCACGATCGGCTCACCAAGCTGTCCAACCTCCAAGCGCGCATTGTGGAGCATGCTCTGAGCTTCCCCGCCGCCACTCATGTCACATACAGCACCTGTTCGATCCATCTGATGGAGAACGAGGCAGTTGTGGCTCGGGTCCTGGCATCGGAAGTCGCACAGCGACGCCGCTGGCGACTCCTGCGGCGCGACGAGCAACCGGCCGGGCTGCGCAAGTGGGAACATCGTGGAGTTCGACGGGACCGGGAGAATGGGGAATCAGGCGAGAGTCCTGCGGAAGTTGATCTGCCAGAGGAGGCGTTGGAAGCCTGCTTGCGTTGTTGGGCTGGCGATGCTGAAGGGCTGGGTGGATTCTTCGTCGCGGGTTTTGTTCGTGACGGCGAAGACGACGAAGAGGAAAAGAGCGCTGAGACATCATCCCGGGTGAAAGGAAAGGGGAAGGACGTGGCTCACGCTGCAATCGCCCACAAAAACAACCAGGAAGAAGTAGAGGATGAGGGGGATGATCAAGATGATGATGACTGGGAGGGTTTCTCCGATTAAAATATACCCATCACCCGTTATAAAGAGAATCGACACAGATCTAAGTGCTCTATTTGTATCATATATATCGTCAGTGCTGGAGAATGCTCCGCTCAGAGGAAATTCCGAGCCTGGTTATGAACTCTTTGATTTGTATAGAGATCCAGCTTGATGGCAAAGAGGACAAGCTCTAATCCATTGTCACCATTCGGTTGGAGCTGTAGTTTCCACTGCGCATTGCGAACAAGCCAACGGGCCCCAGCGGGGGTTTCAGATCGTTGGCGTTTAGCGGGAGGTTCAGTCTCATCGTCTTTGAGCCCAGCTAGAATCAGGGTGAACTGGGGATCGTTCTCGCCATCGACATTCAGATCTACATCTCGACCAAGACGGACCTTGACTGGCATCCCGCTGAGCTGTTGCGGATCCGGTAGTTCGATCTTCTTGCCCACTACTTGTAACAAGTTGGTCATGCGAGATTTGAAGTTGCCCAAAAAGTCCGCCGTGAGAATTGAGCCCCTGCGATCAATAATAGCGGCGTCATCTCCCGTTTGTAGAATTAAATCGGCCGGTTTTTCATCGACATGGGGACGAGCGTACCCAACCAAGCCAAGGATCGGCGAGGCAGGGTTATCCGGAAAGAAATGGATTCCCGACGGTCGTATATCCTCTAGACGAATTGTGACTTCCGGTCGCTGGGTGAAGGGATTGACGGAAAGTTTATGGGGGATGATTTTCTGCTCAACTCCGCGGAGGTGGAAGTAACGACAATCACGTATCAACTCTGCCCGGTGTTCCTCATTTCGAATGTGCAACGGGTACCCCCGCAGGATATGCAAGAGGTCGGCAAAAACTTCGGCGGATCGATTGGGGACACTCGGGGGTGTGATGGCGGGTGGACGGAGGAGACCAGTGCGATCCAAGCCGGGGAAGACCTCGGACGGGGAGGCGAAGAAGGCACCGAAGCCGAGAGTAAAGAAATTGGGAGAGTCACCAGGGCTCGAGAATATATCACGAGGGATTTCGAAATGACGATCACCGATTTGAATGAAGATTTCGGACTCGAACAGCTGGGACATCAGTCGGGGCACTGCACGAGGTGGACGGTGGTTAGCTATGAGCGCGACACGCTCTGTGCGACTTGGGAGATCAAATGACGTACAGCTGTAGAACTGGGAGTCGGCAAAGAGTTTCACAAATTGCGGACCATCGCGTGGACGGACATGGTAGCCTATGGGGGTCAGTCGCATACGGGGTAGGAGGGAAGCTCTGAGAGCTCTGGTGTCACAGTCATAGTACCTTGGAGATGACGCGCAATGTCCCGGAAGGTGACCGGGTCGCGGTCGATATAGAGGGTGCGACAACTGGAGGCATCGTTGACGCGCACTTGTTCTTCAAAGAAGCGAGAGAAGTAGGAGGGGGCTATTGGGGATCCGACGTCAGATCAAATCAGATTCGAGGTGGGGGTGGGAATAGCTAGGAGGATGAGCGGACCGTCGGAGGCAATGGAGGCACCCGATAGGCGAAAAAGATCGGAGCCGATTTGAATGGAGAAGACCTTTTCAGGGGGGAGTGAACAGGCAGATCCCGACATGAGAGGAATATTGAGTACGGATTACTACCAGTAGGTCGTAGTACTGGGATGTTGAGGATGAGAAGTTCCCATTGGAAGGCGGAGAGAGGTACTCGTGACTCTCACCACTACCAACTAGTATCTATGGAGTACACTAAACTTCACCTCTTCACCTCTTCTTCCCACACATCAGCCCATATCATCCCATATCATCCCATACTCATACTACAGAGTACATGCTTATATGGGTCTTATCCGGAGTATCTGGTTCCAACTACTCCGTACTTCCTCTACAGTCAGGACACTTACTTCCCAGATGAGACTAGCCTATTGCCAGCTTCACATGGTCTCCAAACTCGGTCCTCACCACTGGCTGCCCATTGGCGCGTTTGACCCACGCTGCTCCAGTGGATCGACATCCAGCCGAGGCTCTATCCACTACCTCCCTCTGTCATCACTGCCACGCTGGGCACGAGTTGTGAAAAGTGAGTGAGAAAAAAGGGCTTAAGAGTTGGGGATGTGGGGAAAGCTACTTTCACACCCGGTGTGAGTGAGTGTGATCTGGGCTGTCTTGATCTGGCCGAACTGCTCAGTCAACTGTGTACTAGTACCCACTGGCAGTATATCTCCACGTTCCCCCCTGGAGATCGAGATCCTTAAACCAGGCTCTTCACGCTAGTTCAGTTACCCCATATTCAACTTGCCATGGCCGACCAAACAGAATCTGCTTATTCTCCCCGGCCGGTCTCACTGCCTCCTGCTCCAGATGTCAAATTCTGGTCAGAACAGCAGTGGACAACCTTCTTCGCTTTGGCCGATGCAGTCATTCCGTCCATCCGCACTGCTGCCACCATCAAGTCCTCCGCGGACAAGGTCATTTCAACTGGGGAATGGGATAACACTGTCACCAAGTTGTCCACCTTAATTCCAGGTCCGGATGCTGCTGCCCTCGCCAAAGAGTACCTCGAGGAGGATGTTTCCTCGAATCCCATCTTTCGTGCTACCGTTCAGCGGATCATCGGCAACCATGTTCATGAAGAGGGAAAGAATGGCTTCGGTCTCGTGTTGAATGCCCTCAAGTAGGTTCACACCAACACCACGCATCATTGCATTCCCTCCAATCACAACTCCGTACTGACTTTGATAGCTCGCGAGCTGGCTCGCTGATATTGACGGGATCCACGACTCTCATTCACCAACAGCCTATCGCCTTCCGGGAGAAGGTCTTTCGAGGATGGGACACCTCTCGACTACCCCCGCTGCGTGCGGTATATCGAGGGCTCACTGCTACGGTCAAGAAATCCTGGGTCATGACCAGCCCAACGATTGGCCGTGTGCTCGGATTTCCGCGAATCCCTGTCCATGGCAAGCCCACTGATGGGTTCCCATTTGAATTCTTGCAATTTCCGGCCGGTGATGAGCCCGAGACCATCGAGGCTGATGTAGTCATCGTGGGCAGTGGTTGCGGGGGTGCCGTGACTGCGAAGAATCTGGCCGAGGCAGGCCTCAAAGTGCTCGTGGTGGAGAAATCTTACTCGTACTCGAGCCAGCACTTCCCCATGACCGCCAATGAGGGCTATGTGAACATGTTTGAGAATGCCGGCTCCAATATGAGTGATGATGGCTCTATGGCCGTGCTGGCAGGCTCAACGTGGGGAGGCGGCGGCACAGTCAACTGGTCGGCATCTTTGCAAACCCAGGCCTATGTCCGTCAGGAGTGGGCAGATGCTGGTCTTCCCTTCTTCACCTCCTTTGAGTTCCAGAAGAGCTTGGATCGTGTCTGCGACCGCATGGGCGTGAATTTCGAGCACGTCCGACATAATTATGGTAATAATGTGATCTTGGAGGGCGCACGGAAACTGGGCTACGCTGCCGGCACGGTGCCTCAGAATACCGGCAACGAGGAGCATTACTGTGGTTACTGCACACTCGGATGCCATTCGACCGGCAAGAAGGGCCCCACAGAGTCCTTTTTGACAGATGCCGCTAAGGCCGGCGCGATATTTATCGAAGGATATAATGCCGACAAGGTGGTCTTTACCAAGGATGGAGGCAAGCGGAAGGCCACCGGCGTGCAGGGAACCTGGACTTCTCGAGATTCTTATCTGGGCTTGAGCGGCGAGGGTGCGGTCCAACGCAAGGTCAACATCAAGGCCAAGAAGGTTGTCATATCGTCCGGAACGTTGAACAGTCCTCTGCTACTGCTGCGAAGTGGCATCAAGAACTCTCAGATTGGCAAGAATCTCTACCTCCATCCTGTCATGTTGGGTGGTGCAGTGTTCGAGGATGAGGTCCGTCCATGGGAGGGATCAGCATTGACCACCGTGGTGAACGAATTCGAAGACATGGATGGCAAGGGCCACGGTGTGAAGGTTGAGGCCGTCGCAATGATGCCCTCTGTCTTCATCTCAGTATTCCCCTGGCGGGATGGGTTGGACTATAAGCTGTGGGCCGCCGGGATGAGCCATAGCACCAGCTTTATCACCTTGACCAAGGACCGCGACGCAGGTCGCGTTTACCCGGACCCGGTTGATGGACGTGCCCGCATTGATTACACTGTATCACCGTTTGATCGCAAGCATATCGTGGAGGGATTGATCGCCTCAGCGAAGATTGCGTACATCTCCGGCGCCAAAGAGTTCCACACGACCTACCGCGACCTGCCGCCATTTATTCGACCAGACCCATCCAGCACTGATGCTCCGGAAGGTACCAACGACGCAGCTCTCCAGAGTTGGATCACTGAACTGCGTCAGAAGTGCCCGCTCAACGCGGAACGGGCCTTGTTTGCCAGTGCTCACCAGATGGGCACATGTCGAATGGGCAAATCCCCCCAAGTCGAGTGTGGTCGACCCTGACTGTCAGGTCTGGGACACGGACGGACTCTACGTGGTGGATGCGTCAGTCTTCCCCAGTGCCAGCGGAGTGAATCCGATGGTCACCAATATGGCCATTGCTGACTGGGCGAGTCGCAATGTTGCACGGTCGCTAAGCAAGCCACGCAGTGAGAGAGGCGGCCTTGCTCGTCTGTAGCGGGTGTCTTTGTATATACTAGTAGTATCTGTTTCTGTTTCTTCTGACGATTTGCGGTGGCGTGGAGAGCGATTGATCCCCCTAGCTGGTTTAGCTGTTGATGTTTCAAGCATCAATGCATAATATGAGATTTATTCATAACTTGAACCTCGAAGCTCTTGGTCTTGATCCTGCACACCATCTACTAGTACTCCATATACACACAACCTTGAAAGTTCTAGTCTAGTGTATACTCCGTCGTAGTCCCGTATTCACCATCTGCTGGCATCTCCACCAGTCGATCCACTTTGCTTAGAAATCAACTTCCACTGGTTTCCGCATTATTAGTCGGATATCCTACGATGATTCGGCGTATGCGTGTTTGGGTGGGACAATGAGACATGAGAATTATTAATATTGACTAATTGATAGCTGGGGGGGGGGGGCATTGTTGACACCTAGTACTACTTATAGTAGTACTTCATAGGATTCTTTGATTTCCCCAGATTTCCCCTCTGCAACTCTCACCTCATTCTAATCCACAATGGCACCATTCGGCACAATCTACTCTTACTCGCCCAGCCCTAGGGTCATGAAGGTATATTTTTAGCATCGAGCATTTATTGATCCCCTCAGACTAGTATGGACAGCTAACTTTACCCCCTTCCAGACCCAGGCGGCTGCCAACATCAATGGCCTGGAGCTTTCCATCCCCGAGTTCACCATGGGCGTCACCAATAAAACTCCCGACTTTGTCTCCAAGTTCCCTCTGGGTAAAGTTCCCGCCTTTGAAGCCGCCGATGGTACCGTCATCTTCGAGTCCGACGCTATCGCTCAATACGTGGCCGAGAGTGGCCCCGCTGCCGGCCAACTGATGGGCGCCACCCCGGCCGGCCGTGCCTCAATCCGCCAGTGGATCTGTTTCGCACAGGGTGAGATCCTCGATCCTGTCCAGCAGCTTGCTCTGTGGCGTATCAAGCTTGTCCCTTATGACGCCGCCACCGAGACCAAGGCTCTTGAACGCCTGGAGCGTTCCCTCGCCTGTCTGGAGACCCATCTACAAGGCCGTACCTGGTTTGTCGATGGGGATAAGATCAGCATGGCTGATATCACTGTTGCCTCTGCTCTGGTTTGGGGATTCGCTATGGCGATCGACGCGGAGATGCGCCCGAAATACCCCACTGTTGTTGCTTGGTATGAACGTGTCCTCCAGCAGGAGGGTGTCAAGCAGGCCTTTGGAGAGAAGAACTTTATTGAGAAGCGTCAGGCTTATGAGGGATAAACTGAAATCCTAGAAAAGTATTTTGAGTTGCATAATGACAATGAATGACCATACTATATCTGTTTAGTATATGTGGTGTATGTATATGTCGTAGTATACTAGTAGCATCATATGATCCATGGATAGTAACCACCTCGTATAGTTACTACTACTACTATTACTACTACTACTACTACTAAATACTGCCGCCTTCCGCCTCACCTTCTCTCCTCCTCACTCACTCACCTCCCCATGCCCTTCCTCGGCCTCCCACCAGAGTTACACATCGCCATCGCCGAGGTCCTGCCTATTCCCGACTACTTACAGCTCCGTTTAACCTGCGCTTACCTATACGACTCACTTTCCCCTCCCACCCACCGCCAACTCGTGGACGCCGAGGCGACCGACTGGGCTCGTCATCACAATGTCTTTACCTGTCGATATTGTCTACGCCTGCGCCCGGCCGTTTATTTCGCCGATCGGATGTTGCAGCATCGTCGTTCTCGCGCGGCCCGGGACTGCCATAAGCGCTTCTGTATTGACTGCGGTCTGATGCCTCGCGAGGATGGGGGTACCGCCCGCTATGGGCCTGGCGCCCAAGTGACTATCAATGAACAATTCTTTGTCCTTTGTCTTTCTTGCCATCGATTTCTACCCGGCGCACGAGATCGTCATGGCCGGAATACTTTGGAATGTATCTCATGTTGGCAGATCCGCTGCCTACGGGCGGGTGTAACAATCGGGTCCTTGGCGAAGATCGATCATCCTTCTACGAGTGAATCTGGATATACCTACAGGCGAAACACGGAGGCAAAGGAAGAAAATTGAAGTTGAAAATACTCAATTGAATACTCTAACACCAGTTGAAAGCGAGAATTCGCATTTCTTGAAACCCCGAAACGCCAGATCTCGACGGGTTATACAATCATGTGGACAGCCTTGGGTATGCACACATCGCTCGTCGATTCAGATAAATACTGCCTATTTCCAAATCAACAGAAAGGTCTCCCTACGCCTTGCAAGCTTCACCGAGTTGCATATAATTCCAACAGTCTGTTCTCGCGTTAGCTCTCGATACAATCAGCAAGGGGCCGGGGAATATGCTCACTGGAATTTCCCATATCTTCTCCAAAGAGGCTGGTCATCAGCTCCTCACCGTGTCGAGTTCCCTCGTCGGGGGTCCAGCTGACGGCTTTCTTTCCTACCGCCAATCCGATGACATTGGGGAACGGATTCAGATTCTTCACGTCCGGCTTACTGCCGGCACATTCTGCCATGAGATGCTCATAGAGGTTATGACCTGCAAAGTGGCCCATGTGCATTGCACCTCCACAGCGCTTGATACCCGGCCACGCCGCAAGGTCTCCTACACAGTAATGGCTCTCTGCGTTTGGGATAGGTCCGGACAATTGAAGACTGTTCATCAATATTAATTATCCGAGCTCAGCGAGAGGAGTGCAGGGGGAGGATAGAGACTTACGAAGGATGAATCTTCACATAGCCGTCCTCGTTCAATGCATCTGATGGAAGATATGTGGAAGTAGGGATGCTTCGCGAGATGGCGCTAAGCACAAGACCAGTCGTCAGCTCCCGACCATCGGCCAGCGTTAGACGCCACACTCGGCGACCGTCCTCTGTATTGACAGCTGTAGTATCAACAACACGCTGACCCAGAATTGTGTCCACGCCCACTTCACGCAGACAGGACTCAACGCGCTCGGCAAAATCATCTGGCAAGGGCTCCGACGAGAGTAAACGGTTTCGCGAGTGAATGAGAGTGATCTTTTGATCCGGGTAGAGAACCTTCAGCTCTGCCGCCATTTCCACGCCAACGGCACCTAGCATACAACGGAAGATGAGCTTCGCAGAACCTTGGGGAAGAATTGAGGAAATTCAATGGAAACTCACCGCCACCAACAACCACTACGCCCTCGCGAGAATTTTGAATATCTTCGGCGTGGCTTTTGGCCTCTGCGATAAAGTCGGCTCGTACTTGAGACTGTGGGACTGTGGGGAAATTCCGTCGCAAGCCGGAGCCGACAACCAGATAATCATAGGACTCGTTGCGTTTCGCTTTCGTGTCTGTTTCGTCAATGTGGGCCGTCTTTGCTGCAAAGTCCACTGAGCTAACGCTTCCCCGAATGAAGTTGATGCCCGAGGATCTGAGGCCCGGAATATCCTGGAACCGGGTCCACGAATCTGATGCGAATTTCTCGCAGGCTAGGGCCTTGGGCGATCCAATGAGATGATCTGAGAGATGGTGAGTGGAGTGAAGGTCTCAAGAGGGGGTTTCATCATAATATCATACAGTAGCCATCTCGTTCGTCGACCACGGTAATGTCTACTGGGATGCGATGGGCCGGGGAGCGATCTCTCGGTCATAACTGAAGCGAGGTATGCGACCCCGCGAAAGATCGACCAGGGTTAATGCAGTGCTCAAGCCCGCGTAGGAGCCACCGATGATGAGTACCCGATAGGATCGGGCACCAGGAACACCGTCATTGGAAGGCATAGTGTAGAATCGTGATACGGTGCGTGAGTAGTAGAGATGTTGGCAGGGGGAGGGAGAAAGGTGAACTTGAAGGAGAGGGGAACGGAGAAAAGAGAGAATCCTGGACATAATCAAAGGCGCAATATTATTTGAGTTGAGGGATTACCAGCTTTACATTAGCATTAGCATTGGCATTAGCACTGCCACTGGACTGGGTGACATTCTCGGTAGGTTACCGATCCGAATCTCATCTTATCAGATGAGACATCCAGGGTTCCTAGTGAGGGTCGTGCGCCTTAGGGCGTGGTTCCCGGCTGTTATCAGATCCGATCCAAAAAAGAGAAATAGAAGATGAGACAAAGAAAGGAAAAAAAAAAAACCCAGAACGTTGGAGCCCGCCATTCCTTGGCTAGTGGGGAGCGTCTGATCTGGCCAGCATTTCTTAAGAGGTTGTGGATGGAATGGAGTATCCTGCAGCATTTCTTCCCTCGTACTCCGTACTGGCTTATTCGTGCTTCAGCTCCGTCGATTGCCGGGGCCCTGCCGAAATACTCCATACACTATGGAGTAGAGAGATCGAGATTAGTAGTAGCGCTGCTACTATGGCAGACCGAATTTATGTAAGGGTTAGCAATAGAAGCACCGCGTTCTCACGCCACAAACTTGAAGACCCCTGAACCTGACCCCGTGAGAATACAAGAGGCATGATGCTTCAAGTTGTTACTACTTCGATGTGATCTACCAAATTATTCTGTACATGTGCCAGAGTCCCTGCATAACACGCCTGAACCAACAAGGCAGAAGAATCCGCCTTTCCCGCGGGTTAAACCGACTTGACAGAGTTGCAGTGGGGAATTTCATATGTATTCTGTATTCATGTGTATTCATGTATTCCGAGGTATTTCCTGAATCCGTGGTTGTGGCGTGTATTGGTTATTCCGGTAATTACCAGCCCACTGGGACCAATCAAAATGGCTCGTTGGATCAGACAAGATGATCATCTAATCTGATTAAGGGAACGCGTCATTATCACTCGCCACGCCAAGTCGCTAAAGAAGGGCTCCCCTTTTCGTCAGCATTTGTTGTTACTAGCGTGGAAAGAGGGGGAAATTAGAGAGTAAAGTCTGTAAAATAAAAACAGAAAGAGAAGAAAACAAGGAAGAAAAGAAAAATATTCAAATTAGATTGCTGAAAAGCCTTGGCAAAGAAAAAAGCTGCGCCTCGCAAAATCTGATAAAAAATCATTGCCCGGTGGGGCGCTCTAAAAAAAAAAAGTTCTTTTGGTTCTATCCCGGAAAAACATGAGTATGAACACGCCTAGCTAAAAAGAAAAGAAAAAGTAGAAGCATGGGGAATAAAAAAGGGGGGTATTAACCGGCGATGCAGGTGGAAGCGGAAATGGGAATGGAGGCGACATTTTGGCATTAGGCCCGCTGAGCGAGGGCGGCAGTCGCCATATCGCGAAGCTCGATCTTGCGAACCTTTCCACTGCCGGTCACGGGGACAGTGTTTGGGACTCCCTCCTCACCAAACACAAACACATGCTGCGGTGCCTTGTGCCGGCCAAGGGTCTCTCGCGTCCAAGCGCGCAGATCATCATCAGCCGGTCGGGCTTGACCGGGACTGACTTGGATGAAGGCACCCACCACTTCTCCGTATTTCTGATCAGCGATGCCAATGACAGAGGCTAATTCGATGTTGGGGTGGGCGGCAAGTCGCTCTTCGATTTCGAGGGGGTAGATGTTTTCGCCGCCTATGACAAAGGGAGTTAGTCTAGATTCAACCTGCATGTAGATGCTGTGAGATGTGAAACTTACCACGGATGATGATGTCCTTGAAACGGCCAGTAATTGTGCAGTAGCCCTGCTCGTTGAAAGAGGCTTCGTCGCCAGTCCTCAGCCAGGTGATGCCCTCAGCATCGGTGACAAGTGTTTCGGCCGTCTTCTTTGGATTGTTCCAGTAGCCCTTAGTGAGCTGATACCCAGCCATACAGAGTTCACCTCGCTGTCCAACTGGAACAATATTGCCCTGGGCATCGACAATCTTGGCCCGCGCATGGGGCAGGACCTTTCCGACCGTAGTGAGTCGGGTATGGATACTGTCGGTAGTGAAAGCATTGAAGCAAGTGGGGGATGCCTCGGTGAGACCTTTGAATTTCATTAGCGACAAAATTATAGAGCCAAGGAAGACGATAGAGGATTTACCGTAGCTGCTAGTGTACTCGGTCATGTTTAATTCTTCGAGCAAGCGCTTCATTAGTGGACGCGGGACCGGGGCCCCAGCAATAATCCCGGTACGCAGGTTCGAGGTATCAAAGTTGGCGGGCTTGGGAATACTGAGGATGGCTTCAAACATGGTTGGAACACCGTGCAGAGCTGTGCACTTCTCATCGGAGATGGCATGCATGACAGCCTTGGGGTCGAAGGTTTCACTGGGGAAGATGATCTTGGAGCCATGGGTGACGACGGCCAACATGCCGAGAACGAGACCGAAGCAGTGGAAGAGTGGCGGAGGGCAGCAAAGAATATCGAAAGAAGACAGGTTCATGCGATCGCCTATGAAGCGGGAGTTGTTGACCAAGTTGCTGCACGGGGGAAGGTTAGCGTGCGATGATCTTGATGATCGTCGCATACAGAGTTTGGAACATACTGATGGGTCAACATGGCGGCCTTGGGATTTCCAGTCGAGCCACTGGTGAATTGTAAATTGCAGACATCGTCTGGGCGGAGTGCAGCCTCGCGATCCTGAAGAAGGTGAGCAGACTGTGAAACGCCGCGCTGAATGATATCGGCGTAGGTGGGAAAGTCTTTGTATGCTCCACGCAGAATGACGATCTCGTCGAGGTGGTCAGAGGTGCCGTTTATCTTCGGGGTCGATCCGAGTTCAAGTAGGACTTCTTCGAGGTTGTGGCGGCCAATTTGGGGGGTCATGAAGAGAAGTCGGCAACCTGAATAGACCGGTGGAGTTCTTGATCAGCGATGGTCTGCAAGGATCTGCAGGGTTCAAACACAAGGTTGAATCGAATCATACCGGAGTGACTGAGAGCATAAGACAGCTCGGACGGAGTGTAGGTGTTGTTGAGGACAACCAAGATGGCACCCACGCGAGCTGCGGCGAAGAAGACAGAAATGTACTGCTCGCAATTGCCAGCCATCACACCCACACGATCGCCCTTTTGGATTCCCATGGCCAACATGCCGCGGGCAAGACGATCGGCCTCATCCTTCAGCTGGGCATAGGTCCAGCGAGCTCCGGTCCAGGGAAAGACGAGACATTCGTAGTCGGCGTAGTGTAGGGCCTGAATGGTCAACAATTCACCGAGAGTGATGTCGAGCAGCTTGGGATGAGTCGGACCAGCAACGATCGACAGATGCAGCGGTGCAGTAGCGGGGTGAATGTGGGCGAGAGTCTGATTCAGACGCTGGACAGAGGGAGGGACTGCCATGGCCGGAGTCTATGCAGGGGAGAATGCAAAACCTGAAGTCAAAATGGAGGGGGAAGCGCGTCTTTTAGCAGGAAGAGGGGAACAATGCGAATTGAAATGCAGAAGAGTGGGGAGTGCCAATGGTGGAGATGTTCTCGTCTCAGATCGATCCACCGTGAGGTATTCACTCAGCGACCTCGGGAGATGATAGTTACTAGTTACTAGTTACTACGTACTAGGTAGGTACCTAGATACTTAGGTAACTGTGTGATTTATGTACTAATTACTGTATACACAGTAATGCTGTATGCATAATCTACACTAGCATCATGATACTACATGATGATTATCTGTGGTCTTGTACGATGATGTATTTATATGTATTGAATACGGTGTATCTTATACATCTGGTGTAATAATAGCCGTATTGAACTGTACCCGTCTGTATTTAATATTCGCGGGTTCTTCGCTTACATCGGGTCCACTCGGAGAAAGAGATTGGAATAGGCAAGTGTGAGAGGGCATCTCCGAGAATGGAGTGAATTCTTGGGTATTAATGGATATTATTACGGAGTACCTAGGTAATATCTAACTAATCGGATCCCTTCAATCCCAAATGAATGGCCATCGTGCTGGCCAAAAACCCGGGCTCCACCCAGGATCAGATAATTCTGCAGCCCACAAATACTACATACAGTACATCCAGTGTATTCTAGAGTCTACCGAGTAAAGAATACAGGCCGAGGCTACGTATTAGTACACTAAGACCGAGATGACGTGCCAGTCTCAAAGGTTTCTGAAGGTTCCTGGAAAATCTCCATCCCATCTCTACGCTCAATCTAATCAATCCCGGTATCGGCCTTTCCATCATCCACTCAACTCAACCCGGAGGAAAGTATTCTGTACCTGCCCTACCCACTCATACACTACGAGTATTCAAATTAATATTTACGACCCTACCCATATATAGAGTGTCCTCCAGGGCTGGTGCTGTATAACTTGAACTCTCACACTTTACTCACTAGACCTTGCAGTGTCGATCGGCCGTGGACCCGCTTGACAGCACGTTGGGCCCGCAGGAGTCTGGTAATTCTAGTTCCAGAAGATCTTCAAGTTCACTATAACTATCTATAGCCCGCATAACTGCAAAATCTTTGATGAGCTCTGAATGTCTTCGCAGATATTATCGGGTCCAATACTAGGATAGAAGGAGCGTTGGCAGAGCTTGAATGTGATGCACGGGCATGCCCAGGTGTGGGATTACTTTGGCAATGACATTTGACATTCAACCTAGTTATTCTGCTGGGATATCATGATATACTCACCAGTTGATCGAAAGACAAGGAACCTTTCGGCTACCTAGGTAGTAGGTAGGTAGAAGGTTGACAGGAATGGCTTATTTTACGTGGGGAAGATACTACTAGTAATGTGTACCAAGTTACGACTGATGAAGATTTACTTGCAAGTTTTAAATCAGGGTCTCATCGTGTTAATTTTCTATCGGGCCCATTTCTTCCATTCTTGACTTCGTCGACAAAACGTTGGTTCTGGGGTAAGTCACAGTTTACGAACTGGTCGCCTTGGGCATCACCGCTAGCTCTACAAGCTCCATTCATGGGTCCCATGGTCCAACGGCTCTGCTTCCTGTCAGCAGTTCAGGCTCATTATCGCCCTGAACAAGAAGGATATCCTCATGTCTGACACCAAACTTATCAACCAAATAGATACCGGGCTCGGAAGTGAAAGCCATTCCGGTCTTGAGAAGTGTCTTGTGGTTTCCCTTGTTAAGATAGGGGCTTTCATGGGCTGTTTAAGACGATCAATGGAATCAGCAAAGTGAAACAAAAGCAAACAATGGAAACGTGAAGAAGCTTACCCTTGATTCCGATCCCGTGGCCGAGGCGATGAGTAAAGGTTCCTTCATACCCGGCTTCGTCAATCACGTTGCGCGCAGCGATATCCACGCTCGCGGCAGTGTAATTCTCTCGGAACTGATGAATCGATTGTGTCTGTGCTTCAAAGACAATATCCCAGACCTTGAGCTTTTCCGCGATATGTGGAGCCAGTGCCTGCTCGTTCTCTGACGGTTTCTTGAGAAACGGGGGAAGAAAGTACGACAGATATCAGAGGAGTAACCGTACAGATGGGCCCCAACATCAATCAACACAAAAGTCTCGGCCTGGAGGACCTTGGTACCATTGGTACCACCGTGGGGATTTGATGCATTCTCATCGAATAGTACGATATCGAAGAATGGTTCCATTCCAGCTGCACGTAGAGCATCGTCTAGGGCTGCAGCGATTTGATTCTCAGTCAACCCTGGGTACAGACCTTTCAAGTAAAGCAGTCAGCATTGAGTCTCCAGTCTATTCGAGTGGGGGAACCGACATCTTCTCATTTGGCGTACCGCTTCAACGGTCCCTGTGTTGACGGCACGAAGGATCTCAACCTCGCTTGCGCTCTTGATCTGGCGAACCTCTTCAACGTGGCCTCCCAATCCAACAACATCAAATCCGACTGATGCCAGTCCGCGTTGGATGAAATCGCGCATTTCTTCATCGACCATCAACCGAGGGGTGCGAGTCAGATCGGAGAACACATCGGACTCCTGGAGAGTGGTATAGGGATCCCAGTGCTCTTCCCATGGCACAATTCGAATGGCCTCGGTAAAAGGCATTCCAAGGAGTCTCGCTCGCTCAGCCTCAAATGATGGGCAGAGGAAAGTCGTGTTCGCCTTGACACTGCCTGCTTCGTCTTGGAATGGCCGCACAACCATCAGAAAAGGGCGTTCTTCGGGCTATATCATGCTTTCCAAGGTTAGTAAAACGTATTCAGAAGGAGAGGTAAATCGATGGCCTGAGATTGTACTACGCACCTCCCATACTTCCCACTCAGGTTGGCTCACATTACCATAATACTTGAAAGTATAACCCGGCTCAACTACAAATGCATCGACATCCTCCGCCACCAAGGCCTGAGCTAATCGCTGACGGCGTTCCTCAAAATCATCAACGGTGATGGGCGATGCATTTTCCAAGAAGGGCAAACCGGTGTTTAGAAGATTGTCAATTGCACACTGCTGGAAAGTCTTCAAAGGGTCAGGATCTTCATGGTTTCGGCAAGGTGCGAAATTGCCACCGGTCTCTGGAAGAAACAGATGCGACCGTGGGGTTTTGCGTTGAGATGAATAGTGATAAAATCCAGATGCTGCAAGACCAGCCCCCGCAAGCATCCACGCTGCATTGCGGAGAGAAAAGCGATTGTGTCTCGATTTACCGGAGGTTGAAATCGCCCGAGCCTCCACGTCGGGCGTGTTCCAATCCGAATGTTTCGACATAGGGCGTTATCAATTGAAGTTTCTGTCTCTGGAAGTTTGAACCGCGCAGGGATCAGATCAGACGGGGATTTTTGTATCACCTTTGCCCTCGCATTTCCATTTGTCGGTGATGTGATGTGGCTGTGGCATTTGGGGGATCGGCTATCGCCTCGTTTTGACCTTCCTCCCGCAGCGAGGGCGTTTCGCACGAGTCCCACCCCGGCAATTGCAAGGTTTCTTAGCGTAGACACTAAGTTGAATCTGCGGGATTCAACGCTGTTCATTGATCGGAATCAAGTTGATTTAGTAATGGTCGCCAACCGGCGTGTTAGCAGCTTTCCAACCTCCCTTGATTAACCCCGCATGCCAAATCATACCAGCTGATTGGCGCGTGAAGGGCTCTAATAAAGCATGGCAATCTCTAGCAAATCGGTTCTATACCCAAAAATGATGCAGGTCCATGCGATGCAAGCCGATAGCATCGATATAAAGTGCGAGGTGCGGCCTATTGCGAGCGGCAGGAGGATATGCGATTCAGACAATCTCTAAGAAATGGCTGCGTATCCTACGCAGCAACCCAGAATGAACGAATTCGAGCTAGTCGAAAATAAGGAGAATTCTCTTTCCCAGCCGACCGCACCACCGGATGAGAAGAAACAGGAGAAAGTAGTCTCGAGTCATGAAATTCCCACTGCGACACCTAATGCGACCGCCCATGCTACTGTCCATGCCAGCCCCAATGCACCCGAAGATGGCCCTGATCGGGGTTATTCGCGTATGTCAATGGTTATGATGGTCGTCTTCAGCGGCCTAGCCATTGGATCAGATGGATTCAATGCTTCAATTATTGGCAACATCGAATTGTTGATGGGAGTCATTTACCCCAACTCACTGACCACCGAAGTCGCGGCACGCCTATCGAATGCTTTTATGGTCGGCATGATCATCGGAATGCTGTCATTTGGATACATCTCCGATAAACTCGGTCGTAAGACAGGCGCCGTCTTAACAACGGCGATTTTGGTGCTGGGAATCGCTCTCAGTGCTGGTGCCAGTGGCATGACAGAAGACGGCATGTTTTGGATGCTAATCATTGCACGTGGAATCGCTGGTGTGGGTGCAGGCGGGTGAGTCATGAATTAAATCCAAGGGAGCTTCTCTCTTCAGGTTTCCCTTGAAGATACTGTGCTGATCGTTGGTAGAGAATATCCCGTCGCAGGTGCTGGTGCCGCCGAAGCGACGGACGAGGCGCCAGGAATTCGCAAACGACGTGGCTTTATCTTTGCAATGATCGGTGATCTTTCGGCTTCACTGGGATTCGCATTTGGAGCACTTGTTCCTTTAATTCTGCTGCTTTGTTTCCACCAGCAAGTCCGCCACTATGAGGCCGTCTGGCGCGTCTCCCTGGCTATGGGTGCTATCGCACCCCTATCGATATTCTGGTTTCGATATCGCATGGTGATGAGCACGGCATATCGCAAAAGCTCAATGAAAAAGCAACGTATTCCGTACTGGTTAGCTGTGAAGAAATATTGGCGACCGCTGCTGGGCGTGTGTGGTTCGTGGTTCATGTAAGTTGGAGACGAGAAGCTCCCCAGCCGCTTACAAGTGGATCTAAATCTAGATCTCTGTCAGCGATCGCTGCAACGAGAAGTGCTAATGACAAATCTATTGTGCAGCTATAACTACATCTCTTACCCGTTCGGCCTCTTTTCATCCACCATCGTTGGTCGCGTGAATCCATCCTCATCGCTAGCGCTGACGATGGCATGGGGAACCTTGATCAACTGCTTCTATATCCCCGGAGCTTTTATCGGTGGCTTTCTGTCTGATAAGATTGGTCGCCGGCGCACCATGGCGCTGGGCTTCATGCTTCAGGCTATTCTCGGCTTCATCTTAGGAGGAGCGCTAGGGCCGATCCAAACGAAGCTGCCCTTGTTCATCGTCCTTTACGGCATCTTCCTCACTCTTGGGGAGGTTGGTCCCGGCTCGACAATTGTTCTCACGGCCAGTGAAAGTTTTCCAACAGCTCTTCGTGGTCACGGAGTCGGACTCGCCGCTGCTTGGAGCAAGGCAGGGGCAGCGATTGGTACGCAAGTTTTCAAGCCCATCCTGGCCAGTTGGGGGGGACGACAGTCTGCGAGGTACCCAGGCTGTATTCCTGATAGGATCAGGATTTGCTGTGCTGGGGTCCCTTTTGGCTTGGTTTGTTCTCCAAGATAGCAACAAGATCCTAGACCATGGTGACCAAGAATGGAAGGATTACCTCATTGCCAACGGATACACTAATATCGAGTGGGGTGTCGAAGAGCAGCATGAACTGCCCGACGGAAAAGTGGTGGAATGAAACATACCTAGGTAACAGACTGAACTAGGTTGGGTAGGGTCAGAAGTTTCCCTTCCGGACAACCACCCGGTCATCTAGAAATAGAGAAGACTAGGACGCAAAGAACAAGAGCAGTCAAGAATTTGAAGGACAGAATTGACAGAATTAGCAAGAGCCTTCTATTAAATAGAATAAATACATAGTAGTAGTCTCAAGTAAGGAGACAAACGAAAGGCAAACGAAGGACATGATCCGGTGACCGACAAACCCCCTTAGGCCACCACTGCATCAATTAACCGGATCAAAAAGGCCTTGCGTAAACATTGCAGTGTACGTGTATGTACGTAGATTCATTGTATACTCCTCGCGGGCGATTGGCCACACTAACTGTTTCACATAGTGGCTCCCTCGTTGATCCCGACGATGATGAAGACACGGAGTGTCTTGCTTACAGCAGAGAGCCGAGAGCGACGCAGGGAAGAGCGACTCCGACGAGGTTGCCGTTCTAAAGATATTGTTAGCAGACTGTTTGCTTGTATCTGTGAGAGAGAATGAGCAACTTACGGCTTGGGCACCGTTGTTCTGGCAGCAGGCAATGTTCTGCTTGCACTTCTGCTCAACGAGCTGGTCGATACCGCCGCCAACAATGTTCAGAACGGGAACTAAAGTATCACAAGTTAGTGAATGTTCATAATTATACCATCGCGAGATTAATTGATAGACTCACCGTTGGCGCTGATGTCGTTGCACTGGCCGAAGATACCGAGACCGTCACCGCCGGGGCCACCACCCAGAGCAGTCTGGAGAACACCAGCCAGAGGGCCAGTGTTGGCAGTGGTGATGTCGTGGGTGTAGGTGGCCTTGTTGCAGCAAGAAACCTTGGCGTCGTTACCACACTTGGCCTGGGCCTGCTGGACGGTGGTCTTCTTTTCGACGGGGAACTTGATGTTGCTGCCACCTCCACCAACACCATCACCAGAGCCCTCAGCACCAGGGGAGTGAGGCATGGCCAGAGCGGCGGCGGCGAAGACAAGAGCGGTGGCGAAGAACTTCATTTTGAATGTTTAGGTTGTTTTGGTCGCGAGGAGCGGATCAAAGAGTGATTGAAGAGAAGAGTGGGGTTGGAAAGACGAGGTAATTGAGAAGAGTGATTGAAGCTGATGATAGAAAAAAGATGTTGAGGCCGGATTCTTCAATGGCTTTATACATTCTTGTCTCTGGCCCTGCCTCTTAATTTCCTTCTTCCTGGATGCAAAGTTCGAGTAGTCCATACCATCTTGCATGCTCTATTCCGTAGGCAATCAATAGATCCGTAGACCCTGCTGGTGGCGATCGTGGATCATTGCTTCTTCTCAGCGCACGAACTCTGTCGAGCAACTCCCATCGGGACTTTTTTTTTCTCACTTGGCACCGCAGCTTTGAGTGCCTTGGTGTGATACATGTTCAACCTGAGAGTGGTCCTGCAGGAACATTTCACAGCTGTCCCTGTCGATCGACGCCCAAATGCCAGTCAGAGAGCTCTTTATTGGATAAATCGACCTCGAACTATGGAGGAACCCCATAAACACGGGCGGTGTCAGAAGTTACACAAGTTAGCAGCTAGTGAATGTGGCTGCAGGTTCTCTGCTTGAAATTGAGATCTGCCGAGCTGCAACTGGTATTTGCTTTTTCCTGTGCAGGTAGCGTTCGCGTTGGTGTTCCCCCGGAGTGATCGGCGTACCAAGGTGGATAGTGATATGATGTATCAACTCAACAAATCTGGGGGTTGAGGCTGCTTCTGTTCCTGCTTTCGCCATTTCCCCAGAGTATTTCAACTTGCTGAGGTTGTTTTATTTTGAGTTCGATCCGGGCCTTAGCGATGGAGATCCCGACCACTTCATCTATAGCGAGTGGACTGTAAAAAGTAGTGCGTTTCTCGACATGAGGGCAATTTGAACGACCATGGTATTTCGATTTGTTCGCCCCTCAATTCAATTCGGAATCAATAACCTCATGCAGGGGTTTGCAGCTTCCCCTTTTCCGCCCGCGTCACGCAGGGTCCATTCCGGGCATCGGAAGCGCTGTTCCCCTTTCAAAGCAAGTTTTCCGGTATTTGTTATCAAAGCCAATCTGTCGATCTTGGGAATTCAGGTTGAGTAACCCAGATTAACCCGGCGAATCATATGATCGAAAATACGGCACGCCGTGATATTGCTTTTGTCAAAGGGCTCGTAGAATTCAAAGGCACGCTCTAATGTAGGTCTAAACAGGGAAATCCGAACAACAATTCACAGATTCTTGAACCACTATGCTCATCACACGTCACTCATCACAAACCCGTGGTACTATACACGCTGGGCTGTCTCACCGACCGTCGCTACCATGCGAAGGATTCCTCAACGTACTTGATCGACCGGTAGCCTTGCCGCATCGCGAGATGGGTTGCGGCACGAGCCTCGTCGGCCATTCCTGCCGGTCCACACACGAGAATTGCCAGCGTGGAGCCAGCTGCAGAGGCATCACAAGCTCGGCTCATGATCAAAGATTGGATATGGGGACGACCAGTGCTGATCTCGCACCCTAAGCCCGCAAGGTCACGGCGGGGAGGCGCTGCGGAGACTCCAGTCGCATAGAAAGATGCCTGAAAGTCTTCACGACCCAAAGCAGGCAAAAGCTCGCGGGAGGCAACATCATGGAGAAATGCTGTTTGGCGGGCGGTCCAGACCAACTCAATATCTCGTATTCGAGTTTCCTCCTCCGAGATCTCCCCTCCGCCTGCTGAGCGCCGGATGTGATCTTGGATATACGGGACCGCAGATGCGATCCCTGTCCCACCAATAATCAAGAGCACAGACTCATATCTCCACAGCGGGAAATTATGCCCGTATGGTCCTTCGAGCAGGATTGTGGTATCCAGAATCTGATCTTTGGAGCGAAGACATTCCTGGCGCAACTTCTGCGTCCATCCATCATATGGTCGAATCCAAAAAATCAAATTCATCCCCGTGACATTTGTTTTCTCTGCAGTTTCCTGAAATTCATCTTGGTTTTCTTCAATGTTCAGGTTGTCAGACAGCAGTGGGAGTTGAGAGACATCTAGCACTCCATCTTGTTTCCCGGGGGGGGTTCACAGGTGATCTGTCGGACCTGGGCTCATAAGACCATGCTCCAACAGTGAAAGGATGATTCTCCCAGCCTACGAACTGCAATGGCTGATACAAAAAATAATAGTCGCCAGGCTTGGTCCGCAACACCTTCGTCCCCGGCGTGACTTCTAGTCGAATCACATCGGCGTCTTGGTCATAGGACATACGACTGCGAGTCATCTGGACTTTGTTGCGTCCGGTAATACCGATATGAATGTTGCAATAGACAAGCCTGATTATCCTTAGACCCCGATCGAGAACCCATACTCCAACGGCGGGCCAGAGATATTGCCAGTATTCATGCCCTTCAAATACGATTGAGTGGCTATCAAAGATCAGTAAGAAATCAAGATGGGTCTATCGTCTCCGGAAACCCACTAAAAGCACCCAACTAGTGTTAACACGGATAACAAGATGTGGGTGATCAGAAATATCTCGTAAGTGGCAAATCGAATGCGGTCAAGAGAGGTGATCAGCAATAAAATCATCACGACGAAAGCCTAAGAAGATCAGTATCTACCAAAAGAGGGACGAATCGAGATGATATCCTACCAGAATACCCCAGAGTACATAGACCTTGGACAGCCCTTTCCAAAGCTTATTTGCTACATCGTATGCACTGTTTAACATTCACTCCAGATCACAACGACGAGCACCATGCATCGGGACGGTCCGCCACTTACCTCGAATGTATATCACAACGTAGATGATTGAGTGTGCCACCCCTTGCAGCGTAGCAACCCGGGCCACATGGCGATGGTAGATATTGAATGTCGCAAAGCTCCACCCGGTAGCCCACATGAGGATGTTATTGCGACCTCCGAAGAGCCACATTAAAGGGAAATTGACAAACGACATGACACCCGTTCGATCTGCGGAGTACCGAAGAATCTGGTCGGTCGGGTTTGGCCAACTAAACTTGATTAGCGTCTGCGGTCATCCCAAAGATCAACGATACACCACACGTACTAGATGTTTCCTGGGAAAGTTCGGTAACCAACTACACTCAGCACAGTACTCAAGAGCCAAAAGCCGACCACCACGAGTGCCTCCCCTCGATTTGTAAAGGTACATCCAAGCAACTTCCGTCCCCGTCGGTTAAGGGAGCTGGGACGATCAGGTGTGTTTGCACCCAGTGTGCTGCATCTCCCATCCATGGTATGGCGTACCTGGTGCTTGTCGTGGGGTAGGTATTAGACTCTACTTCACGTTCCGCCCGGGCCTTGCGAGAACGGATCATGCGACTGTAAAGGTGAGACGCCATGCCTAGGAACAAGATTGCAGCCCAATAGGCATAGCCAATGTATCTATTCCATCGGACGTCAGTTGGAGCTTTGCTTTCGAGAATATTGAATCCTGATGGACTTGGCTTACCCAAATGCATGATGCGACCAGGATACATATTGCCACGAATCCTATAAAGGTTAAGTGATCATCTGGTTAGCTTCCTTGCGTAGATAGTATTAGTTCGGACGAATTGGGAGCGTACTAGTGTGTTAAACATCACGTTGAAATATGAGGCGGAAATAAGAACCGGCGTCTCCACCGGGTCGCCACGAGAGAGTTCAAGGTAGTCAACTATGCGCATATTTCGGATAGCATCTTCAGTCAAGTTCTCAGCGACGGCGTCTCGTGGCAGTAGTTCGACGTGGCCGAACTCTTCACAGAAGGATGCCAGCTGCGCTAGACCTGCAGCGCGCTCACTGTCGCGACAGTAGGTCTCCGAGGCTGCATAGATGGAGGCCACCTTGAGGGGATTTTGACATCGTGTGTCCCACAGCCCGCCTGCCGGGGTTCCCGCAAAGGTGATGTAGTTGTATGTGGAATAAACGGCGGTCACGCATTGTTCCTCTTGCGGAAGGCTACTACCCCAGGCCGACTGGAAAGCCAGTGCGACAACCAGCCACCGGGGACGCAGCATGTGTGCTTTTTTCGCGGGAGTTGACAGTCCGGGGAGATGATGAGAAAAGGCGGAGGCCGATGATCCCACTCTCCGACTGGGCGAGACCCACTAGGGGGCGAGGGAAAATTCTGTGGACAGTCTGGTTCCAGCAGAAGACATCACAGATGGAAAGAGGTATACCCGTAGTAGTATGCCCTCGTGGTAGCCAATCTCAAGATATCTCGTGTAATGGGTGAATAGTAAGTCAGCAGTTAAGATGGAAAGCAGCGAGTCGGAGAAAAGGCAGGCCACGCAGGGCAGGCACATGATCTTATCAGATCAGATTGTACGGCACGTGATGCGGCACGTGGAGTCGGTAGAAGCCGGTCTGATACAGTACGGTACGGTACTATTAGTAGTCAGGCATCTAAAAATGCATTTCAAGTAAACTATAGATATGGCTATTTATCAATTCATGTTTATATTCCACTTTGACACCTGGGAATGGCTGTGTTTCTGACAAAAGAGGGGAGCACGGAGCAGTGTAGTATAAGTAGTAGATAAAGGTGGACACGCCCGGGCGGGATCCTGCTATATATATCTTCCACCAGGACGCACCACCTTCATTCTATACAGATCCACAATAGTTCCAACAACCTTGGAAATTGATACTAGTAGTATCTAGGTACCGACCGCCGGCGCCCGCAGCGAGGGATGACGACATCAAGGGTTCCAACTCCAGGGCTTAAATATTCAGATTCAGATATTCTACATACTACTAGTACTAGTTAGTACCTAGTAGGTACCAATGGGCATGGGCTCAGACTTAAACCTTGTAACATGGACATAACAGCGATCGTGGAATTACTAGCTAGTGATACTAGTGATTAAAATTACTCTGGTACTAGCAGTAAACTCTATGAAACTGGTACCTAAGAATAAAAAGGTCGCCCGAGCAACACCCTTTTCTTTCCCCCAATTTTGTTTTTCTTCTCCATTTTCGCTCTACGACCGCGGCGCGTCTCCACGCCCGGGCGCGATTAAAATAGGATCAGAATGACAATACTGATCACAATCCGATTTTTTCTCCCTTGGATAACGTGAGATGCGGGCAACCCTTCCAGTCGCAAGTATTCTACCGTGGACATGGGTTAGCAGAGTTCTTGCTAATAGAAATGTACGTGACACGCAACGCGTCCAAACCGCGCGTCAAGTATAGCAACACGAGTACGATGTATGTTCACGTACCTTGTACACATCGGTTCCCCACCACTTAAAGTGCTTGCTTGCTCCCGTGAAAAAGATTGTCAGGAAGATCAGTACACCAGCCACACTGACGGATGAATCCAATGCCGAGCTCAGAACAAAGTTGTACTTGCTCCACCAGGCGTGAAGGCGCTTTCGAATAAACCAGCTAAAGATCAGGCCGATAATCGCCCAACTGCCGTAGTTCATTCCAGTCGCCGGAGGCAGGTAATTCAAGCCACCGAGGAATAGTGGAATATGAACCCGTTTCCACATCGAGTTGGGGTATCGGCGACTGAGAATATACACGGGGACCGGGAGAATGGCGCCAATGAGGAAGAAATACAGTAGAGATGAGTAACCGATTTCACTCTGGAAGTAGCGACGTGGCCCGATTGCGCCCCAGATCAGGGAAGTGTTGAAGTGCGTTTTAGAGAATGGGCAAGTGAATCCATTGGGGGCCGCATCGGTGCAGACGTCTTTGATGTTGTGCAGAGACCAGTTCAGAACACCCAAGGAGGACAGCGTGCCGACAACCATTCCCACACACTGCACAAGGAAGAGCTTACGCTGAGGGATCTGCAACAAAGATTAGCTGAAATTTCAAGGAAACACAGAAGTATCATCAATGGTCTTACGTGCGAGTAATATGCGAGTTTCATGTCCTGTGCGAACCATAGTCCCTTGATGGTTGTGATATATCCGATATCGAAGAACCAAATATTTGCCAGGACACTGCCCTCAAAGACAAATCCAGCGACAATGCGACAAAAGATGTCAATGTTGATCTTGGTATTGGCTGTTCCGTAGACAAGGGCAAGCTAGAAACAATATGTCAGGTATCCCACCGGAGTAGACGAAAGGAAGTGAAACATTAGACGTTGTACGAACCGGAGGGAAGAAAACCAGAGCGATCACTAGAGCTAACAAAACTCCATACCATCTGAGCCCAACGTCCCAATATTCAACTGCGAAGATAGTCATAAAGAGGGCAACGAGGCAACTTATCAGATACCACCACATTGGAACTTCTGGCGATCCTGTTTCATCGTCATTGACGATTTTCGGCCGCCCGGGGAGTGATTCCATAACAACTGTAGGAATTCGTCTCGCTGCCTCCACCATGACATGGCGATGGTCCAGGGTGACCCAGACAAGGAGGGCAGTGAGAGTGGCAAATGACAGACCGAACATATTCAGAGCATAAGTGATTGGCATGTAGACCTAGATGTTATTGATGATGTAATGAGTGATTTGACGCCATGTGAAAAAGAGTGAGAGCAAATGATAGCTTACCGGTGAATAAGCGAGGTACTTTGCTACATCCAACTTATAGTCCGAGGCAGCATTCACGATCTTGGATACCTTGTAAGTGGCTCCAGTGTTATCGAAGACTATTTTGAAAAGCGTGTCAGTGTTTATGATTGCTCAGGAGTGAGAGGTGGGTGTTGAAACATGGTGGAGGACACTTACCACTGGAGCTTTGGAATGGCAGATAACCCGTGTTCCACACATTGGTGTAGTAGCAGGCAACAGCTACGATCCAGATCCAAAAGACGAGCGATCCGAAAACATTAAGAATGGCCCAGGAGGGAACCAGCAGGGGAGATCCGACGTAGGAGATTTGACTCCCTAAATTAAGGTAAGTTGTGAAACCAAGGTGGAAATGAGGAAGGGGCCCATACAATCAAATGTGATGGGGAGGAGACCCATGCCGGACTTCATGCCGAATATCTGATTGACGACGGTGTTGTGTGGCTTGATCCAGCAAGGGAAGTTGAAATTGCTCAGTGCCGGGAAGATGAAGTCGGGAAACCAGTACCAACAGAAAGAGCCGGCACAAACGATCGAAAAGAAGGCATATCGGGATAATTTCCAGGTATTGAAGCTGTGACCGGTTGAGCTATGAGGAATTGAAAGAGCAATTTGTGAACGAACCTCGTCTCGCCGCGAGAAACATTATGCAACGTGGTCGTAAGAGCTGTCACGCCGAGAACACCAGGCCAAATGAGCTCCCTGGGAATCACGACTATGGATCGGAAGAGCCCAGCAAGACAAAAACCAATCAACAAGGTAGATAAAGTCATGAGAATCTGGAAGCCCCAGCCGGCGTGGTAGCCATAGAATTTTTCCTGTTCCACGAGGACATCGGCGCCGAGGCGCACGTAGATACTCAGGTTCGACATGACATAGATCAAGGTGTGTTCCTAAGAAGCGAGGTTCGTGTGAACTGGGTGTTATTTCCGCAAAGGGTGGGCACGCTTGGTCGCATACCTTCGTACTGAAATGTCCCGGGTTGAGACTGAAAGACCAAGCTCCCAAGGGCACATTCCAGGCGGGCACAATCTTCTCCCAGAGCTTCCCCAAAGGATAGGCCAAGAGAAGGATGGCATTTGAGGAAATGGTCAGAGATGGCTGTCGTAGGGTGTAGAGAGTGTTGAGACCACTTGCAATGATGCAGAAGCCAATGGCAAGCACCCACATGCGAAGGGTCAAAACATTCTCGGTGTTATCATCATGGGTTAGGTCGATCCCAGCGGCACGGAGGACATCGGCTTCGGAGTCAGTGTCTGTTGGAAGGGAGTCAGGAATCAAATGGTTTCCAATGTTTTTTTTGTTTTGCAGCGAGAGGAGAAAATGGGACACTGCAAACTGACCGCTATTATCCGATTGAAGAGGAGACTCCTTGAGGTCTTTCTCTTTCTCATTGATGTCAATATTCTTCACCTCCGCCATGGTGTGGATACTGGGGGGGAGTAATTTGAGGGATTGGAGAAAAAGAAAGAAAGAAAGAAAGAAAGGATGAGAGTAGATGGGAGATGGGAGATGAATCAGATAAAAGGGCGGGCATCAGATAAGATCATCTGCTCCGTACCTTACTCTAAGGTTACCCTCACTACCACCGCGAGCGGCTACGGCGCGATAACCTGATTTCGGCCAAAATTTAGAATTTCAAAATTAGAACTCATAGTCAAGTTGCCAAGAGAATCAGCCCTACAAGGCAGAGGTGGGGCGACTCAAGCTTCCGAACTAGGTCCCTTTTTGGCGTCTGCCTGTTGGTGGTGAAACCGGGAAATCTGGTTGGAGCCCTACAAACCCTAAGATTTTGTGAATTGGATTGTTGGATATCCTCGGTGAAGATGCAACCCAAGAAAGTCTAATCATGTGGTGAGATGGTAAAAGTTTTGTCATTGCAATCGTTTATATCATGATGCTTTACTCCATTTCCTTTGGCGAAGACTTGAGAGAAATAGATTAGAGCAACGGAAGGGTTCAGAGGGATTTTGCTTCCCATGTCTCCACCACTGTGGATCCTGAATGCACGACTTTTCCCGAACCACTTACCACTTGCTCAACACTGTCCATATCGAGGCCTTCTCTGTCAAAGCTTTGGTGAAGGCGAAATCCCCACATCGGTCGATGGTACACTCCTTGGCATGTCGTGTCCTTCTATCTTGAGACAGATAGCCGAGGGGAAATGGGACACAGCATGCCATGTTTCATTTATGTACGTGTACGGAGTACTCCGTACTCAGTTTCGAGATTCATTTCAGGGGCCAAGACACGAAAGGCCCGGCAAAATGCTTAATATCCCTGTACTGGGTCTCGATGCTGGGCAAGCAGATCCTCTTCTTCAACCGACACCAGCACCTTGACACCCCATCCATCCCGACCTCCAATCCAATTCTTGCGCTTGCCAACCTTATTGATCTTTTGGACATCGTGTTCTAGTTCTTCGCGAAGATGGGTGGGGTCGTATTCGACCTTTTGAATCGCAATTGTTAGTTTCAACCCATCCTTGTCGCCTTTTTTACCTAGACCGGTCGCCCAGCGGGCGGATGGAATAATACGGGGTTTGAAGGTGTCAATGGTGCCAATCGGATACAGCTGTGCGAGAACTAGACCCAGCTTCCCAAGATAGCGGGTCCACCAGACTTCCTCGGGGGTGAGGATGCCCTGTAGATGGGATTTGAAATCCACATCGCGTGGTGGGAGTTCTCCACCGTACCGCTCCTGAAGGGTTAGGGCCAAAAGGGCACGATGCGCATGAGGGATTCCGTGCGTAGAGGCCAAGATTCCCGTGCTGGTACTGTAAAGAGATGCACTGGAGGAAAGTTCCTTGGACATGGTGGCATGGAAATACAGGGAATTAACAAACGCTTGAACCAGATGAACCGTGATTGATGATGGAACTGAACGGCCCGCGGATGGCCGGGGTAGCGCAGCCAGGATCAGGGCAGCAATGGCCTGAGCCGAGGCAGGCGCATAGCGAGCGGTAGCGACCTCCAGCGGATCTTGTTGACGGACGACGGGGAGCATATTGCGGAATAACACTCCTTCGCGTACACCACCTTGGCAGAAATGCGCCTCCTTGATTCCATACGGTAATGACTCGGCCAGGGTTTTCACGAGGAATGCGACCGATGGGACTTGCTTGCGACGTCGATCGGATACACGGAAGATCTCGTGCGCGGTCCGAGCCACCTCTTTCAAAGCCTCAGTATCCTCGAAATCTTTTTTCTGCGCGGTGTATCCATTAATTATCGAGATCGGATAGCCTTGGCCCCGAGTTTGATGGAGATATAAGAGGAGGTAGCCCCAGCCGCGGAATCCACCGCCCGACAGATAAAGAGGGAATCCACCATGGTTGCGGGCTTTTTGACGCAGGCTCTCGGGGATTTGCAGAGCTTCGAATGCGGTACGGAAGTTGTCAGCCATCTCTTGACGAAACTGTTCCTTGGCCTTTTTGGCCTCACTTTTGCTCTTGCCGCGCTTTAAATCGGCCAGTTTCTGAGTCAAAGCAGCAGCTCCATAAGGGAAGCTCACTGATCCCTTGGGGCTGATCTGGACCTCACCAGTGTGGGAGATGATCCATGTCATTTGCATGCTTCCACCTCCAAGGTCCAGGGCGAGGCCCTCCACATCAGAGAAACTGCTTGCGATGCCCCATGCTCCCACGATTCCTTCCTCCTCCTTCCGGAGCAACTCCACCTCAATTCCCGTGGTATCGCGGATGGCGCTTGTGAATTGAGCAGAGTTGATGGCAGTTCGAGTCGCCTCAGTTGCGATTAGTCGGATATTCGTGGCGGGCACCCCGATTTCCACGCAGATGATTTGGAAGCGAAGGATGGCGCTGACCACGCGATCAATCACGGATGTAGGGATGGCGATACGATTGCCAGTTTCCGGGTCGATTTGTGCCTCATATAGCGAGATGTTGACACGATGAAAATGAACTGTAGGGATTACTCGAGTGGTCGGCGCTGTGAGATCAGAGATGGAGCATCGGATGCCATTACTGTAGATCCAAAGTTAGTTTTTAACAGGGGAAACTGGATAATAGAGCAGAAATGGGTCTTTCCATGCAAGGTTGAGATTTACCTGCCCAGATCAACGACGGCATGCAGGTGGACATTGGGGTCAGGCGAGGAGAGCGAAGCCTGCTGGGCCTCCAAGGAGACAACACGAGGTGGCTGGTTTCCTCCGCCCATTTCGAGAGTCCAAGTTAAGTTTGAATTGAAAACCTGTACAAGGAGTAATGATGGACCAAAAGAAGGATGGCCAGATCAATCGCTCCAAGGCCGAAAATATGTTGAATTTGCACAGATGACGCTTTTTTGGTAACTTTGGAAAGCTCCGCGGGGTTGGTGACATCACGGGACTGCGATTGATGCCTGAGGTGTCAATATGAGCATAAGTATAAATGGGGAGTTGATCTAGAAACAGCAAAGGGTCCATTGATATACTACTACTAGTAGTCATGAGTTCATATTGTTTAGTCTTTACAATACCAAAATCATCCAATGGCACTGTTGAGAGCCCTTCAATAATTATTCAAAGACATTTCCACTCAAAATATCTGCACGGGATCCCAGGTGGAACAGTGGAATATGCTCGACTGGAGCAGGGATCGTCACCATCTGACCACCGGCATAGGTCTGATTCGTCCACCAATAAGTCCAGGGTTTTGTATCATTCCCAACAGTCCGAGGCAGATACACAGACCATTCAGTAATATTGGGGAGCGTGATAGGTGTGACAAGGAGTCGCGGTCCAAACATGTATTGCTGCGTGGTCACATTGTGGTTCTGCTGGGTCCATTCGGCCACTCGGGCATCTGAAGTCTCAAAGTCCATGTAAAGTGGCCGAAGAATCATACGACCGGTACTATGGAGCCTAGAAAAGAGTGCCTCAATATATTCACCTAGCTGGTAGCGGAGATGAATGTATGACACAATGACAGGCGTGTTTGTCTCTCCGTAGGACCATGGCTCATTGTCGCACGTATAGCCACTTTGTGCATCACAAGCGCGGGATCCGTGGGTGCGCATGAAAGGCAGGAATGTAGTCCATTGAAGCCATCGAACATAAAGCTCACGATACTCAGGACGGTCAATATTGGCACTCCATGGGACGGTGGGATCGGCTTGGAAACCACCGGCATCGAGAGTCCACCAGCCCCAGCCAGTGGCAGCGGCAGAGAGACCACTGGCAATCTGTGCACCGAGAGTTTCCCAGACTGCTGTTGTATCACCAGACCAAATCATACTGCAAAATCTCTGGGATCCAATATAACCAGAGCGACTGAGAGACAAATAGTCACAAGGGCTTCCTAACTCCGTTGAGGTTTCGTTACGGAATCCTTCTTCGATAGCCTGTTGATGGGCCCAAGGGTAGAGTTTCCCAATACTGCTTTGGGATCCTGCAGCATACAGGGCATTTGGCATCGGAAAAGGAATCGATTCAATATAATCGCTCTGACCGTTATTTTGGTATGCCTCACCAAGCGCCCCTCCATCCGCTTGATCAATCCAAAAATTCTTGATCCCTTTGTCAAAGTAGTTCCGCTTCAAAGTTTTCCATAAAAAGTGGCGAGCGCCTGGATTTGTAGAGTCGTAATTGCGAATATATGATCCGTTCCACGAATCGGTTGTCCCTGGACCCGATCGAGTGGCAGAGAGGAACCCCTGAGCCATCATTTCCAAATAATTGAGACTGTCATCTGCCACACTCGGCCAAAGGGATGCCATCATTTCCGCATTGGTCAGTTCCTTCACTCTCCGGGCCATTTCAGCAACACGCGGCCACAGCCTGGGGTCAAGACCCCAGTCCCCCCTGGTGAGCCCAAGACTGGTAATCGATAACAATCAAGGAGACTGGTATATTTCTTTGATGAAACTGCTCGGCTAATTGCACCACCTCGGTCTGGTTTTCATACCGCAATTTGGATTGTATATAGCCAAGTGACCAGCTTGGTGGTTTGGGGGCACGGCCAGTGAGTGCCGACAGGCGTTGTTGGAGTGTATCGTAGTCACCTGGTGCTGAGGCGACGATAAAATAGTCTACTACAGTAGCTGCATCGGTGGTGAATTTATTGCGTAGCTGTCCAAACTCCATACGACCTGTCGAGGCCATGTTCCACACAAAGCCGTAGCCCTTGTTGCTCATGAATATCGGAGTGGGAATGTGAGTGTTGAAGTTGACTAGGTCGATTACCATGCCCTTTTTATTGACAATATGATCCTGCTGTGTGCCTGTTCCGTAAATTTGCTCATCCGGAGTCGCGCTGAAAGAGAACTCAGCCGAAAATTCGCTTCCTGGTCCGTTCCAGGAGTAATAGCGCGGGTTGATTGATTTGAGCGGCGCATATTCGTTCGTGAGTAGTGTTTCAGACCCATTGGTCTCGACACGGTAGAAGGCTAAGCGATATCCACCTGGATTACCTCCCCATCCAGAAGTGCGTACAATCGTGTTTCCATTTCGTAGCTCCTCGCTCCGGTTGCCAAGAAAAGTAGTATCGAAACTCAGTCCATGTGCTTCACCTTCAGGTCCCTCAAGGGGAGGATCATAAACAAATCCTATTTCCTGACCGGTCGGGGGCCGAAATGGCCATGCTCGTACCCGGAAGCCATCGTACCCGAACGGTTGAACAAGGACTGTTTCAAATCCATGCTGCATTCGAAAGCCTTTCGAGGTCGGTTGATAGTAGTTTTGTTCGGCTACCACGGCCGTGGTGCCTCCAAGAGCAGCAAATATCAGAGAGGATAAAAGCATCGCTGTATCGTCTTCCCAAGAGCTGCTTCATAATTTAAAAATCCATATGGAAGCGAGCTGTTTTCTAAGTGCGTCCAGGATAGTTTAGCCTAAATAGATCGGTTATAATACACCCCCAAACCCGCCAGAGACGTCATTAGAGCTGGATCGACAGATTAAATACCATCCTGATGACACTTAATAGCGGGGAAGTCGGAGATGCACAGGTCGAATGATGCATGCAGGAACATTGGTGCAACTGATGCCGAAAGTGGGATGATCGTCACCACATTGTTCCGTAGTGTCTGAGCGTAGTATGGTCCGTCCCTAGTTGATCCTGATAGCGTGGGGGTTATTAACCGAGAGGTACCTTAAGGTAGAACCTTACTAGTAAGTGATAGACAAGAGAAGAATTGGACCGGTGATGATTGATTGTATTATACAAAAAGTTACGCACAAGGTATAAACGACAGACGGCCTGCTTGCACCATGACTACACACCAATTGTTGCGATGGAGAGTACCGGTACTTTTACTATAAAGTAATAAATATTTCGAATACTTCACGTGACTAAAAGTATTCAAACTACCAGAGGGAATATCCGCGCACGGGCGGGCTATTCAGGAGTTCATTCCACCTCGAGTCTCAATGCATCATACTGTACGTAGACAGTACCAGGAAGGATAGCAGTCTCAGTGTCGGTGGCATTATAAGGCAAATGAAGTCGCAAGGTATTCTTGCCTTCCTGTAGCCATGACGCCGGGAATTCCATCCGAGAACTGATTTGATAGCAACTCACAGCAGATCGGACGATGCAGCTACTAGACTGGTTGAAGCCGATTGTCATGACCAGTGGATCGTTGTTTTCGTTTATGAAGCTCTCGAGGGATAAATTGGTGTATGTTTCACTGGCGTTGTAGACATCTGTGTTACCTGCAGCCGTTTTTGCACCCGCCAATTGAACGGTAAGTGTTGCCGTCTTCTTTTGGTGCAATTGTTTCTTACTCATGGAGAAGTTAATGGTCCAATCATTGGTTGAATCGTACTCGATATGTGGATTGGAAGGCGTGGGACCAAAAACAGACCAGTGTACAGTGTTGAAGTCCATGGCTGGGTCGCTGGATCCAATAGTATAGTTGATGCCCTGAGGAAAGTCGGCTGTCCAGTCGTACGCTCCCCAATAGATCAGATATTCCGGAGGGCTTAGGGGATGTGTCGAGTCCTTCTTCTGCCCGTGTCGGAATTCACCCGATGACTTATCAGGTATGCCCAATCGCCAAACCTCTTCGCCTGCGGATTCTTGCTTCCAACTGTCTCGGACTGTGGTCCTTTTTCCAGCACTGACCGTGATATCCTCTTTCACAAAGTCGCCGAAAATTCCCTCAGCGTAAATGGTCAGTCGGTAGCTTCCTTCCTTAATTCGGTCGATATTAAAGCTTCCATCCGATGCGACGTCGGCCCAGTATTGGTATGCGCTTGGTGCCGCACTGTTGTCTTGAAAGTAGTATCCATTGGCCGTGAGGATAGCAATAGGACGAGCTGCGGTTTTTGGAAGCGTCACCTTCCCCTTCAAGCTGCCCCTTCTTCCAGAAGGAACATATCCAACAACGTGCTTCGCGATGGAATCGTAGAACGCAGCATTCCATTGCGGATTTGCCAAGGCCTCTGCCTCCGCACGAAGCTTGTCAAGGGAGGTGGAGCCTTTGCCTCCATTGAAGAGATAATATTGGGGTCCAAATGTACGATCAAAGCCATTGGTGATGTTTGGTGTTCCCTCTCCGTGATGGTTGGACACGAGATAATTATAGACAATTCCGTCAACAGTTAAATCCGAGTGAAGGGGGCCCTGTTTTATGTCGTCAGTGCATTCAAAAAAGGCTTCAAGAACAAAAAGTACTGTACCCCATAATATGTATCCTATAAAATATTCGTTAGATATAAACTTGGAATTACTTAGCCCGACAGGCAGCCGATGCACATACCTTGGTATTCATCACTAGCCATGCTCCGTATGTGACTCCTTTAGATGTAGAACCATCGGCGTAAAGACCGTGAACACTGTTGTTTCTCCAATCTGGAGGAGATATTTAGAATTCCCAATATTAATATTTCATGATGGGAGTACGCACGGTTGGAGAAAGTGTATTTGGTGAAGTAATCTGAGAACTGCGTGTAGTAGGGATCAGAGGGCGTATTGTTGAATGTCCAGGTCGCATCCTGAACTACAATCTCTTTGGATATGGCATCTTTGCTTGGCAACGGCGCAGTTTGAACTTCACTCGACGTGAGATGTGTCCAAAGATCAGTATTTGGGCGAAATAGTGTTCGAAACTCCTGCAGATTGCGAAGGTACGGCGTGGTTTCGTTATAATAAGAAAGCCTGCTGAACATATGCAAGCCTGTTTCCCCTTCACGAAGAAACCAGTACTGCTGAAATTGCTGACCGGTAGGTGTGTATGTATCTGTCAAGATCAGACCTCCATATTTAGTCCCTGTTGAGTCAACTCCCTCCACAGCCTCCGTAACAGGGGCTGTTGCACCGGCTGTATAAAATCCGGAAGGAATGCAGTAGCAATCAAGATAAGGTCCGACTCCCGTGGACCCCGATTTTGGACCCAACAAGTCCTTCCCATCGAGGGTCAGACCCACAATTTGACCAGCGGTCCTTGACAAAACTGCAGTTAGGCGATTGTTCTCAACTGTGATTGATGTCTCATTCTGTACAATATGGAGCGTCGCAGAGGCGAGCGTGAACCATGTGGCACAAAAGGCAATAGGTGCTAACATTGCGACCGGAGTTGAATTCAATGCTTCCGGTGATCATCCCAGAGATCCAAAGGCATTCTGGTCTCGAATTTATTGGTAACTTCCTGGAATTCTGCCGGATTCCAATAACCCGAATAAGTCACCCGCTTCGAAGAAACGGAAGCGCCAAGGACTGAAAGGATGCATGCAGTCAAGATAGATCTATAAGTCCACCAATGAGCTTCACTTTTTGCGGATTAAATTGCGGAGGTCAATACCCCTGAGCGTGCGGGGGTTCTTTTCGCGGGGAAACGGGATATTTTTCTCGGCCATCGCTGTCCCGATTGTAAATTGCTTCTTGTCCCTAACAATTATTGGAAATACATGATTGTACTTTCCCGAAAATGTGTCGTGATGGTCAGCAAGACAGAATCGTTGAAGCTGGAATTTCCAGGAATATTTTCTGCGCTTCCAGCTATTTTCGCTTTGGGTACGGGGTAAAGGGGGAAAATTGAGGCAAATACGAAGACAAACGAAATGTTGCCTCATCACCTCGACAGGAGCTTTAGGGAATCCGCCAAAATCGACATCTGCGAAGATAAATTTGGATTGATCAATGACCAAGCATGGATATCGATATCACCGCGAAAATTTGTTCCCGAAATGAAATACCCACGTCCATTTCAGAATTTGGAACCCTGAGACCTTCGCACCTTGTCGTTATTTTTCCTACAGGGCTGAGAGACACGAAAAGAAATTACCTACGATTATTGGAAGAGGATGCCACAGCATCATTTCCATGCTCCTAATGAGTATTTTCCAATCCCCTGGCGCCTGACACGGTCGCGTCGGACCTCATCCCGAACCGCTCTCGGGTGATGCTCCGAATCATTGTCATCCATAGCAGCTTAACCTCGGGATGAACGGTGGATCAACAAAAAAAACAACGGACTCGGCATTTGTAGCGAGGAAGACACGGCATTTAAAAAATTGGACTCGAGCTTTACCCGCCGGGAAACCAAGACATCAACAAGGTCTCTACCCCAATCAAGCGCAGTAATGAATAGTGCGGTGTCAATCCGCGGAGTCCCACGCCCCATACCGCATCAAATTTGCCCCATGGGGGAGGGGCTTTGGATGAATCCACCACACCGATAATTTTGGTTTAAAAGCGGCCTAGGGCCTTCTGATCGTGATCACCATCATCAGCTACTTAGGTATCCGAGTCTGTTGCGGTTTGAGCCTAGTACACCTTCGAATTTCCTCGTCGACACTGGTAGTTATAATATTTCCTTTCCTAATCAACCGAACCATGAAGACCAGCCAGCCAGAGGAATCTCTTCATCTCGAAAATACATCTCCCAAACTCCCATTCAATGACTCATCTGGAGATGAAGAATGGCCGTCACAGTCGTCGCAAGACCCACAAAACTGGCCCGGGTGGAAAAAGGATGCCCAGATTCTCATGGTCGCTTTCCATTCTATGATGGGTACATTCATGGCCGCTGGGATTATTCCAGCGTATGACGCGTTTGCTGAAGAGTATGGCGTTACTGTACAAGCAGCAAGCTATTTGACTTCATTCCAGGTATCGTCCACGCCGATAGATCTAACGAAAAGCTTTTGTTTACTCAATGCCTGACCAATGATGTTGCAGATCCTCCTTCTCGGCCTTTCTCCCTTGATTTGGAATCCATTAACCGCCGTATACGGTCGATACAACGTCATCCTGCTGTCCGTCTTGGGGAGCATGGCTTGTAATATCGGTGGTGCTCGATGCACATCGTATGGTGCTCAGATGGCTACTCGCGTCCTAACGGCTTTCCTCATCTCGCCACCAATCGGCAACGGAAGTGGTGTGATTACACAGTTATGTGAGCCCGAAAAGCGAGCCCAGAAGCTCGGGTGGTGGACTCTCATGACCACAATTGGAACGCCGGCAGGCCCTTTCTTTATGGGCTTTGTTGTAAAACATATCGGGGTACAATGGATCTTCTGGATCTTTGCCATAATAAACTTCTGCCAATTCCTGCTATATTTGGCGATTGGCGACGAGACAATTTATAACCCCGACAACGAGCGAAAGCCGACTGGAATTTGGGGCAAAATTATACCGCGAAAGATCAGCTCCCGCTCATTAAGTCTTCAAGATTTCATCGCCCCCTTTGAAATGTTTAAATACCCGCGGGTCTTGATTGCCGCCTGCGCTCATGCAGTTACTTTCTGCTATGGCAACATTGCGTTGATTGTCGAGATGCCCATAGTATTTGGCGAAAGGTTCAACTTTGATGCCCAGCAAATTGGTCTGCAGTTCATTGCAATCATCGTCGGATGTGTACTCGGTGAGCAGGTCAGTGGACCGATGTCTGACTGGTTCCTTCGTCGTCTACATCAAAAAAGAGGCCACTCGTGCCCGGCTGATCGCCTCTGGTTATCTTACATTGCGTTTGCGACGATAATCGCTGGCTTATTGACTTGGGGATTTCAATTACAACATGCTACAACCTGGAATGTTACCCCTTGCGTGGGTGCTGGAATCGCCAGTTTTGGAAATCAGATGCAAACTACAATTCTGACAACATTTGCAGTGGAAAGTAAAAAGGAGAGAGCCGCAGAGGTTGGCATATTTGTGAATATCTGTCGTCAAATTTATGGGTTTGTAAGTTCGTTTGGAAACCAATCAATGGAAGATCAATTATTAACATGGAATTCCTTTAGCTTGGTCCTTTTTATTTCCCAGACATGTTCGCCGCTTTGGGACTTGGAGGAGCTGCAGGCGTGATGGTAGCCATTATCGCCGCGTCTGCTTTGTTACCCATTATCGCGGTGCAATCTGTTGCCAGCCGAACAGATAGTATACATCGGAAACCATAGAGGGCACGCACGAGCTATTTCTGGGCTTTTTGGAATTCGCTTTTTCTTATGTCCACAACGAAAACAAAGTGCTGCGTGTAACTAGTGTTGTAATAGTGATCAACTCTTAAAAATCGATCTTCGGACGCATAAAAACTGCATTTAAGTTCTTAAGCGTTATAAGGAAGGAAAGAACGTGACAATAAGAAATTGAAATCGAGCTGATCATTCTCCAAAGCCCCCAAGGTTCACTCTGGTCTAGCCACTTGTGCTCTAAGAACTATTTAGAAGAGATTACTTGGAACACTATTAAGCCAAGACATGTCTTGAAAGTCTGGAAATTCGAATGTTTCCATCATTTCAGTGTTCATACCTTCCCCAAATGAGATGTCGAGTAGACCCTGGCTATTTACTTGTTCATTAGGTTGGTTGCCTTCCGCGACAACCTGTTCGTAGAGTATTTCAAGCGCAGCGACGCATCGCCTGGCGGAAAAGCTGTAGCTTTGATATTTGCGCAAAATCTCCAGCGCGCAGTTCCAGGAGCGAGTGATTGAAGTGTTGTTTATCTCTTCTGATATCGCTGGACATAGACGCCCTGCAATGAGAACCGTTGCTGCCGTATATATGTCTGAAAATGTGAGCTTGTACCTACCTAGGTAGTAGGTGGCTCAAACATCGGCGTCACCCGCCGGGGACTAGAGCCACCTGGGGACCTTGGAGAACTCACAAAGGATATTATACCACCATGCTGGCAGTGGACCACCTGTGCCATCAGCTGGCACATTTTGGTAAATCATTTCGATCGATTCTTGGGCCACCCTAACACAGATAATCGAGCATTGCAATGCAACCCGGCGCGGCAAGGAATTGCTGATCGCGATCATAGAATTGCTTGTCGAGTTATCGCGCATAGTGCAGTACTTTGACAGAATGGGTCGAAATAAAAGTATGCGAATGTGCAAGAATCTGCATGATGGTTGGTAAGAATACGTTCCAATTTCCGAGTCCGTGGAGTTTTATTTACAAACCTCGCATTCAACACAATTCCTTGACGAAAGAAAACAGGATTATGAGCTCCTTCTGTGGATCCGGTCCGCAAATGAGCGGGTAGACCTTGTGCCCAGCGCGTCAGCGAGTGATCAAGTTCAAATATTGTGTGTTCTCCATCAGTATTGGTATTAGTGAACGAGAATTGATGAGTTTCCTCTGGGCCATCATCAGAGACTGGCTTGTGAAGACTAAGAAGCACCTCGTTCATGATTTCATATAGCTCCAACGTTTTGGCATAGAAAGCCATCATAGAAAGCTTCTGCGTTGGCTGTGTGGGCTCTACAGTGGCGTCGACAGGGATGAACTCATCATCAACAAGGACAGGGAGCGGAACGGCCCCACTGGAGATCTTCGAGATCATCGCCGGTCGACCAAAGGTCATAGAAATAACACTAGATCAGATATTAGAATCATTATCTTTTAGGCATTCTGGTCCAGCGTACCGGTCCATCAAGACACATCCATGCCATAGTTTCCTAGCAAGCTGTTGTTCTTGGAAGCTAGAAAACCGTGCAAGAGTCTGCGGGAGATGAAGACCCAAACTCTGCGCATTCCGAATAGCTAGGCCAGTGACGATCCAACACTGATGTGCTGAGTCTGTGCTTTGTAGATATTGTGCCATTAATAGAAGGCATTGTATAAGCCCTGCGGAGCCCGTGTCCCACAGATTGAACTGAAACAGTCCCTTTGCGCGCGAAAAAAATGCATCTGCCGCAGCCTCTCGCTCGTGTGGTGGAACGAAGTCGGCCAATTGGCTCGCGAGGGCGAATATAACATTGAATGTACACATTAGCATGTTTTCATTCTGTTCCTGCGTATCCCCCCGCCATATCTTGGTATATTCGCCCTTCATGTTACCGCTGTCAAGAAAGGGGTATAAGGGGAAAACGTAATCCCAATATACCTCCATCAAAGAATCGGCTGTTCTCCGTGGCGGTAAAACATACACCGGAACAGTCGATTGGTGCCTTTCATTGCGATTGGACAGAAGACTAGAGCCGAGAGCTCCAGTGAAACTTGAAGGATGTCTTTGTGGCGAGGAGACCCTTCTATCAACTGCTATTTTAATCTGACGCATGAATCCCGCGGCGCTAGAGCTTCCAAAAAATCCCTGACTAGCGCGTCCTTCATCCAAAGAGCCCATCATTGCATTCACTCCATCACGCCCCCCAATATCAAGGGCATCGGGCTGATCGGAGAACCCCGTATGTTGAATCCGGTTGATCGGCGTTTCGGGTTGGCCCCCGGGGGTTCCGGCTGGCGATAGCGATGATAGAGACTGGTGCTGTTGGGTTTATGAGATTCAAGAAATGATAAAAGATAGCCGTAATGAGCTTACTGGCGTGAACGCCGACAGTGAGGCTCTTTCCAACGCCTTTGGGCTTTCAAGCCGTTTGATTCGATCCTCTAGGCTTGTGATATAACTGGAACATGCTTAGAAATGTGAAATAGAGAACAATATACACGAGGAAATGACACAGACAGACCTCTGGGTTGCACGTTTCTTCTCTAGATCCCCTGTATAGACACACTTACCTCCATCTGCCCTTTTGCTGCATGGCCCACAGACTGGTGTCACATCAGCGCGGGTTGCATTCCGGATACTGGGGTGCCACATACCGGGCTGCACTCCGTCACATCGAACTTTTCGCGTACGACAATCATCGCAAGCTACAGCAATCTTCCGGCGCTTCGTTCTAGTCGGCTCTTCGGATCTTTTCATATCGTGATTTTGGATTGAGCTCTGGCGACTGCGAAGAATCCAGGTTTCGGGGCGGCCGGAATGGAACCCGGGAAACGTAACTAGTGAGTGGGTCCACTTCTGATGGGCCAATCTTAGGTAAAGGTTGTTGGGATAATTAACGGGAAACTTCCGCACGGTGAAATTCCGGAGAACACCCTGCGGCTCTATGGGTGCAAATATGGTCATTGAGACATGACGCAATTCTTTTGAGCTCTAGAAGGCACCTATCAATCTCAATTTTGTCTAATGGGTCCTAATACTAGTACTAGTAGTACTACCCAACTCCGAATTACTCTCGAACGGATCTTCCCTGCCGCTAGCGCCTAACTTTGAGCTACAGTAGCCGATACTATATGGCACTTGTAAAAAGGTCGATCACGATCAGTGACCTTTCCGGCATGAAACTCGTGGATGTCCTCAGGCCGCCCCCGATGATTTTAGCCGTTTCACATTTTCAACTCTCAAAATCAATCGAATAAAAACAGAAAGCACTGGATAAGAAGACGGGAATAAAGTTATGACGATCTAGGATAACTGACAGTGGCAACAAGTGAAGTGTATTCGACATATCCTGAATTTCCAATGGGGCTTTGCATGATGAAGTCTCAATCAGAAGAACGGAATGGTCATATAGTTTAAGAATAAGTGGCATTGTCAATCCATATAGTCCACTAGCACTCTGGGATCTGTAGTTATTTATCGCCCTAGAAATGGGGTGTTTGTTTATAAATGAGGCGTAAAAACTCTAGAGCAATCAAATTGGAACTAAAGAATATGAATTGTGACTGCCAGTCAAGAGCATTCAATACCGAGCCCGAGTAAGGATATTGAGTTAATTGAAATTGACCCATCTCAGCCAGGAGTCAGACTTATGCTCGACTGTCCCATCTATCCAATCCAGAAATAAATCACGATCATCGGCATCAACCTCGTTCAGTAGATCACCGACTGGAAGCTCTTGTTCTGGCAGTTCAGAGGATTTGGTAATACCCGTGGCGACAGGACCACTGTAGGAGAGAACCTGATCCAAAATATGACGAATCACCCTTTGGCCTGGCTGAGAGATGCGATAATTTCCTTCATAGAACGGAATAAAGGTGCCTAAATGAGATGAGAATATACTCAAGCTTTGGATAATCTCCGAGCGAGGGAAATGGATATTGCTATCCGAAACAATGGAGCGAGACCTCCGAAGAAGCTCTGCGGACAATATCCCAGCAGCAGGTAAGCCAAAGTAGCAGAGCTTTGGAAATGTGAGCTATTTTAACATGGTAAGCGATAGGGAGGCGGATCTTACATTGAATCCCATATCAAAGACTGGATGACCTAGCCGAGACAACCTCGCCACCATAGAGAGAAGAGCACTTAGCATTTCTCGAGACGTTTCTATGATAGCGCCTGGTTGAGTATGTGTCCACTTTTGTATAGTGCGATACAGCAAAAAGTCGTTGTAGAGGATATCAAGATGAAGCGAAAATACTATCCTATCTTCGACTATAGGAGCTGCCACATCAAGATGTCCTTCGGAGCTCCATTGGAGGAAATTTGGAAGAGACATGCGAAGTTTTCGGTTCTCTTCCAGAAGATATCTGGTCTGATATTAGCCCGAGAGTGAAACATGGCTTTTAGGGGCGATCTAGCGAGAGGAAAGAGGGAGAGGAATAGGAATGCAAGAAAAAAGTAATACGCACTCAGCTTTGCTGCGTATATCCTCGACTCGATAGCTTAATGACAGCTCTAAGACTTTCTCACGGAGGATGCTTTTGAATAAACTGACCCTAGCCCATGCCCCTTTTCTGATAGTTCCCTCGTCATTCCAGCCTCCATTTTTCTCTAAACAAAGAACCTTTTCTTGTACTAAAGAAGGCTCTAAAAGCATTTCCTCAAAGCTTAGGTCAAGGGGAAATTGGATTTCACAGTACCGCCAACTGACCAAAGGCGGTCTGCCTAAAAACGTGGCCAAGATCTTGTCAATGCTAAAGGTAGCTACCATTGTACGTTTTCGAAGTTCGGCCAGATATAGAGGCAGCTGGTAGCTGGGCTCTTGGTGAAGTCCCAATGCAAAGACAGTGGTCGTCAGCTCCCCGAGCTTTCTCCAGGGCCGAGGATCTGAGAAATATTCGGCTAGTATCAGCTCAGCTCCGATTACACAGGCATAAAAACATGATCTTACCGCTATCTCCATATACGGTAGTCAGTAGAGTAGTTTGATGCATAAGTAACCAACAAACGATATCGTTGATGATTCCTGCACCGTCGCAAAATTGAAGGCAAATATCACTTACAGCACTGGCCATTGTTGCCAGGCTTCGAGGATCGGTAGATCCGGGCTGTTGGAATATAGGATCATCTTCCGATAGCCACTCAGTTGACAGGCCAGTGATGCAAAACATCAGCCCGACCGTTTCCCACCTCCCGGAAAGGGCATGCTTAAAATCAGACCAGGGCATGTTTGCCGGGGTTTTGAATGGACGTGCGTGGGTTTGGAACATTTCCTTCGATAGTTTCAAAGCATGGATATTTTTATCGATTGGGTCGCTTTGTAATAGACACCACATCTCTTCCATAATATCGAAGATCATGATAGTTAGTGGCCAGCCCAGACACCATCCTTCCCAGAGCTTGAATCGCGCGCTCACAACATCTCGATAGAAAGGGAGATCATCCAGAAGACTGAGAACTTGGGCACCCAAGTAGACTCTCTTTGAGTCCATGGGAACATTTTCCTCCTGATTTGTTGAATGACCCTCCAGAAGAAACTCACTGGCTGCATCGGTCAAAGTATTTGAATAGCTCGTGTCCCCAAGAAACCCGGGGAATGAAACCGAGTGCATTTTTTGGTTCCAATTTCGACTTTCAGATTGAAAGGTAGTATGGTGATCTCGATTTGCATTTTCTTTTTGGACTCGTCTTCTGCTCGGTCGTTGCACATCAAGACGGGTCAGAGGTGCCGGATGGTAGATGCATTCTCCCCGGAGATCTCGGCGGGTGCAACGGCCACAAATCGGCAATGTGTGATCGCACCTAAGTTTGGATTTGCGGCATGGCTCACATGAGGAGAGCTGTCCATTTCGACGAGTAGTCGCCATTTGAATTTCCACCTGTAAAATATGCACATGTAACGTATGGTAGACAAGTGGAAGGAAAGAGTGACGACTCGAAGTATGCGGGGCTCGGAGTTCGGAGTTCAGAATGGCTGACTCATCCAAAATATAACAAAATCTACAGTACTCCGGAGTTTTACGTTCAAAAAGACAATTAATAATCCGTGGTTTGCACTAGAGCAATGAAATAACTTTGGTGAGCCATAAGGGTCCTAGCTTTGAGGCACGTAGACGTAAATCTCGGATAACTCCATGGCTAAATCCAGTTCATGCAATTTCCCTTCTTTTGTTGAATCGTAAGTATTCAGTACTGGATGTCCACAATCATAATGAGGATCCATACTCCATATATGTTTGATAGAAGAGAGAAAAGGAGATTTGATATCCAATAATAGAAATTGAGTTACTTGTTGTATAGTAGTGAGTTCGGGACTGCTTGAACAATCATGATTCATCAAATTAACAAAACTGTTTAACGCGCAAAGGGGATATCCAAGATAGAAAATGTCTATGAAACAGGAGTTTGAGCGGCAGTCCCGTTTATGCTTTCCACATGGTGAAATTCAGAGACCTTGGGAGACTCTTTGGTCTCCTCGAAGTCATCTTGCTTGGGATAGAAATTGACCTTTCCATCCTTCTGAATCACCCTCATACGATCGAGGCAGAGGCGAGCTCGGACATACGGATCCAGCTTCCAATAGTTGACACGCAAACGCTCAGCTAGGTAGGTACGCTGGCTAGCGGCCGATTGGGCTTTGGATTTTTCCTGCGACTTGGCTGCCTCGATCCATTCGGACGTGGAGGCCATAAACTCTTCGCCGATTTGCTGACGTTCCCGGATCAAAGCATCGCGCGTTGTTGTATCTTGCATGGCAGCATTTTCATTCTCCTCGGGCTCGATATATTTGTATTCCCACTGCTCGGAACCTCCCAGCTCCTTGACAATTTGATCTCGAGAGATGAATTTTTCCATATCGCTCACAGAGTTAGTGAACTGAACTTTGGCGGCAATATCGGGATCCATCCAACCACGAATGAGCCTCCAGACACCTAAAAATCACGAAAAACAATTGGGTCAGCCAGATAATCCATATAAAGATTATTCTAGATAGAGCGGGGGCATAACAAACCAGAAAAGACCCAGGGTGCGTTATGGATCAGCAATATCCCCAGTGATTCTGGATAATTGGCTTCGAAGCATTTCAGAATAAATTTAACAGGGGGATACTCCTTGAAGGTCAAAAGTCAGCAATTGAACCTTGGAAGATGATGGGAAAAGCACTAGGGATTTTTCAAGGCTCATGTCTCTCACCATGTTGGAAAGTCCAAAACCGGTCATGTCGAAAACAACGGCCTAGAAAGGATGTTAACAACTACCAAGTCAGACGGGCGCGTTATAGGCCCAAGGGACGTACTGCAGTCTCTACGGGGGAAGACATGGCCAAGCGAACAGACTCAATCACATGGACAATGTATCTTTCAAGGGTTTCCTCGCTCTGGGCACCGGGTTTGTGTAGGCGAACGCGCACCACAACGATTGGCCGACCGAGCTTGTCTGTGCCGTGGACATAGCTCTTGCCCATACGCATCTGGGCGAGTAAATCGTGACCCTCCTTCTTCTCCTTGATGTTCGCATTGTCCTTTGACTGTTTGAGAGCATAGAGTTCACCCTTGGCCATTACGTCGTCTTCGACGTGCATCTCCTTGACGCGCCACACAATCGCTTCCATCATCATGGCGAAGGCCTTGGGAATATCCCACTTGCGGGCTCGAAGAAAGCGAAGCATCATACCATCGGGGTGGTCATGTTTCAATAGTTCAAGAATACCTTCACGAAGTTCAGTTGGAGTAATCTCCGACAGAGACTTTTGAACCATTTTTGTTTCCTGGGGGCCGATGCCGAGCTCACGCAAGTATCCTAGCAATTTTTGTTGATAAGGAGAAGTAGCGCTCACGTTGGGTTTATCGGAAACATTGCTTTGAGTGCGACTGAGCAGGGACTGTCGGCGTTGCGGCTGAACTGGACTGGCTGGGGTGGCATTTTCCGCGGCATTACCATTATCATTGGGCTCGTCGGAGTTGGGAAGTTCGGCAGCTTTCAGCAGTACAGACCACAACTTCTGTAGCTTGGCTTCCTGACTTTCATTGAGATTGCCAAGAAAGCCGGGCTTGGGGCCATCTGCAGCCATTGTGAGGGATGCGGAAGAAGGGGCGGGGATGTATAACACGATGTGAAGTGCAGGAGTTTGAGTGAAAACTAACGAGCAAGTCTAGAGCCAAAGGGCTCAGCGGGATAATATATGACATCGTTTCTCCTGATCGTCGCCCACATGAAACCCCTCACACGATCTCCACGCCTCGGTCCCAACGGGGTTGGGAAAGAAACTTGGGGAAACACGGACCAGCGTGTGTCGCGGGGCTTGGATCGACGATCGCGCGGCACTGATCAGCTATAGGCCTGCTTCGTTTCAGCCCCAAGGTACATCTGCATTGATCATGCACGAAGGCAAATTGTGGACAGCTAGTTTTGACCACTTTGTTTTTTGTAAAATGAGTAGCCTCGGATGCTCGGTCGTAAGTGGAGATGGGACATGTACGCATGTGGGCGGCTGAGTCTTAATTTTGGAGTCACAGAGAGCCTTCAAGTTGGAATGCAGCCCAATGGATAGGCAAATCAGTATTCGGTTTTATACAAGTATAGTTGTACATTAATCATTCCACAACATGCTAGCAGAGGTTCTTTGCATGGAGCGAAGTGTCAGTAGATTACATCCGAATCCCAATATTTCCAGCATTATCTATCCATACCCCGCCGTCTTCTATTTCCTGGGGACTCGCCGTTATTTCGTGATTCACCCCAGGATAACTGGGAGTATGGGGCCCCGCCATGCCCCTCCATGGCGCTCGGAGTTAAGAGCGCCCTCTCATTACTGCACTTTTACTCATTATCGCACCATTTGCACACATCTCTGAACCTCGGGATGGTATGTCGTTCAACTAACTCCGACCCACTGCGAGATGGACAAGAATGCCAATTTCTAGATCTGGAGCGGACACATTATTCCTGTCAGGGCAGAAATGCCGGCGAGCGTCCCTTTGTCGGGGGATTATCTTGCAGCCCCGGCACATTGGTGGCGATGCCGATCATCACCGTTTATGGGTAAAAGTCTCCCCTCAAGGTTCGAGTGGAGAACTTCAACTTCTGGGGAATAACTACGGAGTAGTGAGCCATAGATACGGAGGACAGTTGTAGTACTACTACTGAGTACAGCAGTGTAATGTGCTACGGAGTGTAAGAACAAGCCCTGAAGGGAAACGTATGCGGGTCCACATACCTAGGTACTTGCAGGACGGGAATGTTGGATTGCATCACCTGTGGGGATAAGTGACATACGAAAGCGCCGATGAAGAAATATCCATGGATGTATCAGTACTAGTACTACTAATACTACGTGGTTTAAGGTGCTTTGAATGGATGGCCTGTTGGTTAGTAGCATTGTAAGCTCGGGTCGCCCACAATTTATAATGGTTTTGGCTCATGAACGGCCATAACCTGAAAGATTGAAATTTTGATCCATTTGAAAACCGAGGAAATTGTGAAAATTAACGGGTGCGCCTTGACTTAGGTGTGCGGCGGCCCTGCTTTTCGGTCAATGCACCGCTTTGCGTAGCACTACTAGTTACTAGTTAGTTTGTGACTGGTAACCTCTTTATGGGTAGAATAGAAGCTTCAAGTCACGGTTGAAGAATGCCTTTAATTTCCAAACTTGCCCGGGTGATTTCTAGACTATAGTGTAAAAACTGAACCCCCTCCGATTCCACGAGTTTCTGACCAACTAGAGCAATCTATCGATCTTCAACTTGAAATTCAACCTTGGAAGTTCACCTAGAGTTGGGATTCTGGTATGTTTCGAGTCGATGACCAAAAACATAGCTCGTCCGCCTCGTAGCGAAACTCATCCACCACCTTGAACTCGCATTTTCTCAATACCTGGCAGCTGCCATGGTTCAGCTTTTCGCATATCGCATAAACTTTCTCTGGCTCTTCATCCTGTGTGAACAGACTCGGGAGATCGCGTCGCGGAAGTTTCCACCACATCGTCAGTAACATTTGCAAAGCCTCTGTTGCAAACCCCTTGCCCCAGTGCTCAGGTAATATCGAGTAGCCAATCTGGGGACAGGGGTCTAGCGAGTTGATGCCCACATATCCAATGACGGGTTCCTCATTGGTTGCAATTGATTTGTCAACGATCGCCATTGTAAAAGAACATCCAATCACCTCAGAAGGACCTGTCATGAAGGTCTTGGATGCCATCCATTCTCTTGCATCATCAATGGATTGGAATGGTGTTTTTGGGTGACTTTGTTTTGTTAGCAACCCAGAAATCAATCCCTCCCAGTGGCAGTCAGAACAATAAACCACTGGTGTATTCCAGTCAAGGCGAACACTCACTTGAATCTAGCAACTTCAGGCCTCGAACGAATCGCAAAGATTGCAGGCAAGTCGGATTCTTCGATGGGACGAAGGAGAAGACGGTCGCTTTCCGCCGACGGAGCGGGTCGCGGAACGACGACCGTGACCGCTTGACGTGGAAGAGAAAACATGATGATATAGTGGGATTTGGGGAAAGGAATTGTTCTGCAAGATCTTGATAGATACCTCCAATGAATCGTTAATCTTGGGCTGGTCCTGATCTTTCACGTTCTGGCACGCTTGGAAGCAAAATTCGAATGGCGATGAATGATTGGCGGATACTCACGGCCTTCAAGCCCCCCCGCTAAACCATATTGGGAGCCCGCGATGTTGGAACTGAAACAGATGCAAACTTGAAGGCGATATAAATTTGTAATGTATCATTAGTTACACGAAAGGACAAACAATGATGCGAAGAGAGGAGGAGAGAGAGCTATTTGGTCTAGTATTTAGATCCGGGAGGGATGTAAAAATGTAGCGACCTGGTTGTCTCGCGCACCCACACCTCGATAAAAAGTTTGGATAGTGTGGAAGAAGTAGAAAACCCAAAAAGAACCGTGACTCTGGAGGTATCCAGAGTAAGGCCCCTTTGACTCTCAGCATCATATATAGCAAACTTGAATACCAACAATCCCAGCTGAGAAAACTAATTCCTCCCTACTACTACTATATGGCAGGTTCTGCGAAGGATGTCCATCCGTGCAGCATGAAACACATATTTTGCCATAGTGGAGACGATATACGACTAGTACCCTCCGATCGGGGGATTTACCCTATTTGCTCTCTAATTGAGCGAAGATTAGAGGAAAGATAGCTGTGAATTCAAAGACTCAAGATGTGACTAGGAGGGTCACTTTAGTACTATCAAATAAACCCTCCAATTCCAAGATTTTTGGAGCCAAATATTTCATACCACTGCATATCTAGGTATGTAAACAGCCCGACGTTATTCAGCTACTGCTGCTCTGCCGTTCCGAGTTTTCGTCGAGTAAATTCACACTGGCAGTGGAAAGAGTAGCTAAAAGCCGAATTTTCCTTCGAAAAGTAATGTGTCACTTGGCATGGATTCACTTGTTAAATAGCAACTGGTACTTCTCTTGCAAAAATCACCTAGGTAAAAACGGGATTGATACCCATAACACCATAAAATTGAACACAATGTGCATGCTAGAACGGGGTTTGATTGTATCCCAAGTGGAAGAAATCTCAGGGCTACTACCCAGCCACAATATACTAGTATCAATGTCGGAAATAGTGTAGGAAGCCACTGATGCGCGGCCGGATTTCTAAAGGCGTTTATCGGTGAAGTGATTTAAAACGGAAGCGTGGGGTTATTACTCCTGCTCGAGAACGGACTCGGGACGGACGGGCCGAAATTTCAAGTTACGAAACATCCAAGGTTGCTCATGATTGGTTCCTTAAAATCACATATTATGGGACTGTTTTCGGACTTACATGTTGAGATTGCATCTCTTCGGGGAATTCAATGCTGGGCCGTCTAGATTAAGTGTACGAATCCTCCCAGCGACTTGCACTTTTTCTTGTCTTTTGAAATAAATCGGCTAGGAAGGATGTTCCTAGCAGATCTAGTAAGGAGCGGTCTATGCTTGTAGGATTACCTGGCTATCAAGTCTAGAGATATGGGGTAAATTCTGGGTGCGCTTATCTCTCATCTATATCTAGGTGATGGAAAAAGCTGAGCGGGGAGTAGGAGGACAGGCCGGGCGCGGAGAAGCAGATTGATGCCAGAGCAAAAGACTTGAAACGTCAAACCTGTCAAGTTTGAGTTACCTTAAATTGGGCTAGGCGCTACAAAAATTTGCACGCATCGGTCGCGACGACAAGAACTGAGCAAGATGGGTTGATGAGGCCTAGGCCTCCCGCGAAATTATTCACCCCGGCGACCACAGAACCGTGAGTTGTGGTGCATTTCTATTGATTTCCAAAGCAGCTTACTTCTCTTTAATCTCTGACAAAAACAGGACAAGTATTTTCACGCTATTGGCGAAGAATTTATCAGTCGCCATATACGTCAGGTCAGTTGACATACTTGGGCAGAATATTAAATTTCCCGCGATTAACTTCAAATTGCTTATTATGGATTAGGACGGCGATCATAGCCAACAAAGATTGACGGACAGGGCATAGTTGCTTCTTGTTTTCCCGCTCAGGGTTCAACAAAGGCAAAGATCGACACCTGGGCCACTTGTGTGCATGGATCGAAACGGGACCAGCTCGGCACTGGCATCTCCTGTCTCGCGTGAGCAAGATCGGGAAGCTAGGCCCCGTCAGAGTGGACATATGGCCTCTCAGTGATGGAAATATTAATTTAGAGGGCCAAGGAACGGCTATAAAAGGCTCTGATGAATGTTCTGATCTTACTTGTTAATTTTCTCAACCCTCGAGAGTTAAGTTCGACATTCGGATATTCGAAAGTGACGATATTTAAACCCCAGAATGTCTACAATTTCGATTTTGAAATTGGTTGCTGAAATCAAAAGCCAAGTATTGGACACGTCGCTTGACCCTGGGCATGGTCATTCTCGTCTTCTCCAGCTTGTCGATGAGCTCAAACTCGCAGTCGAAACACCTACAGAGACGATTCTGCGTCTTATATACCAGGTATGCACTCATCATCCCTTCGGCGTCTCAGAAAAGCAAATTGATCTTATTAAAGCCTCCTGAAAACGCTGCTTTGCGCGCTGTCGTAGACCTTGGAATCTTTCCATTACTGGTTAACGCTGAAACAAAAAGCGGCGTTTCAGCCACTGACCTGGCTCACACTACCGGGGGAGATCGAGAATTAATCGGTGAGATTGATCAAAATTATAATCAGATAATATCAAGGCGCCGCCATGGAAACTGGCACTAACTTGAACGGGGAATAATACTAGTTCGCCTTATGAGGGTTATGAATGCACTCGGGCTATGCGCCACTTCGGAGCCTGAGAAGTATATTGCCACGGACAAGTCCGCTAGTATGATACATCCAATAGGACGAGATGGCGTCCCTTGTATGTGAGTAACTCCAGTATTTGTTCTCTGAGATTGGGCTTTTAGATATTAATGCTTGTCCTAGCTTTGACCTGACCGTTCCGACGCTCTCCAAGCTTCCTGAATACTTTCGACTTCATGGTTACAGAAATCCCCAAGAATACTCCACTTCCCCGATGAAATGGGCTGTGGGAAAAAGTCAATTCGAGTGGCTCGCTGAGAATAAATTGCATCAAGATCTTTTTAATTCGTACATGTCAAGTCGGCGTGAAGGAAGACTCAATTGGTTCATCATATATCCAATTGAAAGACTAATGACAGGAGCAGTGGCTATCGCCGATGCAGTTTTCCTTGTTGATATCGGGGGGGAATCAGGGGCATGACTTAGAGAGATTTCATGCACATTACCCCATGGCCCCTGGACGCCTGATCTTGCAAGATCTGCCTAAGATTATTTCCGGCGTGGAAAAGGAGGGCATAGAGAAAATCTCGTACAGCTTCCTTGACCCCCAACCTATCAAAAGTACGCAAACGGCCGAGGATTATAACATAGAAGCAAAACCCATGCTGATAAGGATAGATGCCCGTGCCTATTGCTTCCGAGCTATTTTTCATGATTGGCCCGACCGGATATGCCAGAAAATTCTTTTGAACACAGTTTCCGCAATGAAACCGGGATACTCCCGTGTCATCATTGTTGACTTTGTTCTGCCGGACACGAATGTCCCTCGCATGCAGGCTGCGATGGACATTCAAATGATGAGTATTGGTGCCGGAGTTGAGCGTTCTGAGCAACAATGGAGAGAGCTTTTGCTCAATGCTGGGCTCAAAATTATCGGAATTTGGAACGTTAGTCCGAACATGGAATCAGTCATTGAAGCTGTTCTGGCTATGGAGAGTGAGTGATTTAGTCGATTAGTTCTTGCTGGAGACATGGGAAGATAGGGTAATATCTAGGTACGCATGCACCAACATATGAAATGAAACATAGAAAAATAAATATATCCTACAGCTCTTACATGAGCCTCGTTTCATACATGAGTTCGTGATTATTTGCATGAAGCTGCGGGAACCCCTGGAGGCATCATGGCGTATTGCTGGACATGCGACGAAGATGATATTCCTGCCGAGACCGAATATTCATAAAGATATCTGGATTTTGCAGTATGCAAGTTAAAGGAATCATGCCACAATTCTTGCCGATTCCCGACATGTGGATCATGGTTGCACAGGCCGCAGGGAGGGAGGAAGCACTAGGCCCACGCGAAAGCTTGTTTCCGTGTGTCATTTCCAGGTTTAACTGAACAAGACGGCTCGCATCCTAAGTTCCCCACTCCCTCTCCATCTTCAGAATCCATTACGCGCCGAATATCGGTTTCCACACACTGGCACCGACCGGCGACCGACTTAGTACAACCAAAATCAATTGGCAGGTGCGAGGGATATAATAGATGTCGTAAATCGTGGTTTTTCAATTAAGAACAAGTCTCAGATAGGGTCATCATTCCAGCGCCATCGGATCTAGAGTTCTCTCTATATGGCTTTGTAGAATAATGTCTCACGGCAATATCGTCATTAATATCTCCTCCACATGGAGACGGAGCAGTTTCAGGCTTGGGAGGCCCTGGCGGGTCAGCGGGAAGTTCAAGATCGGCCGGGGTGGGGTCGACCTTTTCCTGAGGAACTAGTAATTAAAAGGCATGGGCATGAATGCCAAAGAGCTAGCGCGGCAAGCTGGGATGCCTTTATTTTACTCAGAAGATTTGCTTCAACAACATTAACAAGTTTCCACATGTCTCATTCAATTGGGTCGGGCTTAATGGAAGCCAGTTGTTAAGCCACATACCACCAGTTCACACATATACAGCAGACGGCACGGTTGCCGACGTTCGAAATCTGTGACTAATCATTTAACGATGGATCAGGATCATACGTCCTTGATGGCGTTTGGAAAAGGGGATGGTGGGGGTGGCCTGACATGGCAGAATATGGAGCGACTTCGGTGATGTCGAGGCATATCGGAAACTGTTGGACTGCTCCCTAAGATTCAAGTCGGAAGCTCGGCCGATTCATTCTTTCACAGGCTCGAAAAAAAGGCGGCGTCGTTGCCAACGTTGAATGGTGATCTCTACTTTGAGCTACATAGAGCGCCATCTACAACACAGTCCACCACTAAACAGAATAATAGGAGCGCAGAGTTTTTACTGCGAGATATTGAGCAGCTGACCACTATTGCCTCTATTGAGAAAGCCGACTTTCGTTATCCTCTCAGAGATATACAATCATTGTGGCAAGACATCTTGCTTTGCCAATTCCATGATTGTCTGCCCGGAACTGCCATTCGAATGTGCTACGATCATTCAGATCAAGCATGAAAAGACACACCAGGAGATACTACTCGCAGGATTGACATAGAGATGACCGGGTTTACAAGCGCATTTTTGAAGAAGGGGAAAACGCCCCTCCAGTCTATCTACAATGCTCTCGACGTAGAGACAATTGAAGAAGGAACCCACGACTTGCGCAAGGCTTTTGTCCTGAACAAACTGGCTTGGCCACGTCACGCCATACTTGACATACCGGGTTGTCAAGAGCTCACAGCATCGGGAGATGGATGGTTGCTGAGCCTCGATTCACTTGGAACGGAATCAGGGACTGAATTTGCAGTCACAGTTTGTGAACTCGGGGGTGGAGTTTTCGAACTCCAAAGTCGACTCTTATCAATCAGAGTTGAGAGGGGGTGCGTAAAGTCTCTTTGTGATCAAAAGGCAAACCGGGAGATAATTCCTCGGAACAGCAAAGGCAATCAATTTGTGATTTTTGATGACAAGCCAATATGTTGGCAAGCGTGCGATGTCGAAGTATACCATTTGGACACCCGAGAGGAACTCGTGAGTGGCGACACAACGAACCGTCTCAAAGATCACACCGCATCGTGTGAGTTTTACAACAACCACCAAAATCAGCGACAGAAGATCCATAAAGAGCACAATTTCTCTGTCAAATGCCTTGAAGTGCAGTGAGCCCCTGCTTGAATTCGCGGCCGAAGATAGACTGGCATGAAACCATGAAGTTTCTCAAGGTCGAGTTTCCCGTGAATATTCGGAATACGGAGGCTTCGTATGAAACGCAATATGGCATAAATAAACGCCCAACCCACTAACTTAGCATGTCATGGGATATGCCAAAATTCGAAGTGTGCTGTCAGAAATTTGACGATCTTTCAGAATATGACTACGGTGTCTCAATGCTCAATGATGGGAAATATGGATTCGCAACTGTCGGAAACGTGATGCGCCTATCACTTCTGCGGTCGCCGAAGGCCCCTGATGATATGGATGATATGGGAAAGCATACCATTCGATGGGCCATTATGCCTCATTCTGGTCAACTGGCAGCGCAAACAGTGCATGCGCCCTTTAACTTCAATGCCCCCTTGAAGCCTGCCGAAGTAGTCTCTGGGTAAACGGCTATTTCGCATGACTATCCAGTATCTCTCCAAGGAGACGACAGTTTTGTATTGGATACTATAAAGCGCGGCGAAGACGATGAAGATGTCACCCTTGGGGAGCTAGCTACCCGCAAAGGACGGAGTTTCATCATTCGGATCTATGACTCTCTCGGCGGAAGGTCAAGGGGAGTTGTTGCGGTTAATTGGCAGGCCAGCAGAGTTTATCGGACCAATATCCTGGAAGATGACAGAAGAAATCCACCCAACAGGGCAGGTTCTCTGTTGAGTTGGCGCCCTTCGAAATCAGCACATATAGAATAAGTTTGAAGGGATAGGTGAAGGAAAAACTTTTACATCCCAGTGCACAATAGTTATGATTTTCCTTGCAGCTATGTTGAACATGAAATATGGAAAGATGATACTCGTGTTACAGTGTGTCGATGGAAGAAAACAAAGCGTAAGTAGAAAACATAGAGATATATTTGATTATAGATTGCCAAGGTTGTAACTAAGTTATTATATTTACCAGGTATCTACTATCTGTTTTTGGGGTCGCCTGCTCGGTTGCCCAAGTGTGAACCTTGGAAAAACGATGGGTAGTAGAGGGAGTAGTAGGCGTCAAGATGGCTCAGGCAGCCTTCTCGGCCGCTACTAGTACTTATCTCCTCTCTAAACCCGATAGTAACCCCGTAAAACCCTATAATCTGTGAATATGGATTTGAAATCGATAAAACACGGCCACGGTGGATAATTTTACCTTGTTGTCCGTGCCGGTATTGTTGACTACGGAGGACGGAGGCGTCAAACAGCCCGCTCCGCGATTACGGCATCTCCGAAAGTCGAAGTATTTAATCGCTAGAAAAGACAACCAAGAGTATCGACTATCTACAACCTTCATTTCAGACTCATTCTTGATTACTTCTACCAAAAGGACTCTTACAAACATGGCACCCATCCACATTGGCTGCCCGCTCTACGATTACCAGACGATCGACATCATTGGACCGTGCGATCTGCTCAATTCTGCAAGTAAGATGCTCCTGGAGGGTATCAATTACTACGCCCCCGTGGATCCCAAACTTCTGGCAAAGGCACCCGAATTCGTCTTCCACCATATCGGAGAGACCTTGAAGCCGGTGCACCTGCTTACGAGCTCTGTAACAGTGGTGCCTACAGTCACGGCGGACGACGTCCCCGAATTGGATATCCTCATCGTTGGCGGGGATATCCCTGCAAAAACCAATCTTCCTCCTAGATTGCAGGACCTCATTCGCCGCCATGCTGCTTCTGGAAATTTATTGTTCACTACCTGCACCGGGGCCGCAGTTGTTGCAGCCACTGGCGCTCTAGACGGCAGGAGGGCCACGGTCAACAACCTCGAGTACAATTGGGTTAAAAACAAATACCCGAACGTCAAGTGGACAATGGAAAAGAAGTGGATTGTCGACGGCAATATTTGGACTGGGAGTGGAGCTGTGGCGGGGATGGATATGGTCGCCCACTGGATCAAAGAGACTTATGGGCTGGACCTTCTCATTCAGGCAGCATTGTCGCTTGACTATGAACCGCGTGATGCTGACGGAATCTTCAATGTTCTACCCCAGAGATACGATTCTACTGGAAACAAGCTTTCCACCCATGTATTTCCCAATGAGATTTGAGGTATTGCTACCCTGAAACAGTAGTCGGGTGGATTTGAGATCTTGAGGGTATATAGTTTATCAGAAACAGAAAGATTATGAATCTATCGGAATATGAAACGCATCCATCAACAATACATCGCCCCAAAGGTGCTCATATTCTATCCTCCGGACTTCCGTGGCAATGGCGCTTTGTATTATGGGTCGACCTGGAGGCCGGATGACGGGCCGGCTTGAATCCCGCAATGCAGGGCAGCGGTGCAGCCTTCGCATAGATGAGGCTTTGTTAATCGACGCCAGAGGTTTATGATGGGCATCCCGACTATCACGAGCCTGTGCGAGGTCCTCTTTTGCTGACGTATAAGAAGACTTAACACTTCCTATAATCTCGGGCAGCCTTGAAAATAGGCTTTCTGTGGGTATCTGCCTGTCTTCCGATGGCTTAATAGTCTGAAGATGAGATAAGAGTGTATCAAGGTAATACCCAAGATCCACAGTGTGTTGTGCAATCTCCACGTCCCATTCAGGTAACTCCGGCAACCCCACGGACAGCCTGTATAGCACGAATACTGTCAAAATAACCTGATACCATGCTGAAAATGGCAGGCTACTAAGATCTGCAATGGGAAGGGTGAAAAAGTAGTCGAGATATTCTCTTGTAGAACTGAGACATTTGATCAAATTGCCGACGACCATTGGTGGTGCGGAGAGCATGGTGTGATCTTCTTGTTCTTTTGGAGATGGAGGTCTTCTCTGCCCATAGCAATAAACCAAGCCCATCTCTTCAATTCGAATCTTGACTGCATAGTAAAAGTTGATCGGCAATGCTAGGGATATTTTAATCAGTTAATGAGGGGTCCCAGAGCTTGAGAAATTCCTACCCGCGTTGCGAATATCCATTGATAAAGATGACCACCATTCTTCTAACCGCATCGTGAATCGTCCAGCGTGAAGAAAAAGGCGAGGGCCACGGATACCTTCTGACCGGTAGGTCTCCCAGACTTCATCAGCAAATTGAATAACTTTCATCACTGGGTATATCAAGAGGTCTGTCTGGAACCCGGGTTGGTGTTCAAATATCATGGCGCATTGAAGCATGCTTTTGTGGAATTGGAGATTGTTGGGCTTTCCCGACGACATTGCTATTCTAGTGAAGTCAGTTCAAGCCCATTTGCAGTTTTCTGGATATGGAATGGCATCCAACACGATAGAAATATAATAGCAGCCCAAATAAGCAAGGCATGCTTCCTGGGTATACATATCACCCAGCTCATTTTGCTGGTCAATCAAGTCGGCAGTTTCTTGATCGAGGTGAAGGTCAATTACCAGGCTGATTGCGATTTGTAAGTATTGGTAGGTTTGCTGACTACCCGGAACAGAGCCGAAGTGGAACCTGACATTGATCAGTTTTCTAGTTCCCCCGATGACGGTAAGATAAAGGCATTATTGGGAGGCAGGGGGTGCTTTTATACCAGGCGATATGGACAAGTAATCCCTGCAGCAGATCTAGATCTTGCTCACCATCTATGAGAACACGCTCACTGAGGGATTCTTTAAATTTTTTAATCAGAGCATCTTGAAGGTGACAATGATTTGAAGAAGCAACAGCAAGAGCTGCAAGTAATAAAAATGGGCGGTCTTCGGCCATTGATGTGGCGCTGCAGGCATATGAGAGTCGCACAAATGGGAAATGGGATGCCATGTTGCGGAACCTGTCAAGAAGATGCTCAATAACGACAGGGGTGAGTCCTAGGTCGGTGATCCAGGTGGCATTCGTATCGGTGGATGAATTTCGCGAATTTTCTAGGATATTTTCGGTGGTGTTATTGTTTTCGCTCAACTCCATGCGTTCGTCCACCCGTGCATTATCCAGGTGCCGTTGGCTCATCCATTCAACTGTTGGGTGTGGACTGTTGCTGAAGATTTCAGAATGTGCAGGCATTCCAAACTCCGCAATAACGGGGGCTTGAACGCCACCAAGCGGTTGGCCAGAGCGCGAAAGAAGACCGATGATATCGGTGAGCTTAGACTCAAGGTCAACCAGTCGCCTTCATCCCTCTACTGTCAACAACATTGGTCTATTGAGTGGCGGGGCCTCCTTGGTCACTTACGGTTTCGCTCGTTCTGAAACTCGAGTTCGCTGTTTCAGCTCTGGAAATACGCATTGGGAGTTTGATTTGGCACATCTACTTCAATTAGCCTGGGGTAAGGCTGTGCTGAGGTGGTGAGGAAAATGACGCGCACTTAGTACATGGCTGTCCCTCCTCGAGACGAATACATTTCACCTTGAGCGCCCGGCATTTATGACACGCGCCCGGTGTCGCTTTCTTGAAGGTCCTTGTCTGACGGGATGATTCTGTCGGCATTATGTTAACCCTCATCGACAGATTTTTCTTAATCTCAAAATCGTAGGGTCAAAAGTTGAAAAGAAGGGATTGTATATTTAACACAATTTCAGGCCACCAAATCTCACATTCCAGCTGACAAATACCACCCTTCTAACTAACTAACCATCGCGTGAGGTTTGATGACTAAATCGGTCAAGACAAGTGTGGGGGTGATGTTAGCCTTGGCACCTATCCGAAGAGACCTAACTAGTGCAATAAGCATCCTTTTCAATACTTACCCCACTTTCGTTAGTTCATCTCTTCTCACTCCATAACTCAGATAGAGGACACAGGTAAAAGACGAAACCATCGGGCTTGCGCACCTTGTCGGTACGTCTTCGACTCAAGTTTGTGAGTTCCTTTCTGAAGTTATGAAATAGGCGCGAGAAGATTAGATGTCCAGGGAACGGCCGATATGCTCGTTCTGTCAGCGCCTGGGAAAACCCTACGACTACAGATCTATCGAACATGACCCTACCCAGGAAGCTCATAACATTATCATTGTACGTGTGAGCAGATATAACTATCATATTTGACACTGGTTACTACTAGTTAGTAGTAGTGCTACCACAATATTGAAGCTCTCACTTCAATATTCTCAGCTAACGATATACCCAGGTATACAATAACGTAAGTATCGCGTCGCAAAGAGAATGGTCCAAGTATTACCGCGGGGCGCCCCTCGGTAAAGGCTTGGAGCTAGACAGTCAATTACCAATTAGGTTCGGCCCGAACAGAACCGATATCAGCTCGGCGGGACCAAAATTCAAGCACACAAAACCGGTCCCTCTGGACAAGAAACACTGGTTAATTTACAACAAATCGGATTCTCTAGAGTGGAGACTTGTGTTTTCCAAGTTTACGCAGTTTGAACAAGATCATGATAAACCGCTCTACTTGCGGGACCTCGGCAAGGCCAGTCTAGACCGGAGTATCCACGGGCCCACCCCACCCATAGTTCATTATTCTACAGTTTCCACATTCAAGTTGTATATTGCAACGAAGAGATTTAATATACTTGGTCGAAGCGCAATGAAAATAAACATAAAGGCATCAACATCCAGTGAGGGAATTTTCCTCAACTTCAACTACAATCAATGCCCGGCCATTTTTTCTACACCTTGGCCATAGCTGCCGTGGCAACTGCCTGCGGGGTCCCTTCTCACTTCGTTAGAAAAAATTAGGTCAAGACTGCTATCACGAGCGTCCATATCTAAAATGGCTCCAAATTCGGCCCCGAGTCCACAGTTGTCTTCGTCAACGGTAGACTCAGCAACGCCAACTCCTTCAATACTACGATTGACAATGGAAACAGCGGGTTCCTTATTCCTGGTTTGATTGACGGCCACTTTAGCGTTGGAGCCTGCTCTAATCTGGAAGCAATGCGCCAATACGGTGTGACAACCGGCCTTGATGTGGGTACCTACCCATACACTTCTTTGACTGCCTGCAAAGCCTTCGGTCTCACCGATATCAGAGGCTCCGGAGCTGCAGAGACTGTCAAAGGAACAAACATCAGCAAATACCCTGGCTTTCCATCGGATTTCTTCATCCTAACCCCGGCTGCCGGAAGACAATTTGTTGCAAACAGGCTTGCAGCGGTTGCTGACTATATTAAGGTTTTTTTTGATCCCTTGGGCCCCGACGAGGAAAATCTCGTCGCTATTGTCCAAGCTGCTCATGAGGTGGGAAAAATAAGTCATTACGCATGCTGCAAGCTATGCAAGCTTCAGCGAAGCAGAAAAAGCAAAAGCTGACATTCCTTGCCACACACCACTTGATCAGGTTACCTTGATGCGTCTTCAATAGCCAACTTGTCAGCAAATCAGCAGATCGTTGCTCCAACTCTCATCGTGATGCAGTCTATTTTCAACAGTACCCATTCACCTTATTTCGCATACGTGGAATATGCAGAAGGCAGTGTGACCGCAATGTATAAAGGCAGGATTCCGATTGTCGTTGGGACCGATGCCAATGACTTTTCCTATACCCCGGCAAATCCCCCCCTTTGGACTTTCCATCCATAAGGAGCTTCAACTCTTGGTTGCAGCAGAAACATCCCCGGCGCATGCTCTCCAAGGAGCAACATCAATTGCTGCCTCAACTTTCATCTCTTTAACCGAGGATCCATTCAGCCAGATCTTCGGGCTGATCTTGTTTTACTCAGTGCCGATCCAACTGTTGATATCAGAAACAACATATCCATTGAAATAGTGTGAATCGAGAGAGTTGAGTTTCATCCCTTGTATTAAGCAGCCAGGTTTGTCAAACTGAGATGAAACATTGAACCTCACGGGATATCAGACAGCTGTATACTCTGACAGGTCAATCAAGAGCAGAGGAAAAAAAGCCTGATCTAATGATCGCGACCACGAGGAAGAAGAAGCTACATTTAGGAGGCGTGCGATTAGGCCTGGGTATGAATTTTTTCCATTGTGAAAGTTTGAAATTTGAATTTGTTGGTGTCGCATCGTGTATTTGGATCTATTTGCTTTTGCGTCGCGTACGTAAATAGAACAAAGCGACATGGATTCCCCGAAACTGAAATCTTGATAGGAAATGGGAGCGCAGAACACAAACCAACTCTATGAGCTTTTTGTCCGATGAAGCAGGGTGTAGTAAGTCAATGACTGGAGTGTGTACAGTACCAAAAGATACGCCCTGCACGAAATGTAGATTTCTCATTCACCGGGCAGTCGGAACTCGCTATAGACCGAATATACTGTACACACCAATCAGTACAACTTATGTAGTGTAATGGGCCAATTCCCGATCCCTGTAAAAGGGCATCGGACGTGCCGTCATTAATATCCACATTTGTCCGCCCCGATGCCAAGAATATCCGGGTTGAGGTCCGATGTTTCGACACCGCCCAACCAAAAAAATCCTAGGGTTTGGATAATTTAGGGTTAATCTGTACGACCACTACAAGGGACAGTAGATTCTCAGATTCAAATACGGTAGAGAATATATATAGACTTAGAACTTACCAAATATTCAAAGTAATCTTACGAAGAAAAAATGCCTGTAGTCAGGGTAGGAAAAATCACTTACAGTCAGGGTGGTGGGGCGGTGAGAACTCCTGATCCAGTTGAATGGACCGTATGGCATACAACTGATGATTCGACACACGCAAAAGATGACTTTGAAAAATGGATGTATTGTGTAGGTTCTTCCCCTAACGGGAAGGTAGGACTAAAACTAAAAATCTGTCATGTGACGGGTTGCTAACGACACTTCAATAATAACTATGAAAACTCCTTCAACCCGCCATACCATGGTCCATGCCACAGCGGATTCTGCCCATACTTAAGAAATCCTGACTGCCCTGCAGTCAGGCCCGCTGCACCAGGTCCCTTGGGTTAGAGTAGCAAGGAATATTGGCGCTAAAAAACTTGGTTATATCATCGGCGGCAATACAGAGTAGTGTGTGCGAGATTCCATGTTGGTTCTTACCCCACTGAGCAAATATTAGTTTTCCCGAGCGACAGACCACCGTTGCATTTGGTTAAGTACCCGTTCCGAAGTATCCTCGCATCGCTTGGGAATACGAGGTTTGGGGGGAGAAATCAACTATTTTCATACCCGTGCGTGTTCCTACAATAACGCAGCTCCACACATTGCAACTTGAAAGTCATTCCCGGTCTTGTGTTCAATCCAGTCTTTAGGAAATTACAAAAAAAACAAAGCGCAACAGGATCGCCATCATTGGGATACGTACATTACACTAGTGATTAATTTTACATACTGTACTCCGTACTCCGTAGAAATAGCGCTGCATATCGCACAGCTCCACATTTCAGATATATGCATATCCTAATAGTCTGGTACTCCGTATATTATACCCAATACCCGAGCGCGAATCATCTATACAGAGACAGCCATGCTGGAGAATGTCCCAGAATGTGCAGAGCTTTGAAGATCAGATACTCGAACAAAGATGGTTCGCGCTCGGGTATTGTTTATCTGCCGATCATTGACAGAATGAGTGTTGGCAACATTCAGGTCGCCTACAATTTCAATTGACGGGAGATAAACGCCTGCTTCCCCAGCTCAGGGACACTTACATTCAGCACGACAATTTGCGGTATCACCTTAACAGCCATCACCAAGAATATCTCGCATCAAGATGCTGGTCAAGTTCCTGGCTGCCTGATTGCTCTTAGCTCCCCTGGGAATCTTGGCTCAAGTACAGACCAGTTTCGTTCGAGATGTTAATGACATCACACAAGCGTACGAGGACGGCATAAAGACGTTCTCCTGGAAGAGACGTTCTCCCAGGTCCATGTACTTCGCAGTCAAGTTCGACATCGATGAGGTCTCTTATGGACATGCCACGCGTAATTTGGGCATTATTACCTGCTAAGGCGTACCGGAGTTCTATCACAGTCAGTAGTCGTTCGGTAAAACATACCCATTAAAACAGTGAGTTCGTTTACTCCAAGTTCCGTACTTCTATCACGTTGTTCAGAAGGTACATATGCACATCTTCCAGACCGGCCCGGACCTCGCGTAACCAGCAACATATGTCATCGAATGATTCCCCTTCTAATATCCTCTGTCGGGTAAAGGGCATGACAAGACGGGCCCATTGGAACACCATTGGCTTGCTGGATCGCTTGTGGCATCAGTATCTGTATTATGTCTTTGCTAGTTGTGTTATCAGCCTCTGTCTCGGTAAGTATATCATTGATGTATGTAGCGATGTCTTTGTGATTATGCTCTTCGACATGCAACTATATAGCCTGGGCACTTCCTATGATAGGATAGTGCCGACATGAAATGCAGATTCCAATCGCTGCATTCTTTTTCGCTGCTCGCTCAATAAGTCGATGGAAATACGCTGCAAGTTGTTGAGCAGACTCAGCTCTAGTCTCATCTAGAGCATCGACAAAAACCGTCACATGCTTTCGACTAGCAGATGCTAGGATAACATCTGCTAGTAACTCTTCAAGCACCGTTTGTGGCCATTCCCACTTACGATCACCGAACCCAAACTGCCTAGATCGTTTTTCATAGACTTCGCGCACCAGACGGCGTATGGTCGCGTCGCGGGCAAAAATCTGGTTCAACAGCGATCGGAGCATGCCTAGCGGTGTACGCTGCATCTCTGTGCCCCGGGCAGTAAAGAAAAAGTCGAGCTGGATGCCCTGGTTGCCGATTTGTAAAATCTCGAGTTTGCCGTGTAGGAATGCCATCAACGTCGATTTTCCGGCACCTGGTTTTCCTTTAATCCATAGTAGACCTCGGGGCTCGCTCTTCCAGTATTTGTACTTAAATCCGGCCTGAGTAAGGCTCGAAGAAATGTACCGGAAATAACATTGATCACTCCGTGGTTGATCCCAAACTGAGGCCCCGAGCTGTCGTTACCAAACGAGATTTGAGTCATAGTTAATAGGCAGTGCGTCCCAGATGGTGTTAACGGAAGCACCAGGCCTCGGAAGACGCGGGGAAATTCTCAGCCCCACAATCAGGTGATCTGCCCCTGAAATGATACACTTTTTTCTAGGAGCGTCAGTGTGCACATCTCCCGAGCATTGAGAGACCCACCACAGCAAATGCCATCAAAGGAAAGGCTATTAAGCTACAGTCCGCATCCCTTATTGTTTTCAGTCATCTACCAAGGTACCTGTTCCTGAAGGAATGATTCGCAGCGATGGTGGGGTGAAACAGCTCTGTACAGGTACGCAACATGAGCAAGTATAATATGTCAAGTTTGGTGATATCCGTATTGGCTCGTACTGGTTCTAGTCTATAGAGGATCCGAATGGTTGGTTCTGATTCCTCTTGTCTAAAAGAGTGACTATCCCACGATCTTGTTGAAATATGCGGTCGTAGTGACCTATACGAAACATCCCGCATGGTATGATAGATTTCTTTCCGACATGGCCCGGTTTACCATTTACCACACAAATGCTATAGCAATTTTGGCGGGGGCTGAAAACACACCAACACTGAGATAGCCGACCCCACATTATTATGTAGGGAAATATGGGAATGCTCGCTGGCTGTCTGTCAAGCAGACGGGTCGATCGCAGAGGGACAAAACCACCACACACGCAGTGTGCAGGAGAGTAGGCAAGGCGATGGCCACTGAGATATAACCTCCTAAGGCATCCGAGCCTTTATGAGCAGTACACTGATACCGCTACCGCCGCAGGAAAGAAAAAGACCGCATCGTGACACTTGACAGGTGTGTGTTCCTAGAATGCTATCGCGCGAACTAGATATCTCCCTGTAAACAGACACCTTGTTGCTAAGGCTTCAATCACATGATCCTGATGTTGAGAGCAGAATCCCCATTACAGTAGAAATTTAATGCGGGGGATTTGTCTAGTGAATCGCATTTCGATTGAGACGTCCGTGGAGTGCGCCGAGCAGAATACTTATGACGTAATTTACACAAGTTCATTTTGATCTACCCATTTTTCAAGCTAGCGCCTTGGCAGTGGGGCTCGGAAAGAATTGAAGAGTGCGAATTGGTGAAACTGGTTTTGCACTTCTCTGTATTGTAATTGGGATTTCCGCTCTCAACATCGGCATCATGGAGTCATGTGACTGAGGCCTTAGCAACAAGGCCATCGGTTTGTTTCGTGAGGTTAAGTAGCGCTCGTTCGATAGCATCAATAACAACTATGCATGTTCCCCCTTATGAAATGTCCTATGGAGGCTGCTGGCGTTGCGGTATCGATATACTGCCCATGAAATGTTCTGTTATTCTTTCAGTCATCCCTCTATAGTTACCCTCCTGCACTCTGCGAGTGTGGTGGGTTTGTCCTCTTGCGATCGACCCGTCTGCCAACGCAGACTGCCAGTCCTATTTTGGCTGGATAGATTGCTGATTCATTCTTTTTGTTAATATGTACTAGGCTTTGGTTAAAAGGGCTGGCGTTGTCAGCGCGCACATAATTTAAGACACTTGTATCACCCCCCTTCCTGCTTGTTGTAGGCATTACATCCACGAGGATATCGTAATATCCGTCAGATGGAAGGTCATTAGGATAAAGAAAATAGAAAATGATCCAGGCGCTCCCTGCTGCCAGCCGGGCACAGCACAGATTGTTATGTTTCAGGAATAATGTTTGTGTAACACACTGTGCCAACTCGATAGCACCAGTCTGCAGTCTTACAGCACAACAGCAAGGATATGGACCAGCACGGCCCTCAATTCCTTCTTCATTACGGCTCATTGTAATTCAGGTATAATACCATTAATAGCAGACACGATCACTAAGGCCATATTCCGTACAGTTTCCAGAATTACAATATACTTCTAAAATCCAGTCGTGGGTCAACGGGCTGTATAAATGCCGGACGACCTTGCTCCTACCTATCGCCAATTTGTCGATAGTATTAAATACCCCCTCGCAAGTTATGTATAAGTATTAGGTTTTACTGAAGGCAACAGTCAACAATAACGCCTCATCCACATTACATTGCCCCTGAATACCATATGCACGAGGATCATGGCAACGTTGCGGCGGCATACTACATGTGCAACCCATTACTGTCCAACGTTACCCAATTTTCGAGTAATATTTCTGAAATTATACTGTATTTATCCCAATGATGGATATTACGTGCCAGTGTAAGAGGTAGCGGGTGTACTCTGATCGGCAGATGAAACCCTTGTCTCATGCTAAGTCCATGGTCAAAAGATGGCGACGTCACTCGGACACTTGGTTCATGTGACCATTATGACTGACTACTTAAAATGTTTCGTCCACATATTTAATTTGATGAACTGTCCCAAGCTCATCAAATTCTCGCTAATAGCCACACACCACGGGTTTTTCGAACGTGTTCACTAATCCTTTTTACTCCCATATTGTGACTGGGCCTCATGGGCTTTAACTCAGATTGGACATGGAACTGAACACGGATGAACTGGATGGTGCAAATAAAGTTTGCGTCGTTGGATCAGGAGCGTTGGGCCTCGTCGCGATGAAAAATCTCATGGAGCAGGGCCTAGAAGTTCAGGCATTTGAGAAAAATGAGTATGTTGGTGGAATCTGGCATGTGTCTCTAGACCCAAGTCAGACCTCAGCCCTCTCGGGAACGAGAGCCCAATTTTCAAAGCAAGTTGTAAGTGGCACCATAGCACCACACTGATATAATTTATTTTAATCTTCCAAGTGGCTAAAGATCACACTCGTACAGAGCTCATTTACTGACTTCCCTATGCCTAATGGTAAGAAAATTTCCGAACCGACAGCGCCGAGTGCTCGAGTATTCACAAGGTATATAGACTACCCGACCTATCCCTCAGCTAAGGATTATCAGAAATACCTTGAATCATATGCTAGACATTTCGATATTACGCAATGTATTCAATTTAGCACATTGGTGACAAATGTCAGACGCGATGCGAATGACAACGCCTGGCTAGTGTTCACCAGGAATACCAGGACTAACTGGGAAGAAATAAAGCGGTTCGGTAGAGTCATATTTGCGATTGGCACCAACAGAATTAAACATCAACCAAAACTTGAGGGTATAGAGACGTTCACTGGTGACATCATTCACTCACAGGAGTTGAAAGATCTGAACAAATACTCGGGGAAAAGGGTACTCGTTGTTGGGTCCGGCCCTACTGGGGCTGATACGCTCCAATTCTTGGAGGAAATCGGCGCGATGAAGCTGTACCTCAGCCATAGAAGTGAGTTCACTGTGGTAAGTAATACTAGATGTATTTACCCATGTCCTTTACGCTCATTCTTTGTCCTATTAAACTTCGATTTGTTAAAAAGATTCACTTATTTTGTAGGTACCTCGAATGATTCGGGGTCGGCCACACGACCACTACATTACCCGACGAATGATGAGCCTTTTCAGAAGCCTCATCAGCTTCTCTCCGCGGTTTGCTTGTGCTCTTATTAGTAGAGCGACTCGAAGTGCACAAAAGGCAGTCTTTCCCTTCCTGGCTTCCCATATGTCGCTTGCCAGACCCTGGAGTAGTGGCCGCGGAGTCTGCTTCCCAACGGGCTTGGTTGTCTCGGATCACCTACCTTACCAATTAAGAGACGGTATTGTTGAAGCCGTGCCAGAGATCCACAAAGTAATAGGGCCATGCTCTGTGGCTTGTGGAGATAAGACAATTACTAATTTGGATGCCATCATATTCTGCACGGGGTACCGTCATGATTATTCTATTATTGACGGCGCTGGCAACCCTGCGGACCCAGCATTCGCATCGGACCGGTTTGAAAGATTCAACAACGCACAGTTCCGCAAAGCTAATGAACATTATCCGAGATTGTACTACGGTCTGCTTTCAGAAAGGTATCCAAGTTCTTTAGCGATTCTGGGATTTATTCTCACTGCTTATGGCAGTGTTTTCGTTCAATACGACTTGGCAACAATGGCCCTAGCATCCCTCTGGTCTGGTAGCTACCCATTACCGTCTAAAGAAACAATGAAGGAGGAAATTGATGCACACTATGAGTTCGTAGTGAAGTCACTCGAGCGAGGTCCAATGCCTTATACTGGATTCAGGGTTAATGACAAAGCAGCGTACGAATGGATGAATTTGGTAGCTGGCACAGGGATCCACCAAAGATTGGAAACATGGGGTTGGGCGGGGTGGAGGTTTTGGTGGAGAAACAGGGACTTGTATAAGCTACTGGTAAATGGCATTAATGCACCAGCTGTGTATAGGCTTTTTGACTCTGGAAGAGGCAGGAAGCCTTGGAAGGATGCGATGAATAGCATTGAAAGAACTCAGCAGGAGGTTAAAGCGATTAAAGAGGCCTGGAAAGATAATATTCCAGCGCATGGAGTGGTTACTGACAGCTAACAAGCGATTGGTCACTCAAGTTTCCATATTTATATGTGCTGTGTACGGTAAAATGGTCCAACTTGCAATCCTGTGTTGTAACTGCCTCGTATCGGGACCCTCAGGGAACATTTCAACTTGCCCTGGATCGCGTGATCATTGTCTTTAACTTCTCTTCAATCAGTAAATCGAGCCGCGTGGCCAGATTTCTGTTGAGGTCATTCCGTAGACAACATTAACTGGAACGTGGAGACTAGTCATGGCTTTGCTCGACTGATTACAGAGGTATGATGATTATTTGCGAGGAGTTAATCGATTCTTTAAGAGGTTGAGCAAGCCGCCGCGTCCGCGTATCTGTTATGATTTGTCTTCAGATGCTACAAATGTGGTTAGTCATCCTCACGACGCTCACAGCAAAAGCTAGACAATTTCCGTACATGTATAGTATTTATAACACCTTATCTAGTGGAGTGGGGAAAAGTGGTTGATATAGGCAAAATGCTAAGATGGGTCGATTCTAGAAGAGCAGGCTAACCCCCATCCCGATGACATGAAATGCCCTGTATGATTAAACGGCTATCAGGTACCTGCACTTTCGAGTACCGTCGCTCCCAATCCACTTATTGAATATCACCTAAGAGCAGTAGAAATAAAGATGATTCCATTCGTTATTTGATCGCACTTTTCAAACAAAAATTACAAATATTAAAGTGGCAAATTAAATGTCGACACGAACGACTGGGAACTCCGCTGATTACTACTTTGACGCCAAGATCATCCACACGAGCGTCTGGATAGGAAATAAAATATAAAATTGTATCAAATCTCCTATCTAGATAGCTATAATGGATTTTTGTTTCATTATAATCATGTTACCTGGGAAGATACTAATTTTGGTGGAAGTCTTGGCAGCAGAAAGGTACATAAAACAAAAGTAGTGACAAGGGGAATAAACGGATAGTAAACAATCATGTAACTTGATGTATGAAAAATACTAGCGCCGCCAGAAGGAAAGTCCCACAACTTGTACGGAAGTAGAAGAGGGCCTGTTTTAAGGAATTATAACTCTGGTAAAGGTACCTCGAGACCGCATCCAACTATGAGGGTACATATAACTGCAAGAGAAGTCATAAAGTATGGGTATTATATGTGTACGTATGCTGCCTTAAGATTAAACGCTATAGATACAGTTCTTAGATTACGAAGCCTCTTCAAATCTCCTTTATTAATAGCGGAAGTCGAAAGATAAGTTAATAGAGACTGATCACTATTTCGGGATATTACGTTCAAACACGTCAACGTATCTTTCTATTGCCCGTCATACATCACTCCCGCCTCTTCATATTTCCCGTGGCCAACAGGCATAAATCCAATATTTAGCAATTGATACATTCCTAAAGCACATTTATCATACAGTAATACTATGATATAAATTTTCCTAAGATTACTCACTGATGCTGAGATACAATAATAGTTGCCTTGACACAGCTAGCTAGTCTGACGATAGCGCCAAAGATTTTTGTGTCGTAGGATTTCAGTCGACGTCACCGTCATGTTTCTCTTCCAGTGATCGATGATTCCTGTGCGACAATTGAAGCAACGGATGAGGAGTGGAGAATATATTCCTAGGCAGGATTACTTGCTGCATGAGGGTACTAGAATTCACACTCTGTGCCCGTCGATGCATCGCTTCCGCCTCTTTATACTTACCTTATCATATGCTGCCCGGAAATTGCGATATGGGCACAATAAGCATGGTCTAGAATGGAATGAAGTCTAGCTCCCTGGTGCCTTTCCCTTGCTAATCTTGGTCGTTTCTAATAGGAAAGCGGATCTTGCTCTGCTGTCGCGGATGCTTTTAGTGAAGTAAGTTCTGCCTTTCCTCTGAATACGTGGATGTCGCTGATAATGATTTTCAATCAGACTGCAGCTTCTGGAATACGCTACTTCGATATTCTTACTAGTCCAGCTTTAGCATGCTCTAAGATCCTAAAGGCAAGTCAGAAGAGCCCAGATTACGAGCTTGATGGTTCTCTCACCAATTTGCACAAATATTGGACAGTAAGCTCCCTAGAAATTCACTACCTTAATTGATGGCCAACCTACCAAGCGATACCGCGACCTTCTCTTGGAGAAATGCCGAGATATGAATGAGGCTACGGTCTCATTCCAAAAGAGCTATGATACATTGCATGAGAAGATTCAGAAAGCGCATGACAATTTCAACCACCTTGACGAATATTGTGCCTAATCTGAGTCTTGATCACGCTTCTTCATCATGCTCCTGTCTGCACATCTCACAAAGTCTGTCATAAATCGCCAAATTTTGCAAGACAGCCCTAGAGCCTACATGAATTTAGTTATATCGTAGACACAGGTCTGCGTCCCTGCGAGATACTAGTCATACTATTTGGAATCTCATTTTCGGTTCATAAATTGATCCTAATCTTCAGATCATTTCAATGCTCAAATACATTCAGTATCCACAGAGGTTCCCAATGGCCGAGAAAGAACAAACTTCCGTATTAACTTGAATATACTCGTATCCTGATCCTTGGGTATCCCACTAGGGAACAGTTCGTGGATCGACCCTGGAACTACCTCTTTCGGCAGAGATATAATCCGAAATTTGTGGTTCTATGAAGACTGAACTAAAAAATCAGGTTTGGTTAACTAAGATGCGTAGTTATTTATAAATCACGGTGTCCCTGACCTACAGAGGACTCTTCTATTGCTGATTGATAATCATAAGGGTTGAAGAGTTCTGAATATTTTCGGGTTGTCAAAAATTGCCGCACAATGGCTGAGAAGAAATGCGTGTTGTACAAATTAACTACAGGGTTTAGATTATATTAATATCAAGGTTCTGATCAGAACCTATAAGTTCTCGCAGAATAGGCGGAAGTTTTAGGTTATTTTATAGTTATCAGAAGATTCTATTTACGAAATAAAGGAACGTTTAGCTAGGCCACACAACTACAGTACTCCAGTGACATCATGCCAAGTCTTTTGGACCCAGATTGGTTGTCATCAATTTCATTACCCTAATTTTGGCCCCATTTCCTTCATCTTGAACCGTGGAGATGCATAGGAGTGGAACAGAAGATCCTTCGGCTTTCGGGTATTAGTACTAAACGGACCGATCTCCAAAAGGAGGTCGGTACACCCTATTTTGCATACCGAAGAAAATCTTCCCACATCGTACGATGAATATTGTTTCTTTCTGCTGATTTTGGGGATTTGTCTAGTCAATGAAACTGCTATTCCTTACTAAAGAAAAATACTAATGAGCAAAAAGAAACACCGTATTAGCATTCAATATGGGGAAAGTTTTCGGCATGCAAACAGGGCTCACTGACTGAAGAGAGAGGACAAGGTGCTTAACACTAATATTGTTTGAAGGGCTTTCCCGGCTTTCGGGCATTGCGTGACAAACTTTTTCGGTCTTTGGGCAACCTCTGGCCGCCAAGATTCAGCCCCCACTGATATTTCATACAGTGGACTGTGGGTTGACCAACGGGGAAGGCAAATACTCGATCTAAAGCATTTGTTTCTGGCCCAGGGCTTATTGTACTCCAAAAACATAAATAGCTGGAAATTTCTCAGTCTGAATTAAATCACCCTGTTCAACAATTGCTCTTTACTTCTCTTTGAAACCCGTGTCTAACAAATCAAAATGCACGCATCCATTATCCTCACCTCCTTTGCTGTCGCACTGCTCCCTTCTATGGCAGTTGCTGACTGGGCCTCTGTCGCGGATCCTGTCAAGCTTGCCAGCTGTGGTACTACATGCAGCAGTATTTTGCCCTCCTTTAGTAACGACTCTTTCGATGACATTTGTAACAAATTGGTCGAAGATGGGTATGTGTTTTTTTATTCCCTAGAAAATCTGAGAATTGCCCACTGACCTGTGAAATAGCTGCGCAAAGGCCATGATCACTGGAGACAATGATGTGGGATCTGTTGGATTTGCCAAAAATGGCGATGTCAGCTGCGATGATGCTAAGCCCGCTGGCCAGCTAACTTGCACCAATGCGTTCCGTGATGCTGTGGGCTCTGCCACTGGCTTTGGCCGCATCGGTGGGACCCGGTCCCAGCAGCACTCCGTCTACAATGCGGATGGTGTCGAGATTGGCACCATTCCCCTGACCGGAGCCTGTCTTCCTATTGGTGAGACCAATGCCTGTGTTTAGACTCTTGATGAAGGGTCTTGGACGGTAATTCTTGGCAAAATGTTATGATAAAGATTAAGTGCAGCTTGAACTTGAACTTGATGGAAGCCGACCTTCTAGAACTTGCAAGTAATAGGTCTTCTACGTTCTAATCTTACAATTTTGTGAAACAGAAAATCGTTATTTTACTACAGTAAACAAAGATACATATGTAATTTGGTCTTGTCAGGCTATACTTGATTCATCGTCAAGCCTGTAATCATACTTCCTAGTCAAATATTCGAATATCGAAGGGGTATCTGTGCAAACTGTTCAGGATGGTTCCAAATTTATGATGCAGTCAATATACTTCTCTGACCTGATGATCACATTACTGGCGTATTTAGAATCACCAGAAATATTGAGAGGATTGTCGGTTACCCTGAAAGTGAATTGGCTTTTTTTGTGGCCCTGGCAGTCTCTATAATTTATTGTCTCGCAGGATCTTGGAAAATTTAGCTCAGATGAACGAACAAGCCTTGAATTCAGACTTGCCAATGTTTGATTGCCTTCAACAAGTTCTTGGAGAACTGCGGCTACTGTATAAAGTGTCTCGTCTTTTGAGGACATTATCACTTGAGGATGGCCGGGCCGTGAATCTTCGATGAAATCAACCATGATCTTAGTTATGTATAGCAGAAGTCAATTTCTCCGCAGAAAGATGATATCCAGTGATCAGACTGATCGAATGCTAACTCTTATGGCTTCCAACTAGCAAATACCACTTTCTCATAATCTAGGCCAGAGAGATATCTCTTTAAGCGAATAAGACGCGGTTCAATAGATACTGTGAGAACTCGAATATTGAAATATTGTAGTATTTTGACGAAAAGTAACAAAACTAGAGAAGAGAAGAAGAGAGAGAGAGCTCTCATCGCAACTATCGTACATGAGCTGGTGTCTAGGCACGTGACGTATCAGGTGACGCAGGCAACAGCGGCCAGGTTCGTCACAGATACACTAGGAAGGTAATACACTCAGGTAGGCCCTTCACCTTTTTAATATCTTTTCGTAGTATCACTTATAAAGGATGCCCGATATAGTTCCGTGGCTACAGCATTCCATATTATAACACTTAAACCCTCTCCAGTATAGTACATCTTCATCGCTTCTACAAATTACGACAAATAGGCTTTAAGAATTATAGGAGTAGTTGACCTAGAAGCACACCACACACCTATCAGGCAAAGTTTGCCAAGCCATCACTGCCGAAGCTTTATTTCGCAGTAGAGATAATTTGAATTTTCTGTCAACCCCTCGTATTCTATCAGACACTATAGCCAGATGAAGAATATCGTTATGATACTGGTAGGGTAAACAATTCTTTTACAACTATTAGTCCTATGTAACACTGAACTTTTAATAAATTTCTAGTTTTATTTAGACTTTATAAGGAAGATATACTAATAGTAATTTCATAGAACCTTGATTACAATTAACAGATTATACTGTTATACCAAGTATCCTTGAATTATAGTGTCGCGAAAAGACCTGGAATAATTAATGTAGATAGGAAGGAGTACGAAGTATCTCACTCTTTGATTGTTTCTCAAACCTTAGTTGTTAAGACAGACTGGTCTCTACTGGGAGTTTGCCCAGAGTACCCCTGTCAAGGGATTGTGTATTGTTTTTTACGTTGAGTAATTTGGATATGTAGCGGAGTGTGATGAATTGTAATTTGCTACACCTCGATATCCCACTTCGGAAGCCTTCGTCCCTTGTTGCTGGCAGATCTTAATAATAAATTCCGAATGGTCAGACCAAGATGATGCTCAATCTAGCCCCTTCAAATTACGAGATTATCTCAGACATGATCCGCAGCAGAGTGCTGTCTGTTATAGATGGCAAAGGCTGCTGGCTAGAGTAAGCTTACCGTTACGCATAACTAACTGGTGGTCGTAATATTAAACGTTAAATATCTGTCCCTCAACCGTGAAATTGTCTAACAGGCTGTATACTGGCTAAGTCCTTTTCAGTATATCGTAGAGCGGTGCCAGGCAGAGCGCCGAAGTGATGTGTACCGGAGTATTGTGTATTCGAATGGTTGTCAAGTTATAACCAGGCGAGCGTCTCTGGAGCAAAGCTATATATGAGTAGCAAGGTATGATTGAAGAAGAAAAACCAAAATAATTATATGAACAATATCCTTCGCTTCCTACTACTGCATATACTCCTGCGCACACACCTAGGAAACGACATGAAAGCGGCGTACACATAAGTTATGTTTGTCCGAAAGGCGATTATTGGTGCAGAGGAAATCCAGTAACTATAGATAGTCACTTATATAATAGAAAACGTTTACCATCAGCGCGGTCTGCTTAGGGCGAATCATGTATTGCCCACTGAGCATGATCGTGGTTCCTCTTTTCCATGAATCTGGGGTTGTCTGGGTGTTGGATTTTATACGTGACCTGGTGACTGATGAATCAGTTGGCTGTCGGTGGCCAATCAGTGGTTGCAGTCCCTATACATGGCTGATATCTAGCATGTCCGTAACCTAATTTTCACAAACAATTACAAACACTAAGGATCAACACTGGAGACTTCGTTTTTTTGGGTTTGGAACAGACCACCTTGAGGTTGCAGCCTCGTGTATCGCGAGGGATTATCCTAGTATCCTTGTCCAATCAAATAGTCCGCTAACGACTCAACAACTCTTGCAGCCTCTCCAGGAAGCACCAATTTAGAATAATGCGCAACAATCACAGCCTGCTTTGTTTTGACCGCACATACACCCTCTTTGCCCTAAAACCATGCTTTTTCAATATACTATACAACATTGGTACATTAGTTGCATCTTACCTTCTTGCCATAAATACTTCGATCATCTGCTTTGGTAACGAGATATTTCTGGCCGGCGACATGCAACCCGTTAGAATATAGAGGGTCAGGATTCCCAAAGCCGTCTATAAGGCTCTGAATCTCATCAACTTTAAGCTATAAAAAATTCAATATTTTAGCCACCAAAGTCATTTTTTATGAGTGTATCATAAATGGTGTGATGCCTTACACTGAAACCTGAGCTACCCGCCCATAGTTGGCCATCTGTTACTGAAGATATAGCAGCCTCATCGAATTTTCCACTCCCTATGAGAGAGCTGTCGATATATGCTAATAGTGTTAGGTATTAAAGCTCGTGCAATATACTCAAAGTTATAGCACAGAATGGTACCTTGCCAACTCATCTTAAGTAAGTGACTATAAGAAACTATGACATAAACAGGTGATAGAACCCGGTCAAGGTAGAGATTTAGAAAGAACACACTACACGAAACCAGGGTTGAGAGGACTAGGGCTTTCTTATACCTGTTGTTTTGAATTTTCCAGGGAACGACCTAGTTATTTCTGAATCTTTCAGCACTCAGGAGGATCATATAGTAGGATCCTATAGCAGCCACTAAAAACTGTACACATGGCACATTTAGCCTTGGAATAGAACTTTCCGGCCACAAAATCATAGAACAATATTATAATATGCATCACTTGCATATGATAAATCACTTGATTGTCATCATGCAACCTATTTCATATAGTTATGATCTGCATACTCTTTACACCGACATTTATTTCCCTCCGCCCTTGCGACACATGTAATCATAACACCGGCCTTGCTTGATATCCAGGAGCTATTAGATCGACTATGAAGAGAAACGTTGCTCCTAGAAATTACCAGACCCCCATTTTACGTGCATTTGTTGACATCATGGCTTCCCTAACCCAAGGGACCTGGAGCAGCGGGCCTCACTGCTCGGCGGTGAGGGTTTCTTAAGTATAGGCAGAATTCGCCCCACCACCCTCACTGCTCATATATTTTTTTTCTAGACTCTAAGTACTCTGAAAATACTCTCCAATTATTATTATCTTCTCTGGTTGTTGAGTTATACGTCTGCAAATGTAATAGTAAACACTAAGGGACAGGCTAGAGACCTATATCTAGGCAAGACTTCGGATGGAAATCAAAGAAGAGGAGAATCAACCAATAATATGTGTGAATAGTAACAGAGACTAATTCTTGAAGAAAACTTCAAGAACAAAGGAAACACTACGTCAAGTCATTTATCCTGACTATTACGTGAATCAGACACGAATCGGACCCGAATTAGGCACGAACTCCTAGCATGGCTAAGACAAGATCGGATTACCAAAGGGAATACAAAGAGAGTTGATTACTTCTTACCGAAGCTCACCCTCTTTGACACAAGCCCCGTAACAATTTAGAACTTCTGAAAATTTCAAATAAACTGTACGAAGGAAATTCTGGGCTTTGGGGTCAGGAAAAAGGAGGGCTTTGGGGGTGGTAGGTCTAAATACTGCCCATATATAAGGGTTCTTCACCGCTGGGCTTTGGGCCCCAAAGCTCTAGGTCCCTTGGATTAGAGCTTCTAAGATTTGAATGCAGTAGAGAATATATATAGACTTAGAACTTACCAAAATCTGAAAGTAATCGTACGAAGGAAATTGCTTGCAGTCAGGGTGGTGGGGCGAATTCTGCCCATACTTAAGAAAGTCTGACCGCCCTGCAGTCAGGCCCGCTGCACCAGGTCCCTTGGGTTAGGGTTAGGGGGGTTTTAGTTCGGCATAATTCAATGGCAGAATAAGCGGTCAGTCAAGGGGGTCACGGAATTTTGCGGCGCCACTGTACTTGTTGTGACACAACACCCCCTTTTGTAGGGCTATCAAACATGACTCGTGACAACTTTAGAATAAACTCATGGTATATTTTGGCATCATCGGACATCTGAGGACATGCGAAATTTCGAGGACTTCTCGGTATCGTACTTTGAAGAGTTCACCTTACACCTTATGCATCATGCACAACACTCGGATATGATTCACAAAGATAATTAGCGTGCCCGATCATCGCCATTCTTGTCAAGTATTCACATTTGGCTTGGCATGAAGTCCCATGTAACAAGCAAGCTTTGTCCAAGTGGCCACGTCTTGGCACGTTCTTCGATTATTTTAATTTTGTAGAAGCCTACTTCTTGTATTAGCTCTAACGAGACAACCTCAGAACCTAAGAATCGCGGCATATGGCCTATGTGTAATTGCCTGAAGGTTTGGTGGACTCCCTGCTAATTATTTGATTCTTTTTCAACTTGTACGATTCGGTTATTTGATGCAATGACCTGAGCTCGCCCGGCACATTTGCACGTCAAAAGCTTGGTTCATTTTGCAATCGATACCTTATGGTCACCTTTTTAGCCTGTGCGCCACAGAAACGTTGCATGGATGTTGTCTTTTGTCAATCACTTCCAATTTCCGTTCTAAACGGCCGGTCGCTACCCTATCAGTGCTAGCTTATCCGGAGATAACCCATCTTTTGTCGGCATATCGCCATTCGGAGACTTCCCGACGTCCTAAAAACGGACTTCCTTCATCTTTAACGTGCGGAGAAGCCGGATATCCGGATTGCGTCTTTTTGCAGAGCTGTTTACTCTCTGCCTGTATTTGACAATATAACTATACGGGCGCCAGTGGCTAATGCATGGCCGGATTAACGGATACGAGGGTTGAATGTCCTCAGTAACGTTGTGGTTATAACTTAAGACCATGGCATGACTTAAATATGCGGAAATTCCTGCAAAATAGGAGAAAGGATGACGTACCTGTCTCACAGAAGGTGCAATATAACGTAGTTCCTAGCCGATCCGTACACCCGGCCGTCCCGTACACCCTAACCACCATAGCAAACGCGATATTTCAGGTGGCTATATATTAACTAAATCAACATAATATCACTTAAATTTTGCTATGCTAGTTCCTATTAACGTGTAGATTAGTCTAAGTTTATCAATAAGTTAGCCACGTAGTTATTTACATGCATTACTAAAGATACACGCCGATAAGGTGATGCATGTTCATACATATAAACTGAATTCCTGCATAATAATTTTTAGTCTTTAAGATAGGCTTATTATAGCATATTCAATACTAGAGTGTTAGATCAACTTACATGGACTCTCGTGGGTTGATATGTCATAATCTAAATTATGGTATTTACTATGGTGTTTGGGGTGTACGGGACGGCCAGGAACTACGTTATCGATGGGACGTAAGTCCTGCGGCTAACGTTAGCCTTACCCCTCCCTGCCATGCTCTACGAACCTATCTACTCATCATGCCTGTGGACTGACCTAACCAGCCAGCCACATATTACTTCACCTCGGAAGCTCTCTCTATAACGTGAATCGTAATTTTTATAGACAATCTCTTCAATTAGTCGCTCGAGAAGACGAAACTTAATTATAGTCGAATGAAATTACCGCTGAAAAGGCCTCGGCTCATTTTAAGGTCCTTTCCAACCGTTCTCGATCCGTAGTACTGAAAGAAAAGGATAGATGGGACCTGATAGCGCCGTGATCTTGGCATGTCTACTACCCGTGAGTTAACCAAGTCTTCCACCAGATAAAACCTCCGAGTACCGCACTAGCGCATCGCGCGATCTAGACTGGTGACTTTCCGTTTCGGCCTCCGACGGTGCCACGCATTCGCCATTCTAGTGTGCTTCTTCTATCATGAACGACGTATAATAATCTTGCGCTGATAGTGATGTTGCATCGAAGCTCGTTCGCAAGATGGTAGGCGACTGAGCAATCGACCTTGCTTAGTTTCTCATGGATATGCATGCTCTTGGTACCTAAGAAGAAGTACATAAAGTCTGATATCTTTGCCTGTGACTTACTTTGTATCATCAGTCAAGAGTTCAACTGTGATTATCTAATCTACCTTTCAAACAAACATATCTGCATTCTCAAAACCTAATCTCAATCTTCACCATGAAGTTCTCTGCTGCAATTCTCAGTACGACGCTTCTGGCGACTGCTGCCTTCGCCGCGCCTCTGACTGCTAAGCGTCAAGCTCGTTATGAAGCCCGTCGTCTGGCTCGCTCCGAGTCCGGTGTGACAGAGCGCCACGGCAATCCTGCCTTTAAGCCTGATACCCAGGAGCTTCTCCATCTTAATGCAACCTCCCACGAGGAGTATAGCTCCAACTGGGCCGGCGCTATTCTCATCGGCTCAGGCTATACTGCTGTCACCGGTCAATTCACCGTCCCAACCCCGAAGGTTCCTAGTGGTAGCAGCAGTAGCGGAACATACTCTGCTTCTGCCTGGGTCGGTATCGACGGTGATACCTGGGGTAACGCCATCCTCCAGACTGGCGTTGACTTCACGATCTCTAATGGCAAGGTCAGCTACGATGCCTGGTATGAGTGGTATCCCGACTACGCCTACGACTTCACCGGCATTACAATCTCTGCTGGAGATGTCATCAAAGTCACTGTAACTGCTGCATCTAAGTCCTCCGGCACTGCGGTTATCGAGAATGTTACCACCGGGAAGTCTGTCTCGCACACATTCTCGTCCGGCAGCACCGAAGGCAGCCTTGGCGAGGTCAATGCTGAGTGGATCGTTGAGGACTTTGAGTCCGATGGCTCTCTTGTGAACCTTGTCAATTTCGGCACTGTTACCTTTACCGGAGCACAGGCCACTGACAACGGCGCTAAGGTCGGACCTTTCGGTGCTACTCTGATTGACATCAAGCAGAATAACAAGGTTGTCACCTCCAGCTCTGTCACCTCCAACAGTGTCAAGGTAAGCTACGTCTAAGTTTTGTATATAAAGTGGTTTGCGGCTATCACTTGCCGAAAGGACGAGGATTGAGAGCTTGGGATTCGAAGAAATTTTCAGGAGTAGTGAGTGGATGAAGTGTTCATGCGTCGATTGTTTGATTCAACACATACCTATTTATGCAAGGAACTTAGATTTGAGACCCAATTCTATGGCCAGGGATTCAGGAATTGAGACATTGTGACTCGAAAACCTCGTACATTCAGTTCATAAAGAAAGGAGCTGTTGGAGTTGATGTGTATTCATAAAAGGTCTAATGCACACAATCGGTGTATGTATGCAGAAGATGGGTTGAAGAGAGACTAGGCATAAGAAGGCAGAGTCGGCTTGTTGGACAAAAGGAGTATGTCAAGTATGCCCGGGAGCTTTCTAGTGTCATATAGAGATGTCAAACTTGATTCAATTTAGTTAGAAAACACAGTATTATTTATATCACGGGGTACATGACAGAATGACAAATAATATAGAAGAAACATCC